ATTTAAAACTCAATCCCTCATTCACAAGAGCTGCACTTCCGGTGTCCAACAATGGCATGTAGCCAGCACCTTTTGAACATTCCAGCTTCCTGAAAGTTCTGTCAATATACTCACTCTGTTGATAGAAAATATCAGTTTCTCTCATTAATAATATCAACTTCCCCCAGAGGGCTGTAGACTATGAGAGGGAAGGGAAGTATGCGTGATGTGGTTGAGGGAGAAACCATGTTACTCTTCCGGAATATTCTCTTGCTACAGTAAGTTTGAAGAAAGTTCTGGGCTTTGAAAGCGTAAGTAACCATACTAAACAAAAACTCTCACCATATTTTGACAGAACATTTTTGGCAGCAGGAAACGCTCCCGCCCACCAGTCTGTCACAGAAGGTGTGTGCCATGGTTTGCCACCGCTGAGCAACTCCCTCGGGAGGAGCATCTTTGCTTCACAGCTCAGCCTGCCCCAGCCGCTGCAGCCACGGGACCTCCAGGTGAGTTTTGGAAGTATTGTGTGGAATACAGGGGTGGTGTCCCTTCGGTTCCGCTTGGCTTCCGTTTTCCAGGGTCTTCAGTGGCCCTCGGCCTTCATTGGCCTTCCTTCACACAGGGAGCCACAGGAGCTCGTGACCAGGCAGGCTCTTTCTGAAAATGTTGAAAGGGATGATTGGGGGGTAACAGCCTGTCTGCTCACAGCTATCGGGAGGAATAAACAAAACACCCCAAAAGGCTCGATCTTTTCTATTCAATAAATAATGGTGCAATTACAATGCATAAATAGGTCAGGCCCTGGGCTTTGAATTGCCCTGGTTACAACAGGTGTTATCAAATGTAATCCTGGCAACTACGATTACTCCCAGGCAGGCGCGTCAACCAGCTCTACAGAGGTCAAAGTCCAGGAAAGCTGGAGATCAGACCCCTGAGAGAACCAGAGCAGCGTCAGGTTCCCAGACCTTATGTTACTTTTCTATTGCCACACACACAAGCCCAAGCCTGAACTTAACAGGCTAGGACGATAAGCATGCATCCTCACTCCGAGATCCTGAGCGGCTCAGGGTTCCTCTGGAGGGCGGCGATCAAGGAGCTGGCCGGGCCTGAAGATCGTCGTCTCAGGGCACGGCTGGAGAGGTTTGCCTCCAGCCTCATTCATCCAGCTGCCAGGAGATCCGCATTCAAGGTCATTCCCACAGTCTTCATTATAACACGTACTCACAACGTGGAAAATGGCTTCCCCGGAGCAAGAGGGGGAACCTGAGGTGGAAGCCTTGGCCTTTGCGTGACCTGACTTCAGCACTGACACCATTGCTTCTGCCGTGTTCCAGTCGCTAACAAGAAGCCGTGCTCGAAGGGTGGAAAGGTCACCACCCTTGCTCCTTCTGCACACCCCCGTTTTAGTTTTTCTATTACATTTCCCTCCCCGCCCTCTCTGTATGTATGTATGTGCACATGTGTCCATGTGCACTTGTGTGCACATGTAAGGTCAGAAGACAACTTGCAGGAGTCAGTTCTTTCTTTCCACCGTCTGGATCTGGGGATCAAGCTCAGGTCATTGGACTTGGTGACCAGCTCCTTTACCCACTGAACCCCTCCCCCACGTAGTCCAAGCTGTAGCCACATATGACCTTGACTCCTATTTCTCCGGTCTCCACTCCCAAGTGTTAGGATTACAGGCGTGTACCCAGCTCTAACCATTAAACCCTGTCTCCTGATGGAACGAGTTGGTGTACACAGCTTTAAAATCACCTTGCAAGCCTCCTACTTCATCATTAGAAACGATTCAGCACCAACCCCAGGCAAGTCCCATACTTCCATGCTAAATGACAGTGACTCTTGGTCCAATCTTCAACCCTCTTTCAGACCCACAAGACGCTGAGCCTCCTGCTGATGTCTTTGGACGTTGTCTTGGATTAGGTGGGTGTGGGTGTCCTGGCTACACCCATCCCCGTCTCTAGGAGGTGACTAAGAACCAGGTCTAGGAGTATAGAATGGGGCTCAGTGGACAGTCCTCGGGGTCCGGGATTTACACGGTGTCATAAAAAACAGAACATGCCTCTGTGGTTCTGTAATACAGAAAAGACTGGGGTCAGCTATACCACTGTAGACTGGTCTGAGAAGATGTCTAAAGTCAAGCACAGTGATGAGGCAGGACAGCGGAAGGTCCCTAATGTAGACAGCATTTAACTAAGTTTATTTTTGTTGTTTAAACACACAGCCTCTCAACATTGTATTATTCCAGAACTTACTTTCTTTTGTTTCTTTTGAGACAGAGTCTCGCTGTCTAACCCAGTGGTCTCACCCTTCCTAATGCCGTGACCCTCTAATACAGTTCCTCATGTTGTGGTGACTCCCAACCATAACATTATTTTCATTGCTACTTCATAACTGTAATTTTGCTACTGATATGACTATTGTAGCTAGAGTTTTCCTGCCTGGCCCACAGTCAGGACAAATCTCTGCCACCCGCCAGTCCCACAACCGCTCAGACCTGACCAAGTAAACACAGAGACTTATATTGGTTTCAAACTGTATGGCCGTGGCAGGCTTCTTGCTAACTGTTCTTACAGCTTAAATTAATCCATTTCTATAAATCTATACCTTGCCACGTGGCTCGTGGCTTACCGGTACTTTACATCTTCCTTGTCCTGATGGCGGCTGGCAGTGTCTCCTGACCCAGCTTCCTGTTTTCTCAATTCTCCTCTCTGTTAGTCCCGCCTATACTTCCTGCCTGGCCACTGACCAATCAGTGATTTATTCATTGACCAATCAGCAACACATTTGACATACAGACCATCCCACAGCACTTCCCCTTTTCTTTTCTTAAAAAGGAAGGTTTTAACCTTTACACATCTCCAAAGTCAGCTTGGTATATTTAGGAATTTGGATGTAGCTTCTCTTACTACTTTCTGCTGGAGGGGGGCGCTGTATCTTATGGGGACACAAAGAATATTTTAGGGTTATGGAGTAGTCCATGAGGGTGTATCGTCTGAGCCAGTTGCCTTGAAACGGTTCTGGATGTTGGATCATCTGGGCCATGGTGTCATCGGAGACCTTTCAGGGGGTCTTGGCTGGTCAAACCTGATGTGTCTTAATCTGGAACAAATCCATAGCCTCTGGCTTTCTGTGGAAACAAAAGCAGAGCTAACTTTCCAAAGCAACATATCCTTACATCCAAATTTTGAAGTCAAGGTACCTTTAAAATATACATTTTGGCATAACTCAACAGCTTTTGTAATCAAATGTTTTTCTTTAGTTACGAATATCAAAGAGAACATAATCCAGATTCTCTGTGTGGTAGCCATCTTTACGTGGCTTATTTTTTTATGTTAGCTTGAGCCTATTGCTTTGAACTGTAGCCTTCTAAGCCTGAAACGGTGCTGGCGCTGCTGGCTCCACCCACTTCAGCTTCCCAACATGGCGGTGGTACGTTTTCCGCCAGCTCTGGGAGCCATCAACTCTCAAAATAGTGGGTCTATGCTTCTATCAAAGCAGCGTGTAGCCCAGAAACCTCTTTTTTTTTTTTTTGTTTTGTACTAGCAAAGGCTAAATCCACCACACAGCTTAATGTGCCACTTGCAGAGGCCTCATTCCGCCATACTGCAGGTCGAGCACTCACGCTAGGAACCCGCCAGTAGCTCAAACCGGCAGGCTGCCGCTAACTTGAAAGAGACAACTAAGAACTGTTTTTAGCTCCGTTTTAGAATCTTTTTTCTCAGGTTTTAGGTGGAAACTCTTGCCACCACGTTGGACGCCAGACTATAGTGTAAATATCTGTATTTTCCGGTAGACTTAGGTGTCCCCTGTGAAAGGGTCTTTCAATCCCCAAGTGGGTCGAGCCCCACAGGTTGATAACCACTGGGTTAGCTGAAGCGGGCCTCAAACTTGGAATCCTCCTGCATCAGTCTCTCAAGTGCTGGGTTGACAGGTGTATGCCACCACAACCCTCTTGTTCTGGAACTTTGGACATTGGCGCCGAGACTATCTCAGGAAAACAGGGAAAAGTAGGAATGACCACTAGTCTTTCCTCTGTGTCACTGAGCACGCTCCAGTGGGAATCATCTGAGGGGGCTTTGGAGATGGATGCAGAAATCTTGCCCGTGCATAAATGTCTTCATCTGAGGGATGCATGGCACCAGGCTCATGTCTGTTGTTTGTCTCCTTTAGGCATTGACGATGTTCCCATGGAGGGCATTTCTGGAAGATGGTGGACCGTTTCCAGCTAGGAGCAGCGTCCCAAACACCTTAGAGTATGATATGCAGGTAGATCTGTCTTCCTACTTGTTGGAGAGAACTGAGCACAGGCTGCAAAGCAGGGTATCACCAGGCTCCTGCTCTAGCCAGTGGTGATTTAGCAGATAAGTGGGTGTTTAATTATGAAGCTGTAACCTGAGACTGCAAGGTGAGTCATATTTTCTTATTGTGGAAAAAAATCGTGCTGTCAGCAGCTACTGGCCTTGGCTGTGGACTCAGCTGCAGTTCCCAGGACAGCGATGACCTAGAGGAGGGGCCACGGCCTGAGCCTCTTGAAGAAACTGCCACCTGACACTCAAAGGCGTGGGACACCTGACCTGGGATGGGAACTGCTTAGGCAGGACTGAGGAAGGGATTTTCTTTAATTGTTCTAGTCATCATGATGCTTCTTTAAATGGTTTCGAAAAAGATTTTGTTTTCTCATGATTAAGTAAACAATAATATATTTTTAAAAATGTGTGTGTGTGTGTGTGTGTGTGTGTGTGTGTGTGTGTGTGTGTTAAAACCAAGCAAAAACTCAACAATATTTGGCTTCAGAATATGGAGTGCAGAGTTGGGGGTAGGGCAAGACTGACTATATATGGGTGGATGTAATAGGTTTGCATTTGTGTATGTTTAAAGTCCTCCATGAGTAAAAAGGTATTTTAACAATAAAAGCAAGAGGGTTTAAAAACAAAACAAAACAAAATCAGAGACAATAACAATTCATGTTTTGGAGTTTTCTCCTGGTCCCCCCACCCAGGGAATGCCTGTGTGTGTATCTGTACTTTTAAAGGAAACTGATTATACCACACATTCGTTGTACCTGCTGTAAGGCTGGGAGATTTGCTACACAGAAACCTAAAACATTCAAGAAGGACTTTAAGCTAGAAATATTACTCTGATTTTTTTTTATTAGTTGAGAGGGTGAAGGTTATAAACAGAGTTGCACTTGATACTTTTCTTCAAAACCATGTATTAAAGGATACGTAGATCTCTTCAAAATGGAAAGGTATTTTTGTTTGCTTTTAGATGTGTCTCTGCGGGCTGAGTGACCGTGACCGCAAAGTGGCCCACAGAGAGCTGGTGGGTGTGCAGACGCTAATGGAAGACGTACTTCTGAGCAGCTATCATGTGATCATGGAGGCGTCTGAATGGCAAGCCACACTGGGCAACACCCAGGTATTCTTAGCCAGTGGCCTGCAGAGCTGGCCAGTGCTGTATTGTACTGAAGGACTTTCCTATTTTGAAAGATGGACTAGAGGGCTACCTTGCCCATAGCTGCCCCCTGTAGATGCCAAGACCGTGGCAATGCCACAAAGCAGTGGTGGTGAAACCTGGAAAGCTATTCTCAGGTATTTTCTTACACAGTGAGTCTCATGATTAAAGTCCCACTTACTTTATCTACTTAAAAGGTTTGTTTGTTTGTTTGTTTGTTTTTTTGCAGGGGTGGGGTGGAGAGATGGCTCAGTAGTCACAAGCTCTTGCTTCTCTCAGAGGCCCGGAGTCCTGTTCCCAGTATCCATATTAGGTGACTTCCAACCAGCTGTAACTCTAGTTCCAGGGATCCAACTTCCTGGCCTCCTCAGGCACTTGCACTGATGTGCACCCATCAACACATGGAGATACGTACACACATACACATATATAATTAAGATAGTTTTTTTTGTTGTTTTGTTTTTGAGACAGTGTCTCTGTGTCATTGGTTCTCAACCTGTGGGTCCAGACCCCTTTGGGAGAGTTGAATGACCTTTCACAGGGGTCGCCAAAGACCATCCGAAAACTCAGATATTTACATTGCATTCATAACAGTAACAAAATTACAGTTATGAAGCAGAAATCAAAATAATGTTATGGTTGGGGGGGGGGTCACCACAACATGAAGAATTGTATTAAAGGATCAAAGCATTAGGAGGGTTGAGAACTACTGCTCTGTGTAGACTTGGCTCACTCAGAACTTGCTCTATAGACCACGCTGGCCTTGAACCCATAGAGGTTGACCTCCCTCTGTCTCCTGAATGCTGGGATTAAAGGCTTTGTACCACCACTCCCCGCCAATTAAAAACATTTTTTAAACTTTAAAATGTTTTTGAGGTGGGGTTCTGCTCCATAGCCCAGCTGGCCTTGAACTCACAATCTTCTGGCCTCAGCTTCCATGTTTAAAATGGAACGAAGGCTGTAGGGAGTCCATTGGAACCTCCTGAGGCAGATACTCAGCTTATGCTTTCCTCGTGAGTCGCTTATTTTAGGACTAGATTTGGGCATCCCAGAGTCCTGCCAGAAGCCCCAGGAGAGACCCTCAGCTAGCCTGGGGATGCTAGACCGACCATGTCTCCTCAGCTTAACCTTCTGAAGTTTGGGGTACAAGAATCAGTCCCCACCACGTAAAATAAATAACTCTAAACAATCCTTCATGGACTGGAAACCAGGAAGTGGCACATTGGAGTCAGTGAGCTAGCTGGACCCCTACCCAAAGGGCCAAAGGGCTGCCTAGTCAGATCTCAGCTTTCTAGAAGCTGCTGCTGTCTGCTCCCTGGCCTCTCTACACTCAAGGACACTAATCAGCCCACATGGCTGGTCTTTCTTTTCCTTAGCTCTCGGGGCCTCCACAGCAGACATGAGTTACTGAGATTTGATTGGAGTGTGATTTTCTTCTGCTCTAAGTTCTCTTCCCCTCTCATGGACCCTTTCTATGGCCTGGCATTTGCCCTCCCTCCCTCCACATAGATACACATGTGTAAAAAGGTGTAACATGCATATGAGCACATCAGTGTTCATCTTCCTGAGCCTGGGTTCCTTGTCTAGTGTCTTTCCAGTTCCGTCCATTTTCCCCACACTGACTAATTCTGCTTTTTCTGTCTATGTGCCCCGTTTCCTTATCCCCTCAGCCACTGATGGACATCAGTCTGATGGACATTTCCTTGCTATTCCACCAAGGCAGCAATAAACACAGACCAACACAGATCATATCTCTGTAGTAGGACGTAGAACCCTTTGAGTAAATGCCAGGAGTGGCTTAGCTGGACCCCATGGAAGTCCTGTTTTTAGGTTCTTGAGATGCCTCCACACTGATTACCGCAGTGGGTCTACCAGTTTGCACACCCGCTAAGAGTGGGTGAGTGTTCCCCTTTCCCAGCACCCTCTCTAACACTGTTGTCATTCCTTTTATTTTTTATTGTGTGTGTCTATCTGTCTGTCTGTCTGTCTGTCTGTCTGTCTGTCTGTGTATGCTGCCTCTGTGCAGGTGCCCACAGAGGTTAGAAGAGAGTGTCGGGTCCCTTACATCTGGAGTTGCAGGACATTGTGAGCCACCCTAGCGGGTACTGGAACCAGCCTCTGGTCCTGTGCAGAGGAGCTGCACAGCAGGCCATCCCTCCATCCCCCAGGGGACTGTTCTGAAGTGTGCACTGGATCACGCCACTTCTTGCCTCCCAAGCCCTCCATGCTTTAGAATACTCTGCGTTCCTCCCAGATGTCTCCTCTCTCCAGTCTGTCTTCTGAACCTCCCCTGACGTGGGGCACTTCTCTCCTCCTTGAAGACTCTATTTGTTCTGCAGACGTCCCCCTCCAACGACTCTCCTTAGGAGGATTTCTCTCTCTGCTCTTTCCCCCTCCATCTTGTCTGCATCTGAGAGTGATCCTGTCCCTGTAACAGGTTCTCCTGCTGACCGGGACTTAAATTAGAGAAGCACTTGTGTGTACACACACACACACACACACACACACACACACACACACACACAAATAACTTAAAAAAATTATGGCCAGTGGAATGGCTGAGCTGTCCTCTGACCTCCACGTGTAAACACACACACAATTTAAAATAACAGAAGGACACTGATCTGTAGTCAGATTTTCTTTGAACCACCAGCTTCCAAATAACCACACAGAGACTTCTTACCAAGTAGGAGAGCTTGACCGTAGGTTGGTCCCTACTAGCTCTTAAAAGTGTAAATTAATCCATTTATACTAATCTACGTTCTGCCACGTGGCTTGTTTACCTCTCCTCGGTACTGTACATATGACTTCCTTTGTGTCTCACTGGCGAATTCCTGGCCCCTCAGATTCCTCCCAGAGTTCCTTTCTCTCTCTGGAAGTCCCACCTACTCTCTCCTGCCTAGTTGGCTGTACAGTTATTTTTAAATCAATCAGAAGGTCCCTTAGGAAGCCAAGGTAGAAGAGGCTCACATCTTCACACCGTGTGGTCAAATACCCCGGAACACCGATCTTCCACAGCAGGCAAGAGAGACTTAGGAGGAAGAGACTCAGCTCAGGTTAGATCGACATAGACCATCAGCTGCACCCTTGGGGACCCTGCCATGTGGCTGTGTGACAGTCTGTTCCCTTTGCCTTTAGTAGGTAAAAACGTGAGAATGAAAATACACTCTCTTACTCTGGAGAAGGAAGGTGTAGAGTTTTCCTAATAGATTCCCCTTACATTTTCTTGGCTAACACTGAGTCACAAGTCCATGTCAGGCCATCAGCAGGGGTGGGGTAGGTTTAGATATGGCATCTAAATTCTGCAGCAGAATCAGCTGATTCCCCCAGAGGGGTCATTTGCAAAGCTGGGTGACACCAAGTAGTACCAAGATCAGGGAACATTCTGGGCCCCTGAGCCACCCATTGGCTATTTTGTGGCCCTGTTCTGAGTGAATTGCCACACCCTTGCCAGACATCCCTTGCTCTCCTTCTACATTCTTCTTTTTTACAAAAAGATTTATGTATTTGATTTTGTGCACATGACTTTTGCCTACATGTGTGTATATGAACCATAAGTGTGCCGAAGAGACCAGAAGAGGACATCGGATCCCTTGGAACTGGAGTTACAAAGAGTTGTGAGCTGCCATGTGGGTGTTGGGAACTAATCCCAGATCTTTTACAAGAGCAGACAGTGCTCTTAGATGCTGAACCACTTCTCCAGCCCCCTCTGCATTATTCTTTATCCTGTCTTCTAGCCCTTCTTCCGTCCTTTAAAATGTTTAGACATGGGGCTGGAGAGATGGCTTAACAGTTAAGAGAACTTGCTGCTCTTCTAGAGGACCTGGGTTTGATTCCCAGCACCCAGGTCAGGCAGCTCACAGCTGCCTGTAACTCCAGCCCTATGCAGATCCAGCCCCTCTGGCCTACACAGGCTCCTGTACTTATGTGCTTATAGCATTCCCACACCCCCAACACACACATACACATAACTAAAAATAAAAATAAATCTTAAAAAAAGTAAAATGAATGCACACAACAAATGCGAGTTATGAAAAAAGATATCAAGCTAATTGTTTTCTAGACCTGACTCAGTCGTGGATTTTTCAGCTTTAGTGGTAAGTGCATAAAATATTTAATAGTGGAAGTGCAGAACCCAGTGTGGAGCCCCACAGCTTCGGAATGGCTGATCTAACTGTATAGAAGTCATTGAAATGTATAGACTTTGGATCTGGCTAAATCACAGTGTGTGATTTTTTTTTTTTTTTAATTTCCAAGTTTTTTTGTTTTGGTTTGGTTTTTGGTTTTTCAAGACAGGATTTCTCTGTGTAGTCCTGGCTGTCCTGGAACTCACTCTGTAGACCAGGTTGACCTCAAACTCAGAGATCCACCTCCCTCTGCCTCCTGAGTGCTGGGATTAAAGGCCTGAGCCACTACTTCCTGGCTAATTTTCAAGTTTTTTTTTTAAATAGCAAAGTTTATTTTAAAAATAAAATAAAATGTTTAAAGATGGCTAACCTTAATACAAACATATTAAGAAGTAAATCTGATTATGTGGTTTTTATTTTGATTGGTTTTACTTTGTGATGTGTGTGCTGCTATAACAAACCCAGGGCTTCGAGCATGGTAGACACAACTTTGCAACTGAGCTGCATCCCTAGCCCTTGGGATGCAGTTTCATTTCCAAGTATTTAGCTATTTATAGGAACAGGAAATGCTAGACTCCGTGCTGCCCCGGAGCCAAGGCCCTGATCGTCTATGGCAGCTGGGTCCACACGTGTTGTGGTCTCTCAGGGTCATGGTCTCCTAACCTCTGAGGGGGGTGGATTGACTCAGAGTCATTAAAATTGTGGCCCAGGGAAGCCCAAGTTCCCTCTAAGACAGTGATAGTTTAGCAGTGGGGGCCAATCATGTGGTCCGCAGGCTGTGCCCCTCCATGTCACCGTTCTTGGCCTTGATGGGTCAGATTGCATTTGATGAAAGGGTTCTGAGGATTAAAAAAGAAAAGACATCTGGAAGTCTACAGACTGTTTGCCAAGAAGGCTTTATGGCTGAGAGGTTGCTAGCCTCTGTGAGCACTGTCCTGGGCCTGGATGCTGATTCTTCCTGACTGTCTTTGACCAGCCCTCTCTCTGGCAGACACACCTTCCTTTAGCTGTGTGAATAACACTGACGCAGGGTCCAATTACACCAGGTTGCGCTTCCAGTTTCTGGTTCTGCTGCCTGAATGTTCTAGGCCACAGGATTTGCCATCTGTCTTGCAAAACAAAACTCCCCTCTTGTGCCAGGAAGCAGCTGAACGCAGGCCCCCAAGGTGTCTTTCAGCCTCTGGGTGGCCCTGGACTTCCTAGCTCTCACTGGCTGGTCTGAAGCTGTATTTCTTCCACGGCCACTAGGACAAATATTTATTTAAGGAAAGCATCAATAAGCGAATGAACAAATCCTAATTTCAAAGTAACACTGAGGTTGAGGCAGGGGGATGGTCACACATTTGGTCCCAGCCTGAGTTACAAAGTGAGCGCCAGATTATCCAGGGCTACCAAGACCATATCTTAATGAATTAATTAAAGTAAATTTGAGTATGGACTAGTAAATTCAAACAAAATGTTCTCCTTTTTGCTTTTAAAGGATAGAAGGTGTGAGATTCCCAGAGCTGGATTTATAGGTAGTTGTCAGCTTGGCACGATAAACCCAAGTTCTGCTTTCTGAGTCATAAAATGGGTAAAATCCCGGAAGGAAAGTTGTGTTACAGCTCCATCATGGGGGGGGGGGGGGGGGGGTTAGGGAGGGGTGAGGGAGGGGGGATGGGGAAACTTTAGTCACTCAGCATTTTCTTTTATTTCTTAAAGAAAAAAAAAAAAGGCGCCGGGCGGTGGTGGCGCACGCCTTTAATCCCAGCACTCGGGAGGCAGAGCCAGGCGGATCTCTGTGAGTTCGAGGCCAGCCTGGGCTACCAAGTGAGTTCCAGGAAAAGGCGCAAAGCTACACAGAGAAACCCTGTCTCGAAAAACAAAAAAACAAAACAAAACAAAACAAAAAAAAAAAAAGCTTTTAAAAGATCTGTTTATTTTATGTGTTTGAGTATTTGCCTGTGTGTGTGTGTGTGTGTGTGTGTGTGTGTGTGTGTGTGTGTGTGTGTACCTGGTGCCCAGAAAGGTCAGAAGCCTTCAAACCCCCTGGAACTGGAGTTAGGGGTGGTTGTGAACCACCTTGTGGGGGCTGGGAACCGGAACCAGTTCCTCTGGAAGAGCAGCAAGTGCTCTTAACCGCTGAGCCATCTGCCCCCACTTCATATTTTTAAGATTTATTTTTTATTTATGTGGGGGCGGGGGATGTGTCCAGGGACTTATGTTGGTCAGGAGAGGGTGCCGCAGTCTCTGAGCTGGAGTTATAGGAAGTAGTCAGCCATTTGACATGGGTGCTGGGAATCGAACCCAGGTCTTCTGGAAGAGCAGCAATCACTCTCCAGTCCCTGTTGCACACTTTCTCTCTTTCCCTCCTTGCCTCGCTCTCTGTCTTTTCTTTCTTTCTTTTTTCTTTTTTTTCTCTTTAGGAAGATTCTGGTTTTTGAAGGTAGAGGTTCAAAGTCAAGTGTGGAGTCTCATCCCTGTAACCCTAGCTCTTGGGAGATAGAAGCAGGGTGATCAAGAGTTCAAGGTTGTCCTCAGTGACATAGTGAGTTCGAGGCCAGCTACATGAGACCGTATCTTCAAAAGCTAAAAATAAAATATAAAAACCAGTGGTTCAAAATGCAAACAGGAAGCTGAGACAGAGATGTTTCCATCTTGCCTGCTCAGCAAGGACATTCAGCCATCTAGGTTTTTTCTACACATTCTACAGGTCTGCAAACCATTTCTCCTGGATGTTATTTTGCATGGGATACATATAAAAACTTATCGCATCTTGAGCCACAGTTGACAAAGGATTTCTGTCACGTGTTCAGCCAGATTGGTCCAAACTGTCAGGACTCTGCCCGAGTCAGTCGGAAAGTCACCCAAAGGCCTCTGTGTTGCTGGAGCGCCCGTGTGATGCAGTGATGTCCCTTGCTCTGATGAAGTCCTTCCTCATCCTGTGGAAGCAGCTGGAAGTGCTGAAGGAACACTGGGGCCGACTCAGGCTTCAAGGCCAGGAGATCAACTCTGCCCCGCTCTACAAACAGTTCTCAGAGCTCTATGAGTGAGTACTGCTGAGACAACCCATGTCAGCCGGTAGGGCCTGGGGTTCGAGGATTCCTCCCCCTTCACTGAGAGAGTCGGTCCAGGATTCTGGGGACACCCAGCTCCACAGGGTCAGGTGGCAGCTAGAAACAGTCTCCACAGCAGTGCTGTAAGGAAAAGCTCTTCCGTGTTGGTTGTGGGGAAGAGCGAGACTCCACTGAATTGTCCTTGTTAGCACTTACTCCCTAGGGCCTGTCACTTGGAACTATTGAGTGACCCCACAATGCTGACGTGAGCTTGTCAGCTCAGAGTAGACAGCTGCTGGGGTTAGGGACTCCCGGAGCCCCAGCGCTGAGCCTGAATGCTTGAGGTATTACAGCCAGAGGATGACATGACATGGCACCTGTGGTATAAGGCCTTAGGTCCCCAAGGTCACCCAGACCTTGGCCTCACACCTCGTCTAGGATGATGTAGCTGGCAGGAAAGGCATGCTGTTCTTGCCATGTGTCTGTCTGAACAAGTACTTACTAAGCCGGAGCCCACTCCCCCAGACCTCACCTACCCTCTCTTTGGCACATTCAGAATCATCTACCCCGGAAGTTCCTGAGGTCAGATTCTGTTAACTAGAAATGAGAAGACTTGTCAACATTTTGCCACGTGAAGGCAGAAGTTATATGTGCTCGGCATAAAAAGGCCTCGGGATCTAATGTTGACCAAAGGAGTGGCAGACTTCGTTGTTGACGTGTCTGTGAAGGAGTTGGATGACAGGAAACTGAATGAGAGGAAATACGTTTATTTGCTAATTTCTGTCTCCTTGCCTTCCTAGAGCTGACATTTTTTATCCCAGCATGAAAGCGTTAGCCAGGCAGATGGGCAAAGAGGATGAATTTGAAGGACTTATGATAAGAAGCCAATCTATTCTTCCCCCAAAGGGAGCCTCAGAAATTGAAATAAAAACCCAGCAGGTACACAGAGCTCTCTTCAGTTTGCCTTTGAAAAGCTGCCTTGCTACACTGGCTTGTAAAACTGTGATAAATAAAAATGGTGTTTTCAGGTTGGGGGGGGGGGGGTGGCGCTCTTAAAGGTGTGTGGGGTTTGAGTGAGCAAAGAAGTTCCCCTGAATGTCTCCATTCTGTAAGTCTGGGTTCTCATTATTTTCATTTTCCTCAAACTCATATGCTGCATCACAAGAAATAGGACAGAACACATAACGAATACTGTCTGAACTATAAAATCCAGTCAGTGTGCATCCATGTCGAAAGGAAATATTAGACGGAGCATTCTGAAGTGGTTTTTCTCAGAGAAAGGAAGTACAGTTTTTGCAGTTGCTCAGGTAGTGTGTTGAATAATCTTGACCAGCTTGACCAGGGGACCCAGGGCCTCTGGCTGTCTGGTCTGAGAAGCCACTGAGCAACGGTGCATGTCAGTGTGAACTCCATACATGCCTCAGGGCCAAGCACACTGCTGATGCTTCTGCACCCTGGTTCTGCTGGAGTTCCTCCCACAGGGAAGAGTAGGCTCCGCAAGCAGCGTGGGTGGAGTGGGACTCAGAGCTATGGCAGTGAGTCGTCTTGATGTACATCAGCCTTAAGTCTTTTCATGAAATCCTCCTTGGCGTGTGACCTGGCTCTCAGACTCTTATTAAAGTAACAGCGCATGAGATTCCTGGTGTCCTTTAGAGACGGTCAACGGGCATGAGGTCACTCCAGACACAGAGCGCTCTGTAGAGTATAGTAAGAAAGGTTATAATTTATCCATCAGGATGAGGGCCACGGGGGGGGGGGGGGGGGGGGGGGGGACGGGGGACAGATGTTGGTCTGCAAAGAGGCGTATTTTTCCCCGGGAAGAAGTGTGAGATCCCAAAGGGCACTCTTCCCAGAGAAACGAGCTGAGCTGAGGACAAGCCCAAAAGCCCGTCTGCAGGTATTGCACTTGGGAGCCGTTAGATACCTGAATTGCAGAGTGGATGCTTATTATCTCAATGTGCTTATTCCAGCTCCAGAAACTTCTGGAAAGTTTAGAAATTCATATGATCCAAGAGGTATTGAGGAAAGTTAATAGAGAGATAACCCTGCTCCTATCAGAAAAGTCCAAGGACGAGTCTACACTCCCGACAGGTAATGAACACATGCTTGTTTTACTACCTGAAAAAAATTAACGTTTTGTTTTTTTTCTCTGATTACAAAGTGTCACTGATGGTGGGGTGGACACTGTCCTATGCTACCACCAAAGGGCTGAAGAGTTCCCTTATCTTTCAGGGACTGACTCCTGCTCAGGTAAAGACAGATCCTCAACTTCTCTAGAGAAAAGAATTTCGGGGGGGGAGGGGAGCAGTATGAAGCAGAGCAGGAGTTTATTAAGATGATTGTATCGTATTTAGAACGGGGCATAACAAAAAGAGGCCCTGAGGAAGAAGGGTAATGCAACCTGAGATCGTGGCTGTGGACCTGCGTGTGTGTCGGGGGAGGTCACAGTTCAGTGTCTCACAGTCACCGTGGGCACGGCTCCTGAACCTCTCCTTACAGGGTTGATAAAGAACCCAAATATGATCACAGGGCGGTTCCTGTGGACTGGATAGGGTCACGGCTGATAGGATACAACCCTAGGTTCAGGGTTGCAGGGGAAAGAGACCAAGGGGGTTAGTCTTGTTTTATGGGGTTCCCAGAAAGTACCTGGGAAAGGAGTAAGACCACACTGAGAGGTCACCAGGCTTTGCTCTTAAGCGTGTTCGCTTTAGCATTCTGCTCTATATACAAAGGTATGTTCGTTTTAGCATTCTTCTCTATATACAAGGGTATGTTCGTTTTAGCGTTCTGCTCTATACACAAGGAGTATTGTCTCCATGGTGGCACCCTCCTTAGTAAATGTTTCTGATTGTGCTGCTGGGATTCTTTCCTTTTTTTTAATTTTAAATATTTACTTATTTAAGAGAGAGAGAGAGAGAGAGAGAGAGAGTGTGTATACACGTGAGTGCAGATGTCCACAGAGCACATCGGGTCCCCTGGAGCTGAAATTAGAGGCAATTGTGACCTTGGAACCAAACTTGAATCCTCAAAAGAGCCATAAGTACTCTCCATTGTTGAGTCATCTCTTCCCAGCTCCTGGAATTCTTAATTCTCAGCTGGTGAGCAGCTTCAACCAGACTCCAGGGTGAGAGGGGTGCCTTCCCCTTCCCATGTGTCTTTCTGTCCTGACCCACACGTTATCCATGTATCCATATTCATTGTAGACAACAACAGTGGCTTACATTTGTAATCCCCACACTAGCGAGCTGAGGGAGGAGGGTGGCCATGAGTTTGCAGTCAGTTTGAGCTTTATAATGAATTCCAGGCTAGCCTGGGCTACACAGTGAGACCCATCTGAGGAGAGACAGACAGACAGATTGCAATAAAATAATAAAATAAAAATTTCACGGGCTATGGATGTAATTCAGTGGTAGAGTTCATACAATGCACACACAGAGTAAATACAGGATTCTGGTTTTGATCCCCAGCACTACAAAAAGCCGGCAAATCCTAGATCAAATATCCTTTTACACCCTTGACCTAGAGAGAAATACCCTTGGTGAATTTCTTTCCACTTGAAAGGCTTTGTGTGTGTTTGATTTTTGTTTTGAGGCAAGTTCTCACTGTGTAGACCAGGCTGATCTCAAACCATTGTCCTCCTGCCTCAGCCTCCTGAGTGCTGGGAGGTGCTTGGCTCAATTTTTGCCTCCTGTCGGGGATGTGGTCCCTGGATCTGGCAGCGGCTGGGTCTCCTGCATACTTGCACTGAACCACGTGAGCGGAGGGGTGGATGCAGCTGAGGGTTTCCTTAACCCCACCCCCAAGGGAGTGTAAGATTACAGCCAGAAAACAGCCTCAGGGTAGGAGATTTTGGAAGAGGGAAAAGCTTCCTATTAAGTAAGTACCTGCAAAGATACCTTCTTTTGCTTTTCTGAACAAGTGGCCCTCAATTTTCATTGCACCAGGTTCTATGGATCATGGAGACCACCAAATAAGTATGTATTCTTAACTCCTAACAATCCCACAGAAAAATCCAGAACCTCTGAGCTAGGGAGGAACTGGCGGACTGGCAAAACAAATTAGGTTTTCTATCCAGAGGAGGTCATGTACACCAGAATGTTGATGAGAGCCCCCACCTAAGACATCGCCTTTTTTTTCTTTCCTCACGACCAACGTCATTTTATTAGGACTTTCAAGTCACTGAGTTTCATAAACAGGGCTTTGGGAAAAGGCTGCGCAATGTGCAAGCTGACCACACCCCCAAGGGCGGCTCCAAATGTCACCAGAGAGTGGAGTGTAACCAAGCTCCAGTTACGGAACACTTCACCAGAGACAAAGCTTCCTTGTTTGTGCTGCAGCCTGCGTCCAGGTGGCTCCCTTCTGAGTCCGAGCAGGAAAGCCACAGGCCTGAGCAGGTGCAGCCACCTTCCAGGTTCATTCTGGTGACACCCTGGGGTGGGGGCGGGGTGCAGGAGAGCATGCTTGCTTTGTGGCTGTGCTGGGAGGTGAGGAGCTCTTCGGCTGGGCTTCCAGAGAGCCTGTGTAATGCCAGTCTGGGGGAAGCAGAGGAGCAGAGTGGAGTTATTCTGAACTGTGGTCAGGCTGACATTAGTACATCACCCTGGCTAGAGTGTACTGACCGGTTCTAGTTGAGACCCCCATTTGGATTCCATACTTACATGAATTTGAAGCTAAGTGCCTCTGGGAATATAGCTTGGAGGGTTTGCCTAGACGTGCCGGACCTTAGGGTCTGTCCTCAGCACCACACACACCAATAAAATGAAAGCCAGGACTGATGGGCGTTGGGCACCATTTGCAACTGGAGTTTTCTCCAGTCCCACTAGGTCCCAAGTAAACACACAGAGACTTATATTACTTATAAACTGTATGGCCGTGGCAGGCTTCTTTCTATCTAGTTCTTATATCTTAAATTAACCCATTTCTATTCATCTATAAGTTGCCACGTGGCTTGTGGCTTACCAGTACCTTTACATCTCACTTCCTCTGTGTCTGGCTGGAGACTCCTGGCTCAGCCTTCCTCTTCCCACAATTCTCCTCTCTTGTCCCGCCTATACTACACTTCCTGCCTGGCTACTGGCCAATCAATGTTTTATTTATCAATCAATCAAAACAATACATTTACAACATACAAAAAGACATCCCCAACAGATGGGTGCAGTGATTGCTACTACCTTCAGTTTATTTTGGTTTTGGCCTTCGGTCTGTGGCGGACTGTCTAAGCATGGAGGTCTGGGTCCTCTGGGCTCCCTAACGCAAGCAAGTAAGTCTCCACTGAGTGCCACGGATGCTGTATTTCTCCAGTCCAGTCTGGGGGAATGGGTGCCACTCTCATCCCAAGGCGTTAGAACCTTGGACTGTCCACCCACTTACCGTTCATTGCAGCTACAACGGGCAAAGCTCCCAAGCGGAGGAGCTTCCCTCCAGAGAGCAGCAGTTAGTGGTCAGCCTGGAGCTGGCGGCTTCTCAGGGGAAGTTAGGACTCAAGGACGTTCAGAAGCCCAGTGACCTTGCAGGTTTAGCGGAGGCTCCAAGGTTTTCCCTCAGGGTCTTTGCTTTGGCCAGACCAGGGTTTGCCTTTGTCCCTGCCAAAGGGGAACTCAGGGGCACCAGAGTTGGCTTAGAACAAAGTGCTTGTCGCACAAATGTGAGGACGTGAGCTGAGAGTCCCGGCACTCATGTAAAGGCCAGGCACAGTGTGACCCAGCATAGGAAGGCAGAGACAGGAGGATACCGGGGACTCACTGTCCAAGCAGCCTAGTGGGAGACCCTGTCTCAAAATATAAGGCGGAGAATGAATGTCAGCCTCTGGCCTCAGGGCTCATACACACACACACACACACACACACACACACATGCATACGCACACGCACACACACGCACACGCACATGCGCGCGCGCGCACACACACGCGCACACGCACACGCACGCGCACACACACGCGCACACGCACACGCACACACACGCGCACACGCACACATGCACACACACGCGCACACGCACACACGCACGCACACGCACACGCACACGCGCATGTACACACATGCACACACCAAAGCGTGGAAGATTCTCTCCCTCCCCCCTTATCTTTCTTCTGCCGTGTCTTTGATCTTTTTATTCATGGCCTCCAGTTTGTCAGGGAAGCGGGGAGATATGGCACCCACACCTGGTCCTGGTCCCAGCTCTTGATAGCTGAGCTAGTTGTTGCCCCCCCCCCCCCCCCGCCGTGCCCCCACCCCCAAGCTAGCAGTGGCTCTAAACCCCAGACACAGGCTCCCTGAATTCAGAGAGGCCCTGCACCTCTGTGTTTGACACTTTGGCATTAAATTGATTTTTAAACAGATTTTCTGATTTTTCCCTTAATAATCTGAAGGCTGACGGTCTCCAAAGTGGAATACATATGTACATACATACAGACAGACAGACATGTATATATACATCGCACTCACGTCTGTCTGCATCATCCTTTGGGGATGCAAACCAGCAGAGTGTGGATTAGTCACAACCTTTGACCTGCTTTTGCCCCTTTTGATCATTGCCTGTTCCCATCCTGCTTACGAAGGTTTAAGTTGTCACTGAATTTGAATGATTTCATTCAAAATTATAAAAGGCGGTGAAGTCAGAGTATGTACAGAGATCTGTTGTTTCTATAATAACCAAGTTGATTTGCCTAAACTGTGATACATCTAGCTAATAGAATGTTATTAAACACTAAAAAAAACAAGCTGGGTGTGGTGGTACACACCTTTAATCCCAGCACTGGGAGGCAGAGGCAGGTGGATCTCTGTGAGTTCGAGGCCAGCCTGGTCTACAGAGTGAGTTCCAGGACAGGCACCAAAACTACACAGAGAAACCCTGTCTCAAAACAAACAAAGAGCAACAAATAAAACCAACAACAAAACCCACCCAGAATTTTAGGCCTGGAGTGATTAAGAGGGTAAGAGGGAGTATTGATAATCCAGAGGACTGGAGTTCAGTTCCCAGCACCCACATTGGGGATCCGACACCTCTGGCCTGCATGGACACCCATATACACACACATACATATAATTTTAGAAATTAATCCAACATTAAAAAAAAAGAAAACAGTTGGAGCCTTTAATCCCCAAACTCAAGAGGTAGAGGCAAGTCAACCTCTGTGTGTCCAAGGCCAGACAGCTCTACATACCAAGGCTGTGGAGGGAGATCCTGTCTCAAAGAAAGAATGAGAGAAAGAAAGAAAAAAAGAAAGAAGAAAGAAAGAATGAAATAAATAAAGAAAGAAAGAAAGAAAGAAAGAAAGGAGGAAGGAAGGAAGGAAGGAAGGAAGGAAGGAAGGAAGGAAGGAAGGAAGGAAGGAAAGATATCTCATGATAGAGTACTTGCCTAGTATGCAAGTTCAATCCTACCCAAAAAAAAGAAGGAAAAAGAAAAAAAGAGTGAGCTATGACCCCATAAACAGACATGGACGAAGATTAAATGCATACTACCTGAAGTTTAGGGACCAGAAAAAGGAGCAGAAAGATTGTAAGAGCCAGAGGATCCGGGGCTGTGCTGTGAGACTGTGTCTCCTGCTAAAGTCAGAAGCCACACACATAAAGTCTCACCAATATGGCTCCTCAAACGTGAGCTAAACAAGGAAGACACCACTGGACATGCCAAGTTACACAAAGAACCATTGGCAACTGAGGAAAGCTGGGTTCGGGGAGAAGTGGCCCTCCCCAGGGAAGAGCACACCAATTGGTTGCCCAGTACCAAAAGGTCAGCCAACATTCATCCAAATAACATCACACAGACTGAACAGATTATATTTATAAATATATGTGCATATACATATATATGCATGCAATTATAACTAGTGAAAAAAGGCCATGAATTAGAAGGAGACCAGGGAGGGGTGTAGGGGAAGGTTTGGAGGGAGGAAAGGGAAGGAAGAAATGCTGTAATTATAACTTTTTAAAAATGACATGGAAGAAGATTAAATACCTATTACTAAGTGAAAGATGCTGTTTTGAAAATGCAACCATGTATGATTCCAACTATGTGACATGCTAAAAACATCAAAGTCACTGAACAACAACAAAAACAGCGATCGCCAGGGCAGCCATGGTGGGTAGCAAGGACAGGCAGGAAAATGACTCTGCAATACTATAATGTCATTATGCATTTGTCACAACTCACTGAGTGTGGAACACCAGGTGTGAACCACACGACAGACAGACTGCGACCCTCGGCTGCTGTGGCTGGAAGGTCACTGGGGATGACTGTGTCACTGATGCACAGTGTGGCTAGCAGAGGCTGTGTGCCTCGGAGGACAAGCGGTCTGCAGGTGCTCTGTACTTTGCTGTGAACTTGTAACTGCTTTTCCAAGCGTTCACTTTACATGCTGGGCTTAGTGGCTCACACCTGCAATTCCACCACTCCAAAGACAAAGGCAGGAGGATTGCAAGTTTGAGGCTATCATGGACTACATAGAAAGTGCCAGGACAGCCAGCCTGTCCTAAAAAAAAAAAAAAAAAAAAAAAAAAAAGATTTTAAAACACTACCTTGAAATTTTTAGAAAAACTCATTGAAAATGTAGTTGTTTGGGACAGATGACAGATTGGGCAAAATTGGGAAAATGTACAAAATAATGTATTTAGATTTTCATAATCTTTAACTACTCTTTTTCTCAAGACAAATACACCTAGAAATTGTCATCCATACACCTTCCAGTTACATTTGCCAAAGCCTACAGACTGTGGGCTCAACAGTGAGCCACAGTGCATGCTGGGAACCGCATCGTATCTACAGAGGAGAGATGATCCAGCACCCATCCACGCTGGAGTGGACCCGTGTAGAGGCCCACGCTCCCCGTGAGAGTACGAGCGAATATGTGTAGCCTTGTGTACCTTAAGTAAAATGAAATGCAGCTAGCATGGTCCCTCTGAAAGCTGTCCTGCTTTAGTTGGCTTCTTTGGATTGGCCACCCAACTATCAGTCTTTTCCTCCCAACACTGTGAACTGAACCTCAGGTGAGTGCTCCACCCCTGACCTTCATCCCAACCCCTAACGCCAATTCCTTGTTTTTCTGCTTTTGTTTTTTGATTCTTGAGACAGGATCTCACTGTGTAGACCAGGCTGTCCTTGAACTTGCTCTCCCTGAGCCTCTCTGAGTGAAAAGACTACAGGACTGGATACCATGCCTGGCTTGTTTCATGTCCAAGTAACTGTTGTAGGTCGTTACTTTTCTCTTTCTTGTGGTACAAAGCCTGACAGCTCAAGGGGAAGTGGGCTTTTCCGGCTCACGGGCTGAGGGGTCCAGCTCACGGGCTGAGGGGTCATCCATCATGGCAGGCGTGCTACTGTGGCAGCGGGTGGAGGCCTCTGGTCACATTGCACCTGTAGTCAGGGAGCAGAGGTGTGGGGAGGGAGGGATGGGGAGGAAGGGAGAGGGAGGGAGGGAGGGAGGGAGAGAGAGGAACAATGATGCTCTGCTTCACCCTCCCTTTCATTCAGCCTGTGGTCTCAGCCCAGGGCATGCTGCCACCCACTCTTGCTGCCCACATTTAGAGTGGGTTTTCTCACCTCAATGAACCTAGTCTAGAAGCTTCCTGATGGACATGCCCGGAGGTCTGCTCCTAGGGGATTCTAGGTCCCATCCAGTTGACAGTCAGTAGTAGGTAGGCACTGCAGTACGTTTGGAAAACTCAGGGAAAGGCTGGTGCAGATTTCCCCCTAATCTAGACCCTAGACCGTTACTGTATTGTTACTGCTATCTTATGTTACTGCAATGCAGCGCTTGGGAAATTAGTATTGGGGGTAGCAGTTTGAAAACCACAGGAGGACAAGACATGTTCTTACCTCCATGTGCCTTTCAAGTCCTGACTCGTTGGGCCCCTGGCTGTGGGGGCGGGGGGGGGGGGGGAAGGACTCTGCACCTGTGGGCCTTCAGCTTCCACTCTGTGTGGGTTAAGACCCAGGGACCACTGAACCAGCTCATGTGGGGGAAGTACGGTGCTTCGGGCTAAGAGCTTCAGAGAGAGGGAGGAAGGGGAAGTGATCTGGCCAACTCAAACTTTCCTTTAGTCCAGGGCAAGGGAGAGAGCAAAAGATCATCGCTTAACCTAACCTCAAGTGCTTCCCCCTCCACTGCTGAGCCTCTGTCAAGACTGTGGCTTCAAGCCTGGGGGGATAGGGCAGTGGGTGGAGTACTTGCCGCACAGATGGGAATCCCCAGAACCATGGAAAGGTGGGTGCTGCCGCACGCCATGATCACAGCACTTGGGAACCAGAGACAGGCAGATCTCTGTGAGTTCGAAGCCAGTCTGGTTTATACAGCGAGTTCCAGGACAGCCAGGCTGCACAGAAGAAAAAAGAAGAAGAAGAAGAAGAAGGAGAAGGAGAAGGAGAAGGAGAAGGAGAAGGAGAAGGAGAAGGAGAAGGAGAAGGAGAAGGAGAAGGAGAAGGAGGAGAAGGAGAAAAAGAAAAAAAAAGAAAGAAAAGGAAATAGGATCCCTCACTAGCCTGGAGCTCACCAACCAGCTAAGCTCGCTGGCCAGTGAGCCCCAGGGGTCTGTCTGCCTGCGTCTTCCCAGCAATGGGCTTACAAATCATGTTGCTACACCAGCTTTACAGGTGTTCTGAGGACAAAACTTACGTCCTTTCCTTGCAAGGCGAGGACTTGATTGCTAGTGCCATCTCTCCAGCTGTCTTGAAAGTGGAAGCAGAGAAAATATGAGTGCTCGGATGCTGGGTATCTTCTGAGGCAGCAGGGATGGATCAGATGCCATGTGCAGAGGGAGTCCTGTAGGGAGGGGACACTGGTAACTTGATTATGCCTAAATTAAGTTTTAAGTGACCTTCAGAATGAAAAAGATGTTAATCCAAACTTGAGGTTATTATTATTATTATTATAAATTATTATTATTATTATAATTATTATTACAAACCAGCTGTGAGATGATGAGACGGCAGGTGAATGTCTGAATACACAGTGTGCCGAGGCTGAGTCCTGGGGCGCAGGGAGTGTGGAGGAGAAGGGGTCAGTGAAGACAGCTGGGACACAGCGCTGAGAAGAGAGCCAGGCTGGAGGTGTTCCGTGCCTTGAGAGGGGAGGCTTCCCCAACGGGGACGTTATGAACTGGGCAGAATGCTAGGGCAGGCGAGTCAAGCCGTTGGCTTTAGAGGAAGTTGTAGGTATTTATAGTAAAAATCCGTTTCCCCAGACGTGTGGAAGTGAAAACCAGGCAAGTGGGTTGGAGGGATGGCGTGGCTTTCTGGGAATTCTGCCGTGAAAGGTGCAAAGAGATGAGGTGGGAAATGGTGAGGGGAGAATCGGGAGGAGGATTTCAGTAAAACAGGGAGAGACGGCGCGCTGCTGGGAATGGGAAACTCTGGGGCTCTGGGGGGGTGGGCTCTTTCCTACCCACTGTTCTATGCCTTGCCATTTTCCCTTAATAACCCGAGGTCCTTGGTATTTGATCAATACCATCAAACTCTTCCATCAATATTGGAAGAGTTTCTTCCTGTGAACAGTTGCGTACTACTCCGTTGGAGGGGTATGCCATAAGTGAAAATGATCCAAATGACAGACAGCCGCGTTTCCCACAACCTCGGCCACCATAAGCAACTTTGCTCTGAATAAGTTCGCGTAGGCCTCCTGTCCTGTGCATCAGCCATGTTGTTCCCTGTTTACTTCTGATAGCTGCACTAGACTGAAATTGTCATTTAGACACAGGGTATGAAGGAAGATAGACCTCATGAAAGGTGAATAGGAGCATAGCATTTCTTTCTGGGTTTTGTCTACAGTAACAGTATTGTTCACTGGTTTTCAGGAGGGCGTCCCCAAATATTTTTAAGAGCCTTGCTAGATATCTCCCTTACTCCATGTTCCAGAGGGTTCTATGTCCTGGACTGCCTCCTCCTCTTCCCCACTGGCATTTCAAAGTGGCAGATTGCTGTGTTGGCATCATTTGGGAGCTGTGGAGTCGCGTCCTTGATGTCTGTCTGTGTTTTGTGATGCCTATGCCAATCTGGTTTTTTGTTTGTTTGTTTGTTTGTTTGTTTTTGTTTTTTCCTAGACCTTTGGAAACACCAAGTCATGAAAGAAAACTTTTCAGTTGTGAGACCCCAGATAGTTGAGCGATTTGTACAGAGATTAATGGAGAAGTCCCAAGACAACGGACCCGAGGTACGCATTCAAAATGAGCTGCTCTGCTTCCCTTTAAACAGTAACCCACGTGAGGAAGGCCGCCATTTTACATACCCTGGTGCTCTGCACTCTCCCCAAGGATGTGACTACTGAGGCTGAACCCCAAATGTCCACCACTCACTACCATTTTAGTATGAAAAAGCCCAATGTCTGCCCATTTTGGAGTAATCAGAAAATGATCATTGGCTAATCAAAAAAATTTGATCTAATGTTTAAAGACAAACTTGGAACTTTTAAATGAGTTGATTTTTTTAAGCAGTTTTCTATTGTTGGTTTGCTAGTATAAAACAATGAAAAAGAGGAAAACCAAAAAGACCTATAGTACACCTAACTAGGAAACATTTTTAAAAGTCTGCAGTTTGGGGGTGGGGGGAAGGCCAATAAAAGGCCTACAGCACCAAAAGGTAACATTTCATCCACACCCCCAATTTCCTCTCCAATGAAAGTGGTACCAATAATTTTATGTTTGTGTCCTTTCAGAAAAGATATCTGAACTCATATAACACCCTAAACTGTAATGTTCAACAGTATTTACCCTTGGCCAAAAGTGTTTGCTGAAATCGAAAGAATCCATTGAAAAGGCGAGATAAGAGAGCAAATGCAAGTATTTGAACACCAGTTTCAGGGTCATTAATAAGTGCTTAACATAAAAATCACCTCCACCCAACCATTAAAAAAAAAATCTGTCCTGCCAGGCCTGGTGGTGCACACCTTTGATCGGCACTCAGGAGGCCGAGGCAGGGAGACTGGAAGTTCCAGGCCAGGGGCTGGCAAGATGGATCAGTGGGTAAAGGAGCTTGCAGCCAAACCCAGATGACCTGAGTTCCATCAGTGGGACCCACATGATGGAAGTGGAGAACCAACTCATGAACGTTGCTACATCTGACCCCCACACAACACCAGGACATGCTGACATGTATATGTATGCATGTGTGCATGTACACACACACCCCATACACACACACAAATAAATAATGGAAAGGTGGGGAAAAGAGTTCCGGACCAGGGGCCAAGGAGATGGCCGAGTGAGTAAAGGTTCTTGTTACCAAGCCTGATGACCTGAGTTTGATCCCCAGAACCCACACAGTGGTAGGAGAGTACAGGCTCCAGCAGGAGAAACGTACACATACTGGTTAGTTAGTCAGATAGGTAGGTAGATAGATAGATGATAGATAGATAGTGATAGATAGATAGATAGATAGATAGATAGATAGATAGATAGATAGATAGAGGATAGATAGATAGATAGATGATGGATAGATAGATTGATAGATAGATAGAGGATAGATAGATAGATAGATAGATAGATAGATAGATAGATAGAGGATAGATAGATAGATAGATAGATAGATAGATAGATAGATAGATAGATAGATAGAGGAAAACAAGAATCCCAGGTCAGCCTGGGCTATACAGCAAGACTCTGTTTTAAAAAAAATTAATAAATAAATAAAATTTGAAACTTTCAAAAAAATCTGTATTGGCAAAATGTGCTCAATTTTTTTATATTGTTTTCTTCAAGTTTACATTTTTTCTTAAGTTTTTGGAAATGTTCCCATAAATTTTACAATAAACACTTGGGTCCTTAATTATGAGGTAGAGAATTCCCAAGCGTGGTGGGGATGTAGTCCCCCCAGACTCAGCCATACACATGTGCTCACGTAGCTTTCATTTTCACTGGAGCGTGTCCTGTGTGCTGATGAACGGCCCTGTCTTCCAAGGGCAGAGATGTTTAAATCAAAACAGTGGCTCACTTTAAGAAGGAAAGGTGCGGGGCTGGAGAGGTGGCTCAGGAGTTAAGCATGCTTGCTGCTCTTCCAGAGTACCCAGCTCCAGCTGCCAGCACCCACGCCTGGCAATTTACAAATGCATTTACCTGTACGTGGGGCACATAAACGTATGCAGGCACCCAAACATACACATAAATAAAAAGAATGCACAGATCCTTAACAATAAGAAAGGAAGGGCATTCTGACACGTGTTGCCACCTGGTAAACCGTGAGGACATCTGTGAGGGCATGAAAGGATTCTTGATTGTCAGGGACCCGCAAGAGTCAGACTCACAGGAGTCGGGGACAGAAAGGGCCAATCAGTGTTCAGCGGGTACTGTTTTCATTTCGTAAGATGAAAAGAAATTTGTCCATGGGGTAGTGATGGTGCCACTGCTCTATATTTGGTGACAGTTAAAAGAATAAGTTTTATGATATGTAGATGTAGAGTACATGCATACATACATACATATATATATACATGCATACACACATACATACATACATACATACGTGAACTCCGGCTCACACACAGCTCTCTGCATGTGCCCTGTTGCTCACCCCATCACTGAGGATAAGGATCTTTGGGTTTTGGTGGGGGACGGGATGTTTTCATTTTGAGACGGGATCTCAATCTGTAACCCTGGCTGGCTTCCAACCCATCATCCTCTGCTTCCACCTCCCCGCTGCTGGGATCACAGGCACCCCAGCTAAGGCTGACATCTTATAGGGAAGAGATGTAGGATTCAAAGACACGACAAATCCCTATCAGGTACATCTGCAACTCAGGAAATGCTTGGAGAGGTTGGTGACACTAGGCTCCTCTCAAGTCCATGCCTGGTGGGCCACCGGTCTCTTCTGCTCCCCCCACAGGAACCAAGAGCTCCCTCACAACCAAACTGCCTGGCCCCAGGCAGCTTGTGTCTGGTCAGCTGTTAGTAAGTTGTATTTGGCCTTTCCTGTACATATTCACCGTAGATCTTCTGTCCCTGGAGATCATGGGTTCTGCCCCTGATGGTGAGCCTCAGATATCCCAGGGCCCTTAGAACCATCGCTGTGGTGGGTGGAGTCCCTGCACGGTTCAGCAGGGGGCTTGCTCCAGAAAACAAGTCCAAGTTTGTTCGTATCTGCCGGACCCTTTCCTCGGATACTGGGGCTCCACACCAGAACATGCAGACGGGGAAGCAGAGCTCTCCTGAGCCCCTTTACTGGTTTCTTCCACAGTGGACCGGGCAGTGACCTGGGGTCCTCAGCCTACCAGCCCTCCCCTGTACAAGCCACCCCTGTTCCTTTCCAAGGTCAGTAGGCACACGCTTGCCCCTGTGGCCAGTCTCCTTTAAATCCTAGGCTGTCTGGGCAGCTCACGGTGACCTTGGCCTCAGTGTTTCTCTTGGAATACTGCCTGGAAGTGTGCTGGGCTGGTGCAGTGAGCTGTCCCCTGGAGCCCGCAGGTTGTACTCGGACACTGAGCTACTGCCCCGTCATCCTGCTTGTTCTTGCTCAGTTTGGTCCATTCCGGGGACCTCTTGAGATCTTCACAGATGTGCGTTTTCAGTATCTGATTGCTCTTTCAGCCTGCCCTGAGCATCCTCTTCAAGCCATTAGTAGCGGTGAAGACAGGACAGTCCCCAAGGCCCCAAGCTGCCCACGCTAGACCTCCCAGGCTGTGCAGCTGTCTCAGAACAGAACATCCATGGGCCAGGGACATGCGCAGTCTGCCATCCAGCCATGTTCTCCCAGTCCCCTTCTCGGGCATCCTGCTGGAAGCCCGGGATTCTGTCTGCTCGCTTTCCTGAGAAAATCAGGTCAATCCGGCAGATTTCCTTTTTTAAAACTCATGTTGGTGTCTAGTCTCTTTCCAATTTCTAGAAAATCAGCCTCCATCCATCACTGGGTTCTAATATCCCTCCCCTCCTTTGAGGCAGAGTTAGAATTTATTAAAAAGAGGATTTTCAAATTTTTTAGTACAGTTTATTTATTTATGGGGAGAAGACACATGGAGGCCAGAGGGAGGCTTCCTGATAGAGGTGTTGTTAGGGCTGAATCTTGAAGCACCCAGAGGAGCTGGTAAAATGAAGACAGGCAGGTGACAAACACACCGGGGGGGGGGGGGGGAACATGCTGGAGCAGGGGACAGCGTTAGGTGCAACCCATGGGAGTCAGTCCCAGTAGGGACACATCAGCAGAGGTGGTGCTTTAGAAACCTCCAGAATACTTTTGTGCCTGATGCTAAACAAACTGTTTGTGTTGGGTGTGGTGGCACACGCCTATAAAGCCACTGGAAGCAGAATTAGCCCTGGCACCGGCCAGGCCTCACCCAAGACTCTTGAAGAATCAGTGCACAGGGCAATCTACTGTTCTTGCAGCCAACACCACTGCCATAGTCAGTTTCTGGCTTAAATGCTGCCGCTGCTGCGGTGGAGCTGGTCCAGAGGAGGGTGGTGGTACTGGGAACATCTGGGCCCATGAGGGGAAGTGGGAGGGTGAAACCTGTTCCAGCTGCCTCTACAGGAGCAGGAGGGACTTTTGAAGTGACCTGGAAGGTACGGATGCAGCTGAGGGTTCCTGGCAGAGCCAGCAGAAGTCCCAGGGTCCAGCATCTGCTGTTCAAGAGGCTTTGTATGCACCTCCCAGAAGGCTGTGTGTGGTGTGCAGGACCAAAGTGTACCTAAAGCCTTTCTTCCTCATCTGCCAGCTGCTGCACCCACCTCGGACAAGCTCCTCCTCCCCACTTCCTTGTCCCCTCCCCCCCACTTTCAGATCACTCTAAGACTATGCTTGAGCTGAGTTGGAGTGGATCCTTCTACCCAACTTGTTGCCCGCCCCCTCCTGTGGAGCCTCGTGGGAGAAAGGAGGTGCTTATGGGTCGAGTTCTGACAACCCCCACCTCTATGGTGTCAATCCAGACTCACAAGGGGCCCCTTGCTCCTGCTGTGGAAAACCTCTGCGATCTAGGGAGGCCATCTCGAGTATGTTCTGCCAGCCCATGTGTTCAGGGGCTATGGTGGCAAGAAGTGGGTCCGAGAGGCGACTGCCCTGCTAGAGAGCTGGTGGAGGCCCTGTTGGCTTGTGCCGACTCCCAGGCCAGGAAGGGGTGAGTCACTGGTGCTGGACTCCAGCGTGGCCTGAGGTGAGGTCACTGGCCACACCCTCGCTGACCTCCCAGCCTTGACTTCTCATGGCTTCAGGTTTTCACCAGAGTCAAACCCGGGAGTTCCCTTTGCCATTAATAAGCCCTTTCCTCACAAAGGAATCATGGTTCTGAAGAGAACTCCAGGCCCCCTGGCATGGTGTCAACAGCTTCCTGGTGCTCATTGCCCAAAGGTGCAGAGGGTAGCATGGGACAAGGTGACCCATCTTACCCCATCTACTGAAAGGGCCCTTTAAGGGCTGGGGGGAGGGTCCTGGAGAAGGAGTCCTAGCACTCTGGGCCACATAAGCAGACGTTGTCCTCAGATTCCGTGGACCGTCTTCATTATATCCTGCCAGGCTGATACAATTGATGACTTTTTGAAAACATACCTTTTAGTATGTATGCTTTATGTAAAAATTATTTTAATGACATGTACCAATTGTGATTATATTAGAAAATAGAAATACAGGACGGGCAGCAGTGGCGCATGTCTTTAATCCCAGCACTCGGGAGGCAGGAGGCAGAGGCAGGTGATCTCTGTGAGTTCCAGGACAGCCAGGGCTACACAGAGAAACCCTGTCTCAAAGAAACAAAACAAAAATCCCAGAAAAACAAAAAACAAACAAACAAACAAAAAAGAAAGGTAGAAAGAAAATGGAAATACAGGCTGGACAGATGGCTTAGCACGGTGGTTCTTGACCTTCCTCATGCTGTGACCCTTTAATACAGTTCCTCATGTTATGGTGACCCCCAATCATAAAGTTATTTTTGTTGCTGCTTCATAACTGTAATTTTGCTACTGTTATGAATCATAATGTACATATCTGTGTTTTCTGATGGTCTTAGGTGACCCCTGTGAAAAGGTCATTTAATCCCCAAAGGGGTCGAGACCCATGGGTTGAGAACCAGTGATGTAGACTTACATGGGTCTTCTCCATCAACTGTGTTCTCCAGGGTCGAGACCCACAGGTTGAGAACCAGTGATGTAGACTTACATGGGTCTTCTCCGTCAACTGTGTTCTCCAGAGTGAGACTAGATCTTACCAGTGAGGCGAATACCCGTCGTGTGGCACAGACCAAGAGGCAGCTGTGGAGGGAGGGGGCCAGGTGGAATTTGGGTGGACCAAGTGAAGAGTACTATCCTGACATGTCGGGGTCCCGAGGTAGGAAGCTGGGGGTCATACCATGAGCTCTGACTGGGGAGCATCCCTCCCTGTGTCTCCATAGCTCACCATAGAACTCACAGTAGTCTCTGGACTTAAGTTCAAAGCCAGCCACCCAGCTTATTTTCTTTGAAAGTAGAGCTAAATCTGCATTCTAACAGTTTGTTACTTTGATTTATAACCTTTCATGTTTGAGTCACGTGACAGGTCAGCCTCCATTTCTTCTCTCGTCCCTGGCTCTGCAAATGTGCAGAGCGGAGCTAAGCGGGGTTTTGCGGGACCTGAGCCAATCAAGATTTTGGTGTGGAGGGGAAATGAAAATGTGTCTTACGATCCTGAGCAACATGTCCCCTGAGCCCTGGCTTGGTGTGCCTGCCAGAACCCCTGGGGGAGCCGCCAAGAGAGACATGATTGCCTTTTCAGATCTCTTTCAGGAGGGAGCACCTTGAAGCCTGCCTCCTCTCCCTGGGGTGCGATGTGATGGCAAGAGAACGCAGCAACTTCGAGACCTACTCCATGTGTTACGAGCATCTCCTGCAACATGCCAGGGAGAAGCTCAGCCAGAGGGAGCAGGTGGGTGCCCAAGGACGCGGGCGCTGGGAAGGAGGAAGGGGGTGGGCATGGAGGCCTCAGGGCTACCTGGCAATGAAAACCTGAGCAGGTGAGGAGAGCTGTTCTTATGCCAATTCTGGGGGGGGGGGAAGTGCCCTCCACATTTCTTTCCCATTGGTTCATTTTCTCGGGCCAGGGCACGCTCAGTTGCTAAGGTGACAGCGCTACCAGCACTGGGTTGTAGGCTGTAGAGGTTACCATGGATACAAGGCATGACCAACCAATGGGGTGAGCCTTGAGAAAGGTGTATAACTGCCTCCCCTCCCCAGAAAACACCAATCTCCTTGTGCTATTCCTGGTCTATCAGAGGAGATAAACTATTTATATATATATATATATAAAATCTGTCTTCATATCATTGGTCAGTTTCAGTGGTGAGATCTTGTCTTAGTTAGGGTTTTATTGCTGTGAAGAGACACCATGACCACGGGAACTCTTGTAGAGGAAATCATTTCACTGGCGTGGCTTACATTTTGAGAAGCTTAGTCCATTATCATCATGGTGGGACATGGTGGCATGCAGGCAGACATGGTGCTGGAGAAGGAGCTGAGAGTCCTACATCTTGACCCAAAAGCAACAGGAAGTGGTCTGAGTGTCACCCTGAATGAAGCTTGGGCAAAGGAGCCCTCAAAGCCCACCCACACAATGACATACTTCTTCCAACAAGGCCAGACCTCCTATTAAAGTCGCTCCCTATGAACTTATGGGGGTCAATTACATTCAAATTACCATAGACCGCCTTAAAACTAGGTCCTAGTACCCATGGGGCCTCCGAGTCACACTGCCATAGAGTATACACTCTTTTGAAATAGGTTGTATCTTAGGAGCCTTATAATTTTATTTTATACTCATGGGGAAAATAAGAAGTAGTGTCCAAAAAATTGAATGAAGCATTAAAATATCAAATAGTGAGTCTTGGACTTGCTCACACTTGATGAATTCCCCATATTGAGCTCTGCATCATTGTAGAAGCCTGGAAGTCATGTGGTGGGTTGTTTGTTTTTTTTTAATTTGTGTGTGCACATGTGTTCATGTTCATGTGCATGTCATTTCTCAGAAACTAGCCACCTTATTTTTTGAGACATATTCTCTCACTGAAACCTGGAGCTTGCCAATTCAGTTTGGTTAGCTGGCCAGTAAGCTTCAGGGATCTCCCTGTCTCTGCCTTCCCAGAGCTGGGATTGCAAGCATGTTCCACCATGACTGGCTTGCATGTTATTTTTTGATGTTTTGTTAGAAACCCAAAGTTTAACTGCCCATGGTGGTGCAACCTTGTAACCCCAGGACTTGGGGGATAGAGACAGGAAGCTCAGAAGTTTAGGGTCACCCTCAGCCATATATTAAGTTCAAGACCAGCCTGGCATACATGAGGGAGGGAAGGAAGAAGAGAGAGAGAGAGAAAGAGAGAGATCCCAAAGTCTAACAAGCTGCCAAGTACAGCCCAAGCTACTGGCAGGACCAGGGGCCCGAGGATCTTAGAATGAGGCTGTGTAAACACCAGCAGAAAGGATTTGCTTGTGAGCTGCAGAGCCTGTGTGTTGGACTGAGCCCCGCCTTCTCCTCCTCAGGAAGTAGACTTGCTTCAAAGAAGTCAAGTTCCTCCTGAAGACTGTGCTGGTCAGGTAGGTCAGTTCCATACTCTTAGTCTGCCGGAAGCTAGTGTTGCCTGCATCAATCCCATCCGCAGCGGCCCGTGCAGGCACGCTCAAGGACTCTCGTGTCATTTTGTGTAAATGATCTTCCTAGGGGGCATTTTTCCCCTAGGGTTTTTCCTAAGTTGTCTTTGTTACGTGTTGGGAGGGGGTGTTATTTGGCAGAGTTATGTGGGCATGCTTCTCTCTTTCTTTTTTTAAATGCCAGTTAGAGTGCATTTCAAAACTGAAGAGGCATTTGGTCAAGAGGTCAAGGGAAGGCCAGTGTGGAGATGAAGGTCAAGACAGTTGAAGGGCTTATCAGAAGTACTGGGCTTAAGTACCCGTTCTTTGGAGCTCGTTCATTCATCATATTAAGAATGTTCACCAGGCAGTGGTGGCGCACGCCTTTAATCCCAGCACTTGGGAGGCAGAGACAGGTGAGTGTGAGGCCAGCCTGGGTTACAGAGTGAGTTCCAGGAAAGGCGCAAAACTACACAGAGAAACCCTGTCTCAAAAACAACAACGACAACAACAACAAAACAATGTTCTATGCAGGATGAGTGCCTTTCACCTCAGCACTAGGGAGGCAGAGGCTCGTGAATGTTAGATGTTCTGACAGTACTCAGGACTACTGGTGAGCCAACCTGAGGTTCTGCCTGCCACATCTCCACAGTAGGCCACGTGCCTTCATGAGACTGCAAATGGAGACCGTGCTAGTCTACCTGGAACTGCTCTGCTACGTGTAGCTCCTCCGTTGCTGCCCATACGTCATGTTGTATAATCCGCATTGTGTCTGATACTAGCTTGCAGAGCTCAGTCATGACATGATCATGGAAATCACGGCTCTGAGAGCCCAGCTCACAGATCGGGAAGAGGAGACTCTGAGTCTAAAACACCAGACTAGAAAAGAAGTCCAGGAGGAATACAGAGCGTTAGTGCAAGCTTTGTTTATGACCTGCTTACACATCAAGGTAAGTGTCTCACATCTGTGACGTGGGAAGCCCCATGGCTGCATACCAAGGGACCCATGGCGGAATGGCCTTTGAGGTACCAAGATATTCTTGAGCCCCCAAGATTTCAAGTGGGAAGGTTTTGTGTGGTTGGAGGCTTGGTTTGTTGAGACATGGTCTTGTTATGTAGTCCTGGCTGGCCTGGAACTTGCTATGTAGGGATCAAACGTAGGCCACCAGGCATGGTGACAAGCACCTTCACCAACTGAACCACGTCACCAGTCTGAGCTGTCATTATTCTTCCAGGACAGACACTGAGTTTTTGGAAAACTGAGTTTATGCCACACTCGAGATCTGTTGCTGGTGGAAAGAGGGGTCACCTTCTCTCCAACACCTGTCACTGTTGTTTTAGTCCAGTGAGACACCCAAGCGGGTGAGCGAAGGACCCCAGAGCCATGCTTGAGCGGACAGAGCGACAGCCTGAGAGCTGGCTGGGCGAGCTTGGAATCCGAACGAGTTTTCACAGATCCGGTTCACCTACCACATGCCCTCTGCCTTCTCCCACATGTAGATTCAGGGAGCTACCAACCTGTCAAACAAGGGCCCCCCGAAAGAGGAATGGTGGGACTCCCTTGTTACATCACTGTGGAAGCTAGTCACTGTAGAAAACTGAGCGTCAGGGACACAGGTGTCCTGTGCCTAAAATGAGCCAGCAGGGAGTTTGGTCACCCCGCCCAGAGGATTTCAGTACACCTCCACAGTGCCCTAAGTCTACAGCTTTCTTTCCCAAGCTCTCTTCTGCACTACTGGATAGTCTCTAGAGCCAGCCCCACTTAATCCCTCCCCCCCCTCTGTAGCTAAAGTTTTCCTGCCTGGCCCACAGTCAGGACAAATCTCTCTCACCTGCCAGTCCCACAGCAGCTCAGACCCGACCAAGTAAACACAGAGACTTATATTGGTTACAAACTGTATGGCCGTGGCAGGCTTCTTGCTAACTGTCCTTACAGCTTAAATTAATCCATTTCTATTAATCTATACCTTGCCACGTGGCTTGTGGCTTACCGGTACTTTACATCTTCCTTGTCCTGATGGTGGCTGGCAGTGTCTCTCTGACTCAGCCTTCCACTTCCCAGCTTTATTCTCCTCCTTGTCCCGCCTACACTTCCTGCCTAGCCAATGGCCAATCAGTGTTTTAATTATTGACTAATCAGCAACACATTTGACATACAGAACATCCCACAGCACTTCCCCCCCCTTTTTTTTTTTCAAAAAGGAAGGTTTTAACCTTAACAAATTAAAATTACATATAATTTGGGAATTTGGGCGTAGCTTCTCTTACTACTTCCTGCTGGAGGGGGGCGCTGCAGCTTATGGGGATACAAAGAAAATTTTTGGATTATGGAATAGTCCATGAGGGTGTATCGTCTGAGCCAGTTGCCTTCAAACCATTCTGGAGGTTGGATCATCTGGGCCATGGTGTCATCGGAGACCTTTCAGGGGGTCTTGGCTGGTCAAACCTGATGTATCTTAATCTGGAACAAATCCATATCCTCTGGCTTTCTGTGGGAACAAAAGAGACTCTTTTCCAAAGCAACATATCCTTATATCCAAATTTTGAAGTCAAGGTACCTTTAAAGTATAAATTTTGACATAACTCAACAGCTTTTACAATCAAATGTTTTTCTGCAGTTAAAAGTCCCAAAGACAACACAATGCAGATTCTCTGTGTAATATCCATTTTTACGTGGCTTATTTTTTATACTACCTTTACTGTCTCTTTAAAGACTTTATTTTTTAAAACTATGTATTTGTTTCTATAACTCTATATATCATCTTTTTTGTCTCTTTCAAGCCTACGTATCTTTTACACACATTGCAAACTATTACATCTGAATCTGTCTTATTGTGAATCTATTGCCTTAAACTGCAGCAGCTGTGGCTGCTGGCTCCACCCACCTCAGCTTCCCAACATGGCCATGGTTTACCGCCAGCTCTGGGAGCTATCGGGGGTCTATGCTTTTAGCGAAGCAGCGTGTAGCCCAGAAACCTCCCCTTTTTCTCTGCACCAGCAAAGGCTAAATCCACCATGCAGCTCAAAGTGCCACTTGCAAAGGCCTCATTCCTGCCATAGGCAAGTCGAGCAGGCACGCTAGGAACCCGCCAGTAGCTCAAACCAGCAGCTGCCGCTCATTTGAGAGAGACAATTAGGAACTGTTTTTAGCTCCGTTTTAGAATCTTTTCTCAGGTTTTAGGTGGAAACTCTTGCCACCACGTTGGACGCCATTTGTAGCTTGAGTTTTCCTGCCTGGCCCACAGTCAGGACAAATCTCTCTCACCTGCCAGTCCCACAGCAGCTCAGACCCGACCAAGTAAACACAGAGACTTATATTGGTTACAAACTGTATGGCCGTGGCAGGCTTCTTGCTAACTGTCCTTACAGCTTAAATTAATCCATTTCTATTAATCTATACCTTGCCACGTGGCTTGTGGCTTATCGGCATCTTCACATGCTGTTTCTCATCGTGGCAGCTGGCAGTGTCTCTCTGACTCAGCCTTCCACTTCCCAGCTTTATTCTCCTCCTTGTCCCGCCTACACTTCCTGCCTAGCCAATGGCCAATCAGTGTTTTAATTATTGACTAATCAGCAACACATTTGACATACAGAACATCCCACAGCATCCCTCCCCTCTAGAGCCAGCCCTATTTAATCCCTCCCCTCCCTCCCCTCTAGAGCCAGACCCATTTAATCCCTCCCTTCCCTCCCCTCTAGAGCCAGACCCATTTAATCCCTCCCTTCCCTCCCCTCTAGAGCCAGACCCATTTAATCCCTTACCTGCCTCTCCTCCCTGGGAGTTCCAGAACAGACCCCAGGGTTGTTTTATGAGCAGGAGACCCCATCAATGCTCTGCCTTTGTCTCCTGGGGAATATTAGAGATTTCTTCTTACTTGCAAAATACAAATGCTTACAAATATTAAATGGTCAGATTCAAAACGGCCTAGTGCTGTGGGAGGAGTCTATGAAGGCCAGCCTTTCCCGAGCAATCACTCAGGCATAAAGAGATAAAAAGTGGACTCCCAGCTTCTCCCAGACTGAAGGAGTTCCACCAAACCCCCAGAAGCAGGGAATCCCTGTCCAACTCCTTGGCCCCAAAGGCAATGTTCCCACTGATAACCAGCAATCACGCTTCCTGACATAGTTTCTAACTGGGCACCCTCCTGCCTTCCTCTCTGGGGAAGAGGTTCAGAAATAAAAGGGTGCCCATATGCCCACTTCTCATCCCTGGGACTTGTCTGCTCAGGCTGCCACAACAAAACACCATTGACTCGGTGCTAAAGCCCAGATGTTTATTTTCTCACAGTTCTGGAAGCCAAGAGTCAGAGATCAGGGGGAGAGGGTGGATTGCTCCCTTCCTAGGGAACCAGAAGCTGCCTTCTCCCTGTAGAGAGAAAGACAAAGCTGATCCTCTGCTCTTACAGGGCACACTCTCCCTGGGATAGGGACCCACCCCTATGACCTAGTTTTAACCTCAAAGGTCTTCTGTCACCAGACATTTGAGGCTGGATAGGCAGTTTGGGAGGAGTCGCGACCGAGTTCACAGCACAGAGTCTGCAGTTATGCTTACAGCAGCGTCCTGTGTCATCATCAGCCATTAGGCACAGCCGTTGGGAACAGAACATCTCATACCCAGGTTTCCACTGGAGCCGAAGGAGGCGGCCAGCCCATCTTCTTCCTTCACTTATCTATAGTTAATGAAACTCCTCAGTAGTGGCTCATCTACAATGAGAGGCTCATTAGACTGTCTCTCTGCCACCTCCCCCGCGGCTCTACCCATTGTCCTTCTGGCTCAGCTTGCCTTGGTGTTGACAAGCAAGGCATGTTCTAGGACATGTAGGTGGCCAAAAGATGAAGCCGTGCAGATTACAGACACCACTTAAGGGCCCCTACTGTGCCTGCCTGGTACTACGGAGGAAAACCATCTGGCTGGAGGGCATTTTGATCCTGCCCTTCACGGGTGCACAGGCCCACGGTACTTCCCTGACCTGAGTCTGCAATTTTCAGGAGAAGCTGGATGAGAATCAGTTTCAGTTGATCCAGAAAGTGTGTGAGCTCATCGGTGAGGTGAGAGCCGAAGGGATTGCCAATATGAAGCAGCTAAAGAAAACCTGGGGCTCTGCCAGACCTGACGGAGGAGCAGAAGAGCACGCCGCCAAAGTTCGTGACCTCACGCCTCATTTCTCCCTAGCACCCAGCCCCCCACTGGCCCGCTTAGCATCCCGAAGGGGTCTCCCCAAAACACTGTAGCAGACATTTTAAAGGGACGCTGGGCTCCTTATGGTCATGTCTCATTTTGGAAGGCGTGTTTCTGGTGTTAGCATCCGTTTCCTGGCGTTAGGAGTCCTGCCCTTCTGGGAAAAAGGACCGAGAGTGGCCGTCTCTAAAAGCAAGCCCTCTTGGCAGGAGCAGCTGCGCCCCTTGGAGCAGGACAACAGCAACACCCTGGCTGCTCTAGTGTGCAAAGCGAGGAGCCTGGGCCGCTGGCGCCTGGCTGTGCAGGAGGCTCGCCTCAGAGGTCAGCTGAGCAGGGCAGAGAAGGTGAGTGTTGGAGGGAGGCCCCTCCCCGCCATACTCCTGCCTGAAGACTGGGTGCAGCTGCCCCGCTGGTGGCAGGTGGCCGGTGGCCCGGCCATGCTAAAGAATCTGGCAGTTGGCAATTGATCAACCCCCGCTCCCCGCCCCTCGTGCTCCGGGAATAGGCAACCTTAGAGCCTTGGGAGAAATAGAAAACAGACAGGCAGAACCAGTCATGGAGATGAAAGAATGGTGCCTACGTGGGGGTGGGGGGTGGGGAGGTGTCTTTTCAGGGCTTGAGGCTACTAGCTTTGGGTTTTGCCTGAGATAATCTGAGGGAAATCTGCTTTAGACACATCCAAAGCGAAGCACATTATCGGGAGTAGTTTGGAAAGTTGCACTTGCTCGAAATCTGGAGTTACTGTGATCTGTGGCGTCATCCATAACCAAATTCACACCGGCAACGGCCAGCCAGGGCTCCAGTCCATGGGGGGTGTTAAGGAAGGGCCCACCGTGAGCTGTGGGCTAAGACTTGAGACTAAAACCACAGGAAAGAGGCTTACTTCCGGCCCCCTCCACGTGTCTGCAGGAATCCACTCACAGCAAAAGAGAATGCTTGAGAACCAAGCTAATGGCAGCGCAAGAAGTGAATCTCCTTCAGCAGCAGCTGCTGGCCGTGCGGCAGGCCCTGGCCGAAGCTCAGACTGACAACAGGAAGCTGTGGCGGCAGCAGGACACCCAGGTGTTTAGAGCCCCAGAGTTAGCCCGTCTGCGCGTGGCCGTGAGAAGGGACACCATGGTACTGGGGACAGCCACCAGAGCCTCCTAGTGTCTAGAATACCGCTGCTTGAGAAACACTGGAGTCAGTTCCCAAAGAAACTCGGGACAAATGGCCGATTAACCTATGAAGGCGGTGCTCCCAGCATCACAAGTACCTGCTACAGAATCCTGGCTCCTCTCAGTAACACACACACACACACACACACACACACACACACACACACACACACATCCCACACCCCCCCACACACACACATCCCACACCCCACACACACAGACACCACACACACACACACACACACACACACACACACACACACACACACACACCATACAGACCACACACACACACACACACACCACACAACACACACACACCACACAGACCACACACACACACACACACACACACACACAACACACACAACACACACACACACCACACAGACCACACACACACACACACTACACACCACACACACACACCACACACAACACACACACACACACACACACACATCCCACACCCCACACACACAGACACCACACACACCACACACACCCCACACTCAGACCACACACACCACACACACAGACACCACACACACCACACACACACACACACACACCACACACATCAGACACACCACACACACACACACACACACACACACCATACACACACCACACACCACACACACAGACATACACACACACACCATACACACACCACACACACAGACATACACACACACACACACACATCACACACACACACACACACCCCCCACACCCCCCACACACAGACACCACACACACCACACAGACCACACACACACACACACACACACACACACACACATACATCCCACACCCCACACACACAGACACCACACACATCACACACACCACACACACACACACACACACACACACACACACACACACACACACACAGAGTCCCTGAGCTTCGCTTCTCTTCTCTTCCCCCAGCTTTTTTCCCCTATAGAACCCAGCCATTTTGGCCACGTGGTCTCGTGGCTCTGGTCTCGTGGTCTGCTCTCTCGTGGTCCGCTCTCTCGTGGTCCGCTCTCTCGTGGTCCGCTCTCTCGTGGTGCGCTCTCTTGCTCCCTGTCTCTTCTCTTCCTCTCTCGCTCTCCTCCTTCCCCTCTCCTGTCAAGGCCCTGTCCAGTCTTCTGGACATGTGCAGGCCACTGCTTTCTCTCTCTGCTCAGGGCTCTTCCAGATGCCTCTGGCTGTCCTGTCCCTCACATCCACAATAAAACGCTTCCCCTCAACTACCTAGGAGCGGTCACGTCCCCTTCATTCGTCGGAACACAGACAAATTGCAAACTGGCCTACACTTTTCCTCCTCTTCCTCTTCCTCTTCCTCTTCCTCTTCGCCCACTTTCACTTTTTCTTTGCTTTGTTGAGATCATCTGACTCCATAGCTTCCGCTGGCTCAGGACAAGCTCAGTGACGTTTTCTTTCTCTAACTAGCTTCCCCAGCGATGTTTTGAGAGCGAAGACGAAGCTCCCTTCCACACTAATGCTACAGTGGAGTGCCCTGGCCTGCTCAGGGTTGAACCCAACCACTGCTGGTCCTAGGGAGAGAGGCTTTATGGCAATGCAAATGTAGCTTGTGGTTAATTTGAGTATTTGGTGGATAGGTCATTAGCATGAATATCATCATCCAATGTTTGGATGTGGAGAAACTCAATTTCTTGACCTGATAATGTTCTGGAGGGGCATTAGCACATCCTGGCTTTTGTCATAGTTTGCTGTGGGTTCTGGTTCCTCTGACTGAGGTCTCAGGGGTCGAAGTAGAAGCGCCAGGTGAGACAAGATCCTAGGGTTCCTGCTGCTTACCAGCCCGGGGCCAGACAGTCAGGCTCTCGTCCCCAGAGCCCAAGAAGCATGGCTGTTACGTCACCCGGCCTCAGCTGCGTCTGTTGCCCGCTGCTGCTGACCGCTCCCTTTCTTGCCCCGGCCCTCCCTTGCTGCAGGCTCAGCTGCTGAGGGAGTTGGGACACAGAGTGACTCGAGACTCTGTCACTCAGCAGCAGGTGGAGAGCATAAAAACATCTGGCCTGGAGAAGCTCCTGGAAGACGTGGAGCAGAAGGAACACCAGCTGCAGCTCCTGACGGAAGAGGCCGAGCGGGCTTCAAGACTGGGCCAGCTGCAGTGGAGGAAGACGGGCAGGGACCTGCAGCAGGTGAGGCCTGTGGAGAGCAGCCGGGACCTGGGGAGCCGCTCTCCACCCAATGTCTGCTCTCCAGGCCTCTCTGCTACCCTCACAGCAGGCTTTCCTGCTCTGTCAGCTCTAGGCACACCAGGAAATGGTTCTGTACACCACCCTGGGGCAACAGCTTACACTTCACTGTTCCAGGCTCAGAATTCCAGTGCCCTCGTGACATCCCTGAAAAACAGGTTTCCACAACTCTAACCTTTGAACTGGGGCCTTTTAGAAAATTATGAGCCATAATCTGGGAAAGGAGCAAGTATCTGAAAGCTGTAATAAGAGGTTTTTATTCGAGTGTTTCTAGAAATGCAGAGATAAACATGAAAAGTAAAAGTGGTTTACAGACATAGTTTTTATAACTCTACCCCCTAAGGGAAATAGAAAAGGGCTATTATAATGCAGGTATGGATTAATTCAAGCCCCAATAAAGCAGACTAGAGAAGGTAATTCAATAAAACCTGATGCAGAAGGTGCTTTACACATATCCACGGGTGAATAAAGCCTTTATTCATTCACTAGCGATAACAAAAGACAGAAAAGCAATTTTAAAATTAAATTGAACTATTATTGGTCAAGGGTTTCAAGGGCTCCAGGAGAATTAATCTGAATTGAAGGAACTCTAGACAAAATATTTTGAAGGGGCTGGAGATGAGCTGCGGCAGAGTAAAAGAAAATTAGAATTCCACATTTATGAACGAGGCATGGTGGCTCATGTCTAGAGTTTACACCAGGGACACTGAGGCAGGGGAATTGCCATGAGTTTGAAGTCAATCTAAGCTACACAGAATGCCAACAAAAAACTTACCTTTTGAGACTTGGTTCTGGTCCAGTGATGGACAGTTCTATTGGGACTGACTTTCGCTGACTCTTACAGAGGAGCTCAGTGAGAAGTCCCTGGGCTTCTCCACCCCAAGTGGCAATTCTCAGCCAGCAAAAGGCCACCAAGAGTCCTCCCCCCCCCCCCCACACACACACCCCACCCCTGGCCATGGCCAGCAGTGCCTTCCTTGGCCTGTCCCTAACCCATCTCATCTGCATGTTTTCATCAGAGGGCCTCTCTATAATAATCTCAGGAGGTTCAGGGTTCCAGGGAGCTTGCTTCAGGCAGGCATCTGATAATAACCTTTTGGGTAACTCAAGAGGGTGCATCAGCCCAGGCAGCTACTTTTTCTCCCAAAGTTAGAAAAAAAAATGATCCAGGTACTAACCTCATAATGACTATTAATTAAAATTCTGCTGCCAAACCAGGAGGTGGTGGCGCACGCCTTTAATCCCAGCACTCAAGAGGCAGAGGCAGGCGGATCTCTGTGAGTTCGAGGCCAGCCTGGGCTACAGAGTGAGTTCCAGGACTACATAGAGGAAACCCTGTCTTGAAAAGGAAACAAACCAACACCCCCCCCTCCCAGATCCCGCTGCCTTGCCCTTTGCCCCCCAGCGGCTGACTATGAGGAGAGGTTGGCGCCTACATCCCTCAAATCTGCTCATAGAAAACTAGTTACCCGTACTGTGTTTTCCTATCCCTGAGAAAAATTCCCGACAAAGGCCACTGAAGGGAGGGAGGTTCCTTTGGCTCACAGTCTGAGGGGACACAGCCCGTCGCGGCCGAGAAGGTGAAGGCCGCTGACGTGTCAGGCTGCTGGTGACCTCGGCTTCCCCATCAGGAAGCAGAGAGGGGCTGAGAAGCAGAACCCGACTATCAACCATGACTCCCGTGACCTACTTCCTTAAAGTTCCAGAACCTTCTAAAACACAAGCCGGGCATCAAGCATTTAAACACGTGAGCCTATGTGAGAACTTTCACGTTCAGACGATAATCCTCCATTAATTCTTATTTAGGGACTGTTGTTAATTGTTTCGTGGCAGAGATTCTGAAGGCAGTAAAATAAATGTTTTCAGGTTTTTCTCAATAAGCACACATGTCCGTCAAAACTGCTGGCTCTTTCTGAACTACCTCCTCCCCCCCACCCACCCACAGCACTTGTGTCCCTGGGTTTCTCCACCCCAAGTGGCAATTCTCAGCCAGCAAAAGGCCACCAAGATACCCCACCCCACCCCCCACCCCCGGCCATGGCCAGCAGTGGCTTCTTTGGCCTGTCCCTAACCTCCACCTCCAGGGATGACTAATAACTGACAACACCCCCTACCTGTACTGTGCCTGGAAAGGTCACTTAGGCCACAGGCCTTGGAACCATACCCCAAGCTGTAACTGGGTGGGTGACTTTGACACTCGTTGTGGCTTTTCTGTGTTAGTGTCTACATCAGTGCAAAGGAGACAGCATGCTCATGTACTTACTTCATAGGTCGGGAGGGAAGATGAAAAACTCAAATCCTGGAACAGGGACTGAGAGCCAGCTTTCAGTGGGGGTTAGTGTTTATGGTCGTGATGGGACCGTGAATGGAAGGCAAGCCTCAGAAACACATAGATAGACCTGGACTCAGCCCTCTCATTGATCGAGTGAGTGATTTTGGCCAAGGCGTGGTATACAAGGAGGGTCCTTAGTAAGCCTGCCTCTTCCCTCTGCTGGTACCTCTCAGATTTCCTGAGCCCTGACTTGACTGGGGAACTCCTGCTGTGCTTCTTCCAGCCCTCCACCCCTGGAGTATGAGGGCCAGACACCCACAGCTAGCATTCACAGGGCTATGGACCTACTTTACATGACAACACCCTGCTAACCTGAAGCTCTGATGAGCTACTGAGATCTGAACTACATTTGGGGGAACCCCACACACAGGGTCAGCTTATGGCCACAGTTACTGGTATGGAGGACTTTCTGTTTAGATTTAAAACACACAAGACTATATTTTTAAGTTTTCCCTAGAGGTGGGCTGGGGGTGTATGTCAACTCACAGAGGGCTGGCCTGGTGCGCATGAAGCCTTGAGTTGGACCCATAGCACCGTTTAGACCACACATGACTGTGATCCAGCACTTGGGGGCAGATGCAGAATCAGGAGTTTGAAGCCAGCCTAGGCTACATGAGATCCTGTCTCCAAAAGACAGACAGACAGACACACACACACACACACAGAGACAGACAGGCAGACAGACAGGGAGAGAGATTACCATAAACTTGATGATTGACAAAAACATTTATTTATCACACTTAAGTCTGAAAATGAGGTCTTAACCAGATTGGTTCCTTTTAGAGGTTGTAAGAACAAAATCTGTCCCGTGTCCCTTCCTAGTTTCAGACAGTGGCTGGTAATCCTCAGATTCCTCCCTTCGGAGGTCCAGCCCTCCAGTTTCTGCTTGTCCTGTGGTGCCATTGTTGTCATAGTTCAAAACAATCAGGGGCTCGATTTCAAAATGCCTGTGATTTGTGCAGATGAGGGACACTTTGGAACCTTCCCTGGCCTAGCCAGGGGATGCTAGGTCATTGTGCAAGGGGAGAGCTGGCCAGGGAAATGCTATGTCTGCAGGAAGTAGACTTTTCTCAGACATGAGGGGTGTGCTCAGGACCTTGCCAGCAAAGGCCAAGCCGTGATGCAGATCTGGAAGAGGGTCCCTCTTTCCTCTGCTTAAACTGTCCAGGGGCTCGTGTGGGCTCCTTCTGTAGATGCTGTGAGCTGGGCTCGAACTTCCCTTTATCCATCCAATGGAAAAGAAAAATGTTAAAAACAGTGGGTAAAGGCTCTTGCCTACAGATTTGATGACCCGACTTTGATCCATTGGAGCCACATGGGTAAAAGAAAGAACCAGTTCCCACAAGTTGTCCTCTGACTCCCACACAGACACCCTGGCATGCAGGTGACAGACAGACACATGGACACACAGATACAAATAGGTAAATAGATTAAAAAAGAAAAAAAAAGCAAATTTGTCTTTAAGGAAGCATAAAGTTGTAAATGAGCTCCTAGCAATTATAAAGCAAGGATTCCATGGATGGACTCTGGTCTTCTTTATTTAATTTAGTTTACTTTAGCTGTTCATTCTCCGGAGGACAAACTTAGGCCTGAGTTCAGCCTGTGTGGGACTCTGAAGACCAACTGCTCATCATGGGGTAGCCTTGGACCCCCACTCTCCCTCAAAAGTCACCCTGAGCCGAGGGAACTAAAGAAAGCACCGTGAAGTCTTCCCGCTTGCCTCCCTCTCTCCTCAGATGAGAAGCCGGCTTGCTCGGGAGCGCAGTGTGAAGCTAGATGCCTTGCGATGTGTGCGGGAGCTCGAGAGTCAGCTTCATGACACGGAGCAGTCATCTCCCCAGATGGGCTCCCCAAGGGGTAAGCACACCCAGTCTTGGGGGCATGAGTCAAAGAGGGGCCTTCATGACTCCAAGATTGAGTAACAACAACCCAAGGCCAGGGAGTGGGCTGTCCATGAATGTGGACCGAATGAATAACATATGGATAAAAACAAAACCAAAACCAAAAGAACTACTTCTCTGATTTGCACGAACTTATCTACTTAGTTCATTCGGTCTCAGCTGGTTAGAGCGTGTAAAATACCACCTGAAGAACGTTAAGCTTCGCATTGCTCGCATTGCTTGTTGGGGCATCTCAGTGATTTGTGGTACCAGTGACCACATTTCTAAGGTGTTATTCATGAAGTACACTATGATTGTTGGGTGCTGGGAGCTCAGGGGCTTCTGTGAAGATGTCCATCAGAGTAGCCCTCTGGACAATGTAGACAGTGGGCAGCATGGAGTCAGACCCCAGAACCACTCTGAACTGGCTTCCTCCCCTGTGAGGTGAGTACTGAATACATTCCAGATTGGTCAGAACCATCACCAAATGTTGATGGTTTGGTCATCACCAAATGACCGCAGCACAGTCACCGCCAGGATCAGTCAAGCTCCTCCTTTCCCAGCTGTAGCATAGATTGGTCGAGTGTGCAGGCTTCTGAGGGGACCACCAGACCCCTGTCACTGCTGGCTGTGTGACTTTAAGTAGGTTAATTGACCTCCACACAGGAAAATGCGAATGCCAACCTCCCAGGCTTGTTCTACACATTAGTGGAAGAACACGCATCTGACACTTTGGGTAATCTTTCGTCAGTAATTGAGCAAGATGAGTACTGCAGTTTCATACGTGTGTTTAGTTCTTTATCTGCGTTTCCTTTTGGCTGCTTGCCAACATGAATGAGCTGAGAGAACGCAGTCTTTCAGAAGCAGGCACAGTCAGGGGAGTTGGGGCTTTCTAAGAGCACAGCTGGACTTGACCCTGAAACCCACGGGCCCTCCTCCCTGCCTCGGTGCTCACCGCCGTGACCTTGCAGCGGCCTTTGGTGTCCCTGCCATTACCTAACTCTCCCTGCTGCACCAGCCCTAGGACGGAGTCCTGTTGTGACCACGGCTGCCGACCAGCTCCACGTGCCTTCTGCTATGGACCTTTTCTTCCTCGTTCTTCCCTCTAGTTCCCTCCAAAAGATGGCTTTGTAATCCCATCTGGGGGATGTCTCCCCGAGAGCTGCCATCCAGGACCCTCAGTAGCTGCCCGTGTATGGAGAAGAGCCAGAATGAGGTTCTCAGGAGGTCCCTCCTTTCTAAGATTGAGTCGGGTGGGGGGAGCTCTTTTCTAGTAGAAGTTACTGCAGGCTTCGGGTCTAGCAGATCCCCTCCACAATGTGTGTGGGAGGTTTGTAACTGGGTCCGTGGCACCCCACACATAGGCAAAAAACCCCGAGAACTGAATCTTTAAACTGTGCTTTATTCACGGAGCCAGCGATCTGAGAAGATAGTGAACTAACACGGTAGAGATCTGTCTTCGGTCTCATCAGAGCCAGCGGATTACAGGGGCGCGTGGGGGGGGGGGGGGATGCGGGGGGGGGGGAGGAAGGGGGGAGAAGGCAGCCAATCACTGCAAAGTTTCCCCTTGCCCCTCTGGTCAGGCGATCGGTCTTGCCTTTGAGGTCTGTGGTGTGGGTATTTTTTCCTTGTTTCCTCTCTGCAGGAGGCAGGTTCACAGACACAAAGGCCAGCAAGTCTTGCCTACTTAGATTGAAGGTTAACTCGGAACAAACAAACCATTGACAGTGTGCACCCAGAGATTCCTTCCTGCAGAATGGACGTGCAAATGTGCTCTTGAAGCAGGCAGGCGTAGGGGCCTGGCATCCCTCCTCCTCCTCCAATAATTCACTTACAGCCTAGCCACTTTACCTGCATGTTCTGTGCACACACCCCTCTTCAAACAATTTCCCTAGCAGCCTCAGATCTCCTCCTACATGAGACTACACATACAGTAATGATTCTCCACCCCTAACAACAATCAAATGTTAAGAGTTTCTATTTGATTGTGTTCTCAATATATTCCAGTATGAGACAGGCCGATTCAGTGGGTGCATGCACAGTAAGTCAACTGCGCCCTCAAAGTCAACTTTTGGGGAGGTTACACATCACCTTATGCTTATGCAATCGGGTGTGCATGTGATGATAAGATGCATGATGGGAAAGGATGATTCATAACAGGAGAAATGATTATATGAGCTAATCTATCAGTCAAAATAGAGAACCATCCAGTCTATGCTCCTTAAGAACCAGCCTCCTCCTTCTCTTGAGCCCTCTAAGAGGAAACCTTAGACAGTAATTGGGGCCTTGGGGTGCCCTCACTTATTTGGCTGGCTGTCAGTTTTGACAGGGGACCCCTCTCTCGTCTGTGCCTCGCCTTGTTTGGAATAAAGCTGTCTTGCTACTTTCGAAAATCTATTCCAATCCTTCAAAAAAGAGCCCAAGGACCTGGAACTCCCTGGCCTGAATTCCCACCACAGGTCGGGTGTGGTTTGGCTGTGTGAGGGGGGTAGCCCTTACAGTGAAAGCAGAGAGGTGGGTAGAACCCTTAAGGGGTTGAGCTTAGCCTGGAGATCCCTTGGCCGCTGTGGCGCAGCCCCAGGTAGTTCCTGTGGAGCCCCCTGCTACCTGGGGGTTGGGTGTCACGTTTGTGGCTTGCTGAGAGAAGAATCTGAAAAGAGACTCAGAAAGATGAAGGAACATTTTGTTTGAACTTGAGAGGAAAATGGCAACCGGGCTTATAAGCAGTCCGTCTCAGCAACAGCTGAGGAAGGTCATGGAGGAGAGAGAGCCTTCCGAGTCAGGGTCCAAGGATGCAGACATTCTCAGCAGCAGAGGTCAGGAAGCAGCCGCAGGGAACGTGACTGTGTGGCTGGTATTCCGGAGAAAGAGTAAGGCTGGAGAGTATGGGGGAGGCATGCTAGGATTTTGGCCAACAAAGAAGAGATTAAAAAGAAGGAAAACAAAGTTTTGGGTTGTTTTAGTTAGAACTTAGAAAAGCAGACAGGCTGAGTGTGAAGATTTATAAGAACTGCACTGGGGGCGCGGTCGCTGGTGTGTGTAAGTAGACAGGTCTTCCTACGGAGGTAAGGATTCCTACTGTCTACTTAGCATGTCTGTCCTGAAGGGTGGCCTTCTGGCCAGCTGGCTGACAGACCCATTAAGTTTAATTCTTAAGGGAAAAGACAATACAGCGTATACTTTGGGGTAGCTTTAGAATGGCATTTCTCCAGCCATGGATGGAGGAAGAACTCAGGTCCTATTGTTTTGACCAGGGGGAAGTATTTTCCTCTACTTGGGCCTCAGCAAAGCCCATCACCTTCTCACATGGTGACTGAAATCTTAAGGATGGACAAAACTGATTACAAGATGCGATCCATTTTCAGTGGCCTCCAAGCCTCCTAATGTCATCCAGCTACCTAGCAAAGTGAAGCCTCACGAGAGCTTTGGAAGAGCTAACTTGGCCCCGGACTCCCTCTCTGGCTTCAGCTCCCTGTTTCCTATGCTGTCTTTCCCTCCCTGAGTGTGATTCAGCAAGGCTGGACAGTTGAGCGCCCATCCACCTCACCTGCCCCTCCCCACCTCAACCGCCCCTCCCCACCACACCCACTCTCCCTCCTCACCTCACCCACCCCTCCCCACCTCACCCACCCTCCCCATCACACCCACTCTCCCTCCCCACTTCACCCACCCCTCCCCACCAGACCCATTCCTCCCCACCTCACCCACCCTCCCCACCACACCCACTCTCCCTCCCCACCTCACCCACCCCTCCCCACCAGACCCACCCCTCCCCACCAGACCCATCCCTCCCCACCTCACCCACCCTCCTCATCTCCTGATCATGGATTTTGATCCTCTAGAACTATGAACCAAATCAATCTCTCTTCTTTACAGTGTTAGCCTGCCTCTAGTATTTTATTCTAGCCACGGAAACTAGACTAATCACAGTGTCCCTTTCCCTTCCTGGGCCGTCCCAGTGGACAGGACCCCTTCTACTCCACCTTCTCAGGAGTCTGAGCAGTCCCTTCCTTCCTGTCTCCACACTCGTATTTCCTGTTGGTTGAGGATCCTGGATGACAGTTCTCTAGGGTGTATCATCCAGAAGGTACCTTGCAACTAACAATTGTGTACCCATCATGTATGAGTCAAGACCATAAAATCTACTGAAATAGAAGCCTTCATTGAAGCTGGGTTGACGGCTGTGATCCTGGCCTACAGCCCCAGGGCTCAGGGTGTCCCAGCACCGAAGGCAGGAAGGACCGAGAGTGAGATCAGGCCAATCTGAGCCACACAAAACAACAGCCAAACAAACTTGAGAAAACCACCTCTCGGGACCAGACATTTCTTCTGCTACTAGCCAGCCTCTTCCTGCTCATAGTCAAGCTTCTTAAAAGACTTACCTGTAATCACTCTTGTTCCCTTTACCTAATTCACTCTACAGCTCACATCCATCAGGGAGGGGGGACAGGGACACACAGAGAGAACACTGTGGTTGCTAATTTTAACGGTTTAGAGACACTTTCTAATCGACTACTGTGAGTCTTCTACCAGAGGGATTCCAGACAGCTCGTGAGTTGCCATTCTCAATGTGCGACTTCTACTTCATGGGTTAAAATGGCTGCTTAAGCTTTCCAGCCAACAGGAAGTAAGAAAACTAAGCGTTCACTGCTCTCTTAAAGGGCACTTCCTGAAAGTTACCTAGGACCCTCTGGAGTCTATCTCATTAGCTGACGTTTAGCCCAGAAGACTAGAGTATCTAGCTTTTACTGCAGGACACTGAATGTATGACAAAATGTTGGGGGCTCTATTACTAGCAAAGGAAGGCATTTAGGGACCAAGTACAGGTCTCTGCCATGTCACCAACCATCTGCTTTTTAACCACCACCTCTTCACTGCCACTGATCTTGCCAGCTCACAGAGTCCGGTGTCTCTATGTGGACGGGCATTGCCGAGCTCTCATTATTTCCCTCAGCAGTACCCTCCTCCGCAGTATTTGAAGCAGATGATCTCGTACTTCCAAGCTGCCTTTTCTGCTTGCTTTCATGCCATCGACTCTTGGGGCAGTCCTCTAGCCAACCTCTAACGAACAGAGTCGTTCAGACCCGTGTCTGACCTCTTCTCACATTGTTACTGAGTGACGAGAGCCCCAGATCCCATGGCTTTGATCCTTCTTTGCCGAGTCTACATCTGCAGCTCAAAACTGTCCTCTGGGGCTGGAAAGATGGCTCAGTGGTTAAGGGCACTGGCTGTTACTCCAGAGGACCTGGGGTTCAATTCCCAGCACCCATATGGCAGCTCATAACTGCCTGTAACTCCAGTTTCAGGGGATCCGATACCTTCACACAGACATCCATACAGAAAAAACACGAATGCACACGAAATAAATAAATTATATTAAAAAACAAACAAACTGTCCTCTGTGCCCTAGACCCGAATATCCAAGGTCTACTGGCTGACTGCCTCTGCTCCAGTCTCTGGGTTACATGTTCAACAGGTGAATTAGGATCCATCTTCAACTCCTTCCCCGATCTGACTCCTTTGGGAGAAAGGTGTTGTCTCAGCAAATGGTATTGACAAATAACCCATTGAGCTGGGCAGTGGTGGTGCACACCTTTAATCCCAGCCCTCGGGAGGCAGAGGCAGGTGGATCTCTGTGAGTTCGAGGCCAGCCTGGGCTACAGAGTGAGTTCCAGGAAAGGCTCCAAAGCTACACAGAGAAACCCTGTCTCGAAAAACAAAAACAAAAACAAAAACAAAAAAAAAAAGAAAAAAAAAAAACGACACACACACACACACACAAAAAAAAACAGTTATCTGAGTCAGAACCTGAATGCTATTCTTCCTTATCTGTGAGTCTGGTTAACCACATCCTATTAATGAGAATAAACCTCGGTCTACTCACATTTACCTCTCAGAGATCAAATCTCCCATGATCTCCTTTTCTCTCGGTCAGGTCATCCCCTGGCAAAAAAGTGGCATCTTCACTTAAACTAAATGTTTAAGTTCTAAAAGTTTATAAGTTACATCTGGCTCTGTACACTGCAACCAGAGATCTACTTTATTTTCTTTATTTGTTTCTTTTTAGGGTTTCTATCCCAGACCCACTGCTCCCTAAACTCTGCGTCAGCATTATCCAGATGTTCTCACCACCGTTTTCCAAGGACTGATCTTCTGGGCAGTAAAGTGACAGGAAGGATTCAAAGACCGAAGACTGTGAGTGATGCTAAGCTTGCGTAGACACAGGGAACAATGAAGTCGTGTACACCCGGTGTTACAAGTCTAGGGTGATTTCAAGCTTACATGAGAAAAATTCTACATCCGAATGTTAGCTAGGTAGTTTGGATCTGTTTTACACAGTTCTAGTGTTGAAATAAGACCAAGGGCACCTTCTGGATTATAACTCACTCAATGGCTCTGGGAATCAGTACCAGACAGAGCCTTGCTGTATTCTCTTTGAGTTTCTTCTTTAATCATCTACAGTAATTATTAGTATCCCCCTGCCTCCATCTTTTATTTATTGATTGATTGGTTTGGCATGTGTATGTCCTATACATATCTGCGCATGTTCCAGCACGTGTGTATGGAGGTCAGGGGACAAGCTGAAGGAGTCAGTTCTTTCTCTCTTTCCACCACATTGGTTCAGGCCATCAAGCTTGGCAATGAGCACCTTTACCTGCTGAGTCCTCTCATGGGTCCCCAGACTTTCCTTGTGTTGTGTGGATTGACAGAGCGATTCTGCAACTGGCGGTCTAGTTCTGGATGGAAGTCCATTGCAGCATTTAAAACATACAGTGAAGGAAGGGTAGGAAGAAGGTGGGAGTCAGTGAGGCCTTACCCAATGAGAGCCATGCTACTGTGAGCCATGCTACTGTGGTTACCACTCCACTCCACTCCTCAGTCTGTGCAGTCATCTTTCCCTAAAATGTGAAATTCTAGTAGTTGTCCTTCAATGTTCACAAGGAGTTGGTTCCAGGACCCTCATGGGTCCCAAAGTCCACCGGTGCTTCAGTCCCTTACATAAAATAGTGTAGCATTTGCATATGATCTACACACCATCTCCTATATACTTTAAATCACCCCTTGATTACTTATAATATTTAAACAATGTAAATAATTGTTACATCACTTAGGGAATGTTGATAGAGAAAAAGTCTGTACATGCAGTACAAAATGGATCTGCTTCGAATATTTTTGATCTGTGGTTGGTTGAGTCCAGGAATACAGCATGGAGAAAAACCAGTATATTTGTTATTTTTGTAAAGGCCTTTTACAAAAGAGAAGATCGTTGTGTGTTTAGGAAAATGAGACATTTCACGATTCAGCCTGTCTTCATGTCACTTCTGAAAGCTCTGAGTACTTTGGGGGTGTCACGCTGGTCATAGCCCTTGTGGTTCAAGAGGCTGAGCAGCTAAGTGCATCAATGGAGACCCACTGTGTGTGAGAAACCCGGCAGGACAATAGACTAGGGCTAATTGTTGGTTGGCTATTGCCAAATAAACCCTACTAAGATACTAAGATGAACCACTGAATAAACTAAATACCCGACGGTGAAGTATCTTGTGGTTCCATGAGCACGGGTACAGTAGGGATCCCCAAGCAGAAAACGAGGGCAGGCCACAGAGAGAGTGAGCTTGAGCCTCTTCAAGCCTCCCTGTGGTGTGACTTCCTAAACAGGGGTAGGAGACAGGGCAGAGAAACACGGACGGGCGGGGGTGTGCACATGACAGCAGTATATACACAGACGAGTCTCTGAAATCACATGCAGTGCTGACACAAAGACAGAATGCTAAGGAGTGTGCCGGTTGTTCCAGGCTGGCACGTCTTCTCTTCCTCACCTGGAATGCCTTTCACTGGTGGACTCGTCCTTGACCAGTTCCCTTTATGACGAGAAGGGCCACGGCAGGCTGCCTCCAGACAGAAGCAGCGATGTTAGCCTCAGCGCCCCTCACTATGTTATAAGAACCCTTCGCCAGCAGGGCAGTGGTGGCGCACGCCTTTAATTCCAGCCCTGGGGTGGTGGTGGGGTTTGCAGAGACAGGCAGATCTCTGTGAGTTTGAGGCCAGCCCGATTTACAGAGCAAGTTCCAGGACAGCCAGAGCTACACAGAGAGACCTTGACTCAAAAAAAATAAAAAAATAAAAAAATAAAAATCCTTTGCCAACTTAAAAAAAATAGCCTTATCAACTTGATATTACAGGTACCAATTAAGCACAAAAAAAGGACTGATGAGGGTTTTCTACCCAATGTGGCAGAAAATGTTCAACTTACAACTTTTCAAGTCCAAACAGCTCCATCCGGGATTTCATTCAGACCTGACAGGTAATCTTTTTGTGTACGTCTATTTATTTCTGTGTGCATTTAGATGGATAAAGATGACTTCAGCTCTATTAACCTTTTCATCTAGCTTTTCTTCTAGGCATGTGGCAGACAATATTGAAGAACTGAGATGAATTCATCTCAAGTGTCCAGATGAAGCCAGATTTGGTCCCAGATCTGAAAACATTCACACACTGGTTTGCGTCCTACAAGCTCTTTCCGGTTCCTGGCTGTCCAACTGTCTCTCGGCTTCAGTTTTGAGTAACAAGGTAGACAGGGTGGTCCAAGACAGAGGGCCTTGATGCTGAGCTGTCATCCTTACTAAGAAGTGAAGACCCAGGCTTGGGCTGGCTCGTTTGCTAAGAGTGCTGGCCACTCTTAGGACCCCTGTTCAGTTCCAGCTCCCACATGACAGCTCACAGTTATCTGTAACTCTAGTTCCAGGGGAACTGATGCCCTCTTCTGGCCTCTATGGGTACTGGTCATGCAGGTGGTACACATACATACATGTAGGCAAACATACACATAAAATAAAAATAAATCTTTACATGTTATTAAAAACATTACAGTTCAATAAAAATTCATTCAAACAAATTTCAAAGCATTTTTTTATTTTACTTAAATGTATCATCCTTTCTTAAGTCTTTTTATTTCTTCCTGCAAATGCTAAAACTCTTAACTTTATACAACTTTTTATAAAAAGAAGATTTATTTTATTTTATGTGTATGAGTGTTTTGCATGCATGTATGTATGAGCACATTCATGCCTGGTACCAGAAAAGTGAGAAGAGGTCATCAGATTCCCTGGGACTGAAGTCGTAGATGGCTGGGGGTCTAGGAATCAAACCTGGGTCCTCTGCAAGGGAAGTGCTCTTAACCACTGAGCTAATTCTCCAGTCCACTTTAGTAAAGTCTTAATCCAATGCCTTTCCTTGTTCAGACTAGAAAATCTATCTTGGGTAAGAGATGAATGGGTCAAAATAGACCAAAGAAATGTATTTACATGTGTGTCTATACATTGCCATAGTCGGATCTTAAATGTCTCCCAAAGGCCCACTATGCTGATAAGATTTTTGGCAAGCTGACTCATGCTAGTGTCATTTGGAACAAGGGACAAACAATTGAAGAACTGCCTCCATTGGATTAGCCTATGGGCATATCAATAGGGCATTGTCTTGATTAACGATGGATGTGGGAGAATCTAAGCCCATTGTGAGCAGTGCCACCCCTCAGGAGGTGGTCCTGGATTGTGTAAAAGAGCAGGCTGAGCAAGCCATGGGAAGCTAACCAGTAACCAGTATTCCTCTGATTTAAGTTCCTGCCTTGACTTCCCTCAAGGAAGGTCTGTAACCTGTAAGCCAATAAATGGCTTCTTCCCCAAGTTATTTTAGTCAGCGCTTTAACAAAACACCAGAGAGGCAAACTAAGGCGGCCGCTCTCTAGGGAACTGAAGTGAAGGCTACCCATTTTCTACTCTGTCAAAAACATAATTAAAAATGGATGAATTTGTACAGGCTTCGAAGGAGCAGAGGGTAACAGAGGAAAAGTTCCAACAACTTGTAGCAGGGTGACCACAAGAGTGTGTTTCAGGCTCCTTCAAAGATGGGTGCAGTTGCTGAAGAGATTAGCATCAATAATAGCATCAATAAAAAGAAGCTACATGGCTAGCCATATATGTGGACGCTTGGTCACTGGGAAGCAGAACTCTGAAAGGATTTGGATTAGGTGGTGTGGCCTTGTGGAGCATGCCACCATACTTCCGGCCATGATGAGAATGGACTAAGCCTCTGAAGCTGTAAGTCAGCCCCAATAAAAGCTTTCCTTTACAGGGGTTACCATGTCATGGTGTCTCTTCACAGCAGCAGAGTTCTGACTAAGACAGTGGTGAGGCTGACTAAGCATTCACGTGTTGCTTCTATGTGAGTGATATGGATCTAAACTAGGTCCTCCCACTTGCTCTTGTACAGTGCTCACCTGTAATCCCAATGCCACGAGGAGGGGACAGGAAGATCCCAGGAACTCGCGGGTCAGCCAGTCTAGGCAATCAGTGAAGGTCCAAACTCACTGAGAGATCCTGTCTCAAAAAATAAGTGGAGAACAATTGAAAAAGACATCTGAGATTGACCTCTGGCCTCCATACATACACAAACATGCACATAACACACACACACACACACACACACACACACACACACACACACACACACACACACACAGAAGCAGTACTATGGAATGTCATGAAGAGACACCATGACCACGGCAGCTCTTATAAAGGAAAGTATTTGCCGGGCGGTGGTGGCGCACGCCTTTAATCCCAGCACTCGGGAGGCAGAGCCAGGCGGATCTCTGTGAGTTCGAGGCCAGCCTGGTCTCCAAAGCGAGTTCCAGGAAAGGCGCAAAGCTACACAGAGAAACCCTGTCTCGAAAAACCAAAAAAAAAAAAAAAAAAAAAAAAAAAAGGAAAGTATTTAACTGGGGCTGGCTTACAGTTTCAGAAATTTAGTCCATTGTCATCATGGCAGGGAGCAGGGCAGCGTGCAGGCAGATGTGGTGGTGGAGAAGTAGCTGAGAGTTCTACATCCAGATCCGTAGACAGCAGGAACAGAGCAACTCTGGGCTTGGCATGGGCTTCTGAAATCTCAAAGCCCATCCCCAATGACACACTTCCTCCAACAAGGCCACATCTCCTAATCCTTTCAAATCGTGCCACTCTACGGTGACCAAACCTCCAAATCTATGAGCCTATGGAAGCCATTCTCATTCAAACCACCACAAAGATGAATAAAGCAATCGCAGGTACTTGGTAGTGCTGGCAGAAACATGGGCAAGGGGGGCGATTCTTATTCAGAATATGCCCCTATGTTAGTGAAGGAAAATTTCTGGCCCCTTCTTAATGAAAAAAAAAAAAAAAGTCTAATGTAATCAGCCTGCTGCCAGACACACAGTTGTCTCTCGTGGAGTTGATACCTACTTGGTAAACTCCAGGCAAATGAGAGACTGCCTCAAAAAACCACTAGAACAGACATGAAGCAGATGTGCACATCTGTAATTCCAGTTCTCCTACAGTGAAATGGGAAATGGAGACAGGAGAACTTGCAGGCAAGTTAGAGGTGTCAAAGATGGGCTAGATGATACCCTGACTGGTTAGCTATGCATAACTCTTGCCCACTGCTTCAACCTAAACCTCATGCCAAGACCCCGGAGATGGGCTTTGGGCAGGGAGGTATCACTGCATCTGTTCCTCTTCCCAATGTGGCCACACTGAATAAATCTCCCTTTTACTATTGCTTGCTCAACTGCCTTAAAGACAGGTGGCCAAACCCAGCTTACTGGGCCTATCAGGGTCCAGGCCTTTTCTCTTAATTACTGATAACATCAGTTACAGCAACAACAAAAATGTACCTAATACAGAAAATTGGTACCAAAAGTGGGATTGTTGTTTTAAGAAACCTGACTGTGATTCTTGGGCCTTCAACTGTTTTGTGGGAGGAATGTTGAAGTTTGGAGCTGTGGGCTACAGAAGCCCAGAAGGCTGTCAGCACAGATTAAGGGGTGAATTCTGGTGGGGGATTGGAAAACCAGAGTACAGATGGAAATGAATACAGTAACGCCTGGGCTCATGAGGTTTTAGAGGGGAACAAGGACTCTTTTGGGAACTGAGCTAGAAGTCATTCATTATCCTTCTGGAATAGAATAAGACGGCATTCTGCCTATGTCCTGAATAATTCAATGAGGCTGAATTCAAAAGTAATGGACTAAGTAATTGTCTTAGTTTTTGTTCTACTTGCTGTGAAGAAACATCATGACCAAGGCAACTTATAAAAGAAAGCATTTAATTGGAGATTGCTTACAGTTTCAGAGGGTGAGTCCATGACCATCATGGTGTGGGGGGCATGGCTGCAGGAAGGCAGGCATGGTGCTGGAGCAGTACCTGAGAGCTTACATCTGATTCACAAGCAGCAGGCAGGGGTGTGTATGTGTATGTGTGTGTGTGTGTGTGTGTGTGTGTGTGTGTGTGTGTGTGTGTGTGCGTGTGCTGGGCCTGACGTAAGCTTTTGAAACCTTAATGCCCACCCCGAGTGACATACCTCCTCCTCCAACAAGGCCACACCTCCTACTCCTTCCTAAACAGTCCACCAGCTGCTAACTAAACATTCAAAATATGCGCCTGTGAGGGATATTCTTATACAAACCACTACAGCTGTTAAGCAAAGGGAATTTCAAAACAGCCTAACACCTAGGCTGTCAAATAGAATATGAAAAATATATAGTTTGTCAAGGAAAGGGGTATGACCAAATATAAAGATGCAAGTAAGTTTGGTACAGAAAGAGCAGCTGTATTACTCAAGAGATTAGTGCCATAAAAGAAATCTTGCGTTCTGCACTGGGACAACAGGAATGGAGCTCTAAAAGCAAGACCCCCTCCTCCCATGAAGACTCCATTTTGTGAAAATGCAAATTCATTTGAAAGGAGAGAACTTGATATAAGCACGTTGTTGAAGGAGTTCCCTGCCGGAAAGTGACCTAGGTTGAGATCATTACAGCTGTAGTAGAAAGAGGCCAGACTACATCTCAAATTTGTGCAGAGCTTAGCAGCACTGTCCACGGCAGCGGTTTTAAAGACAAGCAAAATGCAAATGATGTGGTACATGAAAGCCCACACCAATGTTCGAGGAAGCTGCTGAGGCCAGGCAATGCCTGCGAAGGCTAGATGACCAGCATGGGGACCAAGAAGCCATTGAGTGAAGCTGTTAAGATGAAGCTTAAGCCGGGTGGTGGCACACGCCTTTAATCCCAGCACTCAGGAGGCAGAGGCAGGCGGATCTCTGTGAGTTTGAGGCCAACCTGGGCTACAGAGTGAGTTCCAGGACAGGCTCCAAAGCTACAGAGAAACCCTGTCTCGAAAAACCAAAAAAAAAAAAAAGATGAAGCTTAAGCTGCAAGAGACCTGTTTTAGTTTCCTGTTACTGTGATAAAAAATTAACCAAAAGCAACTGGAGGAGAGGACTGGACCTACAACTTTAGGGTCACAGCCCATCATTAAGAAAAGGCAAGGCAGCCGGGCGGTGGTGGCGCATGCCTTTAATCCCAGCACTCAGGAGGCAGAGGCAGGAGGATCTCTGTGAGTTCGAGGCCAGCCTGGTCTACAGAGTGAGTTCCAGGAAAGGCGCAAAGTTACACAGAGAAACCCTGTCTCGAAAAACCAAAAAAAAAAAAAAAGAAAAAAAAAAAAAAGAAAAGGCAAGGCATAAACCTGACGTGTAAACCACGGGGGAATATTGCTTGCTGACTTTCTCACAGGTCCATGCTTATTTAGCTTTCTTAGACAGCCAGGACCATCGGCCCAGGGAATGGTGCTGCTCACAGTGGGCTGGGCCATCCTACATCAATTAAGACAGTCTCCCACAGATATGCCTACAGACCAATCTGATCTGGGCAGTTTCTCAATTGAGACTCCCTTCTTAGTGACTCTAGGTTGTATCAAGATGACAATTAAAGCTAAGGAGGACAAGACTTGGTGATACTGGAGATACACAGCAATTTCCTCTGACTTAAAACATTCCATGGTGGAATGAGCCTCCCTAAGACACAAGAAGTTCCAACTTGATCTGTTTTATACTAGAGCATTGGTTCTCAACCTGTGTGTCGTGACCCCTTTGGGAGTCGAACAACCCTTTCACAGGGGTTGCATGGCAGATATTCTGAATATATCAGATATTTACAATTCATAATAGTAGCAAAGTTACAGTCATAAAGTAGCAATGAAAATAATCTTAAAGGTTGGGGGTCACCACAACATGAGAAATTGTATTAAAGGGTTGCAGCATGAGGAAAGGTTAAGAGAGGCTCTCAGCAAACAGGAAATAACTTAAGTCTCATTGAGTTCCTGAAACTTACAGGATTCACACACATCACCTGACCCCCACCAAGGCTGTAAGTAGTATTGTGGAGAAGGGAGGCTCTCCAACCTGTCAGCTGTCTGCACATCACACAGGGCTCTAGGATGGCAGCTTTTGTGAGTCAGCACCCAAGCTGGAGTTGGCTGTTCGGTGATGCAGCTGTGTTTGAGCCATCTATGGTCACACTCTAACCCATCACCAATTCTCCTGTAAATAACCCCCCAATTCAGCTTCTCCAAGGTGAACTTTGACGTAATCAACACCGTCTGGGGTGAATAGGCCTTTGTTCACATCTACCTAAGAAGCCTCACGGCACAAGGTGCCTAGACATGCACCAAAGAAAGCTACAGGATGGAGTGGGGATGGGCCGAAAGAGGCTACATGTACTGCAGTTGCCAGATTGGAAGGAAGCAGAGCTACTCACGCCCACTGGAGCCCAGATGTCATCAGCAGCTCCAGACACTGAGCATGGAGCTGCAGTCTTTCCCTGCTGAGTTTGTCTTGCTTTGGTCAAGTCTATCCTTGCTGTCCTCCTATTTCTCCCCTTTGGGATGTGAGTGTTTACTGTGCCGGTGTGTATTAGAAGTGTGTGTCGGGTTTTGATTTTACAGGGCTCATCAAAGAGTCTGAGAACAGACTTTATTAAAGAGAGTATTCATACTGTAAAGACCATAGGACATTTGAGGTTGGACTGCATTCATCTCACTTTACGGGATACCCATGAGCTTATGAGGGAGGGCCAAGGGTGGAATGTAATGGTTTATTGACAAGTAGTTTGTGACCGTTAACTTTCTGTCAACCTGACTGGACTTTAGAATTACCTAAGAGACATACGGAGGTTCCAAAGAGATTAAGGAGGGAAGACCCACTTAAGTTTGAAAAGGCAGCATGAGCCAGGAACGGCAGTGTACACCACCATCATGTAATCTCAGTGCTCAGGAGTCTTAATTTCATGCCAGAGCTACAAAGTGAGATCCTGTCTCAAACCTGCCACCTTCCTACCACCCCCCAAAGGAAGAAAATCTAATGTGTTTCTGTATTCCCTTTTCTGCTTTCTGATTGGATAACTAGACAGTTCCCGCTGCCACACCTTCCCTACCATCCCAAGGTGTGATCTACCAGATAACTGGACAGTTCCCGCTGCCACACCTTCCTACCATCCCAAGGTGTGATCTACCAGATAACTGGACCGTTCCCGCTGCCACACCTTCCTACCATCCCAAGGTGTGATCTACCAGATAACTGGACAGTTCCCGCTGCCACACCTTCCTACCATCCCAAGGTGTGATCTACCAGATAACTGGACAGTTCCCGCTGCCACACCTTTCTACCATCCCTACAAATTGCTTCTGTCAGCTGTTCACAGCAATAAAAAAATCAATACACATGCACTTCTGAATTACTTGAATAGCTGAAAGTTAAAACGTAAGACTTCTCTCTCTTGAGACAGGATCTGATGAGCCCAGGCTACTCAAGTCACTGTACAGAGGCTGGCTTGAACTCCTGATCCACTGCCTCTACCTCCCAAGTAGTCAGAGGAGAGAACATTGGGCTCTCTCTTGAACTTTTGCTGTTATCAAAACCAAGTGAGACTATATCTATTCTCCCCCTCCCTCCCTCCCTCCCTCTCTCTCTCCCTCCCTCCCCCCCCCCCTCTCTCTCTCTCACACACACACACACACACACACACACACACACCCTAAGAAAGTGGCCAAAACATATGAAAGAGTGGTTTTCAGAGAACTCTTAGAGAAGCTGTGTCTGTAGAGACTAAGCACTGTGGAGACTGGAATGGTGCAGGTCCGCAGGTTAATTACCTGTCTTGGCCTAGCTCGAATCCTCTGAAGAGCCACTCTGAGCCCACCTGTGCTGGAAAATCCTGTGACTAATAACCTTTCGGTATCTATTAACTTAGCAGACCACTGGCTTCCACCAACCCCAAAGCTAAGAATGTCGCCACACAGCATCTACAGAAAAACTTCTCCCATCTCACTGTGCCCACCTCTCTGATGGAGCCACTGCTGAGCTTTAAACTTCCCTTGATTATGAACTTCTTTGTTCTATAAAACTTCTTAAAACCACTTCCACATTGGATCACGGAATTTGGGGTAAGCTAAATCTGTGTTTCCAGGCCATGGTCACTCAAACTGGCTCCAAACTTAAGATGACAGTTGTGGTGTTTGCATACATCAGGTAGTGGACAAAACAAGAGCCAGCCTCCTGTCCTTAATTTCTGGGGAGCCCAGGTAGAAAGCAGAGGACCTGCAAGGTGAAGAGGCAGAGATAAAGCAAGCTTCTGAGGCTCCCATGGCGGCAGACCAGAGGGAGCTGAAGTGATACCAAACATGCTTCCGAAGAACAATTATAAAAATAGGAACACGAAAACATCCTGAACCTCCCAACTTACATCTGGCATCCAATAAAAATTTATTAAGCATGCATCCAAACCTGAAACCACAACCCACAGTGTGGGCAGAAAAGTCAACGGAAAGTGACCCAGATGTTGGTTGGCATTAGCAATGCTATGCAGACGTTAAAAAATTACTCTAATTAAAACCCCACACAACTATAAAAACAACTTACTATGTAGAGAAACACACACACATATCACATTAATACCAGAAAATGCTATGGAACTTAAAGAGACAATTTTAATTATTCTAGTATGGAACACAATGGGCTGTGGATCCATTTCTAGCAACCTCTATAAAACTAGAGTCTTCAGCCGGGCGGTGGTGGCGCAGGCCTTTAATCCCAGCACTCGGGAGGCAGAGACAGGCAGATCTTTGTGAGTTCGAGGCCAGCTTGGTCTACAGAGCGAGATCCAGGAAAGGCACAAAGCTACACAGAGAAACCCTGTGTCGAAAAACCAAAAAACAAAACAAAAACAAAAACCTAGTCTTCATCAAGGCAGAGGGTGTGGACCCCCACCAAAGGTTGGACATCTTCCAATGATGAAAACGCAGACCCAAACAGCTCAACAGATCTCCAAACACAAGCAACAAGGAAAGCTGCAGCAGCCCCCAACCATCCATTTGCTCACACCCAGCAACAGAGGCAAACATGTAAGAACAAACGATGCTAACAGACTTGTCATCATGTCCTATGATGTCCTTTTCACGTGAAAAGACAATGGATCAAACATTCATAAATGTGTATGGCAAAAAAATAGCAACCTTGGGTCCCATATTCAAATTTCCTAAAAAAGCAAAGTAAATGACTACCCATCATCTATAATGAATATGGTTTTTGCATTTGTATTAGGAAAACAAAATACAAATTAAGAGGCAAGATACATAAAAGGTGGATTTACCAACAGCTACAGTAACAAAAACTCCAACATTACTAAATTTTAAAAAACCCAGCCCCCAAGGGCTATCTATAATGAGCACAGGCAATGGAGGAAACACACAAAACCTACTTCACTCTCTATTATTAGTCTCAGTGTTTTAGGAAGGGAAGCTATAAAGTTTTATGTAATTACCAAATGATAAGGCTAACATGGAACTGAAGGCCTCATTTCTAAGGCAAATTATTAAATCTATCCTTCTATCCAGCCTTGCAAGGGAGTAGTGAATAACCTCAGTGCAATGTAAGTGATCAAATACAGACGCTTTTGCACATGATCCAACAGAACCGGACTACATATGGCTTGACACTCTAAACAGAAGCCCAGTGTCCTTTCACAAAGGCTCTGAAGGGCAGGGCAGGGCAGGGCAGGGCAGGATGTGGCTAGCAGGAGGGCTCAGTCCCTGAAACCAGAAAGGGAAAGGAGAACTGACACCACAGAACGTGTCCTCTCACCTGCTCTCTCATCCACTCTTGGTTAAGGTGAGCTTGGGGTGGGGCCCTTCTGTCCTCTGTCCAGCTATCACTGCTCAGGTTCTGTTCTCTACTGACCGATTCATACCCTTTAGTTACCATCTACTAAGAAACAGGAGGCAACCCAGCCTCAAATGGACAGGTAAGGCAAATACACGTGTTAAATTTTATAATCAAAACACGACACTTTTGACCAATACAGAGACTAATTCAGTAAACATGTATTTATTTTAAATCAGTTTGGTACACATACAGATTAGTTTTGTGGGTTTTAATGAACTCAAATAGAAATGTCTAAGTACAGCAGTGTCTGCCTGTGCAGTGAGTAAAATAAGGATCTGATAGAACTACATCTTCAGGACAAATCAGATGAAAACTCTGAAAGGGTCTCTATAGACCTTCTGGATTAAAAAAAAAAAAATCCAAAATCATGAATGGCTCAAAATACTAGCTTGCTAAACAGACGGTAAGGAGCGAGAGCAGCTGTGGACTGTGTAGTAAGAGCTGATGCAGGGACCTGCAACATGTCACTAACCTCCTACAATGTTAGAGCAGGGGCTCCAAACTACAGGAGCCTCCGATCAAGTTACATTCTCACACGACTTGCTACATGTGCTGACATTTATCTGGGGTAGGAAGTCACATCGAGGTAAACGACAATCACACTACTTCTGCCACCTTGGAAGGAATGGAAAGTCTGGGTGTTTAAAGAACTTTTGCACTTACTTTTAAAACTAACAGCCACGGCACTGTAACGAATTTTGTGAGGTACCTAGAATAGTATAATGAAAACAAAACGGTGAGGTAAACCTAGCTTTCCCCAAAAACCTTTGAAGCCAGAGATTCTGAAACAAGTAAGGCACTTGAAAACATTAGGTGTATGTACAGATGTGCAAGTAAAACAAACTGCAGCTGTACCAGCAAGTGACAGAGCAACAGAAACTTCATTTGAAGAGCACAGGGAGCTTCACTTTAGGAAAGGAACTAAAGCCATCTGTCCTTCCTACTCTAAACCACGGGAACCAGTGCTCCACTCCGCACTCTAACGAAGCTACCACACCAACTTCAATGACATAGGCAACCAAAAGCCCATGTCCAACTAGAGCCTCGGAACCAGGCCGTGTGTCAGAGGCAAGGGAGCAGGAACTCTAAAACTAAACAAGTGAGTGCTTTCCCTAAAGCTACAGGAATCAAGGTCTGCATGATCACAGCACACGGGAACTGAAACCGAGGAGGAAGGAGCCAAGGCCAAGGAAAGAGGCCAGACTAGTCAGCCGGGGCGTCAGCATTAGAAATCTCCTGCAACCTCCTCTCACCCCCAGTTACACAGGTCACATCTGTTAGAAAACCAAGTGATTGTCTCACTGTAAGAACTAGAAAATGATTCTAAAACTACTTCCTCCTCCTTGCCTCATGTAAAAACTACTTTTCAGGAAAACCTGATAGGAATCCTTAAGGTACAGTAATATTTGGATACTCTGTGTACAGAGGGAAAGGTAATCAAATCAGTCTTATGTCTATTCAACAGCCCAGCCCTATGAAAAATGTTGGATGGTTTGAAACAGGAAGCCTTTCAGCTTAGAATTATTCTTTAGCTTCTATTTCTCAGCTCTGGAGAAGCCAACGTTTAAATTAAATATTAACAGTATGTTACCTACAAGCAGGTTCACTGCTGCTCACATCAACAGTTACATTCTCAGACCAAGCTTGACCTCCCACAACGTGAACACACTTGTGTGCTGCTGCCGTCTCGGTCTGTCTTAAGGCACTGTGCTGTTTTCTTAATAGGGTGCTTTAGGAGGATGGACAAAACCTGTTACACACGGATGGTTTGCATCTTTCCTTTCTCTAAATCTGGAATGTGATTCCCTGCACGGCATCCTAGTTCTAATGCATAAAATACAACTCATCAAGCACAACACTCTAAGGGCAGTTTAGTACTAGGTGAATCTAGTCTACCTTTGAAGTGAAGCCCTCAGTCTACCTGCCTGGTGCCCATTTGGCACTCTTCTCAATTCTGGCCATTAAGTCACACCTTAGGATGAAAATAATACAGACTTTAGGTTTTCAAATGACCACATTTAAACTGCCAGTCAGAGGTTGCCGCACAGGATACCACTTTCCATAACTTACAGAAAGTTACATTTGGCATGTCAAAGGAAAAAACATAATCCCACAGCAGCAGCCACTTTAAACAAAAGACGACAGCCACACGGATTCATGCAGAATATTTTAAATATTCCTGTTGAGCAAAATGGTTTAACTGATTTTTCTTCAAGGACAATGCTCCATAATATTCTGTATGCATCCTTTGGAAATATGAAGGTCCTGGAACAGTGACTTCCATGTGGGACTTGATGAAAGATAGTATTTTGGTTTCAGTGAGTTACACATTAACTGCCAGTCCTCATTCATTTCAATGGGTCTCTTTACAGGGTGTGGTAATTTCGTTCTTTAGATTTGCAGAATTTATAGAGGAAGAAAATGACAGCCTGCAGGCCCAAGACAAGGACAATTCCTCCAATGAAGCTGGCTGCGTCGAAGGTAGACTTGCGCTCTGGCTGCGAGGTTGGGGTCAGGGTGGTATTGGGTGCACCTGCTATGACAATAAAGAATCCTCAGTAAGTGTCACGGTATTTATAATTTCCAGACCCACCGGGGCATCCAGTTTGCCCTGAGTTAAGTTCTATAAAGAAGGTCTTCTAGAGTCAGGTTTTCAGAACTAAAATTTGTCCTCATTTAAGGAAAAATCCCATTTTTTAAACTTTGTCCAGGATAGTATATGGGCAATACTGCTAGAAGGTTCCAAATATAAAAACAGGTAAGAGCTTCTCTGGCATATGAACTGTACCCTTACAATTTCTTAAGTGCTTCTAAAACATGCAATAACTTTGTTAATCTATTTTGGTTAACTGCTAAAGTAAAAATTTGTTAAAACTTTTGGGTTTTACTAGCTAGATGAGGTATATAAAAATTCAGCTGCTATTTTTCAAGTTAATACAATTAACTAACAATCTATAATAATAGCAAATAGTTGGAAATGTACTCTGCTAGTTAATTTGCATTACGAGAAAGCATTACAAAGCCATAAGGAAAACAAATTTGAAAACTAAAATTTCTACAAACAAAATACTCATTAAGGATCTTAAAAGTACTGTCAATTAATTCTGTATTATGAAAAAGTAAGAGCAAGTCAGAAGAAATGTAGAATTACTCAGGGAGTCAATGTTTCAAGAGGAAACAAAAAGGCTACGACTATGTAGCATCCTCTAAGTAAAGTGTACACTCCTGAGGAGCGCATCAGCTGCAGGCCCCGGTGAGCCGACCAACTTAGCATTAGCCACGAGTGGAGTGCAGCTAGCAGAGTCAAGTTGTAGGCACTGAAAATTTAAATGAAAATGACTTCACTCCTAGTGTTTTCTATCGTGTGTGTGTGTGTGTGTGTGTATGTGCGTGCATGCGTGTGCGTGTGTGTGTGTAAAAACAGGGAGCCACAGCAGTGACACGGTAGGAAGAGCCCTCAGGTCCAAGCCAGTCTAAGGAAATGAACACCATTTAAAAATAGGGAAGTGCAGATCTTGGCTTTTCAGACTTGTCTAACTAAAAACAGTAATCTGACCTTGATGGTATCACTAAAACCGTGATGGTATCACACCTTGTAAGTAACTTGTAGCCCCAAATCTGATTTTGCATCTAAAGCTTACAGAAAGGTCTTCGAGAAAACACTTACTAAACCTAAAGGGCCAGCCAAATGCGAGCACATCAAGACTAGAAAAGGACCCTCGGCAGAGCGTTAGGAGTCAACCACTGCCTGGGTTCTAAGTCAGGGCTGAGTCAGTCCATCGTTATCCATGAATAAAACTGGACCTTGGCGGCAGTCACTGGTAGTTTATAAAGTCCCAATTACCTGATGTAACAATTGAGGGAGCAGGTGTAGGAGAGGAAGGTCGAGTTGTGGGTTTAGCTGGAATGAAAACAAAATGTATTTAGAAACTTTAAATTTCTAACTTCCCAATTACCCAACATGTAGTTTTTAAAACAACAGTTTTAATTTTTTAAAGAACAGAAGCCACATTTAGTTAATGATCCAATGCAAGGATTTACATATATTCTGACACATTTGGCCGGCATAAACTTGTTTTTACGACAAGATCTATGTATACATGTATATATATAAGACACACATATCTAGACAAAGTATATTTAGGGAAGAGAGTTACAGGTTTCGTTCTTTTATGAACAATCTTGCTCCTATGACAAATTAGTGTATATAACTGAAATACACAATTGAGTATACTGTATGTACCATGTAGGAAATGAGCAGGCATGGTTGGGTTCCAATGAAATCTTATTTACCAGCATTAGCACCAGGGCTACAGCATCCCCCATTTGGATGATACAGTCTACCTCCCACTCTGTATGAGGCTAAGGTGCTATGGAAACATAAAATGACCTCTGACTATAGAACTATGAACATTGTCTACTGCTGAGTGTAATCTCAAAGAATTCTTGTACCAGTACTAGAGGCTATCCAGTGAGACACTGTCTCAAAAAAAATAAACGAACCAACTTTGAAAAACGACAGTATGAACTGTATCTGTGTAGGTATGGATGGGTACACAGATGCCATGGCCCAAGTGTGGAAGTCAACCCCTAGGAGCTGGTTTTCTCTTCTGCTATGCATGTCTCAGAGAACAACTCCGGTCACCAGGCCTGGTAGCAAGTGCCTTTATCTCCTGAGCCATCTTGCCAGCCCCCAAGTTCTAATATAAAGTTAAAATATAAAGTTCTGTGCTTCAACAGTAATTACACACCAACACTGGGCTTTAAGACGACCATCACTAGAGTAAAGGCATACAGGTCAGGACTCCCCAAAGGCACTGTTGGCACCCCAAAGTCAACAGCATCCTAAGAAGTTAATTCTCATTCTCATAGGACTGTGGTAAAACTTCTATTAAGACTGACATGAAGGACAGTGATCAAGACAGCCCAACCAGCCAGGAAAAGAAGCACTTGCTACACAAACCAGTTGACCAGACTTCACTCCCCAGAACCCAGGTAATGGAGGAAGGAGAAACTGACTCCAAAGCTGTCCTCTGATCTTTACTCCATATAGCCCACCCCATCTCTCTTTTCCCCAGGACTAAGCCCTCTAGTTATCTTCCTAATTGGTTATCCAATAATAACTGGCCAGTCCTGAAATCACATACATACAAGAAACACTAAATGGACTAAGCAAGTTGTGTGTACACACACACATACACACACACCCCTGAATGCCGAGGACAATTTGCCTCCCTTTCTTGTCTCATGTATCTTAAAGAGAAATAACAGACACAATTCCTACATCAGAAGGCAGGATTATTCTAAGACTTATTTCCTTTTGTAGTTTAAATACACCTATTATGGGGCAATTTTTTTGTACACTGTGAAGATGTGTCTCTGCTAAGGCACCTTCTGATTGGCTTAATAAAGAGCTGAATGGTCAATAGCTAAGCAGGAGAGGATAGGCCAGATTTCCAGGAAGAGATAGGAACTCTGGGAAGCAGAGAGGTGATATTTGCCAGCCAGATATGGAGGAAATGGGACGCATGGTATTGATCAGAGGTAATGAGATACATGGCAGAATGTACATTAATTTAAATGGGTTAATTTAAGTTATAAGAGCTAGTTGGGACAAGCTTAAGCTGAGGCCAAGCTTTCATAATTAATAAGAAGTCTTTGTGTCATTATTTGGGAGCTGGTGGTCCAAAGAAAGTCCCACAACACATACCTCCTGTGTAGCCACACAACAATTGAGATACGACAACATGAACTTTACAGATTAAATATGTATTAACTTCTTTTCAATCTTAAGGTATTAGTTTTAGTCTGGTGGTAGTGGCACACGCCTTTAATTCCAGCACTCAGGAGGGAGGGGCAGGTAGATTTCTGTGAGTTTGAGGCCAGCCTGCTCTACAAAGTAAGTTCCAGGACAGCCTGGAGAAACCCAATCTCAAAAAAAAAAAAATATCAAAGTTATATTTTGTTTGATGTTATGGTAAAAAAAAAAAAAAATCTACAGATTTGCTACTTGGTTTTCATTATCCACTCTTAAAGAATGGCACAAGTTAATTCAAAATAAGGCACGATTTTAGTGAAGATACCTCTTGACCTATATGTCCTTTTTATTAAACAAAATTCCTAAATTATAATAAACTATTGGTAATCAGCAGCAAGGACATCACCACCCAGGATAACATCATTTCTAGTAACAACCTAAAACTGTACTAAATACTTAACCCTTTTGTCTCCCACTCACCCACCAACATTTCCCACTTCCTCTGACATAATCTGGTCACTCCACAGTTAATGATACTATCTGCACTGAGGAGAGGCCACTCAATAAACAAGACACAACGTCAAGTGAGCAAGTAGAAAATACATCAAGAATGGTGAAGACGATTAAACCAAGCCCACAGTGGGTCTAGGGAATGTCTTCTGTCTGTCCCTAGCCCAGGTTCACCATCTTCTCGGGCAATCGTCTCTAACAAGTTAGAAGCTGAGCACTAACAGTCCACTAAGATAAACTTGGTAGTATCTGCAGGTTTCTGCAGCATGAACATTTCCACTGTAGCTGATTTCAAGTTCACTTTGGTCTTTTACCCTGTACAGGCCTAACAATACATTTTATTAAAATACAAGCCTGGTCCTATGAGTGAGGAGCTCCATGTTGAGATACCATCTAAGTCTCAGAAACAATGCACACAAAGGAGCTTCTGGATCTGTCGAGTTTACTGTCAAGCTTACTGTCACCTAGTATAGGACACTTACCATCTCACTGTACCCTACTGTCACCTAGTATAGGACACTTACCATCTCACTGTACCCTACTGTCACCTAGTATAGGACACTTACCATCTCACTGTACCCTACTGTCACCTAGTATAGGACACTTACCATCTCACTGTACCCTACTGTCACCTAGTATAGGACACTTACCATCTCACTGTACCCTACTGTCACCTAGTATAGGACACTTACCATCTCACTGTACCCTACTGTCACCTAGTATAGGACACTTACCATCTCACTGTACCCTACTGTCACCTAGTATAGGACACTTACCATCTCACTGTACCCTATTGTCACCTAGTATAGGACACTTACCATCTCACTGTACCCTACTGTCACCTAGTATAGGACACTTACCATCTCACTGTACCCTACTGTCACCTAGTATAGGACACTTACCATCTCACTGTACCCTATTGTCACCTAGTATAAGACACTTACCATCTCACTGTACCCTATTGTCACCTAGTATAGGACACTTACCATCTCACTGTACCCTACTGTCACCTAGTATAGGACACTTACCATCTCACTGTACCCTACTGTCACCTAGTATAGGACACTTACCATCTCACTGTACCCTACTGTCACCTAGTATAGGACACTTACCATCTCACTGTACCCTACTGTCATCTAGTATAGGACACTTACCATCTCACTGTACCCTATTGTCACCTAGTATAGGACACTTACCATCTCACTGTACCCTACTGTCACCTAGTATAGGACACTTACCATCTCACTGTACCCTACTGTCACCTAGTATAGGACACTTACCATCTCACTGTACCCTACTGTCACCTAGTATAGGACACTTACCATCTCACTGTACCCTACTGTCACCTAGTATAAGACACTTACCATCTCACTGTACCCTATTGTCACCTAGTATAGGACACTTACCATCTCACTGTACCCTACTGTCACCTAGTATAGGACACTTACCATCTCACTGTACCCTATTGTCACCTAGTATAGGACACTTACCATCTCACTGTACCCTATTGTCACCTAGTATAGGACACTTACCATCTCACTGTACCCTACTGTCACCTAGTATAGGACACTTACCATCTCACTGTACCCTACTGTCACCTAGTATAGGACACTTACCATCTCACTGTACCCTACTGTCACCTAGTGTAAGATACTTACCATCTCACTGTACCCTCCCTTCTCCTCTGGGCACTATCCACTTCATCTGGCCTGTTTCCCCCCGACTTCCCAGGGTTGTGTCAGTCAGTATCTCCCACAGGCTGTCCTGTCTGTCTCATGAAACACACCTACCTACAAATTCCCAACATGCAATGCTCCTGACTTTACTTATCTTTCTGACAGTAACAAAACTGAGGCTAATTTCTGTCCACACCCTCTCATCACCTGGCCTAGCACCTGTCCTGGACCACTCCCTTACGGTTCTCACTGTAGCAGTGAGATGAACAAAGTCTCCAACTGCAGGGATAAGGAGTGAAGAATACCACCAGCTCACAGGAAGAGGGCAAAACCACGCAAACAGCTAACTATGATCCTTTTCCATAAAAAGCACACTTAGTTATACACAGAGAAAAGACTCGGGGAAATTAACTTCCGAAAACATCCTGGCATACTGCCCAATAATGAGAACCATAATTCCCCATGTGCTTCTGTGTTTTCTGAGATTTATAGGACACCCACATTGAGTCCAAGGGCTCAACGTACCAACTAAGTAAACTTACTGGGAGTCACTCCAAACAAAATACTCCCGGAGTTATATGCCCGTCCCAAAGGGGACCACTGCCTACACCATTGCCGTGGTCCATAACTAAGTCTTCCCTACTCTTTAAATCTACACCACCATTTCTTAGCTAGTAAGTTATCAACAGGGCTGAAAAGTCCCCAGAGAACAAGGAAGAGAAAGTTGTTTTGCATTACCTGTAGAGTTGGTTGGCACTGGAGTGGCAGTAGGCACTATTGAGAAAAAGAGACACATTACAGTTGTCTAATGGAAGCTTGTAGCAACAGCTTCCCAATCTGGGAATGTTATCATGGCAATTTTACAACAGAAACACCACACCTGGAAGAGAGCGTTACTCTCACCCAACACTAGTTTCCCTTCTTTAGAAGTGAAACCATCAATTTTCAGTGGCATCTCACTTCCCCCTAAGACATTTCTTAGCCTTTCTCACAATTAATTAGCCACACACAGCTTATAACAAATGTCTACAAGGCAGATACAGGCCTTATGTATTCTCTTTTCCTTCTTGTGGGCAGGGGAAAAAAAATCAACGTGATGGCTACAACATTACACAGTAAGGTTTAAACTATTTTTGAGAAAGGCTGAGTTCCTTGTTTGTGTATGACTTAACCGTATTATCCATCCCACATAGGATAAAATTAACCCAGCACTAATGGAACCCGTCAAGTTCACAGTGGGATGGAGAAAGTCCTATCAAAATGAAACAGTCAAGAGTAGTCATCAATGGTTAGATACTTTCTACAAAAATACTTTATTCAGTTATCTACATGCCAAGTTGGAATTTGATTTCCCCATTAACTTACAGTAACATCAGAAAAGACAACCGTTCGTTAGCTAGCTGGACACGTGGCCCACTCCTGTAACCCCAGGACTTGGGAAGCAGAGGCAGGAGAATGTGGAGTTCACACGGAGATAAACAGTTCAAAGCCTGAATGAGCAACTGGAGGGTGGGGAGGAAGAGAAAGGGTGGAGGGTGGGGAGGACCAGCTGTTCCAACTACGACTTTGTAGGGTAAAGAGTACAAGCCAAAGAGTAACCCCATTTCTCAATCACAAAAGATGAATACAGACGTTTACTTAGTTGTAACACTTAAAGGGAGGAACGAAACATTAGCGCAGGAAATGAAAGACTTGTAGCTGAATCATGGGACCCAGATTTAACTATCCTCTAAATATTAGCACAGAGTGTAGCAGTGATCTCGTCCAGCCCATGTGGTCAGCACTCCGCGCTGCTGACTGAAGACTTACCAGAACAGGAGGCAGTACTGTTCACCAGGCTACAGTTACCTACGAGTACACTCGAACAATAGGTCTTATTTGCTACGAGAGAGGGAGAGAGAGACAAAGGCAATTACCCACTTATGTTCCATCTCTGGCTTCGCTACTAAGCTCTAGAACACTACTACAACAAAAACAAAAAGAAGCCAAGCTGCTGTGGGATGGTCTGTATGGCAAATGTGTTGCTCTAATTGGTCAATAAATAAAACATTGTTTGGCCATTGGCTAGGCAGGAAGTATAGGCGGGACAAGGAGGAGAATAAAGCTGGGAAGTGAAAGGCTGAGTCAGAGAGACACTGCCAGCTGCCACGATGACAAACAGCATGTGAAGATGCCGGTAAGCCACGAGCCACATGGCAAGGTATAGATTTATAGAAATGGATTAATTTAAGCTGTAAGAACAGTTAGCAAGAAGCCTGCCACGGCCATACAGTTTGTAAGCAGTATAAGTCTCTGTGTTTACTTGGTCGGGTCTGAGCGGCTGTGGGCCAGGCAGGAAAACTCAAGCTACAATCACTTACGTTCCATCTCTGGCTTTTCTAGAACACTACTCCAACAAAAACAAAAAGAAGCCAAGCCAAATGTGGCTGGTCTACACCCGTGACTGTGACCCCAGGGCTCTGGGAGAGGGCTCTTAAGTTCTTAAGCTGAGGGCAATAAAAACTGCAACCCTTCCCCACTGCCTTAGAGACAGATCTAAAAAGCTACTTGAGTATACTGAACAGATAAGCAGAATTCACGAGAGCCTAAGGACTCGGAAGGAGATGTGGTCAAGTTCCTTCAACAGACGCAGTGAGGAGAGGTCCACAGAAGCAGCAACGCCTGTGCTCTGCGTCTTTCTGCTCTAGCTGGCCACACTTTCCAACAGTTCTCCTGAATAGGCAGACCTGGAGCGATAACTGGAGAGCCTTCAACACCAAATCTTAAAGCAGAGGATGTAACCTCCACACCTCCACACTTCCTACAGACTGATCCTCCGGGACAGGATCCACTCTCAAGTCCCACTGTATAGCTTAGCATGTTTGCACCACAAAGTTAACTCCCAAAGTTCAAAGAGTGTTCTCAACTTCGTGTGCCACCTAGAACTATACTCACTGAATAAAGGAACTTAACACAGAACTCCACTTTTACTGGAAAAACAAACAACAAACAAACAAAACTATGGGTTCTGTACCTCCAGGGATGTATTTAAAAAAAAAAAAACCTAGCAAATAAAAAAAAAGTTCTTTAATAGATTGTTTTGCTGACAGGGAAAGTTGCACGCACCTTACCTAAAGAAAACAGTAATCTACATTGTAAAATTATAATTCTAAGAAAAATCTTACACTTCAACAGACTTCCATCTAGCTCCCAGCTTGCAAATGTTTGTTAAGTTAATGAACTTCACGTCATAAGCACAGGAGCCAGCTCTCCCTTCTTATCCCGCCTTCATATCTAAGCTGTCAACAACGTCCCACAAGGTCTCTCTACAGTTTATCTCCCAAGACAAACGACCCCACTTCCAAAGGAAAACACACAGCTTTTCCAGTTAGCACACTTTAATCCTTCTGAAGATCTAAACTCTCTCCTTTAAAAGCTACTGAATCTGAACAGTCAAGTTTAAGAACTCTAAGGGAAATGTTAAGCAACTAGTACTTTACGGAAGTATTGGATCTGGAAAATAACTACTACACACTGTCTTAAATACTCCACAGGATTTTCAAATAGTCAATATACAGTAGGGTTTGTGACTCCAAAGTGTCTTACCTTCTTGGCAATCTACCCAAAAGCAGGTAGTATTATTAATGGTGGTATTAACACAGGAAACACAGCTGTTGCGGCTCTCACAGGTTTCTGGGGGAAATGAGGAAATCAATGAATTGATATTTCATTTTGTTCTACATCTTCTACAGTAAACATCAGATTTAGTTTTCACAACTAATAATTTCCTGAAATTATATATTTATAAACTGATTTATTAAGAAATTTCAACCCTGGGCACAGCAAGTAACGGTTGATGACCTGAGTTCAGTGCTCTGGACCCACAGAATGGAAGGAGAGAGTCAACTCTTCAATGCTGGCTTTGGACCTCCACTTGTGTGGTTTGGCAAGTGTGTGTTCACATACATGTACACACACAAATACAAAAAAAATTATTTGAGCCTGCAATAGTGTTGCATGCCTTTAATCCCAGCACTTGGGACAACAGGCAAATTTCTGTGAGTTCAAGGCCAGCCTGGTTTTCACAGTGAGTTCCATGACAGCCAGGGCTACATAGTGAGACCCTGTCTCAAAAAGCAAAACAAATTAAAAATTCCAATCATCAACTACGAAACTATAAGTACACTTTTGGAAAACAGGCCAGTGGGCATACTCAGAACTGGGAAGTGATTATCAGACAATCCTTCACAAGACTGAAAGATACCCAGACATTCAGGGATTCTCAAGACAAAACATTAGGGGAAACACTATTTTAACACCAACACAGAGAAATCACTGCCTCCAAACACCAGGGAAAATAACAAGCAATAAAGAGTACAGATTTAGAAATTCAATTCTGATGGTGTTATTCTGAAATCAAGTTAATTTCCCAGTCAGTCTTCAGCAATGATTCACTTTCCACAGGGTTCTCCACAATCGGAAGATGCATCTTAAAGGGACACATTTGTGTGTATGTGTCTGTCTGTCTGTCCGTCCGTGTATAGAGATGTATAATTTAACAAGTCAGCAAGGTATTGGTCAACACTCTAAAACATGGTTCTCAACCTGTGGGTCTCAACCTTCAGGAAGCGGGAGTCCAACGACATTTTCACAGAGGTCTCCTAAGACCATCTGCATATCAGATAGACTCATAACAGAAGCAAAATTACAGTTATGAAGCAGCAATGAAAATAATTTTGTGGTTGGGGGTCACCACAACATGAGGAATTGTATTAAAGGGTTGCAGCATTAGGAAGGGTGAGGACCACTGCTCTAAACCAAACAGTCCAAAAACAAGAACTCAAATGGCCAACTGCAATTCTTTGGGGCTAACTTCATTTCTTTTCTAGAACCTAGATGCCTATAACATCCTCCTCCGCTTTCATCTTGCCTCAGCAAACACTCCTGCAGAATCGCTGCGTCCAACAGTTACATTTACTGGAAACAGGGATATGTCTGGTGGATAAGGGCATTCACAGAGCACACGTTCTTATGACATACTATAGTCACGATCTTGTATGCCTGATGATGGGTATAGCATGGGAATGCTACTTCCCACACTGCAGCTTATCCCATAATTTCCAGAAAATACAAATTAAGTCCTCCCCTGGTACTTCAATTATACAAAGGCAATTAACTTGGTATTCCCAGGCTTCTCTTAAAAACAAAATAAAAAACCCACACATTACAATTCTGGGAGGAAATTGCCAAATAAGCAGAAGGCAAAATTTTTTTTTTTTTTGCTTTATCATCTTAACTGTGATAGAAATTCCCAGAATCGTTCTGAAATTTACTTTGTTCATTTAAAAATATTTGAACTTTACCCTAGCATCTTTCAGAGTCTAACAAGAAATCGGATATTCCATGCAATTTTATTCGTATTACATCTTATACTGAAACTAGAGAAGGTACTAGAACATAAGCACACACACACACAAAAAGCCAATGTCAAGTCTTTACACTTAAGCAATCCTTCAGCTGAGTAGCGCAGTTACTTCTTACCTAAATTAAGTACAACCACCAACCTAAACATTTCGTGCCTTTTGACCTCATTACTTCAAATTTATCTTCTCCGTCTCATTTGCGTGGTCACGGCCTATGGCAATTTGAACAAGCCTAGAGTTTAACAAAAGGCACGTTCTCCGATCGGGTATCTGAGAAGTCGGCAGACCTAACTCCACAACCCTCAAAACGCAGGGCCCCGGGAGAGCAGTTTATCTTGCCCCCCCCCCTTTTTTTTTTATACCGCCCTGGGTTTCACCTCCAGCCTCGAAGCGCCCGCCACATGCGCCGGTACTTCCCTTACACACTCAAATCTCAGGGGCAGCTCACGCGGCTCGGCCAAGTCAACGCGAAGTTACAGGAGGCTGGATTTCTTAGAGCCGAGTCCCGGGGCGAGGGGTGGCGGCGGCGACGGCGACAACCAGTTCATCTTCAAGTTTCTCCCCCACCCCGGGCCCCTACTTTCAACTTCCGGAGAAGCCTCGAGGGGAGGACAGCCCTGCGGGGACGAGAGCCTGGCCCGCCGGGAGCCCAAAGTTTGCGCTCCCCGCCGACTTTGGGGCGCGTCGCCTCGCCTCGCCCAGGAACTCCTAAGTGCCACCGCGGAAGCCAGCCACGTCGCCGGCCCGAGCTGCGGCGCGGCGTTCCCAGGCGCCCGGGGATGGCGCCTCTGCGGGCAGCGCTCGGGGCGCGGGATCAGCCCCGCGGCCTAGCTCGCCCGGAGCCTCGGCACCCGACCCGCACTCGGGCCGGGCGGCCATGTTGCACGGGGTGCACTTGCCCCCACCCCCCCACCCCGCGCGCCCCACTCCCCGGGTCGGCCCGTGTGGCGGGCGCCCACCTGGCGGCGTGGTGGGCGTGAGCGTCGTCGGGACCGGCTTGCTGGTGACGGTCTCGGTCACGTTGGGAGGTACGCTGCTGTTCTGATGCTGCGCCGCCGCCACGCAGAGCGCGGCCAGGCAGGTGGCGGCCCAGAGCAGTCGGCGGGAGACACCCGACATCGTGTCCTCAGCCCAAGCGTCCCGGAGAAAGCTGCGGCGGCGGCGGCGGCGGCGAACCCAGCGGCGGCCAGCCCTGCGTCCCCTGCGGCGCCGCCCCCGAGAAGCCCGCCCCGCGGGAGCGCGCGGCGGTCACGTGAGCGGCCCGGCGGGGGGGCGGGGCGGGACCGGGAGGGGCGGGGCCGGGCGGGGCGGGGCGGGGCGGACGGAACCACCAGGAAGCCCGCAGGAGGGGGGAGCGGCGCCCGGAGGAGACCGCCTCCACCTTGCTTTCGTGGGACAGCAGCCCGTGCGCCGCGAGCGGCCTTTCTCGTCCTGCCTGAGAGGACCACGAGCGGCGCAAGGAGTCTTTTCGCGCATCTGCAGCAGGGAAGTCCCCCGCCCAGGCGGGGATGGAACAGCCCACGTGACGTAGGGAGGGGCGGTGGCCTGGGCGGCCTGGGAGGCGGGCCCAGGTCCCACGTGACCTCTTCGGCGGCGCGCGGCCGGCTCGGTTTCACTGGGAGACTCAGACTGGAAGGGCTGCTGAGCCTGTGTTGTGCTGCGGCGCTCGCTTCGGGCTCTGTGGGAGCCGCCTTTTCTTCCTTGATGTCGGATATATTTTTAAGTGTGATAGTGTTCCGGGACGGGGGTGGTGGTGGGGGGATTGGGTAATGACGGAATCACGTGATCAGAGAGTTTCTGCCGGGCCGCCTGTTCTTATGCGGGCGGCCGAGGGTAGGACCGAAAGTGATCTCCTGTCCCCGACGCCCCCGCACCACAACCGCCACCGGTGCCCTTGCCCAAACTGCTCCTTCTGAGTCACTGAGGGAGCCGCAGTAGTGACGGATCTGTCCCAACCCCATCATTGTAGTCAGACGGTCGGGGATGGCAAGTCTTCGTGTCCCCTCTCACCCACCCACCCGCCCGCTCCCATCACAGGTGAGGAAATCAGAGACTAGGGAAAGTGACCTGACCCTGACACCAGGATTACCCGGTGCCAGAACTGACATTTTCGGTGCCTGTTGGCGCGGTTCAGGCTCTCCGTAGTCGTGAGCGCCATCTGATGCTGAGTCTCACAAAATGCTCAATGCTTGACATGCATTTAAAAAATAGAGTTGAAAATTCTATGGGGTTGTAGCTCATTTGGTAGAACAATTGCTCTTCACGCGTGTGTTCCTGGGTTCCACCCCCAGCACCCTATGTAATGCTGTCTCAACTGTTTCGCTTTTGTCGTGTTTTAAATTGTTTAATTTAAATATGTCACAATTAATTATGCATAATTTACTCGAGTAACATGAATATTGACTGTCCCAGTGATGTCTTGTTTCACTGTAGTACAAATTTTTAAAAATTACTGCAGAAGCATTTTTACAAATTTAGCCTAGGATTGAAAGCCTTTATTTCCTCCCGGAATCACTGTGGTCCCTTTGCGGGTACACTCGGTGTAAAACATAAACTGGTGGGTTGTGACCGATCAAATCGGTGGCCCGCAGCATTAAAGTGCAGTCAATTAGGAGGTGTCATCATCAGAGCTTCCGAGAAGCAGCTGCTGTTCTCTCAAACCACACATGACACCCGGGCTAAAAGAAGACACGCTCAGCTTCTAACATCGGGAGATTTAAGAGCAGAGGCTGTGTTTCATCTTGTCTTCCTGCTCCCAAATCGATGATCTCGTTTGTACCCTGGGATGAACACACTCTGCTGTGGGGACCATTGATTAACACCTTGTTTGAGTGTACAACTCTAGTCCTCAGATTTCCTTTAGTCTTTAAAGGAAATAAGGAGACGGTTTCCAGGCTAGAAAACGGTTGACTTGGGTTTATTTTGATGACATCTATGGAAGAAGATCAGGGAACTGACTTTAGTTGCAAAGTTATTTTCATCATTCTAGAAACATTTACTTTCAGGTCATAAGGGAGCAGAACTCTGTTTATTGTCTCATTTCTCAATGTTGGCGCTCTTATGATTGCAGGATAGCTGAGTCTTTCTTACCTGTGCTGTGATTATTGGTTGTGTAATCGGAACCTGGTCTCTAGCTAGGAGAAGCCAGAAAATGAGCTACTCTTCTCCTGTGTCAACACATCCCCCTAACATTTTCAGTGTTCCCTGACGGTAAATAACCAGCCTTAGTTGAGAACCACTGTTCTAGATTTCTGTTTAGAAGGTCAGCCATCCCTCAGGTGGGATACCCGGTCTGTGATTAAGATTACAGATTGTCATTGTTCTTCTCTCCCGAGCAACAGAACTGTGTGTAGCTCTCATGAATCTGCTGCAGCCTGAGCTCCCCCTAATATTTTTAAACAAAAGAAAATCATTTCTCTAAACACTTTCCCCCAAACTAACAGACCAACACTCTACGCAAAAGCTGGAAGAATAACAAGTACCCAGTGGGCCTTTGAGAACCAGGAGTTCGGCTCCACTTCTGGATAGTGAGGAACAGAATCCTCTTCATGGCTGGTGTTAGTGTGATTCACTGTAGGAGTAGAGCTGTGCATCTTTCAGGTGGGAAGCCAAAAGTCTGTGAGCCTTGAACTTAAAAGGAAGAATTCTTGGCATGTCAACATGGCTTGCTAGAACATTTCAGGACCCAATCCCACATGCTCCTGCCAGCCCTAGGCCTGACGGCTAACCACGTTTGTTGCCCAGCATTTCCTTTTACACTTCCTGGAAGAGAGCACTCAACTGACCTAACATTTCCCAACCATTGCTGACCTAGTCTCATTTCCTGTTGCTGTGATAAAATATCCCGATGAAAGGAACACTAAGGTGGAGAGGATTTATTCAGCTTACAATTCCACATCACAGTCCTTCATTGCTGAGAAATCTAGGAGGCAGGATCTTGAAGCAGTCAGTCTTACCCATACTTGAGAGAGAATGAATCCCAAGCCCAGGGGATGGTGCTGCCCACGATGGGAGAGTCTTCCCACTCCAGTTAACACGAAACAAACGCAGGCCAGCCTTGTCCAGATAGTCCCTCGCTGAGACTTCCCGAGTAATTCTAGATTGCATCAAGTTGACACTTCACCGTCATAGCTACCAACTTCCTCTGAACCCGAAGCAGACCTCTATAGGAGAGCTGAGCTGCCAGTCCTACCTGCTGTTTGCTTTTTCTTCTGGACCACCCTGATACAGTTCCTCTGCCTAGACCACTCAACCCTTCTGCCATCTGGGCATCAATTCTCACTTCTCCCTACAGGTCTCCCAGACTAAGATGCACTCTCTCCAGAAAGCTCTCCTTAAAAGTCCTACAGGACTCCTGCTTCCTGTCCCCCAGCCCACAGGTGCTCCGCTGTGCTTATCTGTAGCAAAGCATGTACCACCTTTTATTTGCGATTTGTCTTTCTTACTAGACTGTGCACTTGGTACTCATCAGCTTATTCCCTACTCCAGTCATGAAGCTGGGCTTTATAGAAGGCACTAAATTACTTTTACTTTTTAGAAAAGGCTGGGGAAATGAGCAAACTGGTTCATTTGGGTCAGTTGTCCACCCTTGCCAAAAATAGCTGTGTCTAAGCTCAGGAGGGCTGGTACTACAAGTAGCTCCCAGGAAATAGAACCTCTCTAGCTATGGACCAGGGAGTTACATGCACAGGAGGGGATGGGTGGGAAGCTAGGACTGGAATCTATAATACAGTGTTTTTTAAATTACATTTGCAAGGGCTGGATTCTGTAATGCAGTATTTTATTGCATTTATTTATTTTATGTTTGTGTGGGTCCGCATGCAAATATGCCATGGTGCCTTTACCTTCTGAGCCAGCCTTGACTTTAATTTTTAAAAAGATTTGTTCTTCTTATGTGTATGAGTGTTCACCTGCATATATGCATACCACATGTGTAGCTGCTTTCCAGGGAGGCCAGCAGAGGGTGGCAGGTCCCCTGGAACTGGAGTTACAGATGGTTTTGAGTTGTCGAGTGGGAACCAAACACCAGTCCTCTGCAACAGAAGCAAGAGCTCTTGACTACTGAGCCACCTCTCAGGCCCCCACGGCACAATTTTAGCACATATCCAACTTTCAGTAGGAGGGCTGTAATGAGCTAGAGGTGGAGCTCTAGGGTAGAATGTTTGCCTAACATGCAAAGTAACAACAGCAAAAAACAGCAAAAGACTTTAAATAAGATCAATAACAATAATTTCTGATCTTTAAAGAATTTTTAAATTATGTGTTGGGGTGGGGGTATGTGTGCATGTGTGTGTAGGTGTCTCTGGAGGCCAGAAGAGGGCATCAGATGCCCTGGAGTTGGAGTTAAGGACATTGTGAGCCACCCAACATGAGCACTAGGAACTGAACTCAAGTCCTCTGGAAAAGCAGGAAGTGTTCTTGACTGGAGTAGGACCAGCCCATAGGGTCGAGGAAATTGGCTCAGACCAGTTGCCAAGGAGTGCACATAATGTACTTCCTTATGAGCTAACCTGGAGTCTGCCTGAGGGCCTAGCAGCAGGCGCTGTCAGAGTTCCTGATTAATGTTAGAGTTCCTGGAGGTGCCCAGCCAATGAGGGATGACCAAGTAATGCCACCAGATTGTGACACAGACTGGGTGCTGGGAGGAGGGTTTATAAGGCCTTCCCCATTATTAGATAAATGAGTTCGTTATTTGCCTTCAACTGACTCCCGGTGTCTGAGCCATTGATGCTGTGCCTTCTCACTCCCTACCCAGAGGGAGCTGTGAGGATCCAGCAACACTTGACCAATCATCTTTCAGATTTTTAACCTTAGCTTGATAGTATGTATGGCTAGGACTGATAACATACCAGAGACTTACTTGGAGGGTCTCCTTCACTTTGTAGATGTTTCACTGATATTAGTCCCAGGGCTTTGATTCAAGAGGGAGCACTGTGCTTGAGTTCTCAACTTTATCGCACATTGGAGCATTAAACAAAAAGATGTCTAGGGACTGACATAATGGGTCTGAAAGGCCTCGGCATCAGATTTTCAGAAGTTCCCCGAGTGTTTCTAACCTACAATTCTGATAGAAACCTCCCATCTTACTCTTGCTTTTGAGAGTGGTCCATGAGCAGATAGGGTTTATGAGACTTAGAATTTTGTTCAGAATGTAATCAGAACTTGATTTTCACAAGATCCCCAGAAGATATGTACACGTGTGTATTATGTGTTTGAGAAGGCTGCATTATACTATACCATGCACAGAACTCATCTGTCCTGAACTGCCACAGTGAATAGTAACTCACCTACAAAACTATAGTAGGACACATTTTGATTTTACAAATGTAAGATTGTGATACAAACAACACAAAACTGGATGTGCAAGAGCCATAGAATACAGCCAGCTTCTCCTTGGGCCAGTACCTGTGATGTATGACTTCTTCCCTTTTTCCTACATAGCCCAGGCTGGTCTTAAACTTATATATCCCAGGCTGCCCTGAAACTCATCCTCCTGAGTGCTAGGATTTCAAGTTTGGACCACACATCCAGCTTTGAGATTTATTCCTCTTCTGCTCATCTCTGGGTTTCTTAGAGCTCTTTACATCACTTCTTAATTTAAGAAATGGATATCTTTTTTTTTTTACTTGTTCCTTAGGGATAGTCCATGTGCTGAGGTAATGCCCTGGGAAGCTTTCTGATGTTCTGCATGAGCTATGATGTCCCTGTGTACAGAGAAATCCATAATGCTTCCTCTGGTCTCTTTTGGAGTACTATTTTCAGCTAGAACACAGCCAGATAGCATCCTGTTACATGCCAAAGTAAGAGAAGCTGTGATTTAGCACAGTAACAAAACCCTAATGACCAGCTTTGTGATTTATGTTGTACATTATTGTAGTCCAGTTTATTATCTATATTTGTATGATGTGTGAAGTCTGATGGGGGAGCTTAAGGTTTGCCTGTGTAAACGGTGGTGATTCCATTCTGGGAAGGTAGGGAATAACAGTATGGTCTCTAAGGAGAGAGTACCAGTCAGCATGGGAGAAGGAACCTTTGAATTAGCTTGTTTGACTGACTGAGACATTCATATGGTATCATATGGTAACACAGTATGACGAGGTCTTAATGCCTCTTGAAATGATGATGCACCATCACTGAACTGGTTTTGTGGGAAGCAGTCCCGAGTTTTTATTGGATAGCTGTTATACCAGGCATCATGAGAAATCTCTTCACTTGCTTCTCAGTCCTCAAAACATGGAATAGATGTAGTCCTATTGTACTAAAGAAAGTGAAGCCCCAATACAGCAGGGTACTGCTGTTGGGTTTGTAGGTTTACTCAGAGAATTGTGGAAATCTCAGGACCAGGAGATGGACAGTGGCTTTCTTATTTCTATTATTAGTACAAATGAGGTCAGCCAAAGGTTAAATATCACCATTGTAGGAAAGGTGAGTCTAGAACAAACATGTTTAACTTAAAATACCCATAAAATGTAAACATTCAAGAATCTTGAATCTTGATGTTGATGGGCCATTCATTCACTACCAAGTAATCATAATCACTAACTGTTTATAGTTGGGGCAAATGCCCTTTTTATTCTTATTATTTGATAGATTTTTAAATTTTATTTTAGACAGGGTCTCAGGTAGTCTCTGGTGCTCTCAAACTACTGTGTAGTACAAGGTAGTCTTGAACTTCTGACCCTCTTCCCTCTACCTCCGGAATAGAAGTATCAACGTATATACCTTTAAGTGGTGGTCCTCAGAAGCACTGCACATATACATTTGAAATGAAAGTTTCTGCAGAAGTAGAGCAGAAGAGAGCAAAGGGATCATGAACTTGCTGTCTCTGAAGACTGGTAGAACTCTACCTTCGTTTCTGCTAAAGGAAATGGGAATCTTTTTATGGCAGATTCTCATGTATCCCAGGCTGGTCTGAACTCGCTGAGTAACCTAGGCTGGACTTGAAAACTATTTACCCCATGCTGGCTGGTCTTCTGCCTCTACCTCCCCAGTGCTGGAATTACAGGTGTGGACCACTACGCCCCTTACTGGGTGAGTTTCTTGTACCCAGTGAATATAGTAGTTCTTTCATAGTGTCAGATAAAATGTGTAAGGCCACTGATGCAGTTTTCCTACTAGTAAAACCTGACCTCTGTTACTGCATCACCAATGCTGGTCCTGTGTTTTAACCAGGATCCTTGGAAAACACGGGAGCTTCAGTTTGGTTGTCTCAATGGTTTGTCTTGGTAGCAAGCCCTGTTCCCTTTTGTGATAACACCAATGTGGCCTGAGGACTGGCCCAGGTCCCACAGAGAGGGTCTGCAGGCTTCACAGAAAAGGAGGGCTTAGCTCTTCAGACATGGTAGTACACACCTACAATCTCAGTACTTGGAAGGCTGAGACAGGACGATTGTGAGTGCAAGGCCAGCCTGGGCTACACAGTGAGGTTCTGTTTTAGGATTTCAAAATAAAGAAAAGAGTAGCTTGGGTTCTCAGCTACCCCAGAGCTCTGTGAAGATGAAGGAGCTCAATCTGATGTGGCTGTTGGTGAGTACTGGAGAACATTTACAGAGTACACATTCAGAGGCCATATCCTGCAAGTTATAATAAGTAATTTATTGAATATCAAATAAAAGCATCCATCTGTTGAACACTTACAGCATGCCAAGCCTCTTTTTAGGCTCTTGATACAAGATTAGTTACTGACCTTGGAAAACACCAGCTGTTTTTCACATTAGAAAACAAAGGCGCGTAGAAGTTCTTGCCTAAGTTGATGCAGTAGGAAAGGGCAGAGCCTGGTTTCCAACCTGGGTAGAGCACATGTCCTTAACACGGTGCTATCTCCGGATCAGCTGACAATGTGGAATGGACACTTTTCTTTCTCCTCAACTCCATTAGAGCTTTGTATTTGGTGTATATATGATACAGCAATAAGACAGGATGGGTGAGAATAAGGGGTAGACTGAGGGTGATCTTTGGGGTGACGGGTCTTCGTTGTATGTGACACGAAGCTTCACATGATGAAACAGCATCACACACTTGCAGCAACGTTAGCTGCTTACTTTGATACTGTACTATAGCTACATAGGATGGAAACACTGTGGAAACAGGGTGAAGGGTACACAAGACTTCTCTGTACTGTTTCTGCAACTTCCTGTGAATCTGTAATCATCTAAAAATAAATGCCTACCTTTCGCAAGCCCCAAACCAATTTAGATCCTGTCTCTTTCAGAATTGGTTTAAGGGGAGATCATCCTTGGAAGACAAGCCACCTTTGAGAGAGGCACTAGGGTAGAGGCAGCAGTAGGAGTTGAGCAATCACCAGTAAGAGTCAATGCTATGGTGACGCCACCAGGGGCACTGAAGTCAGATGATTCTGTCATCTCCTGGTGTTCAGCTGTCCAAGGAAGAAAGAACTAAATTAACTCCCCCGTCTCCATCTTGAGACTCTCTCTCCTAGGGACTGTGACTCAGGATGTCAAGTACAGGGCCTGCTGGTCTATATTTTAAAAGCTTTCCCTACAAGTGATGGAGCCTTAGGGACCTTCAGATGGAGCAGCTGATAAAACAGAGCTCCAGCAGTTCACTGGGACCAACCCACAAGGATCAACCCCAACTCTTGATTTTCTTATGATTGGAATGGCTCAGAGACATGACGATATTTACAACATCCAAATACATGTGTCCTTCCTGCGGGCTATGCATAAGCACTGTAACTTCACACTGAATTGTTTTTCTATTGTGTCAGTTATTTATCAAGCATATCATGATAGGAATATAGTTACAAACAGCACAATTCATTTACAAATGCTTTAGACTAAAAACTCACTAGGCACATTGCTAGGTTAATTACGTTCAGGGCCACAAGTAACAAATTAATAGGAATAGAACCAGGAATAGAATCCAGAGTTCTACTTGCCTTACATAGTAAAAATTCCAGAAAGAGGAGGTGGTGAGGTGAGGCTCAGCAGTTCTCTTGGCTCCCAGCCTATCATACTCAAAACACGATGGAGGAGCAGGAACAAGACCACTGGTACTCCAGTGACCCACTGGCCACAGTGCTCTCAAATGGCCTTTCCAGTTGTAAAGGAGCCTGGGAAACCGAGTATTTTGTACTTAGAGTCTCTGTGGTGGGAGCAGGAGAGGAAAGAGCATGACGGGTATATGAACCAACAATTGTGTCTGCCACGGCCTTCGAGTCCAATGTTATCAAGCACCATTTAATTAAATATAGAAACAGCTGGTCAAACGCACAGTAATGACCCACCACAGAAAATCTGACTGATGGGAAAATCAGGTATAAAGAATTCCACTGTCTGCAATACTGCAAAGAAGCATTGGCCTTTCGTTCTCTGTTGGAACTAATTCTAGTTCTTTAAGAACTTCGGTTCCTTCGATTAATTGCCTGCATAAGAGGGAATAAAAAAGTGATCAGTCTTGACGTTCCGCATTTAGTTGACATTCACAAACGGAGTCCTACCCAACTACAGCGAAGGCTGTTACAAATTAACTGCAGCTGTAAATACCTGAAATGGCTCTAAGTGTGCCCCCGTGTGCCCACTTGCTGCCCGTATGTATGCCCAGCACCACTACTCAGTCCCTCCTGCCTTGAAGCGGCTCACGGCTGCAGCTTTCAGTTGGCATCTCTGCATTTGCTCTGGCACCTGTCTACCCTCCTGGCAACCTTCCTCCACACTGCAGTCAGGAGAGAACCACCAGAACTACAAACCTGGTGTCACCTCCCTGCTCTGAACCCTTGCTCACCATCTGATGATGAGGACTAGAACTCCCCTGGGGCCCCTGTTCTGCCTCCCACTGCCCCAGGGATGTCTTGCTCTGCTACACGCAGATTGGCCTCCAGTACTTTAAGAATCTGGAAGTTCTACCTTCCTGCCATAGCCGGCCCCTTTCCCTTGGCCTAGCCATCTCCTGGCCTACCAGCTCTCATCTGTCTTTAGTTTCTCAGGAAAAGTTTTCAGGGATTTGTACTTACATTAAGTCCCCCCTCACCATTAGAGGTGTTTACAGGGGTGGAATGTTTTTTTTTTTAATACCTCTCTCTCTCTCTCTCTCTCTCTCTCTCTCTCTCTCTCTCTCTCTCTCTCTCTGTGTGTGTGTGTGTGTGTGTGTGTGTGTGTGTGTGTGTGTGTGTGTGTGTGTTTGGGAGAGAGAGGGGGGAGGGCCTATGTGAGTACAGGTGTGCAGAGGTGTGCATGTATGCAGGTGAGAAGACAACTTTCTCCTCCTCTCTTTCCATCATGGGTTCCAGGTCACCAGACTTGTGCAGCAAGTGCTGTTACCCACCAAGCCACCTCTCTGACTCTGAAGTCTTTTATTCATTCATTCATTCACTCACTCATTTTTTAACTTCTGGTTCTCCCTTGAGGGCAGAGGCACACTTTTGCTGAAAGCCTGGCACCTGCTAGGCACCCAACCCGCCCACTGGGTACACGAATAAGCACTTAAGCCCATGCCAGTCTGGGCCTCTGCAGACCCTCACTGGCCATGAGCGAGAACACCAGACGAGTGATGTCAGACTTGTTTTCAGCTAGAAGGCAGCAGCGTGAAAGCTGGGAAGACGGTTCACTAGGTGGAGTGTCTGCACACAACCATGAGGACCTAGGTTAGGAAGCTGAACACCCACCTAAAAGCCAGACACCGTGGAACACGAATGTGATGGGCTGGTGATGGGGAGAGACGGGTGTAGATCCTGCACTTCTTTAGCCAGACAGACTAAGGCAAACTGATGAGCTCCAGGTTCAGTGAGTACGGTGTCTCAACAAGCGAGGTGCGTATCTCACACATAGGTCTTTTCCAGAAGGTTCTGCTGGGGTGCTGGAGTTAAACCCCAGGGACCTACCCATGCACACAAGGCAAGCACTCCACAGTAGGCTATCTCCCCACTCCTGATAAGGGTTTATTTTTTGTTTACTCACATGCTGTTGGTGTAGGTTGTCTTTTGACTTTCTGGATGATGCCCTTTGATTCAAAAGTTTCTTATTTTGTTGACATCCCAATTTACCTGTCATTTCTTGCATTGCTCATGTCTTTGGGATCAGATCTCAGAATCATTGCCAAACCCAAGTCTCCCACTTTTCTTTTTATTAACTTTAGTTGCCTATGTGGGTGTGTGTACATGCGTGTGTGCAGGTGCCCTTGGAGGCCATGATTTCTCCGAAGCTGGAGTCAGAGTCTGTAGAACTCCATTCCTCTGCAAGAGCAGTACAGTCTTAACCACTGAGCTGTCTCTCCAGGCCCCTGGTTAACATTACCTTTTAAACTACCGGTATTACCATACTTACAGTGAATTTTTCTTAGGAAGCATGTTATTGGTTCTGAAACTCATTACCTATTAGCTGGGTGTTTATTTAATTAAAATTAAAACACATATGGTGGAGAGAAACAGAGGAAGACATTGACCACTGACTTCCACATGCTTGTTCACACACATGCATGTGCATCATGCACCAACACACTCAGGCACACACCTACATTAACATACACTTGTAACACACACATACACAAAGACAAATAAACAAAAATCCAAACAAACCCATCAGTATATGGCAGAGAGACAGGCCTAGACACAGAAGTGCCTTCTGCCAATGCTTGGGGTTAGGTCAGTGGCTGAGGGGAGGGGGCAATTTCTAGTGCATGAACCTTGACAGTGTGGCCAGTGCCAACACGGATCATATGTGTATCCTCTTCATCTGCCTCTGGGCTTGATTCTGCCATCCCAATCAGAAGGTCCAACACAGGGTGCTGTTTAAATGCTCCCCTAAAGCTCATGCTGAACCACCACTGTGGTGGTATTAAGAGGGAGCTTTCAGAGGTGACTGGGTCATTGGGAAATCTGCCCTCATGAATGGTCCATGGTTTTCACAGGTCTGAGTTATCTTCATGTTATGACACAGTCTTGCAGGCCTTCACCAGATGCCCAGCACCATGCTCTTAGACCATGCTCCTAGCCCCCAAATAAACACCTGTCAATTACCCAGGCTATAGCAAGAGGAAATGGATGAAGACGAAGAGCAACAGAGGTACATGTGAGCGGAAGATGAACGCAGACTCACCTGTCTAGTGAGGGCATAAAGCCTTTTTCCAAACAGGTCTGACACATATTGGGGCTCTTACATGTGTGCCTCTCTACTGTGGAGTGCTAGGGTACAGTCTATGCAAGACCCAGTCCCTACTCCGAGTTGTTCACAATGCACCAAAGAGGACTAAGAAGCCCTCTGCCAGGGTCTAGGCCCTGATCTTTGAACAGGATTTCATCTGACTGAAGCGAGACAGAAAGGAACAAGATAAGCAAAGGCCAGGGACTGTCCTAGAGTGGTGGTATTAGGGTCTGACTTCAGCTCAGCTACCAATCAATCTGCTTCTAAATTTACATCCAAACCTGACCTGCTTGAATCTTTCTCCCCCAGTGTCCTCAGAGTGTCCCGAAAGTATCAACCTTAAATGTAACTTAGCCGGCCTCACCTGATCTCTTGGAAATCCTCCTCCTGTGGTCTCTCTTGGTGAATGGTACCAACCACGTATCCAGTTCTCAGCCCCGGGGAGTTACTATAGACCTGCCAGTGCGGAGGCCACTCAAACAGGCGGTTATTTAAATGTGTCTAAAACCAAGGGATGAAGAGATGATTCACTGGTTAAAAGCACTTGCTCTTCTACAAAACCAGAGCTCAGTGCCCTCACTGGACGGCTCACAACCATCTCTAACTCTAGCTCCAGGGATCCAATGCCCCTTCTGGCCTTAGCAGGCACATGCAATCTCAATCTCAATCTCTCTCTCTCTCTCCTCTCTCTCTCTCTCTCTCTCTGTCTCACACACGCACATACACACTCAAAATCTAAAACTTTCAGAATCAATCAAGTATGTTCCTTAGCTGCGCTGGTCACATTTTGAGTGTCCAATGGCCGTGGATGTCTGCGGCTGCTGCTGTGCAGGACCGTGGAGACTACAGATTTCCATCATTACAGAAAGTGCAGTTGTAAAACACTGACCCAGCCCCTGCTGTGCTCCCACCTTCAACATCCAGCTCCATGAATGTAACTTGAATATCCTTGGTATCTGCCCGCTCCATCCCAACTTGCTTATACTGCCAGTGTAAATAGAACTTCATCTACACCTATTATGACTAGACCTTCCTAACGGGACTCTATACTTTTTTAATTCTTTTCCAGTTTACTCTTGAGCTGTACAGAAATCTTTCCTAATGAGCTGCTCAATTGCTTACAATTTAAAATGCTCCCGTAGTTCCTCATCATCTTTGGAAGAAGTCCACACCCTGAAGCATGCATGGCACCTATGCCCAGTGGTCCTTTTCCATCCCCTTTCTCCAGCCTATCTCTATTCTCCCTGGGGCTTCACACTCTGGCGAGACCAGCTCAGTTGTGGACATGCTTCTCTCTTGTTCTGCAGGGCATTGTTAAGAGTGCCTTATGCTTTCAAAAACTGATTAATTGTAACTTCCCCTTTCTCTATCTGGCTAACTTCTACTTCACTTTAGCTATCTGGTTCATATTCTTACAAAGCCTCCCACAGTTCCTTCCCACCTTAAGACCCCCTGGAAATGAAATTCTCCTGCCTCCATCCCCAACACATACTCCCCCATGCCTTTGCCATGTATCTGCATGAGTGGCAATCTTACAAGCTTGCATTTAAAAAAATACACACTTTATTTATTTTATGTGCACATTTATCTGTGAGGATGTTGGATTCTCTGGAACTGCAGTTATAGACAGTTGTAAGCTGCCATGTGGGTGCTGGGAATTGAACCTGGGTCCTGTGGGAGAGTAGCCAGTACTCTTAACCACAGAGCCATCTCTCCAGCCCAAAGACTTGTTTGCTCATTTTTGGAGACAGGGTTTCTTTGTGTAGTCCCGGAACTCGATCTGCAGACCAGGCTGGCCTCAAATTCAGAGATCCACCTGCCTCTGTCTCCTGAGTGCTGGGATTAAAGTCATGTGCCACCACCGCCTGACACAAGCTTGTATTTTTGTATTCTTTCCACATGAGGGACACTGGGCGAGGCCATACTGCAGATTGCTGCAGTCTGCTGATAAGCATTCCTAGCATCATCTGTCTTCAGAAATTAGAACTCAGAAAGAGGGCTTGCCTCAGATAAGCAGGAAACTTCTGTGTTTCCAGGCCTTGTTAACCACACATGGGCTTACAGAAGCGGAAATGCTAGGAGATCCCAGGGAAGCAGCAGCAGCTTCACCTGGGCAGAAAGACATAGTTCATCTACCCCAACTAGACTGGTTGTCTATTTTGCTATTACCTTTCTCCATCTCCATTTCTGTGGGATCCTGTTTATATATTCCAACATTAGGAGAGTTCAGGGATAAGCTGAGACTATGCTTGAGCTGAAACAATAAAGGGAACACACTGCCTCCCTGTGGCCACAGTGGTAATGACAACAAAAACGAGATTTCCCTAAAAACAGCCAAGGAATCATCGCCAACTAGACCACTCTCCAGACATCCCCTCCACACCGCACCCCGTGAGGAATCGAGGGGTGTCCTCTCAGTCCCACTTCGAGCCTTCCCAGTAACCAGTTGCACTCTCTTTGGTTTTCATGGGGTCTTTTGTTTGTTTTTATCTGCCTTTCTTGGTGGAATCTAAAGTCTCTGAAGGGCAGGCCCGTGTCTTGCCACCCTCTCCTACTCTAAACATCAGTAGTGACAGATGGCAGGTGCCCAATAAAATTCTGATTGGATGAACCAAGAAAACAGCAAAAACGGTGGCTGAAGAAAGGTGTAGGGCAGGAGAGGGGAGGGATGCTGTGCTGGACTGGATGCTGTGTGTGTCTGCAGGAGGTGGTGGTAACTGGGCACTACAGTTAAAGCTGTCACGCTTGTGTCTGAGAAAGCCGACTTTAATGGGGTACAAGGGATCAACAAGGCACTGGTAGAAGGGGTACAAATTGTCAACAAGATGACAACGGTTATTCAAATGATCCAAGAAGAGGTAAAGTTATCTAAAAACAATTCAAGAATGCATTTTCAGCACATGCCTTTAATCCTTGAACTGGGGAGGCAGAGGCAGCAGGATGTCTGAGTTTGAGGCCAGCCTGGTCTGCAGAGTGAGTTCCAAGACAGCCAGAGCTACATAGTGAGACCCTGTCAAACACACACACACACACACACACACACACACACACACACACACACACACACAGAGACAGAGAGACAGAGACAGAGAAAGATATAATGCATTGTCACAGACAAAAAAACAAGACCATTTTACAAACAGAGAAAGTCAATACTTTATTGATGTGGAGGAAAACTGAAAGCAAGTCATTAAGTTCTAAACCTATGAATGAAAAGTCATCTAATTAATGCTGTCTTCTGGAAGTACCACCGAAAGCATTAAACTAAGGGAATTACTGTGGTTGAAATGAACAGTGATATGAAAGTCCTTTGTGAGTTGCAGCAGCAATAGATGACCCTCTGGAGGGACTGAAAGAGCCTAATAAATGTTTAAAATGGTCTACTGCATCACCTCGGGCAAGACAGTCTGCTCGCTTCCCTCATGGGCTCATCAGTAACGAAGCATCGAACAGAACACTGAGTGATGAAAAGTACATCCATTGCCCATGGTGGTCCACGGGCTAATTAGCTTCTTACTAACATTCTAATAATTATTGTTGACCCATAGACAATCTCACAGACAGTGAGACGGCATCAACTTCTCACTTCTGCATGAAACTATTTCTGTATTATTAAGCACTATGGTATGATTAGTTTTAAGAATTGATATTAATCTGGAGGCTGAAGATGACAGGTAAGTGGGTATGTAAGGACATATTGATAAATATATATGATATATATCATATATATATAGAGAGAGAGACAGAACATCACCACAGCTGTGTTTAATTAATTTCTGTACTTAACATTAATTATTATTAGTGTGTGATGTATGTGTGTGGTGCGCATAACATGGCACATGTGTTGAAATCAGAGGACAGCTTTATGGAGTTGTGTCTCCTTCCACCTTTATGTGGGTTCCAGGAGTTGAACTCATATCCTCAGGATTGTGCGACAAGCCCCTTTACCCACTGAGCCATCCTGCCAGCCCTAATTTCTGTATTTTATGGATAACAAATTGGTTATAACTACTTGTTGCTAGATGTGTCTGTATTATTTTGTATCATTCAGCTCTATTTTTGGCTAATCTGACTATGTTCAATAATGATACAAATATTTTTGAGCAACATTTTATAGGTGTGAATGCTATGCAGAAAAACCTATCATGTACATACCCGAAAGCCACATATTTTTTATCCAGATAGGGAGTTGCTTGTAGTGTGATGTAGAATTGTGACCCATTGGTATGACGACCTTTATTGACCATTCCAAGAACTCCTCTTTTATCATGAGGAACCGAAAAGTTTTCATCTAGGAAAGAATAATCAGTAGGTCACTGAAGTATCTGTATTGTTGCCAACAATGACAGCATTTAGGGAGCAAAGGGAACTTGGTAACAGGCTTCACAGTACTTCCTGATATACCCCAATTAGTTTTGATGATTTTCAAACATTCAAGCAAACTTTCTTAGAGTTGTGAAAGCTTACCAGAACTGCCTGAGCACTTAGCTCATCTGTCTCTTGTGCGGTATGTACAGAAGGACAGCAGGCTTCCTTGTGCTGTCTGCAGTGGACCTTCGTTCAGACAACCATGAGAGCGTTACAAAGACCCTTCTCAACTCCTTCACGGGTCTGTCTGCCCTCCCCTGCAGCACCTTACATGGACCTGTCACAGTCCTCCTATACTGCGGAGTCCCTGGGCTATGCAGGTTACATGTCCTGTGTGTGAGCAGGACCCTTGTCTGGTGGGTATAATCCTAGGACTCCTGACACCTTAACTGGATTAGCTCTGCTCCTAAATACCGATTATGAAGATAGTAATCTATGCTCATTTTCACTTGTATTCAAATACATTTTAATCTCCAGCCTCCCATGGGTTGACTTTTAAGGGAAAGGTTAGTTTGGGGTGTCTAAGTGCAAATGTGTAAGGTTACATGTGAGAAGAACACAGCATTGATGATGAGGCCATCAATTTCAGAAGTGTCACCCCCAGTTTTGTTTTCTGTGACAATTAATCTTCTTTGCCAACTTGATAGGATTTTAAATCATCTTGGAAATACACCTGGGGAAGTGTCCATGAGGGGTTTCCAGAAAGTAACTGAACAGGAAATAGTCACTCTGAATGAGCACAGACTGAGTAAAGAGGAAGACGTGAGCTGAGCATCAGCATTCATCTCTCTCTGCTTCCTGCCTGGATGAGATGACATCTGTTGCTTCACACTCCTGCCGCCCTGCCTTCCCCACCGCCGTGATGGACTGCACCTTCCCACTGTGGGCCGAAACAAACCCACCCTGCCCACCTAACTACAACAGCCTCCAAGTTCAAATGTACTAAAACAAATGGTGGATGGCAAAGTCAGTAAAGTATTCACTGACTATGAAGTTCTGGCTTGGGGATTTAGCTCGGAAGTGAGGTACCTACCCAGCACGTGTGAGGTACCGGGTTCCATGCTAGCATAATCAGTTAATAGTCATCTAGATAGCTGGGCGTCAGGCTAAGGAAAGAGGATTGCAATTTCAAGGCCTGCCTGACCTACAGAACATTTCATGGACTCACCTCTACAAGGCGGGTCTTTTTCAAGGGAAAGTCCTATATTTACTATAGCAGTTATCTAGTTATGTGAGAGTGTATGCAGAGGCCAGAGGTTGATGGCAAGTGTCTTCATCAATTGCGCCCCCACTTAAGTTACTGCTGTAGGGTCTCTCACTGAACCCAGAGCTCACTGATTTGTAAATCTAGTTATCCAGCTTGCCCTGATGATCCCTTGTCTCTGCCTCCTCAGGGCTAAAATCAGAGGAAGGCTGCTAAGACCATGTAGCTTTTATGTGGGTTGCTAGGGATCTGAAATCTGGTCTTCCAAGCAAGTGCATTATTCACTGAGCCATCTCCCCAGCCTGTCTCTCTTGTGTTTTAATAGAACCCTCATTTTTGCCATAAGCTGTGTGATTTTTTTTAAAGATTTATTTATTTATTATGTATACAGCATGTATGTCTGCATGCCAGAAGAGGGCACCAGATCTCATTACAGATGGTTGTGAGCCACCATGTGGTTGCTGGGAATTGAACTCAGGATCTCTGGAAGAGCAGTCAGTGCTCTTAACCTCTGAGCCATCTCTCCAGCCCACTGTGTGATTTTTTTATTGCATGGTGTTGCATGATGCAGAGGGTTTTTGTTTGTTTTCTTTTTTAAATTTTTCTGAGACAAGGTTTCTCTGTGTAGCCCTACCTGTCCTGGAACTAGCTCTGTAGACCAGGCTGTCCTCAAACTCAGACATCTACCTGTCTCTGCTTCCCAAGTGCTAGGATTAAAGGCGTGCAATACCACTGCCTGGCTGTTTTCTATTTTTTTAAAGATTCATTTATTTTTTATTTTGTATGTATATATTTGCATGTTCATGCCTGGTGCCCACAAAGGCCAGAAGAGGGCATCGGATCCCCAGGCAGTTGTGAACTGTCCAACTTGAGTGCTGAGATGCAAATCCAGGTTGTCTGTAGGAGCATCAAGTGCTCTTAGGCACTGAACCATCTCTCCACCCCTGCTACTTTCCGTGAAAGGATTTAAAATATTTACTAGTGGTGTGTGTGTGTGTGTGTGTGTGTGTGTGTGTGTGTGTGTGTGTGAAGGTCAGAGGACAGCATTTTGGAGCTGGTTCTTTCCTTCTGTTGGGGGTTCAAGGGACATCATTACTGCCAAGCCATCACAGTAGCACCAATGAGATTCCTTTGGAACATGTCATGCTGAAATGGAGACTGTACCTGGATGCAGAGGCTTTCCTATCTCTTGGTGCATTCTTTCAACAGAGGCACAGAATTTCTGCTGTCTTTGTCTCTGTGATGTTCAAGGGGTGCTGTGGGATGTCTTTCTGTATGCTGTGAGTATGTGTGGCTCCTATCGGATAATAAATAAAGCTGTTTTGGCCTATGGCAAGAAAGCTTACAGCCAGGCGGGAAATCCAAGCAGTGATACAGAGGGAAGAGCAGAGTTGGGGGAGACACCAGCCTGCCACAGAAGGAACAAGATGCCAGCAGACCAGTAACACCATGGCCACGTGGCAACATACAGATTTATAGAAATGAGTTAATTTAAGATGAAAGCTAGCTAGCAAGAAGCTGAAGCCACAGGCCATACAGTTTGCAATTAATATAAGCCTCTGAGTGATTATTTTATAAGCAGCTGTGGGACCACGGGTGGCAGAGATTCATCTTGACTGCTGGGCAAGGCAGGACCGGAGAAACTTCCCTCTACAGAGGGGCTGATGCAACAAGGGCCTCCATCCATGTTTCACTGTGGCCAGGTGAGCAGCCACTAGCCTACGGTATCATTTCCTTTTCATTTATTTTTTTTTTCTTTTTTTTGATTTTTTCGAGGCAGGGTTTCGCTGTGTAGCTTTGCGCCTTTCCTGGAACTCACTTGGTAGTCCAGGCTGGCCTCGAACTCACAGAGATCCGCCTGCCTCTGCCTCCCGAGTGCTGGGATTAAAGGCGTGCGCCACCACCGCCCGGCTCCTTTTCATTTATTAATTGGATGTGTGTATGTGTGTTTGTTTATATGGTGTATACACACATGGGCAGGTGATGCATAGGTGCCTGAACCTGTGCACACGCTTGCAAAGAACTGTGGAAGTTTGAAGAGAACTGCCCCACAGGCTCATATATTTAGATGCTTCGTTGTCAGTTGGTAGACTGTTTGGAAAGATTAGTTCGGTGTGGCCTTGTAGGAATAAGTGTGTTGCTAGGAGTGAGCTTTGAGGTTTCAAAAGCCTATGCCAGGCCCAGAGTTCCTCTGCCTTCTGCCTGGCAGATCAGGATGCAGCTCTCAGCTACTTCTCCAGCACCACGTCTGCCTGCCACCATGCTCCGCACCAAGAGGATAATGGACTGACCCTCTGAAACTGTAAGAAAGCTCCCACCTGAATGCTTTTCTTCTGTAGAGTTGCTATGGTCATGGTGTCTCTTCACAGCATTAGAACAGTGACTAAGACAAGGGCAGAGGGAGACTCCAGGTGTCCCACTCTACCTTTCCTCACTTTACCTCTTTTGAGACAGGATCTCTCCTTGAACCTGGAGCTTAGCTGGTGGCCATAAGCCCCAGCACCTCCACTCCTAGACAGAGACATGGTACAGGTGCATACAAACATGCCCAGCTTTTTCATGGTGCTAGAATCCAAACTCAGGTCTTCACGCTTGAGCAGCAGGTGCCCCTACCCACAAAGCCATCTCTCCAGCCTCTGGACTATCTTTTTTTATAAAAACATCTTTCATAAAAGATGTTTCTTCCATCCATCTATCCACCCACGTCTGTCTGTCTATCTATCTATGTAAATATCTATCCACCCATCTATCTTGATATTATTTTTGAGACAGGATCTCACTATGTAGCTCTGGCTGTCCCAGAACTCTGTATGTAGAACAGGCCGGCTTCCAACTCACAGAGATCTGCCTATTTCTGCCTCTTGTGCTCTGGGGTTAAAGGTGTGTGCTGTCACACTCAGCTGAGATAATTCTCTTTATCTACAGATTGATGTATTTCATACAATGCTGGAGGTCACTAAGAACATACAGCAGATGACAACCCAACAGAGGGCTAACTCTGATGGGGAGCCCCACGAGGCAAAGGCCGTGGGGTCACTGGCTGTGGATACCATTTGTTTCTGTCTGTAATTTTCTCGTGGATGGTCAGGAAGATGACTTCTTCTTAAGCTGTGTAATTTTGATGAATAGAAATAATGCTAGGATATTTTTCATAGCTCAAACTGACATAGGAAAATAACAGTATTCTCAGCTACAAAGACAGCTTTTTACATGTTTAGTTGATTTAAGACCTCAGAGCAAATTCAAAGCAGACTAGTTGCCCCTGAAAATGAATTGCACAAGGACAGATTCCAAACTGTCTGTTGGTTGAACCAAAGTCAGGCACAAAACAACTTTAGTAGACATTAACTCCCTGTACAGATTCTCTCAGCAACCGACTCTCTGTGCAGACGATGCAGGGCTTAAGGTCTAGCCAACTGTTTATTGTTTAGGTCCTGAATTTCAATGTCACCCTCCATCAGGAAATACTGGGTGCTCAGCCTATGTGCCTCCTGACGTCCCAAGTCTGAGAGAAACTGTGTGATTTCTTATGGCTCTGTTCCTTATTGTTTACTCAAGAAATGTTACGTGGCCCTCAAAATGTACCTCATATATTTGTCCAGAGATTTTTCTGTGAGAGAGCTGTACAGAGGAGAGATGTAGCTGTGCTGAGAGATGATGTAGCTGTGTGGAGATTTTTCAGGGAAGGTTTCTCAAGGTGAAATAAAAGTTACCATCAGAACCCATGCGTTTCTTTCCTTACCCCTCAGATGGAAAAGATTGGCCCTTGCCACATTCATGGATTTTTTTTTTTGCATACCCTGGGTGCTGCTGGAGGCTAGTCCTCCAGGCAGTGATAATAGAGAATAGATAATAGAAAACTGATTACCTCAGTTTTCAAGATATCAGTTTTTTTAAAGACTTATTTTTATTTATATAAGTATGTGTATATGTGCATGGGTGTATAGGTGCCCATGCAGTCCAGAAGAGGGCATTGGATCCCTTGGAGCTGGAGTTACAGGTAGGTGATTGTGAGCTACCTGATATGGATGTTGGGAACCAAACTCAGATCCTTGCTAAAAGCAGTATGCACTCTTAAACACTGAGGCGTCTCTCCAGCCCCAAGATAATGCATTCTTTTTCAATCATTCCTCCAAAGGTAACCAGTTAGATTTTATTTTATAATACGGTATCATTATGAACTTGTGGGTTTAAAATATATGTTGACTTCCAACCAATTGCAATTATTATTTTTTTATGGAGGTCAAATGACCACATCTTTGATCAGTGACAACCTTTTCAAACTGGATCTGTTGGCATTTTGCCATAACTCCTGTAATCTTCAATAGCATTCCTGCTATCTGGTAGAACACAGGGGAACTAACTAATACACTGGGATTTGTCTTAAAGAAATAGGCAAGTAAATGTGTGCACAAAGCTGCTGTGGACTGGACCAAGAGGTTGGTTGCTTGAGATGTCTCATGTAGCTACATATCTGAGGATGACCTTGAACTCCTAATCATCCTTTCTCTACCTCCTCAGTGCTGGGATTACAAACACAACCTACCATACACAGTGGTCTGGGAGATCCAACCCAGGGTTTCATACATACTAGGTAAGCAAGCACCCTACCAACTGAATTACATCTCCAATCCCAGTTTTTTGTTTTGTTTTGTTTTAGAATACCACTCAGTCTTTAATCAGGCAAGGGCAAAGCTCCACTTTAAAAAAACATCTGCAGTTTGAAGAGTAAAACCATTTTTTTTATTAAGATTTATTTATTATGTATACGGTGTTCTGCCTGCGTACATGCAGAACACCAGAAGAGGGCACCAGATCTCATCACAGGTGGTTGTGAGCCACCACGTGGTTGCTGGGAATTGAACTCAGGACCTCTGGAAGAGCAGCCAGTGTCCTTAACCACTGAGCCATCTCTCCAGCCCCAACCATTTTTGACTTTCATTTCTACTGAATATTATCCCAAATTGTCTCATTTGAACCCTTTCAAATTTCAATAACCAGCTAATATATGACTGAGAAACTTGAAAGACACCTACCTTCAAATGTTGGTCCATAAATAGACTCTCCATCGTCTCCTTTCCCCTCTACTATATCTGAGAAATAACAACACCCAGATTAGAACAGTGATGGCAGAGGGAAGACGGGGCCTTTAATGCTGACTGTTTACATCTTACATCAAATCTAGAGTAAGCTGCCCAATTGAAAATATTACTACCATCACTTCACTTTATCATGTAATTGTTTTTATTTTTTATAAATTCATTTTGTTGTCATAACTCTCTGGGGGTAACAAGTTATAGTAAAAGCTTTGAAAAATGTTAAATTATCATTATGGCCACAATTAAAGAAGATATTCACACAAACACATTTGCTTCAAAAGTTATTTCATGTGGTAGTTTGAATGTAATTGGCACTATTAGAAGGTGTGGCTTTGTTGGAGGAAGTGCCTGTGGAGGCAGGCTTTGGGGTCTCATATATGCTCAAGCCACGCCCAGTGTCTCACACCACTTCCTGTTGCCTGCTGATCAAGATGTAGCTCCTTCTCCACTCTCAGCTCCTTCTCCAGCACCATGTCCTGCCATGATGATAATAAACTAAACCTCTGAAACTGTAAGCCACTCAATTAAATGCTTTCCTTTATAAGAGTTTCTGTGGTAATGGTGTCTCTTCACAGCAATGGAAACTCTAACACATTCCATATTTCACCTTGCTTTTCAGAGAAGTGGAAAGAGTAAACTGAGAAGAAGAAATGGAAAAAGTTCTCTTTGAACATGAATGAAAATAGATGCTCTAGGTGGGGGGTGGGGGTGGGGAGTAGTTCATATGGTAGAGTGTTTTCTGTGAAACCATGAGGACCTGAGTTTGATCCCCAGCATCCACATTAAAAGCTGGTAGGTGGCACATGCCAATGATCCCATGGATCCTGTCCAGGCACCTTAGCCTAACTGGCAAGCTCCAATCCCAGTGAGAGACTGTATCTCAAAAAACGAGGTGTAGCATGAATGTTAAAGAGTCTTATTAATAAAATCAAACCTGAGTCAGGTAATGGGGTGAACACTGGAAGATCAGAGAGACAGAACAAACCACAGCTAACCTCACCTGGCCAACTTCTCTGCTGGTCTTGTTTCCTCAGACTGGAAGCTTCTGTGTCCTCATATCCGAATGGCTCTCAGCTGAACTGCTGCTAGAAAGCCTGAAAGCTTAACCAGCCAAATGCTTAACCAGCCAAATGCTTCTAGTTTCTGGTCTCCATGCCTTATATATCTTTCTGTTTTTGCCATCACTCCCTGGGATTAAAGGTTTGCTTTCTGGGATTAAAGGTGTGAGTCCCAATGCTTGGCTGTATCCTTGAGCAGATGGATTTCTGCCTCTGGAATGCTAGGATTAAAGGCGTGTGCTACCACTGCCTATCCTCTATGTTTAATATTGCGGTTGTTCTGTCTCTGACCCCAGATAAGTTTATTAGCATGCACAATATTTTGGGGAATACAATACCACACAAGGTGAACATCTCTGGAGGAATGGTACCCAAGGTTGACCTCCGGCCTCCACACATGTGCATACAAACCTGCAAATACTCACACACACACACACACACACACACACACACACACACAAGTAGATACCCTTTTAAAAAGTCACATTCAGATTTTCATTCCTTTAGTCACTCTTGGCTGGGAGTGTAGCTCAGTGGTAGAGCACTTGCCCAGCATGTACAAGACCCTGAATTTGACAACCTGCACTGTGGAAAGCATCATTATCCATAATAATAACTTACTTATGGAAATGATGTTTTGGAAACAAAATTCCTTTTGATATAATAAGAGGGTTTTCATTTATTTGTCTTTGGTGTTTATAGGAGCTGCATACTTTGGCTTAGGCAATGTTCCCCAAGTTATTTTATATACACCCACAGTGGAGGTAAACAGGTCTGCCTTCTGTGTCCCAGCCTCCCCATCGGTACACGCTACTTCCTTTAGCTCTCTGATCCACTCCCTCCTCTGCAATGTTCAATAAATATTGGCTGAATAACTGAGCTATCTTATCTAAGTCTAGGCAAGCAAGCTTTTGGTTTTTTTTATTTTTAATTAGGATCTGATACAACAGTAAGCACACAGAGAAAAGTTATTTGGAAAAGTGAATGGAGCATCTAAATCATGCTATTCATTGTTGATTCAAAAAACAAAACAAAACCCACTCCCCCCGCCAAGAAATAAAGTTCTCACCTCACAGGGGTTAAGATACTTTATTGTGGAGCCAAATTTGAATGCACATGGCCCCGGAAAACATGGAGCTAGGCTATCCCAGGTTCCATGTTCCACATGGAAGTGGTTTCAAGAAATGTTATAGTAACAGAAAAAAAATTATAAATCTAAGCATTTAAAAAATACATTGGTGGAAACACCAGGGAGGCAGTTACAGAAAGATAGGGTAATTTCTCCTCTAGGCCTCAGATACTATCTGATGGCTTTCTTAGACTTGGGGTTGGTGGAAGCTGGCGGTCTGCTAAGTTAATAAATTCTGAAAGCTTTTAATTTGTTAATTACAGGATGTTAGGGTTGACATAGAGATATTCAAGGAATAGCTGCCTGGGGGGGGGGGCTAAAGCTGGCCCAAGATAGAGTGTACTCTTGTCTTACTTCGTATTCTTGTCTCACTGTCTGAAATGTGACCCAACACCTGCACACCTTGCCGTCTGGAAATCTTAGATATACAGAAAAGAAACTTCCACAGAGACTATGACCTGTCTTACCCAAGTCTTGTTCTGAGGAAATTGAGAAACAAAATAGAGCAACTGAATCCTAGTCCCTGAGAGTAACCATCACTGGGTAGCTGCTTTTCAAACTGTTATTACTTTGATTAATTGAGGTGTCTGTCTGTCTGTCTGTCTGTCTCTCTCTCTATCTCTCATCACTGGGCAGCAGCTATCTTCAAACTTTTCATTACTTTGATTAAGCACTCTCTCTCTCTCTCTCTGATATAGGAATGATAGGGAAAAAAGGTAGATTATTGAATCTTCTTTAATGCAAAAAAAAAACAACTATTAATCTCAAAATATTTTACACTGCTATGGATTTTGGTTTAGTGATACAAATTTAAAGTAAATTTTGTTATACTGTATGTATGTTTCTACTCTTGTTTGGGGTATTGTGTTTATGTAGCTCATTTAAAATGTAATGTATAATTAAGAAATACAGATAAATAGTCATCTATAATAGTCAAACTTATAGTCATGTTAGGTATGTTTTCAAGGTCATGTACAAATATATAAAGATAGATGGTCTTCAAACACTTTAAAAATCTATAAAATATGGCATTTAATATGTTTAATAACCTAAGGCTTTTCATGACAGTGAGACATGTCTGCTCCTGACAGCACCAATCTACTTCAACAGAAGATGATAGGCATCAGAGAAACTCTGTATGGAGTTTACTTTCTTTCTGGCAAAAGCTAGCCATTTGGGCAAAGAAACTGTCCTTACCTCAATTGCTGATAGTGTACTGTCCAAACTGGACCAGCAGGACACAAAAGAAAATGGCTGTCAAACTTTGCCAAGACAAGGCAGGACAGTCCTTCAAAATTCTCTGCTTCTCTGAAAAGTCTGTCAGATGTTCTAGGCCTGTAGGCCACAGATGGATGCCCCAATGTTACAGAAGAACTTTGGGTGACTGTCCAGGCAGCAAGATATAACTGTCATTAAGTAACATTTTACTCTTCTGGGGTGTTTGACAGAGTTGAGGACTAGATAGTCATAGTTAAAGTTTTCCTTAGTTGTGATAAAAGGTAAATTAGGTATAAAACTTTAGACTCACACAGATAAGATAAACAAGAGTATTTTCTCTAAATTTGCTAAAAACACATGGACTGGATATTGTAACTGTAATACTTACTTAATAACTGTTTTTGTTATATATACTTTTATTATGTTAAAGTTAAAACCTTTTTAATTAAACAAAAAGAGGGAAATGCTGTGGAACAAACTTTGTACACTGTAAATATGTCTTACTTTCATTGGTTAATAAAAAAGCTGACTGGTCAATAGCTGGACAGGTAGAGGTTAGGTGGGAGAGCCAGACTGAGAGGACACTGGAAAGGAGGAGGAGTCTGGGGAGTCAGGATGCCTGTGTGTGTGTGTGTGTGTGTGTGTGTGTGTGTGTGTGTGTTTGTGTGTGTGTGTGTGTGTGTTTCAGTGCAAGCGTACCTTAGTGCACACTTCTAGCCTTCCACTGTGTGGATCTCAGGGGTGGAATCTGGCCATCAGGCTTGGCATCAAGAGCCTTTATCTGCTGAGTCAGTTCACCAAACCAACACAGTCTCTCTTGAGGATTGATTATACTTCTTTTCTTTATAAGATTTCATCTCTCTCTCTCTCTCTTATCTATCCATCCACCCATCCATCTACCCACATACCCACCCACCCACTCACTCACCCATCTACCCATCTACCCACCCATCCTTCCATCCACCCACCCACCCATCCATCCATCTACCCACCTACCAGCCCCTCCCTCCCTCTCTCCCTCCCTCCCTCCCTCCCTCCTTCCCTCCCTTCCTCTCTTTCTTTTTGTTGTTGTTGCTATTGTTTTTTGAGATAGGATCTCTCTACACAGTCTTGGCTGTGCTGGAACTCACTATGTAGACCAGCCTGGCCTTGAACTCACAGAGATCTGCCTGCCTCTGCATCCCAAGTGCTGGAATTAAAGGCATGGCCCAGCCTCATTCCATTTTCAAATTCTCATCCTTAGCATGCTTCTTAAAATGTGATTCTAGGTATTTTTATGTATTTACTTGAACTTTTAAAAGTACTTTTTGATTTTAAAAAATGTCATCTTACTCTATGTCACTTTTTAATTTGCATTGTTCCTGGAACTAGAACTTAAATTGGGGATTAAAAAATACAAATATGCTAGTGAATCATTTGACCGTATAAAACATCCTTTAAGTTATACATCTGTTATTATCCATATCTAGTTCTGGGGCTGGAGATGGCTCTATGAAGTGCTCCCTATGCAAGCATAAGTGCCTGAGTTGGATTCCAGAACCTACCAAAAAGAAGCCAGATGAACAGCTTGGTGCGGTGGCACACGCCTTTAATCCCAGCACTCGGGAGGTAGAAGCAGGCAGATCTCTGTGAGTTCAAGGCCAGCCTGGTCTACACAGTAAGTTCCAGGACAGCCAGATACAGTGAGACACTGTCTTGAAAAAACAAAACAATAACAACAACAAAAGAATGGACACTTGGTTTGTCTAGCAGGCCTGAAGGCTTTCCCTCCAGAACCCCAGCTCTTGCCTGAAGGGCAATTCACCTTAGCACCTCTCTCTTGAACATAGCTCCATCCAACATGTTGCTGGCCAGTAAGTACTTGGCAGAGCCTGAGCAAACAACCCCCGAGGTTTGACCTCATGCACATCTGCATATGCCATGCCCTACCCCCAACACACAAAGAACATCCAAGGCCTGGTATGGTAGGGCACACCTTTATGCCAGAACTCAGTGGGTAGAGACAGACAGATCCCTGTGATTTGGAGGTCAGGCCTAATTCTTTACCAATTTTATAAAGGTAAATGAATAAACACTAGGGCACTCTGCTTAGATGTCATATTTAAAGTTTGCAGCTTACCTCCTCCTTGTACCCAACCATTCTGGACTACTCGATGAAAAATCGAATCTTTGTAATGAAGCTTTATACCTCTCTGAGAAAACCCTGCCATTCCTGTGCACAAGACCTGGAAATTTTTACATGTTTTGGGACATGTATCGCAATATAGCTACAAAATAAAGATGAAAGGTTTCAATGATTACTCAATATTTTATCAATTACAGACTCCTCAAAACTTATTTGAAAAAAAAAACAGCAAAATTCTCTTACCTCAAAAATCAGTCTTCCAATTGGAGAAAGATCAATACAAATGTCCAAGTACACAAAGTCATGCTATTAAAATTATTGAGAAAAAAAATAACACAGGTCAGTGTTTTGTAAGCTTTGGAAATATTAAAAACAATAAAGCATTCTTTTCAGTGATAAGATTTTAACCACAACATGAACAGATAACAGCAAGTACAATCTGAACCATAATACTCACAGATAACAACCGTAAATGCAATGACCTAAAGGGATCTTTAAATTTATTTGACCAAGTCTTGATAATGTATATTACACAATCATTTAAAAACCTCTCAGTGTTGAAGCTTTGAACAATGTTAACTTATCACGCAGGCCTGGGAGCACATGACCTAGAAATACGCAGATGCCAGGGCTCCGTGTGGACAGGAGCAAGGGGCAGTCACCTGGGGACAGAAACAGACTAGGGATTCTTCACTACGCTTCTTTGCTGAGTAGGTTTGGGAAAAGAGCCAAGTGAGTGTCGTGGAGCTGGCGACTGTGTGTCCTGGATTTCAGAGACTTTGGCGGCCACATGGAGCCAAGCCACACCCCTTCTGACTGGGAAAATATGACCACTGTTCCCACTAGCGCTTTGGCACCAAGGGCCTGGAAGAGAAAGGGGGTGCCTCCCAGTCCCTTTAGTGCACGCTCTCCTGTTCAACAGTCCTCACGTGCTGTCACGTGGTGTACCTCACGGTAGAGATGACTGGTTCTGAGGGAGGCTTTGTGTAGCCACGTAAAAGGGCGTCCTAAGTTGGGCACCGTGGTTCCTGTCTGTAATCCCAACACTTGTGACGCTAAGGCAGGAGGACTGCTCTGAGTCCAAGGTCAGCCTAGGCAGGCTACTAAGACCTTGTTTCAAAACCAAAACAAAACAGAAAGGCATCCAAAATGAACACGCTAGTCTTTCCCCACTTAGCTCTCCGGGAGCACTGTACATCTAATGGTGTTTCAGACCCTGGACAGCTCTGCCACATACAGAATACCAACTTAATGCAGCATGTAACTGCCCTCCCTTCTTCCTCAGAAAATCTGGGAAACGCATGATATTTCTCGAAATACATCGTATTGTTTCATGTCACTCTAATCTTTTTACGTTGTTTTGTTAAAAGACTGAAATTCGTGCTGTCTGGCATCTAGCAAGGAACTATTACAAGCATACTAAGTATGACTAAGATTTTCTGTTGTTTTTTCAGAGTGTCTCACTGTCCAGCCCAGGCTGGTCTGGAACTCATTACATAGCCATAGCCCAGGCTGACCTTGAACTCGTGGAAATCTTTCTATCTCAGCCTCCTGAGAGCTGGGCTTACAGGCTTACAGGACTGTCATGTGCTCGCTAATTAGAATTAATTGGTTTGTGCCTCTTAGCTTCTGTACTCCAAGTTCTAAACTATCAGAGAATGCTATACTAAAGAACGGGAGGCAGAATATAACACACCTCACATGCTTCCCAGGGACAAGAGGCAATGTCAGAAATTGTGGCTGCCTGGGAAATGAATTCAAAGTCTATCAGGCATAATTAACCTCCCTGTGCCTCAACTGATTATCTTTATAGGGCTGTCAGGAGCAGACAACTCTAGATGAGCATGGCAGAACACACTTCTAATCTCACTAATCTCAGCTCTAGAGAGGCAGTGAGATCCCTAGTTTGCAGCTAGCCTGGGCTACTTATAGTCCCTACCTTAAAAATAACAACCAAAAGGAAAAAAACAAAGATAATTCTGAAAATGCTCATGACAGAGACAAATGAATGCTATACAAAGTAACATCCAGTCCCCAGGAGCCAAACACACAAACAGACTTGCCGGGCAGGACATTCCAACCCAGAAATAAACAGGAGAATCCACCCTCCGTGAAAACACTTAGTCTTTTCCCAGGAAACTAGGTCCTCCATTCTCAGCCGCAGCCGTTAATTCACGCTTTCATTATTTTTAGCGTTAATTCACACTTTCATTATTTCTAGCATATTTCACCACAGCCCTTTCCAAACACCTACCCCGACACCAGCTTGCTTTGGCACAGCTCCAACCAACACACCCCAAAGCAAAGAGGGTTATGTCCTAGTCTATGAAAAGCCCTGCTGGACTGTTTTCCTTCTGGACAAAATCTCCCGCTTCAGAACAGATAGTAAATCAGCATCCGGCCTCAGTTTTCTTTATGACCTCCTGGATTTCCCCATCCTACTTAACACCTCACCATCCTTCCTATCTGGGCAACATCCCACTGGGTTTCACAAGCATTGCCAGAACATGCAGGGCCAGATTCTCCCTCCTCCCACTCTGCGACTGTCGGGTTGTGGACATGTGGCCTAGATTTGCTGGACAAGTAAGTGTTCCTGGAGCCCTGGGCCTCAGGAAGTATTATAAAGATACGAAAAACGTTGGGAAGCCACGCTCCTTGATGATGGGGCCAGCATGAACCTGGGGCGAGTGGTTGATGAACCTGGGGTGGCACGCTGGCCCATACTCCTCTGGCATGGCTCTGGTCATTTCCCTAGTAGGTGGCCTCCCTTGTTCCTACTGTTAGGATCCTGCTCTCACTCTTCCGGGTCTAACGTCTTACATCATGGGGTGGCGGGGCGGGCGACTGCATACCGCCTCGTGGTCACGCAATCTCTGCCTTAAAAAGCCGCCCACGGACCCCCGCCCTCTCTCTCTTTTCTGTTTCCTCTCTGCTCCCGGCATCTTTCTGCCTCTCCAGGCCTGGTTTCTTTCTCATAAAGCTCTTTCTGACTCTGGATGTCGGAGCCGTGGCTTGTTCCGCTGCACCTGCAGACCCACCCACGCTGTTCTTCCTTTCACCTACCTGGTTTCAAAGCCATTTCCCCGGCTTTCCTGTGACCTCGGGGAGTCAGCACCACTGCTGTATCTATCTTTGTTTCTTAAGTTAGTCACAGTAACTTCAGACCACTGACACCTAGACTCATTTTCAGTCTCAATTTCTCAGCCTAATGATTACATTTCCTGCCTTCCTTGTGGCCACTGACACTCCTGGGGACCACCACGTGCCGCCGGGACTCCTGTCCCTTTGGGAATTAATCGTGAACAATAAATTCTCTATACCTCAGAGTTTTCAGCATTTTAAAAATGCATTGTTTACTCAACCAAACACTCAGTGGGTACCCCCCATGCTTCTGAGTTCCTGTTCAAAGCAATAGTTAAATAGGGTCACCAGACAAAGTCTTTGCCTCTGCACAGCTCAAGTCCTAGCACTGAGTCATTCTGTGCAGCCCTGGCTGTCCTGGAACTCACTCTGTAGACCAGGCTGGCCTTGAACTCAGAGGCTACCTGCCTCTGCCTCCCGAGTGCCAGGATTAAAGGCATGCGCCACCACCGCCCGGCTTGGATCTAATTTTCTTTATTGCTAATTGATGGCGGAGGCCCAGCCTAATATGGCAATGCCATCCTGGACAGGTAGGCCTGGACTGTAGAACAAAGTTCACTTCCTGTTGCCTGTGGATCAAGATGTAGAACTCTCAGCTCCTTCTCCAGTACCATGTCTGCCTGCACGCTGCCATGTCCTGCCATGATGATAATGGACTAAACCTCTGAAACTGTAAGCCAGCCCCAATTAAATGTTTTCCTTTTTAAGAATTGCCATAGTCATGGTGTCTCTTCACAGCAATAGAAACCCTATGACAGTCCTCATTCTGTAGATCAAATTACTCAGGGGCTGATGGTCAATCTTAGTTAATTCTTTTCAGACTTTTAATCTCAATACAGTAGCTCTCACTTAGGTGTTAGAACTATTAATTGAAGTATTTCAGGGCCAGGGCTGGAGAGTTGGTTCAGATGATAACCACACTTGATGCTCTTCCAGAGGAAACAAGTTCAGTTCCCAGCACCCACATCAAGGGGCTCCCAAATGCCTTTAACTTCAGCTCCAGGGGAACCGAACACCCTCTTTTAGCCTCTGAGTGTCTGCATACGTGTGGCACACACAGGGCCAGTGAGATGGCTCAGCAGGTAAAGCCCTTATTTACTCTACAGCCCGATGGCCCAAGGTACCACATAACAGGGGAGGCGAGAAACGACTAGACAAGCATCCTGTGGTCCACAGGCCCTCCCCATCAATAACAGTCACCAGTTCCCGCTCTGCTGTGAGACGGGGTCTGGCTATACTGTCCAGATCGGCCTTAGAATAATGGGTACAAACAATCTTCCTGCCTCAGTCTCCTGGGAAGCTAAGACTATAGGTGCATATCCAAGGGTGTTTACGCTCTAATAGGAGTAATTCATCATATACACCTTGAGAGGGGAGGAGAAACAGTCTGCTGTGACAAACATCTGCTTTACACATTGCAAACCCTGAACTTGAATCCTTTGCAACTGGTCTTAATAAGGTCACTAGGAGCCGGGCGGTGGTGGCGCACGCCTTTAATCCCAGCACTCGAGAGGCAGAGCCAGGCGGATCTCTGTGAGTTCGAGGCCAGCCTGGACTACCAAGTGAGTTCCTGGAAAGGCGCAAAGCTACACAGAGAAACCCTGTCTCGAAAAACCAAAAAAAAAAAAAAAATAAGGTCACTAGGGGTGTACATCTTAATCTCTTGGTGTATCTCCTTTGAGAGCACACCAGCAGTTAATGCTGAATTAATACAAATGATGAAAAATTCTGTTAAAACTCTGTGTAACTTGCCTTGGTGTCTTTCAAGAACTTGGTGGCATAATTCAGAGTGAGTGCCTCATACAGTGCGGAGGGTCGGACATCAACCACGTCCCACACCTTCTGGGCCCACTTCTTCAGGTCAAATGCATTGCCCAGGAACTGATCATTGACGAAGCACATCACATAGGAGGAATATACCCAGGTGTCACCCTTCAGTTCCTACAGGGAAATGGGGGTGGGGGTAATGACAGAAAGAAAAAACAACTTCTAAAACCACAAACAAGAGCTTGAGATTAACTCTACAGCCTGATTTGCCAACTACGGGATTAACTCTTTTAAAATATGTTTTTTAAAAACCACCTTTCAGAATTCTGCAGTCAAAAAGAATTTAACATTTTTGAGACTCTTAACATAATGAAGGACAGAGAACAACCTAGAAAGCAATCTTTAAACTATTACAATCATAGATAGATGAAATTTGGTAATAATAATATCTACATAGTACACTTGTTCCATTAATTTGTGAATCCAATGCAGTCCCTGTCGCCATTTATGAGACACACTTTATTTACTGTGCGTTCTTGGAAGAGGATCTGAGTAAGATACGGTTTTCAATGCAAGAACTGAGGGGTGTGTGTGTGTGTGTGTGTGTGTGTGTGTGTGTGTGTGTGTATACATGTGTGCAATGAAAGGCATGGGACCCAGGCATGAGACGGTGATTATTCTGGATAGAAAGGACTATCTTTAGGAACTGTCTCCTGAGGGTCAACAGGAGTTTTTATAATCAGGGACAAAGAAGAAAATTCACCTTCCCCAACACTGTTAAACCTAAGCCACTTATGATGAAGTGTATTAGTGTTTTCCTCCATGCCATGCTGCCACCAACTTCCTAGATCCCCAGTGTGGCCTGAGCAACACCAGCCCCTGAGAATATATCTTCTAGTGCCAGCCCTGGCAAACCCTTAGTGACCTGGTGCAGCCATTTGCAAGTTTTAGTAGAATCCGATTTGTGGGTCCATAGGATTGTCTGGCTGGCCGATGGGACCTGAGGGAGAAGCTGCATGTCTAGTGGTATGCAGGGAGATGCTGGTTCTGTAACCAGAATATTGGAGTTTGTGCTGCCTGTCACCACAAGCCCCACTGAGCAGGGGACAAGAACTGAATCTTTAAGCTGTGCTTTACTCAGATAACTAACTACCTGGGAGACAGGATCAGCCCCTCATGTCTGCCTTCCCTTGTCTTCAGTTAAGCACGTCTTACAAAGAGCAAAGGCTGCCATCCCAAGTTCAGGCTTGCTCCTCTGGTCAGCCCTGACTCTGAGATTTACGGTACTGGTGCCTCTCTTTATCCCCCCCACTGTTCCCTCGTTATTTATTGTCACTTTCCATTTGGGAGATTTGGGGGCTCTCTGGACACCATCTAGGATGAGTTCACTGACAAGCAGGTGGCAGTGTGTACACGCTGAGCTGTGTGCATACAGATTCCTCCCTGTAACACGAAATAAGAACGTGCCCTTTCAATACAGGACATAAAGTGCCCGTCGGTCCCTCCTGCTCCCATCAGTCTGCGGGTCTCAAGACTACCCTGGAGAAGTGCTAGTCTGGGCAACGACTTGTCCTCTGAGGAGCTTTGATGTCCTCCGACTTGCCTTCTGGGCCTTCCTCAAAACCTGCTTCCAGCTTTTCATTCTAGAGAGCAAACTTGTTCGTGCTCAGTGGCGAATCCCTGAAAAAGGCTAAGCAGTCTCTGAAGCGTTTAGATTGACGGAGTGGTTAGAATTACTGGTGTTGTATTTTGCAAGACCCAAACCTATAGTAAGAGGGGAAAATGTAACTGTGGACATTTTGTTCGGTGAGGTGGGGGACTGCCATAGAAGACATGTAAGATATAAACATTTTATCTCTTGATGCACATGGGGAGACTTCCTGGCTTGCCTCAACGTAGGAGCCTGGCTCTGATGTTTTCTAGAGCTTTCTGTCACTAACTACTAATGATGCTGTCCTTTTTTTATTATTATTATTTTTTGGAGTGGAGAGACAGGCCTCCCCATGTGCTCTTAGGGAAGCCTTACATTCTGTGGAAGCACAAGGCAGCTAAACCTAGTGAACTGACTCACTGGGACGGCATGTGCTAGGAGGCCGTACACCTCACAAAGACATGGCGTACACTAAAAGTTAAGGTGACAAGTGTGGGCATGAGGGTGAGAGAGAGAAGAGAGGAAAGAGACCAAATAAAGCAACAAGACGAACTAGCGAGCCTCGTTCAGAACAGAGGGCCGAGGCATGCAGGGGAGTGTAAGGCAATCCTCAGGTAGCCCGGGCTGGGGAGGGAGGGAGGTGGGGTGTGTGGGAGGATGGTGGGGATGTGCACAGCTGCATGAATGCAAACCACAGGCCATAGTAGGCAGAGGATGTTAGGCTAGTCAGCGATATAAATCTGACTATAAAACTTGCAAAAATTATTTTATGTGGGGGCTAGAGAGATAGTTGCTCTCCCAGAGGACCTGGGTTCGATTCTTTAGCACCTACATGGTGGCTCACAACTGTCTCTTAACTCCAGGCCAAGATCCAATGCCCTCTTTTGGCCTTCATGGGCATAGACATGCAGGTCATGCATGGACATACATGCAGACAAAACACCCATGCACATAGATGTCATTAATTAGTCAAAAATTAATAATTGAAAAATTGTCTTATGTTAGGGTTGGTCAACTATCCCACTTTCCTTTAAATTGCTTTAGTTTAACATTGAAATACCTGTATCCCAAGCAAACCAGGACCACTGGTTCCTCCTAACTGTAGAAGGCACTGAATGTCGCCCTTCCTACCCACCTATGCTAGAATGGTGTCCTCCATTTCTTAAGCACCATATATAAGTGTTCGCTATGACTTCCTCATATGACATGTGGCTGAGTCAGGATGTTCCAGGTGACACTACCAAGAGGTAAGCCATCTGCCATCCTCCAGGCAGGCCTGGGTTCTCCAAGAGTACTGTTAGAGAAGGAATGTGGAGAACAAAGGTCCAAGTCGGACAAGCTGCTCATAGGAGGGTAGTCACTGCCAGGAGAGGTCCTCAGCCGACAGGCCCACACAACCCAGTTGTCTCTGTGAGATTCATACCCACACTTTCCAGATTAAGTGCCAGGCTACCTAAACTGAGTGCCAGAGTATCACAGGAAGGGTGGCCATCAGGGCTAGCTAGCATCTCTGACAATTTAAAACTCATCCCTTGGGGCCGGAGAGATGGCTCAGAGGTTAAGAGTACTTACTGCTCTTCCAAAGGACCCGGGTTCAATTCCCAGCACCCACATGGCAGCTCACAACTGTCTGTAACTCCAGTCCTAGGGTACTAAAACACCAATGTACATAAAATAAATAGTTAAAAAAAAACCTTCATCTCTCTCAAAAGCCACCTACAAGAATATTCTGCAAATACTTTACTGCTTAGGAAGGATGTCTAGAAAGATTGAAATAATTTAGGGTAAGTTCATAATTAAGAGAAATAATTATAGCTGGAGTTTGTCATTTTCCCAAACTGCACAAATAATTCACAGAGAAGTGGACTTGTCAATATCCCCCATGCTGACATATCCCTTACCCTCTTTTTCTCCTCTAGATACTGATCCCAGGCAAATTCTTGAAGAGGAATTATCACAGGATCTTCAAATCTGGATGGGTAATTATTTTTCAGAGTCTAGGTTACAAGATAGAATAGTTTAAGTTCTCAATTATGTATTTAATCGTTTATTTGGTGGGGGCAGGGCACACTAGCCATACATGCATGTCTGGGGACCAGGCACGGCACATAGCTGTGCATGCACATGTGGGTACCAGGTAGGGCACATAGCTGTGCATGCACATGTGGGTACCAGGTAGGGCACATAGCTGTGCATGCACATGTGGGTACCAGGTAGGGCACATAGCTGTGCATGCACATGTGGGGACCAGGCAGGGCACATAGCTGTGCATGCACATGTGGGTACCAGGTAGAGCACATAGCTGTGCATGCACATGTGGGGACCAGGCAGGGCACATAGCTGTGCATACACATGTGGGTACCAGGCAGGGCACATAGCTGTGCATGCACATGTGGGGACCAGAGGTCTTCTTTTTCTCTGCTCCAGCTTATTTGCTGAGACAGGTCTTTCGTTGAACTTAGGGCTGTTTCAGCTATCCTGGCTGGCTAGAGTGCTCCTGAGAGCTGCTGGCCTCTCCTTATCAGGCTTCGGGTGACTAGAGCAGTCTGCTGAGCTTGGCTTTCACATGAGTACCAGGACTCTGAACTCAGGTCTTTGTGCTTACACAGCAAGTACTCTACTCCCTGCCATCACCTCAGCCCCTAAATTCTCTTTTTTTTTTTTTTTTTTTTAAAGATTTATTTATTTATTATGTATACAGAATGGGGTGCCAGATCTCATTACAGATGGTTGTGAGCCACCATGTGGGTGCTGGGAATTGAACTCAGGACCTCCGGAAGAGCAGTCAGTGCTCTTAACCTCTAAGCCATCTCTCCAGCCCTAAATTCTCTTTTTAAAGTCAAACTCATTTCTCCAGATTTGTATGGGCTCTTCTGGCAGTTTCACACAGCACACACAGGCCACACTGCCTGTCTGACATGCCCTGGCCTGTTCTCAGAGGCCCCGCCAAGTCATTCCACCTGACTGGTTTGTCTCTTACCTTTAGGAACAAGATCTAGAGGGCAAGGGCATGTCTATCTTCCTATATTGCTACCACATCTGGTAAACAGTGGGCCATCGACACATAACTCAGTAAATGAGTTTATACCAATGGTTTCGGGATCTGTTCTGTTCTTTTAGAACTATTTTTTCCCCTAAATTAAACTGCTAAATATCAATAGATCTACAGGTACTTGATTTGTAGCAAAAACAAAAATACAAATATTATTCTCTTAATTTACTGATGAAGGAGAATGGCCAAAAGAACACTATTGTGGTTATGCCATTCAAGAGAAGCAGCAGCAAATGTCAAATTTCAGCCTCTAAATAAGTTTTAGTATTGAGTGTGCTTTAGCCAAACGTTTTACATGTGTGTGAATCAGAGAAAATTACTCTTAAAAAAGACTTTAAAAATATTATGTGTATGTGTGTATTGGGGTTGGGTAAGGAGGTGGTTAATGTTCATGGAGACTAGAAGAGGCCGTGGCTTTCCTGGAGCTGGAGTTATAAGTGGTTGTAAGCTGGTAGATGGGTGCTGGGAAGCGAACCTGCTAAGGATGATGCTTGGAGGCCCTGTTGTAGTCTAAAAAAGGTACAGGCCTGGCATGCTCTACCAGGCATGACCATTTCAAGAGGGAGAAAGCCTGGGTGAGAGTGTATCATACTCTGGGATGGTGCCACATGGCAGCAGCAACCTGGTCATTTGCCTTCTTAGACTGTGGTATCCAAACAACAGAACCATTTCTTAGTTCTACAGTCTGTGTTCTGTTTTAGACAACCCACAGCATAATCACTGTTTTTAAGAGAAGAACTATCTAGAATAATAATAAAATCAGTAGTTTTCAAAGCAAGTCCCATTATGCTTGCTCATAATACAGCATTCGTTGTAGAATGGACTACATCCAAATTAAAATATATGCTAATATTTATCCTTACCTTTTATAAGTCTAAATCTGTTTATGAATTGGGCATCTGGGATTACTCACAAATACACTAGGAGTATAATCAAATATCCTTAATTATGCTAGAACTAACTGAATTTACATTGATACATTTTCATATTTGAATATAGTCCCAAGAGGAAAAAACTTAAGAAAAAATTACATTATCAGAATATTAAGACATTTTCTTTTTTTTCTTTTTTTGGTTTTTTGAAACAGGGTTTCTCTGTGTAGTTTTGGTGCCTGTCCTGGATCTCGCTCTGTAGACCAGGCTGGCCTCGAACTCACAGAGATTCACCTGGCTCTGCCTCCCGAGTGCTGGGATTAAAGGCGTGCACCACCACCGCCTGGCAAGACATTTTCTTGAGTTAGTATTCTCTATAGCAGATGTTGACTCCTATACAGTTTTGAAAGAACTGACAAGCCAAGAATAATTTTCACATCTTTTTAATGACTGAAAACAATCAAAAGATGAATTGTATTTTATGTTACATCAAAATTATATATAAGTCCAACATAGCATCTACAATAAAGTTTTACTGGAACACTACTGACTACTTACATCCTGTGGCTGATGCTTTGCTTTGTTGTGGAGACAAGGTATTGCTATGTAGCCCAGGCTGACCTTCAACTCACTGTCTTCCTGTCTTGGCCTCTTGAGTGCCACGATTATAGGCCTGTTACCATGCCTCGGCACACTGCTTTCACAAGGTTAAGTTTGAGACTGCGTCCCAGAATACCTACTACTTGGACTTCACAGGAAGAAAAAAACAACGCAAATACCTCCACTGCAGTTGTTAGGGTCCATGGGAAGGTCCATAAAAGACCACCAGTCACATGTGCAATCAACAAGAGCGTTTAATAAAAAATTTCCAGCACGCTGGGGTCAAACCATCTGACAAAGCGGGAAATGGCGACCCCCAAGAGAAGCTCGAAGGCTCCTTTTAAGCAGGGTTAGGGGAATTCCAGCTGTGGTCAAGTGTACTTTGAAGGGACTGGTACAGCAATCATTTTATGGCTGGCTCATGACATCTGGTCAGCAACTGTGGTTGCTGTGTCAGGGTCTGTTTGACTGAAAACAGCAAGAACAGTTCCTGGTTGTGGCTGGGCAGGACCCTGATTGGCTGACCACCAGACTGGAGGTACTTCCTGAGGGTCTGATTAAAGCCACACGAGTCAACGAGTCAACGTAGGATGGTGGAGTAATACAGGGCAGAGGTCTTAGCAAACTGGCCCCTGGTTGGGGGAGGGGGACACAAAAAAACAAATGGCCCTGTTAGGGTCTGTCCTGATGTAAGAGAGGACGGCTGCTTCAGTGTGGTTCAGCAACAGGAAATACAACATGCCTTAAGAGAAGCAACTAAGAAAGAAAGAAAAATATCCCTCAAACTCTGAAATACCTCTTTAGTCATAAAAACCATGGTTCAAAACAACAATAAAAATGAAACAAACAGAACCAAGAAACCTTTCGCCTCCTGCACACACAAAACAGCCCATGACTCTGTGGATGGTGGAGCAAGCAAGAGACAGGGGGTTCTGAAGGTGAATTCTACTTGGCTGCCCTTGCAACCAACTGGGCAGTCTGGAAAAACAAGCACGATCAGTAGGTCGCGGGGGCTGAGCTGTGCGTGTTTCACCATTGAACTCCCACGTTCCTCCAGCTTTCAGGTTGCAGGTGTGCCGCAGCATGACTGACCTGGCTAGATTTGTTTTTCTTCAAGTGTTTTATATCATTCTGCATGTTTACAAAGACATAGATGGATTCTTCAAAGCACTTCTGGGCCATCTTAAGAATCCCAGAAGCATCGGGTTCTGTTAGACTGCAGAAACACCTGCACAAATTATAAAGAACCTTCTAGAATGAAATTACCAAAAATCACAAAGGAGTTGTTTTTTTTTTTTTTTTAAATCAGCTGGTTATGCGGTAGTATTTTTCCGTAAGCTTGAATTTTGTAAATCCGTAATTCAAACAAAACTGCACGTGGACTAGCTTCTCGATGCATAGGTGCGTGGAAATTACCATTTCCCCCTCGTACGGTTCTGAGCGCTGGCTTGTCTCTTTCCGAGTCGCCCTTCCCGGGCGACCTGCGTTTGTCCTCTACACACCCACCCAGCCCGAAGGTAGAACGTGGACCCCGCCAGCGCTGGCGGGACCGAGGCAGGGGGCTGCCGCTCGCGCGCGCGCGCGTAGAGCCTGAGGGGAGGGGTTACCTCAGCGATGGTCTTCGACACCTGAAAGCTGGAGCTTTTGAAGAGCCCCACCACCTTCACCCGCAGCGGCGGCTCCGGCGGCGACTTCGTGGGGCAAGCCAGGGGCTTCGGCCGGCAGGGCTGCGGCTTCGGAGTGGCCATGGCAGCGTCAGCCGACAGCCCCGAGCACAAACACTGCCGGTCGCCACGGCAACCGCGTGGCTCCGCCCCCAACGCCCGCAAGGGGCGGGGCCGGGGCGGCGGGCGGGGGCGGGGCCTCGCATCAACTTGGAGCCTGTTGCTGGTGAAGCCGGGCCCGGGCCAAGCGAGGCACCCGTAGGCCGCGGTGCCCGGAACCCGCCGAGGGACCCAAGAACCTGGAGCGAGCGGTCCACCCGGGACCCCTCTCGGGACTGCCGGCGGTCTCGCGCAGCCCGCCCGGGATTTGCAGCTGACCTCCTTTCCGGGTTGGCGGAAGGCCTGTTGTCCCGGTTACGCGGGAGTCGCGCCCCCTGCCCCCGCCCCGTCCCCGGCTCGCGTTCGTGGGACTGTGCAGCGCGGGACCGGGCCGGACACCTGTGCGCTCCGTCAGCCTCGCCGCCGGCGGTGCCCCCGAAGCATCCCAGCCATGAAACCCACCTTCTCTGTACGGCTGAGGGTTTTCAACCTCAACTGCTGGTAAGTGCGCCCAGGCGAGGGCTGTGGCCTCGGGGCCACCTTCCTGTCCCCACCCGCACATGCCTAGGAAGGAAACAGGCCTTCTTCAGCCGAACCACGACCCTGTCTTTCCCGAACCGCCAAAGTCCACACCGTCCAGAGCCCAGAGCTCGGGTGGTGGCGGCAGTCACCAAAGTCCACATCACCCAGAGCTCGGGTGGTGGCGTCAGTCATCTCCCGGAGCCTGGCTCTTCTCTCTCTCTTTTAAAGAGAATTTATTTATTTTTATTTTATGTGCATTGGTGTTTTGCCTGCATGTGTGTCTGTGTGAAGTTGCCAGACCCGCTGGAACTGGAGTTACAGACAGTTGTGAGCTGTCACGTTGGTGCTGGGAATTGAATCCAGGTCCTCTGGAAGAGCAATCAGTGCTCTCAGCCGCTGAGCCATCGCTCCAGCCCCTTGGCTCTTCTCTTTTTAGGGACATCCCTTACCTGAGCAAACACAGGACTGACCGCATGAAGCGCTTGGGAGATTTTCTGAACTTGGAAAGCTTCGACCTGGCGCTACTCCAGGAGGTGAGGTTGTGGGCAGGCTAGGCTGGGGGGAGGGCGGCAGGGTTCGCAGGGGGAATCTTCTCTCTGGGATGAAGTCCAGGCTAGCATCCTCACCCTTTGTCCTCAGGTGTGGAGTGAGCAGGACTTCCAGTACCTAAGGCAAAAACTCTCGCTCACCTACCCAGACGCACACTACTTCAGAAGGTGAAAAGCTATGACTGGGGCCTGCTTTCGGACCAGGGAGCTCTTCGCTCTCCCGTGTCCTGGCTTGCACCCCACCCTCTTCCTCTCGGGCTGTCCCCTCACCCTCCTGCAAGGGCTGCTGTCTTAAGCTTTGTTCTGGGGCGAGAGGAAAGTTGCTGATCAGAGCTGGGAGACAAGGGACGGGGAGAGGGCTGGGTATCCCCCTCCTCGCTTTTCTAGTTCTCAAGCAAGACTTGACTTTCAGTGGAATCATTGGCAGCGGCCTCTGTGTGTTCTCCAGACACCCAATCCAGGAAATTATCCAGCATGTCTACACTCTGAATGGCTATCCCTACATGGTAAGGGTCTCCCCCCTACCTCTGCCAACACAAGTTGGATGCAGCCCTCCTGGGACCTTGGCAGAAGGAGGTGGCAGTGCTGAGGTTCTGTCTTTGGCCTGCAGGTCTGTCATGGAGACTGGTTCTGTGGGAAGGCTGTGGGGCTGCTGGTGCTCCATCTAAACGGACTGGTGCTCAACGTCTACGTGACCCATGTGAGTGAAGCTAGCCAGGCTTAGGCTCTGGGACAGGCAGCCCAGTGCTGTGGTGGAGAGGAGACCGTACTGGCTCTGCTGCCTGGGGTGAGGCATGGGATCAGAGGGTAGCCATGGCAAGGGTCACCCGTTCTGTACCAAACTCCATGCCAAATGACAGATGCAAGTCTGATTTAGACAACCTTAATCTTACCTGTAATCTCACCTGTTCCACTTTAGCTACATGCTGAGTACAGTCGACAGAAGGACATCTACCTAGCGCACCGTGTGGTCCAAGCTTGGGAACTGGCCCAGTTCATCCAGTGTGTGAGCCTGGGCCTGACTGGGCCTGGGGTGGAGACTGGGGTTGAGGGTGGCTGGGTTCATTGAGAGGGCAGATAGTAAGAATTTTTTTCTCATCACTCTGCTCTCCCAGCCACACATCCAAGAATGCAGATGTGGTTCTGTTGTGTGGGGACCTCAACATGCACCCCAAAGACCTGGGCTGCTGCCTCCTGAAAGGGTGGACGGGGCTTCGTGATGCCTATGTTGAGACTCAGGACTTTAAGGTGAGAGGCCCTGTCTGACTGTTTCCTGCCATGCATGTTTCAGTCCTCCTGCCTCGCAGCGTCCTAGCCACCTGTTTCCCTAGGGCTCTGAAGACGGCTGTACCATGGTACCCACAAACTGCTATGTCAGCCAGCAGGACCTGGGACCATTTCCACTTGGCATCCGCATTGACTATGTGCTTTACAAGGTCAGGCTCCCCCTCTCCCCCCAGCATGCCTTTCTCCATTCTGTTCCTCTGCCACCAGCCCGTGCTGATCCTTAGTTCAGCTGGTGCAGTCTTGGGCCCCCGAGGGCTGGGGAATGGGAACCATTAGCTGGTTCAATGGGAGAATATAAGTTATAAGAGTATAAGTTAAGAATATAAGTGTCTCTGTCCTTGTTCTTCCTAGGCAGTTTCTGGGTTCTACATCTGCTGTAAGACTCTGAAAACCACTACAGGCTGTGACCCCCACAATGGCACCCCCCTCTCTGATCATGAGGCCCTCATGGCCACTTTGTATGTGAAGCACAGCCCCCCTCAGGAGGACCCCAGTCCTGCCCATGGTGAGTCGGCTTCCCCCTTACCCTTTCTACTTCAGGGCAGCCCAGCCTCCATTCTGACCTTGCCCTGCTCTGCTCTTCTGCCTTGTTCTAGGACCACCTGAAAGGTCAGCACTGATCAGTGTGCTGAGGGAGGCGTGGACAGAGCTGGGGCTAGGCGTGGCTCAAGCTCGCTGGTGGGCTGCCTTCGCTGGCTATGTGATGGTCGCGGGGCTCTTCCTCCTGGTGCTGCTGTGTGTCCTGGCTGGAGGAGGGGCCAGGGAAGTGGCCGTACTGCTCTGGACACCCAGTGTGGGGCTGGTGCTGGGAGCGGGTACAGTCTGCATCTTCCACAGGCAGGAGGCCAGAGGCTTATGTCGGGCCCAGGCCGAACTCCAGCATGCTCTGAGAAGGGAAAGGGAGACCCAGGACCTAGGCTCAGAGCCTCACCTAGCCCCAAACTGAAGAACAATAAAACTTGACATACCCTAGTGGCTCTACCTTGTTCCTTGCAGAGGCAGCGACGGGAACTGAGGGTCAGTGGCCTTGTTACAATGTGGACTGGAGGGCACTGGCTCATTACCTGCCCTCCCTGAACATTCCCATCGTCCCCCTGAACACAGCATAAACCCTGTTCATGGCCATAGTACTTTTATTTTGAACAGCGAAGCCCCGACTAGGCAGTCCAGGTGGCAGAGGTACTGCCCTTGGATGAGGTCTTGCTTCCAGGGCAGGAGGCAGGCCTAGAGCCAACCAGCTTCTAGCCCTGGGCCCCTGTCTCCGAAGCCATCTCACTGAGCCGTCTTTCCTCCTGGAAGCGGATGAGGGCATCCCGCTGGTTCACCACATCCAACAGCTTCCTCAGGACCAGGTCCTCAGACTGACGATCAGCCTCTGTCTTCAGGGTCTCTGGAGGGAGAAGAGAACAGGGACCTGGGCAGGGAGCCTGAAGACAGGATCAAGCTAACGCAGCCTGTGTGGTTTCTATAACCAGGCTGTGTTTGTGGAGAGTTCAAACTTAGGTTTGGTCCAGTGGGGGTTCCTAGTTTTTGTTAGCACAGGCACTCTGTTGAAGGAAGTACTGCACAAGAGCCGACTTGCAGCCCTGACTGGAAGGAGGGTGGAGGCTTGGGATTACATCCTTTGGCTTCCTCCTGAATTGTCCCAGCAGGCCAGAGGCCAGAGGACTGTGTTACTTGGTCAGCGTCCAAGGTCACGAGCTAGCCCACAGACCTTCCCGATTCATGTAGCCGCGCAACTCCTGGTCCAGCTGCCACTGCTTCTCCTCCAGGTCCAGCTCCTGAACCCTGGAGAGACCAGAGATCGCAGAAGCACAGCTGAGCAGGGTACTCACAGGAACGGCCCTGGCTCACATACCATGTCACCACCCCCTGGCCTTACGTGATCATGAGCTCAGCCTCTTCAGTCACTAGGCTGTTTTTTTCCTGGATGAGCTGTAGCAGCTGATCTAGCCAGAGTTTCTTTTGCTGTTCTGGAGAGCCTGGTAAGGAAAAGGAATGGAAGAGGTGACAGGATCCAGGGGAAATGGGCTGCTACGGCTGTCAGCCGTGCGGCACATCCACTGGGCCCAGGGACTGCTGAGGGCGGAACGTGGCGCCAGGAGCAGAGAGATGTGTGTGCTAGCATGCCGCTGTCCCGGCTTTACTCACTGCTCTGACTCCTCAAGGCCAGCTCCAGCCTCGTGCCTTTGGTCTCCAGCTCCCTCATAGCAGCCTCAATCTCATTCAGTCTTCTCTGGATGGCCTGCGGGTTTTAAGACAGGATGCCTCAGATTGCTCAAGAACGGCGCTGGAGGCGCTCTGCGCTCAGGCCGCCCACCCGTCAAAGCTCTGGCAGTGCCCGGGGCTCTGCGGCTCACCTGGGCCTTGCAAAACCTCTTCATCTCCTCCTCTTTAGCACGGCGCATGAGGGTTCGGTACCATGTCGGGTACTTAGTCATGGCGCCCGAGTTCTTGGCCAAGGTCAGCAGAGTCTGTGGGAGGGTCAGGCCAGTCAGCAATGAGCTCTGACCCGGGTTAGGAATGGAGGAAATGGAGGGTGGAAAGCCGGGCTGGAAATAGGTAAACACTTAGAGGCAAGTCAGTCAGACTGGGTGAGAAGACATTCCAAGGGGAGGATGCTGGCTTTTGGCGCTTCTCTGGTGGGGTGGAAAACACCTGGCAGATGCCTTCTGGCTCGGGCAGAGTGGACAGCTGGCTTCCTGCTACTTACCTGCTCTAAGTCTGCCTCCAAAGGTACTTCTTCCTCTTCCTCCTCTTCTTCCTCCTCCTCCTCGGAAAAGGGATTTTCTTCCACCTTCTCTGTGGCTTCAGGAACTGAGCAGAGGAGAGGGACATGCGGCTTGGGAGTCCAGTGGCCTGTTTCTATTTCCCAGAATCCCCATGGCAGAAATTCTAGGACCCCCTCCTCCCCGCAGCCTCCCAGATGAGCACATCTGTAGGGAGAGCACCTACCTTGCGGTGCTTGGACTGGCACACCCCAGCCCATAAAGCTGCCCTCCAGAGCCTGGCGGGCCAAGGCGGAGCAGCTCCGTGGGGGCTTGGGTGGGGGCTCTGTTCCTGAGTCGGGGATAATTGCCAAGGAGGACAGCCGCAGGCGTTCTAAGCTAGAGAGGCGGATCAGCCGACGGGTAGGCTGGCTGGGGCTTGGGACTGGGCTGACCCTCCTCGCAGGAGACATGGGGGGCGAGGGGGAGCCTGACTGTGTGCTGTTATCATCTGGTGTAGGGAGCTCCTGGAAAAGCCACCATATGGTCAGGTCATGGAGCCCATCTAGTGGACATTGCCAGGCAGTGCTCTGGATACAAGAATCCTTCAGTGAGGGACAGCATCCATTTACTGCCAGCAAAGCCCACTGATCTGGGGTGACCTGCCTCTTCCCACACCCCACTACACAGAGGGATTGCTTTGTTTTGTTTTTAACCTGGTTCTCTGGACTTCCATCCCTGTCAGCCGTCTTTTGGCCCTCCTGGGGCAGGTGCTGGAAACAGTAGAAATGTCCTAAGAAGGGTAGAAGAGGCCAGGCATCAGCCCACTGCCCAGGTACTCAGCGGGAAGGTAGAGGCTGCAAGACCGGCTTGCAGTCATTTCTTAGGACTCCACAGCTAAAGCTTTGGAGGGGGTTGAGAGCCCGTTTCCACCCAATGTCCAGCCCCACTCCCCGTCCTCGCCCCCAAGCTCCTTGTCCTGAAGAAAGCACCAATTCTGAAGTCCTGTCGCAGCTCCCAGGCCCACTTACCATCTCCTGGATGTTGTCCATAGCCACCTGGCCACAAGGTGGCCTCACAGGTGTGGCAGCGGAAGCAGTCCCGGTGGAAGAAATGGCCATCCACACAGAAGCGTTCCAGGATGTAGAGGTGTTTCCCACAAAGTTCACACAAGTCCTCTGCCCCAGCCTGCACAGAACCCCAGGATACAGAGTCAGCTGGACCCAGAGCCAACCGCCAAGGCCTTCCTTCCATTCCCCCGTAGCCTTGCCCACCCTTGGAGGCCTGTGCAGACAGGGCTCTGGATCTTACCTCCTGGTTTTCTGATGGCAGTGCAGGGGGTACACTGGGCTCAGAGACGGGGGGCTCCTCGGTACTTGGAGTCTCAGCCTCTACCTAAGGGGGGAACGCTCAGGTAGCGTGGGCAGGGGAATGGCTGTCTACACAAAAGGCTGGAAGGGAGTAACACTAGACATGGAGACGGGGTCGGGCTGCGGAACCGGCCGTGGAGGTGAGCAGAGAAACGGTGTGGCCTGTCCTACCCTAGTCTACATTTCCTGCAAGGATAGCTGCTTGTCACTTAGCATCCTCCCTGTGGTCCCGAAACAAGTCCTACAGCTGTGAGCACAATGTGAGTCCAGCTCTCACCTCCCTCATTTAGAACGTATTCTCTACCATCCCGGGAACCTCACTGGGTACCTCTTCTCCAGACTTAACCATGTTTAGACTCCTCACCTTGGCCCGGGTTCGCTGTAGGGTCCTCTGGAGTTTGCCAAGGAAAAGTATAGCATTGGGGGTCCCAGAAGGAGCCTGGCTGACGGGGCCTGCCGGCAGAGTCCAGTTGTCAGCCACCCTCCACCTGGGTGGGCCCTTCCCTCCCGCTCCCTCTCCTGCCCGCCTACCAGCCAACTCACTTGAGCTCTGGGGCATGTTCTTGAAGGCGCTGTGGAAGTGGCTGAGGTAGGCAGTGAGGCCCAGTGGGTCACTGCCCGCCACCACTGCCTGTGCGGACAGCACTGGGGGGATGCCTAGCTCGTGCTGTGCCACCTTCAGTGCCCAGGCAGTGGCTTCCAGAGCTCCCATGCCCTGCAGCTCCGAGGGTTCCCTGTGGAGCATCAGACGAGATGCCAATGAGAGGCAACCCTGGCCCCACTGAAGCGGGCAGGGACATGGTAAAGGGACATGAGCGCACGAAGGCAGCTTCGTTGGTGCTTATGTACACCGAGTCACTTTTTGTGTAGGTGCTTTTTTTTAAAGTTTCCGTACCCTGATATCGAGCCTCTCCACATTTTTTTTTTCTCGCCTTGTCCCTGTTCCTTTGCACAGGCTCCTTGGCCACATGTTGTATCTACATACCTAAGGCAGCCCCTCTTTGTCTCAAGGAAGCTGACCACTCAGCCCCTTACCCCATAGGGAGGAGCCCTCCTGTGGAAGCACTGACCCCCAGGAGCAGCAGGGAAGGCCTGGCGTGGGGAAGAGTTGATTTGGGAAGATGCGTGGGGGTTCTAGGAGGTCTGCACTGGTACTGTGTGGCTAAGGTGGGCCTCAGATTTACAGTGATCCACCTGCTTCTGCTTCCAAAGTGTTGTGATTATTGTTGCATGCCATCACACCTAACTGTCAAGTGTGTATGTTTGTGTGTGTGTGTGTGTGTGTATGCGTATGCGCGTGCTGGATTGAACCAGGGTTTCACTCATGCTAAGCAAATGTGCTCTACCACTGACTGCACTCCATCCCAGTCTCCCATGGCTTCTGACTTTCCTATCTGGATGCAGTGGATTTGAGAAGGCTCTGCCAGGCGGGTGAGCAGCCCAGGCTGGAATACCACCTTTGGGAGGTGAAGTAACAGGTGCAGCTGGGACTCAATGGGCTGCCAGCTCCTGCACAGCATCTTCTCACCATGCAGTAGAGGGGAGGGCTGGGCACAGGAGAGGGGCCTGACTCACAGCAGGCCCGGCTGCAGGCGGTGCACCAGGGCGCACAGAGCTAGTCCATCAGTCCACGAGGAGGAAAAGTCGGTGACGTGGACTCCAGGAAAGCCGGCTGTCTGCTCCTGGCACCAGTGCAGGAGCTCCTCGGTGCCTGCTGACCCTAAGAGAACAGAGCCATGCTGTGCCCGAGGCCCACACCTGCTGCTGGGCGTGTCAAAGCTGGGCTGTCAGACGAGTGTGCAGGCCCAGCAGCACCTCCTTCTCCCATTCCGTTTAAAAGTCCCTAACACACAGTTGGGCAACAATAAAGAGCGGCCACTGTAGCCACAGAAAAGCCAGAGGGGTAAACAGGCAGGATAGCTCAGGCTCAAGGAACAGGTGGTTTGGGTTTACACCCTCTGCTGGCGAAGGAGCTGGAACAGCGTGGCGTAGCTGTGGCTGCTCGGCACGGCTGGTGCCATGGCCATGGAAACCACTGAGCTGCTTCCACACTGGCACACAGCTGCTGCCCAAGCTCTGTGGCTCCTCCACCTCACCCCACCCCCACCCCACCCCATGAACCCCAAAGCATCCACAAAACGAGCTTTCCAGTGCGGGCTCTGTCCAGACACTGCAGCATGCCGACTGCCCCGCTGGCTGGGGGAAGGCCTGCTCACCTGTAGTTCCCTTGCCCGCATCGGTCTTGTCGTTCTTCCTCTGCGCATGCTCCTTGTCCATCAGGTCGTACAGGTCTTGTACCTAAGGCAACTTCTTCTCAGGTTCAAGGCAGAGGACCACCCGCCCCTTCAGCCCAGGGGGAGGAGCATTCCTACGGTAGGAGTGACCCCCACTGGGGCAGCCACTGAGTAGGGAAGACCTGGCATGGGAAAAGGAGTTGGTCTGGGAAGATGGGTGGGAGGGCAGGGGTAAAGAGGTCTGACCTGGTTGGGGGTTACAGCCCGGAGGTTCAGGTTGGGGTATCGGGTGGCAGGGTCCAACCCATACTGGGCTACATTTCGATGCATGTTCTCTGGGGATGTTTGTGACAGAAGCTGGTACAAGCTCTCACTAGGGGTGGTGGCGGAAGGTGGTGGTACAGAGGGAAGCTGTCAGCACCCACCCCTCAGGGACTGCCAGGGCTTTCTTGTAGTCCCATGCCTCCATCCATTCTTCAGTATCTCCTGCCCCTTCTTCCTGACCCTTGTCCCAAATCATGTCTGCCCTGCCTGTACTCGTCTCTGAACCCAGAACTCACCGTTCAGCCAACACCTCTAGGGGCCTGGCACCCTCTGCCCACCGCTTCACCATCCAGGCTGCATCGAAGGCTGCCAAGAAGCCCCGGGCCACTCCAGTGCCCAGAGGCCAGAAGGGCTGTAGGGTATGAGGAACAGGACACTATGAGAATCCAATGGGTATGTCCCAAGCCCAGGTGTCCCAACTTGGGGGGAAGTCCCTTTTCCACCCCAGACGGCTTTCACCTCTGCCAAGCAGCCCCTAAGCAGCCCCAAATAAGCAGCTTTATACCTTTCCCTATAAGAGAGCTTCCTCCCCCACCGTGGGACCCCTCTACCTCCTGAAATGCTCACCTCCACCAGGCAGTCCCCCACCAGTCCGAGCAGTAGGCGGGCACCATGCTTTTCTTGCACACGAGCAGAACTCTCTGCCCGCATCATGCTTGTGAAGTCGAAGGCAGCCACATCGGGCCGCCCACGTGCATCCTGAGCAAACTCCAGTTTCCCAAGCTTGCCATGTGTGGCGAAATCGGCAGCTGCCCTGGCAAAGCGCTGCAGAGCCTCGGGTACCACATTGGCACGGCTCAGCAACTGATCAGTCTCTGGCAGGTCCTACAGGGCCAAGAGATCAGAACCTGAGACCTGTGAGAGCAGAGCCACATGTCCGGCTCCACACCATTTTACAGGTGACTGACCTGCAGTATAGGAGGTACACATGCTGAGGCCTGAAAGGGGAGAGGCTGTCTACGCTACACAGCAATTGAAGGCTGGGCTGGGCATAGAATTCCAATAGGCTGCCTCTCATACTCAAGTCCTTCCTCAACACTCTCTCTGCTGCCGAGGGTCCCAAGCCCTGCCCTGCCAGGAAGCCCAAAGTCACTGCCGTCATAGACTCTGTCCTGAAATCACTGAAGCCTTGGTTTGCCCAGCATCCAGAAACAACACAACTCACTTGTACGAACTGGATGACAAAATGCAAAGCAAGCTCTCAGTGTGGTGCTTAGTACACAGAAGGTATCTATTTCATCCATTCAGTGAGTACATATTAGGTGCTTAACCACTACTCAGGTACCATTCTAAGTCTTGGGAATTAACAGTCAGCAAGAGGAAAAGAGGCAAAAGATTCTCCTTGTCCTGGAGTGCACACGAGTAGTACCATATCTGTAAGTTTAGCCCAGAATAGGATTCCTACCATCACATACATGCAGGGAGCAAGAGCGTGTCAGAGTGGAGTTACTGCCTGGACAGAGGCAGGAGAGGGTGGGGGCCATCCATATCCAGGGGTAGACTGTGTCCGGCCCAGCCTCCTCCTGCCTGGGTGCAGGTCCTACCTGGAGCAGCACCCCCAGCCGCAGCAGGCACTGTTTCTTGGCCGTCATCACAAAGTAGTGAGTATCATCTTTGTAGTACACAATGTTCTCCAGATCAATCCCTGGGGGTACAAAGCGGAGGCCAGGGGATGAGTCTTCAGATGACTCTGCATCGATCACCTCTCTAAACACCGGATCCATGGCTGACCTCTGAGAGCTGAAGTCACAGCTTTAGGCCACAGTGAGTGTCCCACACACAGATCTGGTGGCACCAAGAACCATCTGTCCTGGCCCAGGAGGTGTGGCAGTTTGGAGCAAAGGGGGAAACTCAGGCGGAGTGGCAGCTGGGAGGCTTGTATCACTTGGTCACATGGCGATAAAAAGCCAAAGTCAACAATGCATCCTCTCAAAAGCTTACATCATTCTTACACTCCAGATGAAGGAGCACAGAGCAAACACCCAGGTATTTAAGAGACAGTCCCAGGATTTTTCACGCCAAGTGAAAGCTGCTTGGTCCCTGCTTGGTCCTCTTTCTCTTTTGCTGCTGAGACCACAAGGGTGGACAAGAGTGGGTTCCTTGGACTAAGGGCAGGTGTGAGAGGCAAGAGGGGGAAAGCCTTCGAGGGCTGGCCCTGACCTGTGGCTTTGAGCAGGCTCTGGAAGAATTTTTGGTTGTAGATCCGGGCTACACCACTGATCTCCGGCACCTGGGTCTCCTCCACCGTGCGCCCGTTCACAAAGTTGGCCGTGATGCCGATAGCCAGTTTGCCACGCATCTCTCGGATGGTAAAGCCTAGTGGTAGGGGAGGCGGGGATAACATTTCTAGGAAGGCTCACGGGAGCCTAGGATGCTGGTATTTGTTGATTTTCATTAACTTATTATTTTTGAGGAAAAGGATCACTCACCTTCAGGGACGAATTTACCCCCTGCAGCCGAGATGAGGACATCAAATTCATAGTTGGCCAGTTGGGCTGGGGGACTGGGCTGGAGCTGGGCATGCCAGCCACTCCCTGGGACAGAGAGTATAAGAGCCACAAAGGCGTAGAAGTCAGAGGGCCCTACACTCCCAGGTCAGGCTAGAGAAACAAAATGAATTTGTAAAAGACCCCACAGGCTGGAAAGTAGCGAGAGGCTGTCTGTCAGATCACACTTGTAGCCAAAGAGGGCAGGTGAGGAAAGCCATGTTTTTCCATCTTGCTACCCCCACTTGTATGCTGACTGAGGCTAGGGCTGCCCAGGCCTCACTGTGAGAAGAGCCGACTCCCCCGCACACCCACGTTAGCATCTGTACAGATCTCTCTTCAGTGGGTAGGGGTTCCCAGGAGCACAGGAGTACTCACCCTTCCTGGGAGGGGGCTGGAGGCCAGTGAACGTGATGCCCCAGTGAATTTCCACCCCCAACAGTAATGCCACCTTCAGTAGAAGTAGCTGGAGCTGTCGGATGCCTGGAAGTGGGAGGGCATTAGGAACAGACTCATGGCTTCCCTAGCTCTGGGGTGTGCCTGTTCAGAGCTAGAGGCCTCAGAGACCACTGTGCCTATCTAAGGCCACACCACCCTGAAGACACCTGTTGACATCTCAGCTCGGAAGTCAAGCAGATTATCCTGTCCATTTACAGATGTCAGGTCTGGGTCTTAAACGCCACCCAGTTAAAGCGATTCGGGTTCGCTCGCCTCCTGTCTGGCTCTGCAGTCTCCCATTGGCCTGCCTTTGGACTCAGGCACATCCACCCGAGGCCCACCGTGAAGTGCTTACTGATGTGGTCCAGGGTACCAGTACAGAAGCGCCCATAGAACTTCTTGGCCCCAAGCGCCCGAAGGTCATGGATGGTGAAGGGCCAGAGGTGCAGCACATTGTGCCGAGAGAACTTGGTACGCTTTTCCACAAGCACCACTCGAGCACCCAGTAGTGCCAGCTCCACAGCAGCCCGAAGCCCACAAGGCCCAGCGCCCACCACCAGGCACTGTAAACACAAGAGCAGGCAGGTGCAGCATCCTGTTTCCTGCTGACCCCCTCTCCTCCTCAAGCTCCTCCCAGACTCTGGGGATCTACCTTGGTGTTGGCACAGGCCTGGCCTTGCTGGTACACAGACTGGCTTGCTCTCTTGTCCAACTTGGCCCACAGTGACTTGGCACTCCAGTAGTTGAGCTGGGCCTTGATCTTGTGGTACTGAGGCAGTCCCCCACCAGGCTCCAGTCCCAGGGCTTCACAGAGCCCCTGAAAGCTGCTCAGTACATCCTGGCACAGCTGTGCCTGCACGAAGCTCTCAAAGTGGGCATGTGCTGGGTTGGTAGGGGCCGTTGAAGCCATGTAGGGCCCCTGGCAAGAGGAGCAGCTGGACAAAGCCCAGTGGCTGTGGAAAGAAGAGAAGGAAAGGAGGCTGGAGGGAGGGAAAAGAAAAGGGAGGAGCCAGCAGGGCAGGCTGGTGTCACAAGGGAGCTCAGGGTCCACCTCTGATTGGCTATGCTTCCAGCCCGCTCCCACGCCGTGATCTGCCCCAGAGACAGCGGCAATCCCTTATCAAGTGAAATTCGCCAAATTTGGGAATGAAAACTCAGTAGTCCTGGGTACACAAGGCACAAGGACGCTAAGGAAGCCTCCTGTCCAGTCACCCAGGAGCCATCGTGTGGGAGCTCTGAGGCCCAGGCGACAGGGATTGTAGTGGGTGTTCCCTAGGTCCTGTAAGTAGGACACGGGGCAGTTTCTCAGTTGGCTGCTGGGGTGGGAGGTGGGGGTGGAGGGTTCCCTTCTGGTAGACCCACGAGGGCGAGCACCGCAAAGCAGCTGCAGCTGCTCGGCAGGCACACGCCCATATCACCAGAAGTCTCTGCAAGCCAGCGCCGGTTGGCGGACTTAGTGCCACGCTGGTTGTGGGATGTGCCTCTCACCAAAGGCAAAGTTCTTTTCCTGGTGCTTGCCTCCTGACAAGGGGCAACAGTCGTGGGCCAGCCAGCGTAGGTTCCCCTTCCCACCACCCAAACTACCCTCACAAATGGCCTGAGAGTGTTGCGACTGTCTTGACTCGAGACCTTCTGACTCACTGTGGTCAAAACACTTCCCCTGTGATCTTGTCACTGCTCCAACGGGCTGTGGGAAGGAGCGGGGGCAGCAGCTGAGCTCGCCCTCCCGAGAACCCTCGCATCCAATCGACCCCTAGCCTCCCTCCCACCGGCGCTCCTGTGCGCTCTCCGAGGAATCTCTGGAGACAAGGCCTCTCTTTGTACCCCTTTCCTTCCCTCCAGCCCACACTCAGCCTGAGAGCTCTTGGAGGGATTTCTCACGCTGCGACCGGAAAAAGTGAAGAGTGTGGGGGATGGGTTGCTTTCGGTAAGGGAGGGGGCTAGGTAGGTTAGGCATGGAAGTGGGGATCGGTCCTTGTGGGCTGATCTCTCATCCCCTAGCAGCCCCTCCATTGCCCGCGCGGCAGGAGGAGGCAAGGGATGCCCACCTCGGGTCACTAGGACACGAGTGGATAGGTCTTCAGAAAGGGCAGAAGTCCCTCTTGGAAGTGGGAGTCTCGGAGGTTGGAGCGTCCTCTGCTAAAGGAAATAAGAGGTACCCAGCCTGGAAATACCAGCACAAAGGATGTGCCATGGGTGGAGCGTCTAAAGGGATGGAGAGCTAGCTGGACCTTGGGGCAGCGGGGCCGAGGAGCTCCCCACACTCCAGACAGCAAAGTCTGCACAATGGGGCTGGTCTGGGCAGGGCCGGCACGGGGACCGGCCAAATCAGCCAGGCGTGGCTCCCTAGCCTGCACCAGCCCATTTCTCCGGAAGCGCTCCCCACCCCCATCCTCACCCTCACCCCCAGCCCAGCGGTCCCGAGGAAGCACAGCTAGGACCGCGGGACGACTTACCCGGCGGTTCTGGGGCTGGAAGAGCCGCTTCCTGTCGGAAGGGTGTCCCAGGGCTAGGGCGGAGAAAAGGGTGGCGCACGGAACTGTGCCCGGGAGTTCGAAGGGGTCTGGATCGCAGCGCCAGCGCAGAACACAGCGGAAGGCTTCTCCGCACTTCATTACCCCGCAGTCCTCCTCTAGGGACAGCCCTGGGCCCCGCCCATGCCTGCAGGGTGGTGCTGCAGGGCGTGGCTCTGCTTACACCCGGGGCTGCTGGGGGCCTCCAAACGGTCTGGCCTGGCAGGGACAGGGAAAGCAAGGCCCCCGAGTGACCGTGCCTGAGTGCGCCCCGGTGGTACCAAGCTGCAAGCCACTTCCGAGAGCTGGCGGAGCGGCCGCTAGCCTCCTGCAAGAAGTTTGTTGAAGCTGCAGGGTCCGAGAGTGGCGCCAGACGTCTGAGCTCTCTACACCTCTCCCACCAAGAAATCCACACCCCTGGCGCCACTAAGGGTCCAGTTGCGGGGTCCATCTCTCCTGGGACAGGGCAGCCGGCTCAATGGCTCAGGCTAAGGACAAAGCTTAAAAGTTCTGGTCCGCATCTTTCAACCAGGTACACAAAATAAGGGAACAAGGGGAGGCGTGTGTGTGTGTGTGTGTGTGTGTGTGTGTGTGTGTGTGTGTGCGCGCGCGCGCGAGTGTTCAATTAAGAAAGGCAGAAGGGAAGGGGTGTGTGGGAGAGGCTAGATCTTCAGGGTTCAGAACTAAGGTGAAGACTCAGGACATTGACAAGGCTGAGAAACCTTGGAATCAAATTCTTAGTATTCCTCATAAAGAAACAGTAGCCAAAGTGAAAGGAATTACCCCAAATCAAGCAGCTTTAGTTAAAGTGAATAAAACAGCAGTTTTCATTTATTGAATGAGTGTTGACAAAGTCTACTTAACTGAAGGTCAGAGGCTTCATGCCCACACAGATGAAACAGCCAATGGCATAAGCTGCTCTCAGACCCAGGCAGGCCTCTCTGGACTCCAACCTACCACTGTTAATCCATGTCTGGCCTTATGAGGAAGTGAAATCCCTACACCAGAAGTGTTTAACCTAGGAAGAAATGGCCACATCTCTCCTCTTGCGATCCAGGGACCACAAGAAGCTGAGGTCCAGGTCTTTTTGTGTTTGTGCTTATTTTCATTTTTGCATTTTGGCCAGAGACACTGGGATACCCAGTAAATCTTGATCACTCAGCACTCTCAGCTGCAGCTGATAAGAAGGGAGAGAGAGAATAGAAAGAAAATGCCAGCTCTCTGCCAGGAGACGCCGGCAATTCAGCCAGGCCACACTCAGGAAGTAAGGGCAGCTTCCGAGCTGGGCCCACTCTAGCTCTTGAGTGTGACATCACTGGGCTTGGAACAAATTTGCAGAGCATCAGACACGCCCATACTTAAACACACAGTGTAAAAATGCTCTAAAAGGCCCACCATAAACGGGCCAGCAGGCTTTTAGTGTCGTCCCTTTCCCTTTCATTAGCAGTTGGACGCCAGCAACTTACCCGGTCTTGTTTACAAAGGCCCAGCTTCCCTCGGAGACCTTCAGGATTATGCAGCTCTATGAACAACAAATTGTAAACACTGTCTTTTAAAGATCATAGAACGAGTTCTTAGACTCTTAAAAAACCTGCTGACTCCTAGCTTTTCTTGATGCTAGTTAAAGACACACAGTGGAGCCACAGAGCCCTGGGGAATGCAGTGGTCTGGAATCCAGAAGGTCTGGTCTGATTCCTGCACCAGGGCCAGTGTGACACCACATCCCCATCTTCTCACCTCTAAATGGAGGCATTTTCATGACTCATCTTCCTTAGCCCATTTCAGTTCTAGGGTTTGTTTGTTTTTTTATTCTGTGTTGCTGATCCTCAGAAATGCACAGAATAGAACAAGCATTTTTTTTCTTGTTAGAATCTTGAGTTACGATCCACAATTACATATTTATATGAACTAAAAGCAGTTTGGCATAATCATTGGCATAGTCATACTACTGGGTAGTTTATATCCTATCAAATAGAATAAATGACCCACACATGAAAATTCAATTTTAAAGAGTCTCATTCTAATGGCTTTGGAAAAGAATTGTGCCAGGGGCTGCTTAGGTTAACTTGTGCCCCAGACCATGTGCTGTCTCTTCAGCCATTCTCACTTCCTTATCTCACCTCCCAACCCTTGATCTCCTGGGCTTCGAGCCAGAAAACAAGTTTCCAACACCCCGGGAGACATCTGTGTCAGTCTATAATATGACCTTGATCTGCAGCTCAGTATCTTCTACTCCTGCGCGTGGGCTTGCCTTAGAGTCAGCACAGCCCGGAGAGCCACAGTTCCTGGTGTAAAACAGGCGCTCTGAGAGCCAAAGGTGTAGCATGTCTTGAGGTTTATGAGACGGGGCTTGATTAAGATTAGAGGCTCAGGAAGGGCCTCTCCCAATTCTGACTTGGATGGACTGAGTCAGAGAGTGGGCACAGACAGTTTTCCAGGCTGAGGAACTACCTGCCCCTGAGCCCCCAGACAAAAAAAGAGCTGGGCATGTATTGGCCGGTAGCTAGGTAGGCAGTGTCGCGGAAGTGAGAAGGCAGAAGAGGAAGCTGGGTTGGGGACTTTTTTCTTCTAGGTGCAGAGGGAAACTGCAGAAGGGGTTTAAGCAGAGTGGGACATGGTCATATCTGCCATAACTAAAATAATGCAGTCTATCCACTTAGCAAGGCATTCTGTGAGTTGCCAAGGGGACAGTGGTGACATACAGTGGATTACAGTAACCTTCTACTGGAGAAAGGGGCTGGGGAGGGTAATTAGAAACCATAACTCAACCCATGGCAGAGTTCTAGGCGAGGGGCACAATGGACAGTGAGGATGGGGAGAGAATAGACTCAAAGACAGCTGGAGGTAAAACTGATCTAACTTGGTGATAGATGCCATGTGGGGCAGAGGGTGTGTGCGTGCGTGCGTGCGTGCGTGCGTGCATGCGTGCGTGTGTGTGTGTGTGTGTGTGTGTGTGTGTGTGTGTGTGTGTGTGTAGGGCCTCTTTAAGAATCACTCCTGGGCTGAGGAGGTGGCTCAGTTGGTAGGGTGCTTGCCCGGCTTGTGAGAAGCCCTGGCTTAATTCCCAGCATCATATAAAAACTGGATGTAGTGGCATCTGCTCGTAACATCAGCACTTAGGAGGTGGAAGCAAGAGAATCATAGTTCAAGGTCATCCTCCACTACCTAACAAGTTCAAGGCCAGCCTGAGCTATGTGAGACCCCCATCTCAAACTAACCCCAGAAGCTAACCAACTGCTCCTTTCCTTGGGTGACTCTGGAATAAACAGGCCTGCCATTCTTCCCTCCTCTTCTCTCCACACTTGTCCATCTGTTTACTGCCTTTTCTGAAGTCAGAGAATGCTTTCACAGGCTCCTAAAGAACAAGGGGCCCGTGCTTTCCCGTGTTTCCCTTTGAGACTACTTTTGCTCTTCAAACACAATTAGAGGAAATATTTTTTTCAGACCCAAAGTCACTTAATCATGTAATTAAAAAAATGTGGCTTTTCTCTAATTCAGCCCGATGAAGTTTTGGTTTAACTTCTCCGTTAACAGGGTAGAGTACCCTGGAGTTGACCAGGCATGAGGCTACACACTTGTAATCACAGAGCATGGTAGGTAGAGACAGGAGGCTCAATACTAAGAATTTAAAATAATAAATCCATGCTCCAGGACCCAGAATTTCTCTGGCCCATGTGTGCACATTTCTTTTCCCCACACTTCACTTTGCGGAAAAAAGCGTGAAGATTCCTTCCCGACGTCACCTAAATGTGGCCAAGTTCCTACATTTTATCAAAAACCTGCTTGAATGAGCTTCAGTTCAAAAATTTGTCTAAGGTGGGACATTCCAACTGAGAATTACCTGCTAACCAACATCTTTCCTGCTTATTCAGGTGTGGACTTTGAAAACAAGTCCATTCCAGTGGTGCCGGCCTCAGGTCAGTTCTTCCCACCACACAAGGCAGGCAAGGCGGGGGGGTGGCTGGTTTTAGAGGCTATTCCTATTAAACAAAGAATTTTCTTTGAATTCATGAGGATTTAGACTGAAGTTTAGAAAAAGAAGATAAACATTTAGCTTAATACTTACAAATCAAATCTGTCCTAAACTCACACTATCTTTACTTTGGAAAAAAGGGCGGCTCACTTATGGAGAGGTTGAGGCAGCTAGGGCACGCTGCCCTTCTTAGTACCTTCCATCCACTTGGTAGATTTTTGATTAATAGCAAAAAGTTAATACCGGTATTATCGAAATGATGGTTGACCCATTTCTCTAGGGGAGACTATAGCTCTGACTTTACCTAAGTTTGACTGTGTGCCGACCTTTCAGACATACACCTGGTAGTCTCAACCCATTTTTGTCGGTGCAGTATAATGGGATCAGCCCTGGTTCTGGTTTTGCCACTTTATGACTCTGGGTAACACATCATCTCTTTGGGCCTCACTGTTCTCATCTGTAAAATGGCCCTAATGATAATAATCCTTACCTCATAGGAATGTCATGAAGATTAAGTAGGACTTGCTTCCTATAGGCTACGGGTATGGCCTAGTTCACAGTCCCTTCTCAGCCCAGAGACCAGTTCGTGCTGAATTGTGCCCTGCCCCCTCCCCCACCCCAAGTCTACACTGAAGCCCTAACCCCAGCGTCTAAATAGGGCTGCACTTGGAAACAGGACCTTTCAGGACCTATGAAGTCACAAACTAGGTTCCTAGTGTGGGCTAATGCAGTGCCTGACAGCTCTGTGGAAGGTGGAAGACTGGACAGACAGAGGGAAGAGCATGGAAGACCCAGGAAGAAAGCCACAAGCCAGGGGACTCTGCCAACTCAGTGTCCTCTTTCTAACCAGAATCATAGTCAGATAAATCTGTGAAGAAGCAGCCCCTATATTGGCTGCCCTAGCAAATGAGCACATGGCACGGCCAGATGGGATGAGGGTCTCCAAATCCCCAAACACACGGTGCCTTATGAATCCTGGTCTTTTTTTTTTTTTTTTTTTTTAGATTTCTTTATTTATTATATATACAGCATGTATGACTGCAGGCCAGAAGAGGCACCAGTTCTCATTACAGGTGGTTGTGAGGCACCATGTGGGTGCTGGGAATTGAACTCAGGACCTCTTAACTGCTGAGCCATCTCTCCAGCCCCCTGGTCTTGTTTTTTTAAGACCTGATCTCATGTAGCTCAGGCTGTCCTCACACTCACCATGTAGCCAAAGCTTGAATTCCTGATCCTCCTGCCTCTACCTCCTGGTGCTGGGATGATAGGCCTGCCCCGGCATGCCGCAGCTTCCTTGCAGGCCCACAGTAGCCTCCCTGTGGCAGGTAACACACCAGTTTATGTAAGCCCATAGGTCAGCATCTCTAATGAGAACCCAGCTCGGTCGCTTAACCTGCTGCACACAGCATCTACAACCAAAGACCCAAATGTAGAAAACGAAGAAAAGAGGCAATTTCAAGAAACACTGGGTAAACACACAAATGATGTCTGCCCAGTAAGCTTCCCCAAAGCCAGATTCATTTTCCAAGCAAGGTTGCCTACAGCAGACCCTAGTCCTAAAAATGCACTTCACAACGTTTTAAAAATTGCACACATTTAATACAAAATGAACCATGAAATGTCACTCTGGCCCTGTCATCTTTCAAGGACTTCTGAGAAGCACTTTCACGTGTATCCTTTGGGTACAGAAGTCAGAGTTCAGGCTGGAGAGATGGCTCAACAGTTAAAAGCACTTGCTTAACAGGTCCCAAGTTCGGGTCCCAGCACCCACATGGTGGTTCACAAATCACCCGTAACTCCAGTTCCAGGGGATGTGACACCCTCTTCCGACCTGAGGGCACCAGGCACACACATGGTACAGACATTCATGCTGGTAAAACTCATTGTGATGGCTAGTGTCGGTTGTCAGTTTGACTACATCTAGAGTGAGCTACAATCCAGAAGGCACACCTATGAGAGATTATTTTTGCTTTGTTTGAAGTGGGTGAATCCACTTCTAGTCCAGACCTTTGAGGCAGGAAGGCATGCCCCTTCGGTCTGGATCTTGAGGCAGGAAGCCATACCTTTCATCTGGGCCACACCTTCTGCCACAAGCCTATGTAAGACACAGAAGAAGGAAGGTTTTCTTTGCCTGCTTGCCCTCACCTTGCCAGCACATCCCTCCTTCACTGGCATTGGAGCCGACTTCTTCAGGATTCCAGCATATACAGGAGACCAGCTGAGACATCTAGCTGATGTCTGAGACTGAGCAACTTCTGGATTCTTGGACCTTCCATTCATAGCCTGCCATTGTTGGATTAGTTGGACTGTAGCATGTAAGTGATTCTAATAAATCCCCTTTATATATATGTGTATGTATATATGTATGTATATATGTGTGTGTATATAATCATATAAACACACACATATATATATACATTCTCTAAGTCCTGCTACTCTGAGAACCCTAATATAAACATAAATGTTGGGGGAGTTCCTGCAGAATTATGCAGCTGGTTTGGTTCTAGAGTGTTAGCACCTAGCTTTAATCTGCCTTTTGTAACTGTTACCTTTTGTCTCCAGTACCTTCCTTTTGAAACACGTGAATCTTGTCCGAGTTTCCTAAGGGTTCAAAGCCTATGCAGAACTTGGTAGGGAGGACTGGCAAACCAAGATGTCTCCTAACATGAATCTGCATTTGGCTTTGTCTCTTTGGGGAGCTCTGATAAGAGGTGTAAGGAAATTGACTTGCTAAAGGTGTAAACTGTGTAACAGTAAAATGGCCCTTTGCTAAGCGAGATTGAGTCAGTCTGCCAGAGGCTGATCCCCCAGAGACTGATCCCCCTGCAGCTAGAAAAGGCTAAACATCATCCTTAGAGTGCCTTTGTGTCTTCTTTCTATGGACCTGTGTGAACCCACACCCGATATGAAAAAATGAAATACAATTTTTAAAAAGTTTCTTTTTTAAAAAGCCAGAGTTAAAAAGGAGCTTCATCTCAAGGGACAGGATGTGTATTGCAGACACAAAAAGAGCTAGGGCAAGCAAACCGCCCTTTCTGATTCTCCTTTGACAGCTGTTCAGATGATACAGTCAAGGCTGGGACTGGATCTCATGCTGGAAACGGTCTGGGAGGGCTTATAATGTGGCCAGATCAACCAAGAAACCGGACTTGACTTTTCAAAGTGAAATGTAAGTATTTCTTTCAGTGATTGAAAACCGTTGTCTGAACTACATGATAGATGAATCTAGGTTTTTAACCTATAAATCGTATGAAATCTAAATGCAAATCAAATACTACTAGCAAACATTGTTGTCAAAATTGAGATATACGGCAAGTATGAAATACACAACCAATTTTGAGGATTTTGTATCAAGGGAGGATGTAAAATCTCATTAATACATTTTAATATTAATTACATGTAGAAATGTTTGGCAATAAATGTTCTAGTCACATTCTGTTACTGTGTCAAACACCATGACCAAAGCAACTTGGGGGAAGAAAGGGTTCCTTTGGCTTTTACTTTCAAGTCATGATCCATCACCAAGGGAAGGCAGAGCAGGCGCTCAGGCAGGAGCCGTGGAGGAAGCCGGCCTGCCAGCTTGCTCAGTGACTTCCTCACCGGCTCACGGCTAGCTAGCTTTGTAACAGCCCACCGTGGGCCGGGTCCTCGTACATCCATTAGTGATCAAGACAGTTGTCACAGGTGTGTGCCCACAGACCAACTTGATTTAGGCAACCCCTCAATTGCTTCTCACGTGACTCAGTGGAGGCCGTGTTGACAATTAAGGCTGACCAGGACAGTAGATTAAATAACTTTAAGATTAATTTCACCTCTTGTTACATGTGGCTTTTGAATATTTTAATATTTAATATTCCGTCTGTCTTGTACCTCTTTTATTATCCCCACCCCCAGTTCTGAGGACAGAGCCCAGTCTTGTGCATGCCAGGGACACACTGTACCTTTGACCTACATCCCCAGGTCCGGTTTTCTTTTAAGGGTCTAAGTAGCTCAGGCTAGCCTTAAACTCAAGGTCCTCCTGTCTCCACCTCTGCCTCTGGGGATCACCGGCCTGTACTCCCAGGCCTGGCTCATGATATATTTCTTAGTGTAGAGGTAGGCTGTTATAAAGTAAACTAAATTTAACTTGTATGGGCTGAGTTCAGCACCAAAACCAAACCAACAGCTACACAACCATGCTTCTGAATCGTTACCCAGCTGTCTAGAGTGAGACAGTTTTAATTTACTTCAATACAATGTCAAATTCTGGGGAAATGAGAACTAGGAGGTTTTGAAAAGACTGTAAAGACTTTGTGTTTTAAGAATAAACAGGAGCTGGAGAGATGGCTCAGGGGGTAGAGCACTTGCTGTGCTATGTGAGGACCTGAGCTCGGATCCCAGCACCCAGGTCAAAATCCAGGAGACGGCCATGTGTGCTGAACCCCAGTGCTGTGAGGCAGAAACAGGAGGAGGGCTGAGGGCTTGCTGGATACCAGCTTCCAGATTCCTGTCTCAGGGAAATAAGGCAGAGTGATAGACCAGGATACCCAATGTTCACCTGAGGCCTCCACACATGCACATATGCCACACTCATACATACACACATCCCACACATGCACATAGCCCACACATGCACATATCCCACACTCACACATCCCACATATGCCACATTCAGATACACACATCCCACACATGCACATATGCCACACTCATACATACACACACCCCATACATGCACACAGCCCACACTCACACACTGAACACATGATTTAAATGACTAAAATTAAGTGGAATTTCATCTAGACTGTAAGAATAGATTAGTGTACATTTCCACCTCTAGGAAGTTCTAAGATTGAACATGCAAATCAGTATTTTGAGATCAAGTAGAATTCAGTAGTGTGTTTATGACTTATATTGAATAAACTTTTAAGTTCCAAGTAATTAAGAATCTTTTTTCATGAAAATCAAGTCAATATCTGACAAAATTTGGTTTACTTGGAATGAGTATCTTGATTTAGTTTCATACTTTGTGGAGACTTTTTAATTAAAAATTTAACAGCCTGTTTCTTTCAAAAAATGTATAAATTCATATTTTGCAGAAAAGTTAAACTCAAAAATTTTAAAAGTATACTTTGTGCCAGGTAGTGGTGGCACACGCCTTTAATCCCAGCACTTAGAGGCAGAGGCAGATGGATCTCTGTGAGTTCAAGACCAGCCTGGTCTATAGAGCAAGTTCTAGGACAGCCAGGGCTGTTATACAGAGAAACGCTGTCTTGAAAAACAAACAAACAAACAAACCAACAGTACACTTCGGCCTCTGCATCATGAGTATGGTTTTCGAGTCTGAATCTGCCTTCAGTGCAACATGATCAGCCCACTGTACCACACAAAGATAAAATGCAAGAGGTACAGTGCTCTTAGGGCAGAAAAGCTATTGGAGGGGAAATCTCCTGATCGATGTAATCAGGTAGTCAGTCCTGCCTTGTTTTGGACTGGCAAGTATCCTGCCTAAGAGAAATAACGGAATGGAATCAACCACCATACCTGAAGATTCAACCTACGCATGACTTTTTGATCTAAAGATCACACTCTATGGCCGTGAACATTCAACACTTACAGGAAAGTCTAAATCAATGCCCCCAACACTTACAGGAAAGTCTAAATCAATGCCCCCAAGAAAAACGTCTACTACGTCTACCTTTGAGAGACGTAGTAGACGAAAGTGGAGCCCCTCATCGATATTTCAGTGCTAAGTAGGAATTGGTATCATAGATCAGACAGATCGTGCACTCATGCCCACACACAGACTCTGCCCCGGTGGAGCCCATCATAAATAAGCTGTTGGCTAGCTAACACATCTTGACGGGTCTGTAAGACAGTGGCGGCGGAAAGGACCAGTCTGTCACTGCTGGCCCGGGAGAAGGGTCCAGCGGAACAGTCCGAGCCATGGGTCAGCTCTGCTCCTGGCCTAGCGGAGTGGGCAGGGGTGGCTCAGGGTCCCGTGTCAGCTGCAGGTGCTGAGCTGGATCAGCACCAGCTGCCAACCGGAGCGCCTCGGTTTGCCCTTGCTGCTGGGCGTGCAGATGCTCCAGCGTTTCCTTGGAAAGTGTGATTACGTGCACTGGCTCCGGCTGGGAGGACTCCATCTGGCTTCCGATCATACCGAGGCTCTGAATGTGCTCTGTCTGCTCCTGCTGAGCCGAAAGAATCAGGCTCTGCAGTTGCTCAGGCTGCTGTGTGAGCAGGGCCAGATTAGCAGCCGGGTCTGTGGCCATGTTCTGAGAGCTATCAGCAGCTACCAGGCTGACCCCCGGGTTGGGGCCTGGCATGAAGTTAATGTTATGCACAGAATCAGTTACAAGAAGCTGAATCTCCTGCTCTCCTGAGGTGGAGAGCTGGTACGGCTGTAGCTGAAGAATGTTGCGGACCTCGTCAGCATTGCTGCCGGAAACGCTGCAGGAATCCGCTGTGTGCTTCTCTTTGTTGTGAATTTTCAAGTGAGCCTTCAGATTGTCTAAGCGAGCAAACTGCAGGCTACACTCGGGGCAGGAGAAGGGCTTTTTGCCTGTGTGGAGGATGCAGTGTCTCCTCTTGGCACTGGAGTCGGAGAAGGACTTGCCACAGATGCTGCAGGAGTATGGCTTTTCTCCTCTGAAAGAAAACACACAGAAACGCTTGCTTTCTCCTTCCTGGTACTTAGGCAGAAGCCATGAAAAGTCAAGGAAGGCTGGCCAGGCACCCCGAATCTTAGTGTCTGCTGTCCTCTCAAGAAGCCCTCCTTTCCCTGAAGGCCGTGCCTAAACCCATGTCAAAGCCTATGGTGATATTTTAATTGTACTGAAATGAGATTTTATTTGTATGTTAATAAATAAAGTTGCCTGGGGGTCAGAGCTAATAGCAAGCCATAGCAGAAACTGGGTGGTGGTGGTGCACGCCTTTAATCCCAGCTCTTGGGAGGCAGAGCTAGGCGGATCTCTGTGTGTTCAAGGATACAGCCAGCATGGAGACACACGCCTTTAATCTCAATACCAACCATAGAAGACCTGGAGGTCTGTACAGACAGGCAGTGACGAGGCGGTCATGTGTTTGGGTTTACAACCAATGAGAAGACAGAACAGAAAGTCAATAAAAAAGACAAACAGACAGGAAGTAGGTCTCTTGCTAAAGAGGACAGTAGCAGCAGTGAAGGGTAAGACTCTTAGCTCTGACCTCTTGGGCTTTCATCTCTGTGTTTCTTATTTAATAAGACGGTTACTTCTACAAAAACCCTTAGAGTCAACTCCGGAGAACAACACAGGAACACTGGCCAGGCAGGTCCCCAGGCACGGTTCCCCTAGAGACTCCAGTCACTCAGAGTGAGCCCCATCCGAGTGTTTCCTCAAGTCTCAAACATAAAGAAGGGCTGAAAGGGCTTACGGTAGGGTGGATGGGGCTACGTGGGATGAGATTTTATAATTCTGTTGTTATGTGTTTCAGGTAAGAAAGTAAACATTTACATATTATGCAAACAGTTCAATTTTGCTTTTAATTCTTACAGCTGATTTTTAGACTCTAAAGACCAAATAGGTATATATATATATATGTATGTATGTATGTATTATGGTTAATATCAACATTAAAATTTTAAGCAGCTCCTAATTATTTTTGAAGCTTTTAGAAATATATCTAAATCCAACCTGGGAGCAATTTTTATGAACAGAACCCTTTTCTTTTGGATGGAATTCTCCTATGTAGTCCAGTTTGGCCTTAAACTCTTGATCCTCCTGCCTCTGCCCACCAGGTACTGCGCTTATAGGTTTGAATTATCATCTCAACTCCAGATAGTATTATTGTCCTCCTTTTGAGACATGGTCTAACTCTGTAGTCCAGGCTAGCCTTGAACTTGGGGACCACCCTCCTGCTTCTACCTGCTACGTGCTACTGAGATTTCAAGTGTGACACACTTCACTACTGCCTTGTGTGTCGTGGATCTGTGTGGAGGTGGAGGTGACACTGGCTGTCTTCCTCCGTCACTCTCCACCCTGTGTGTCATGGATCTGTCTGTGTGGAGGTGGAGGTGACACTGGCTGTCTTCCTCCGTCACTCTCCACCTTATTTTTTGAGACAGGGTCTCTCCCTGAACCCAGAGCTTGCCATTCGGGCTAGCCTGGTGGTCAGACCTAGGACCCACCCCTCTGACACACATGCAGCGCCACCTCTGGCTTTCACATGGGGGCTGGAGATCTGACCAAATCCTCATCCTCAGGCAACAAGTACTTTATGCACTGACCCGCTTCCCCAGGCCTTCATGCTTATTCTTGGGTGAAGATGGAAGCTTTAGACCACTCTCCCAGTAAAATCTAAACAATGAAGCCAACAATACAAGCTTTTATTGGCTGGAACCAATATTGCTGCTTTTGTCTGAGAAATTTAATTATTGAAAAAATAAAATAGTAAACCACACAGAAAATTCTACCCAAGTAACGACTAGAAGAAAAGCTTATATAGGGCAAAGGTTACCCCACAGAACACCAGAGTTCAGTGAGGCCACTAAAGGACAACAAAAGGCAGGTGTGATGGCATACACCTGCAGTCCTAGTTAGTACTCGGGGCAGAGAAGCAAGACTCCGAGTCTGGGCTAGCATGGGCTAGAGAGGCATGTCCCGTGTCACCCGAACCCAAACATACTTACCGGTGGATTCTGATGTGGGTCTGAAGGGAACTCTTCGCTGTGAAAGATTTCCCACAGATTTCACAAGTGAACGGCTTCTCACCTAACAAAAGGGTAAAAGGAGGAAAGTGTTTGCTCACACACACCTGACATTAAAAAATAACAACCCTGGCCGGGCAGTGGTGGCACACAGCTTTAATCCCAGCACTCAGGAGGCAGGGGCAGGAGGATCTCTGTGAGTCTGAGGCCAGCCTAGTCTACAGAGAGAGATCCAGGACAGCTACATAGAGAAACCCTGTCTTGGGGGGAAAAAAAAAGAAAAGAAAGAAAAACACAGTAACAGCCACGCACTTCACCTCCACAGTGGAAGAGCACAGGCACCTCTCTGTTAGAATGCAGGAAGCACACTGGGTGGCGCCAAGGGGCTTCAGAGGAGGGGTGGTTCCTTCCCCTGATGACAGAGAAGCTGTTCATCCGTGGGTAATAAAAGAACTCGTAGACCAGGCGGTGGTGGCGCACGCCTTTAATCCCAGCACTCGGGAGGCAGAGCCAGGCGGATCTCTGTGAGTTCGAGGCCAGCCTGGGCTACCAAGTGAGTTCCAGGAGAGGCGCAAAGCTACACAGAGAAATCCTGTCTTGAAAAACCAAAAAAAAAAAAAAAAAAAAAAAAAAAGAACTCGTAGTTACCCCTACATTTTCTACCCTTGAGTCTAACACTGACTCTTGCACCCCTCAGAACTTCTGGGCAAAGTGGCCCACTGGACCTTCATTCTGTGCACTAGGGTACGGTATTCACATTTATATCCACCTTCTAAATATGTCCAGAATCTGACGATTTCTCACGTCCCTCCCTCTTGGATCACAGCAATCTTGAAAAGGGCCTGTTACTCCCTGGCTATCCACTGTCACCAAGGCAGACAGTGTGGGCCTCTTCAGTGACAGAACATTGCACAGCGGCAGCAAATGCTCTCAGGCCCCGTCGGCAGCTTTACACCATAGCAGGTAGATCATCATCACACACACACACACACACACACACACACACACACACACACACACACTACTATTCAGAAACCCTGCCAAGTGAATGACTTTCCCAGGGGTGGTCTAAGGCTCACGTAAAATGCACAAGTGCTTAGACCGTGCTCATTAACAGCAACAAGCCTTTCTCAGGGTTAGCTTGCACACTACACACGAAACGGACTCTCATGCCCCCCAGAAGCAGAGTGAAGGGATCCTAACGTAGGTGAGAGGCGTTTTGGAAAAGCTAGCAAGATCTGGCCTCTCTAGAGAACAGCAGGGCAGGAGGGCAACTTGAGATGTTCTTTCAGGCTAGACTTGTCTCCAAGCTCCACCCAGGCAGGGCACCCATGCAAGAGACAAGCTGGACGAATCAGCAAGTACATCATTATCTTTATCACTCCAAAAGTTATGACCAGGTGGCTTTCTAATCAGAGCCGGGGCCCACCCAGACCTGGGTCAGTTCCCACCTCTCATGTAGACGAGCATCCACTCTACTTGTCTTTCAAATACACAGAGTTGGCAATATTTTTTTTTTTTTAACAGAGTCTCACTATGTAGCTGTGATTGGCCTCCAATCACAGAGATCCACTTGCCTCTGTCTCCTGAGTAGTAGGATTAAAGGCATTCATCACCATGTATAGGCCTACAAACTTAATAGTTACAGTTCAGGAAAGTGAGAAGTTCAGAGTTCAGGGACCTACACCCGACCACGGCCTTCTTGCTGTACCCTTCATGGCAGAAGGTGGAAAAGAAAGAGGACACTGGCCGGGCGGTGGTGGCGCACGCCTTTAATCCCAGCACTCGGGAGGCAGAGCCAAGCGGATCTCTGTGAGTTCGAGGCCAGCCTGGGCTACAGAGCGAGTTCCAGGAAAGGCGCAAAGCTACACAGAGAAACCCTGTCTTGAAAAACCAAAAAAAAAAAAAAAGGGGGGGGGGGGCGGCTGGAGAGATGGCTCAGAGGTTAAGAGCACCGACTGCTCTTCCAGAGGTCCGGAGTTCAATTCCCAGCAACCACATGGTGGCTCGCAACCATCTGTAATAAGATCTGGTGCCCTCTTCTGGCCTGCAGTCATACATGCTGTATACATAATAAATAAATCTTTAAAAAAAAAAGAAAGAGGACACTGGAGGGGGTGGGGGCGGGGGAGGGGCAGGACTAAATTCATTCTTCTTAGTGCCCCACTGCCCCACTGCCAGTGCTGCTCCATTCACGAGCATCTGACTGTTGTAACATTTTTGTCAGCCATCAGGTTTCCAACACTGAGGCCTGTAGGACACTCAAGCTATGTTGATGGAGTCCTCTGACCCCTGGCTTCGGGTCTGTCCTGTATAAACTGCCTCCTTCCACCCGGTGACCACTCCCCTCGTTTATTCAGCTCTGAAACACTGACAGACCACCAGCCACGTGAACAGCTAGGGAGGCCGGTAACAAAACAGACGATCACAGCTTCAGAAAGGGTGTGCAGTCTGTTTGAGAAGCTAGGAAACTTAGAGTGTGCTTGACTAACGGCCCAAATCAACAGCACTGAGTGCAGAAAGACAGGGTGCTAGGACAGACTGGAGGGCCTGACAGGGCACTGGTGTAAGTATAACCAAAATGCTAGAGGGACAAGGGTCCACTCTGAGGAGTGGTGGGCTCAAAGATGAGCCAAAATGCCAGACAGAGGCTTAAGTAGAAAGATGACATGCTCAGAGTGAGCCAGTAAGAGGGAGGATTTCCTGCCAGACTGTGCATGAGGTACCGAGGCCTGGGCCAGGAGATGCAGGAGACAGATGGAGACAGAGGTTAACGGGGAGGTGTCAGGGCCTGAGGAGCAGAGACCAGGAGGAAGTCTGTTACAGGAGGATTGGACAGTAGCAATGAAAGGTGAAGCCAGGCACATGAGGACGGCTCAGGAAGACGCAGCAGAGCTGACTTAGTTCCAGAGGGCCCATCCATGACGTCGGCCTGGTTGTCCACTTTTAAAATCTGGAGTATTAACAGTTTGTCCTACGAGCAATGACTGTTTGTCCCAGACCAATGAGCTTGCAAACATCTCCCGTCCCCCCTCTCCTGACCTGAAGACCTTCCTCCTTCCTGTCAGGCCTGCGAACCACCTATCCCCAGGCCCTTTCTTCTCTGCCCATCCTCCCAAGGCTGCTCAAGTCCTTTTTCAAGACACAAATCAAGAACCCCTCTCCCAGTTCATGCCCCTGCCTGCTCTCAGTGGTCTGCCCACTGTCTGGTACCTCACCCCACTGGTTCACAGCAAACAGCAGCGAGGCTTCCAAGTCCTCAAACTCCCGCTTGCTCTGCCCTCCTGATCCAGGTCCCACTCTGGGGAACAAGACCCATCCTCCTTTCTTTCTGTGGCTCCTCACACTGTGGGGAGAGTCTTAATGCAGACACGCAGACTCTGAAGGGCATGATGTCCTGAGGGGCCCAGATCTCAGGAAAACCGGAACAAGCGAGATGAGGTCATCTCAACACACAGGCATAGAAACTGGCAGCTTCATACCTAACCCACAGAATGAGGCTGTGAATGAAACTGTGATGTCATGAACTTTGTCACGTGATCAGGCGGGACAGCCACATGAGCATGGGAGCCCACATTACAATCAGTATTTCTCTAACATCATCTAAGGGTTGAGATGCTGCAGAGGTTGAAATGCACACTTACAATCCAGCACTCGTGATGCTGACGCAGGAGGACCGTGAGTTCTTAGGCCAAGCTGAGCTACACAGCATGACCCTTTCAAAAGAACAAAACCCACAACAAATAAATGGCCCCTCATCAGCTGTGTGAGTTTGCCTGGCTTGACTCCATCCCCACAAGTCTGACCTGCTCCAAACAGGCTATGTGCTCTGGTTTCCACTGTCATGGCAATGTACTGAGGGTCCCTTTGCTTCCCACCTTGCTGCCCTAACCCTGCATGATGCCTGAAGTGATCCTAGTACACTTCAGCCATGCCATGTCACTCTTCTGGGCAAGGCCATCTAAGTCTTCACTGCAGCCTCCAATGAAGCTAGCATGCTCAGGGGAATCATGGGGGGGGCTAGGGTGACTATGGCTCTGCCCCAGCCCATTCAGTCACAACCTCATGGTGGAAATCAGTTTGTTTTTCTCAGTGTTTGCAATGTGCAGCTCTAAAGGGTAAAACTGTAGTACACGGCCTCCTGCTGTCCCTGTGGTGGGTCTACCCACCGAGCTTCCTTCCCCTAGCACCTCCTATTCCCCATACCACAGTGTGATTTCCACTCAAGAGGCTCCCATCCCTGAGGCCTTCCCAGGACAGTCTCCCCAGAGAGAAGCACCCCTTCCCACACCTGCTTTCCTACTCCACATTTTGTTCCCACGCACCATGGAACACGCTACCTATTTCTCTGCACTCTGCCTCCCTGCTCAAGTGCTGATGTCACACCAGCAGGGACTTGGACATCTCATTATCTGGCCTCTGGGCCTACAACAGAGCCTGGTACTCAGCCAACGGTCAGTAAGTATGTACTGAATGGCTGCACTAAATTTCACAGCTCCTATTAATACAAATGTCTGTGGAAGTAAAGGAGCCAGTGAGATGGTCTGGAGGTAAAGACACCAATCAGCAAGGCTGAGGACCTAAATTTGATACCCAGGACCCACATGGTGGAAGAAACTGACTCTAACAAGTTGTCCTCGGGCCTCCACATATATGTTATGGCACATGTTTACACATGGATAGGTACACACAGACATACACACACACACCATAAAAAATTAAGAGTGTACAAAGGTAAGAGTTATAAAAAGTCACCCCTTATGAGATAATTTCCTAAGTGCTTAGGGGTCTGGACAATTGCTCAGTGATTTAAAGCACTGACTGCTCTTCCAAAGAATGCAGGACCCACATGGCAGCTCACAACTTCTGGTCTTTGTGAGTACTGCATGCATGTGGTAAACAGACAGAACTGCAGGCAAACCACACAGAGTTTTAGAACATTTTCTCTACATACACACACACACACACACACACACACACACACACACACACACACATATTTTAGAGGTGGGTCAAGTCTACACACAAAATCATCATGTTTCATACAAACTTCCTACACACAGCCTGGGGAGCAGTTTTAGACAATATTTCCTTCCGGTGTACCTGAATCTTGACTATGCTCTATCCCATGAGGACAGGTGTGGCACTTTCTACTGTGGCATCACAGTGACACTCAAGAAGTTTGGGATTTGGAACATTTTAGGGTTTTAGGCGTTTCTGGTCCCAGGCACTTGGATGATGATACTTAACTACACTAGGTTTTCTTCAAGTTAGGAAATTAACAACCTGCATTAAAAAAATCAAAGTGCCCAAAACTAAACAACTCCCCCGCCCCCTTTTGGTTTTTGAGATAGGGTTTCTCTATGTAGCCAGGATGTCCTGGAACTCACTCTGTAGATTAGGCTGGTCTTGAACTCAGAGATCTGCCTATACAATATTAGTAGACAACTTGACAGAATCACTTAATAGAAACTGTTTTTGGAAAAATGCAACAGACTTACTTTTAACCCATATTCCTTCCAAAATGAACAAGATGGACAGTTTTACTTCTCTGAACTTAAAATGGAAAGAAAACAAAAACAACAAAACCCGACCTTCCCCAACAAGGCTCCTTCTCATTCCTGCCTCTCTGGGAGGTAGTAATTTAATGCTTGGGATTGAGCATCGGTTCCAAAGGACAGAGTGAGGAATTCTATGTTAACCTTTTTGTCTGTTCTATGCTTCCCTTTCTAAACAGTTTATTGTTATCACCTTTAGTGTTGAAGTAATTGAGAGTGAAACACAGAACCAGACTGAAATTGACAATATGCTGTGGAATTGCAAGAATTTTCACACATGAACAGTGTTCATCAGGTGATCTCCATTTTGTGCAGACTTACAGCAGGATGATATAATGTCCCCACACAACAGTGGCAGCATTTTGCCTTCACCTTGGCCTTCCCAATAAAAGGTATCCAACTGGCACCACATTTGCAGTAAGCGTACCAAACACAGACGGTGGACACCGCGTGCAGCGAGGAGGCTGAAGGAGGTGGCGTGTTACCTGTGTGCGTTCGCAGATGTTTCTTTAGCTGAGACACATCCATGAATTTTCGATGGCAGTGGTTGCATTCTGGTAGTGAGTGGCCTTGCCGCAACGATAAAAAAAGTGTCAGTGCATGTATGTTCTCCCTGCATTTCTTCAGTGATTTGTGTTAAAGCACTGCCCTGAAAAACAATCACTTTAAATATGGCACTTTAACAACAACAATACACTTTCTCACCCAGTGTGTCTCAACTCAGTGCTTCTCTGAGAGCAGAGTCCTCCTAGCCCTTCTAAACCCCCTTCTCTCCAAACCCTGGGACTGGGCAGTTGAACTTGAATGATGTCCTGTTCCACCCCCCTCCCCTCTCCCCATTTCTTATCAGTTGGCAGGAAGGAGAACAGGACCTTTAGCAGAAGAGAAGTCATGGGTGAGACATCCCTTTCCAGGTGTCCCTAATAACAGCCAACCAACTGAAGCCTCTGGGGCAGGCAGCACTTTTGGATACAGTGGTCCTGTGCTGGTTCTATCTACGGTTCCAAAATTATGGTGCAAACATTAAACTGAGTCTTATGCTGGAGAACAGCATGGTGACTGCTGGCTTTTTCTTTTTCTTTTGTTACAGTCTCAGGTATCCTAGGCAGGCCTTGAACTCACTACATACCTGAGGATGACTTTGAACTTCTGATCCTCTTGCCTCCATCTCTCACGTGCTGGGATAACAGGTGTGTGCTCGCATGCCTACTTTTATGTGACACTGGGGCTTCATTCACACTAGGCAAGCTCTCTACTAAATGAGCTGCACTCCCAGCCCGACTGGTTTTTCCAACTCTTTCATTCATTCTGTAAGATGAACCTACTGTTCCACAAATACTGTGCATCTACACTTCTTCCCCAGGGATGCATGTTTTTCTCACCTTATCAGTATCGTACCTGTGTGGACTCGGTAATGGCTCTTTAGCTGTCTTTTCTGGCTGAAATATTTTCCACACTGATCACAGGTAAAAGACTTTTGCCCTGCCAAATAAAAAATAAAAAACACTTAAACTATGCCAAAAACGGAAGAGAATTAGAATGCTCATTAATCAGAATGCATATTAATAAGTTAAATAACACAGTGTCCAGGTTCCTATTGCCTACAAATGGTGAGTATCTTGTCTACACACCCAGAAGAAGCCTTTCCAGAGTGTGCAAAACTATGCGAGATGAGAGGAGGCAGTGGAGACTGGGGCAGAACTGCAGGTTGCAAGTGGTCCTCAAGGGCACACAGAGAATTCTAAACTCTGCTGTTTAAGTAAAACACATTTAATGCACATTGCACTGCAGTAGCCAGCAGCTGAGGGTTGGTGCTGTTCAGAACAACACATGCAGAATCCTCTTTCAACAACACCGTGTGGGAAATGACAACAGGCTGAGGAAACACCATTCAGAGGCCAGCTGTGCCGCCCCAGGAAACGGAAACTGGTGGCTGGCGGCCTCTAGTGCAAGCCCTGTTACCTGAGTGCAGGCTCATGTGCTCCAGCAGTGAGTGCTTGGTGGTCAGTGCCTTGCTGCACACGGTACAGGTGTATGGCCGCTCCCCTGTATGCATCCTGGTGTGGACCTGCAAGGAGTGCTTCTGGGCAAAGCCCTTTCCACACTCGCCACATTTGAAGGGTCGTTCCCCTGCGACCAAAGCCAAGAAGCATGGTGTAAACAAGGACTTGTGTATTCTTCTCTTCCTCCCAAATTAAAGTTTATAATAATCATTTATAATGTTAAATAGTTAGGGCAAACGCCCAAAGTCCAGTGGATAGGTGACCTATCAGCAATGAAAGTCTAGAAAGTGGAATAGATGAAATCAAATCAAACAAGTAGAAGCCATGAGATGCAACCTAACTTTTAAGACCCAGCCTTCATATCCACAGAAATGCCAATAGCTTAAGTGTTCTGATCTTGCATGATTAGAGGTTTAAAAAAAAAAATCACTTCATTTGGGGTTGGCTGTGGCTCTGCTCTTACAGAGGACCCTAGTTGGGTTCCCAGCACCCACAGAGTGACACCCAACCCCCTGAAACTCCAGTTCCAGGAGATCTGACTGAACCTCTTTTCTGGCCTCCCTGGGTACTAGGCATAGGCTTGTATATATACATACATACGTGCAGGCAAACACTCATACACATAAAATAAAAATAAATCTTTACACTACGGTCAAGGAAAGGCTCTAATAGTGAAGACAGACACCACAACAGACAGATAAGGGAAAACAGCAATGCACAGAAAACGTCAAGAACACTGGGCACAGCGGCACGTATCCATCATGCCAGCATTTGGGAAGCCGATGCAGAAGATCATGATTCCAGCCTGGCTACATAACGACATCAGGTCTCAAAACAAAACAAAGATTGGGGTTGGGGATTTAGTTCAGGGGTGGAGCAACTGTCTAAGGAAGTACAAGGCCCTGGGCTGGGGCTCTAGAACGGAAAAGAAAAACTTAAATGAGTAGAAGTAGCAACCACAGCTGAAAAGCACAGCAGCAATCTCCCAGACACGAAGACAGAGATGGAAATACAGGGGAAAAACACGGAAGTTGCAAGTTGGGTCTGGGAAATTCGGACTGCAGGAATTCTGGACAGGGAGCAAAGAAACACTGGGGGCAAAATAGTGTGTGGTAAATAAAAACAAAGGGAGAAGACACATGCACCAAGGCTGACCGCAAAACTTCAGACCCAGGGGACAAAGGCAAGATTCTACCAGCTGTTTTTCCTTAGCCAAGTTTTACTGAACAATGTAATGCTTTAAATTATGCACAACTTGGATAAAAATAGCTACAACACAATCGAGTATTAGAATCTGTTAGTTACAGAGCCCATTAGAAAATAAAATAATAGAACCCACCACAGTTCAACACAGTTGGGATTCTGTTCTGTCCAAAGTACCCTAATTCAAGTTTTCAATGTATAGAATTTCAGAGGGGCTTTCTTTTTCGAGAAGCATCTCACGTATCCCTGGCTTGCCTTGCAGCCAAGGATGACCCTGAACTTCAGATCCTACTGTCTCCACCTCTGGCATGCTGGGATCACAGAAGGTGACACCTTGCCCAGTTCCTGTGGTGTTGGGGAGTGACGCCAGGGCTTTGTACATGCCCCCTATCGACAGAGCTCCAGCTCTGGGAAACTTCAAACATGCCAATCCAGACAAGTCGATCAGAAGCCTGGGTGTGGGGCACAGGGAGCTGCAGAAGCTCTGGGTGGTTCTAATGTGCAGGCTCAGAAACACAGCAGCAGGTGCCGCTAGGTCACATGACAGCAAAACTTAAACACTAGCCCCTATACAACCTGATGTGACATTTACAGCTCAAGACAATTTACAGTGACAATTACATCCTGACCTGAAATCAAACAGCTCAAGAAAGGGCTTGAGAATTTCTCCTGCAGATACAGTGTCTAATATGGTAGCCATCAGACATATGTGGTTATTCAAACTTATGCTCACTGAAACAAAATGAAATTCAGTTTCTCAGTCTAGCTACCTAAAATTCAAGTGATAAAACTTATGCAGGGCTGGGATAGAGCTCGGCTGTAAAATGCTTGGCTGGCATGCACCTAGACCCTGGGTTCCATCTCCAATACTGTAAAAAAAGGTCCCTGTGTTGTTAGAGGCTGTCATATTGCCCCTATGGAGAGGACAAAGGACATTTCAGTACCAAGGTGAACAAATACCAATGCTGAGTCAGAGACACCCAAAAGGAGGAAACATTTACAAGATGGCTGAACTATAAAGATGTCTACGGAAGAGGGCATGAGGAGGCTTCAGCAAAGATGAGGAACATTCACAGATCGGAACGCAGGAGGTGCTTGATGACCTGATAGGAAAAAACCAAACAGAAAACAAAACAAAAACCAAGCGCTCTGTCTGAATGAGGCTTGCTGGGTTATCACGGCATGGGTGAGCCTGCTCTAAGACTGGACCTGTACGCGGGAGATATTACCCACTGTGGGATTACTAAGAGACCTAAATACAATAACATGTAAGAAGGCTTTATTATAATGCCTATCACACAGAAATCGAACAATAAGTAAATACTGTCATGACCACAACTCCAAATTTCCCAACGAGCTGCTCTAAGTTTGGAAAGTGTAGTTACCAGTGTGGCGTCTCTGGTGGATTGCTAAAAAGTGATTGTACTTGAAGACTTTGCCACAGTCTTTACACCGGGCCCCTGGACCGCTGGCACGCTTTTTCTTTCCACATATCCTCTGGGCTGAACCCTGGTCGTCTTCGTCTCCAAGGAGTTTGTAATCTTTAAGCTTGACCGACCTCCGAATCCTCCGCTTGCTGTACCTACTCAGGCTGTCCTGGCCATCCCGCGCCTCGGGGTCACAGTTCTCATCCTTCTCAGCGAGCGTCTCCTCCACTCTGCCCGGCTCACCAGCGGGCTCAGAGGCCTTTTCCTTTGGGATCTGTACACTCAGCTCCACACCGTCTCCCTCTTTAACCACAAAGTTTTGTCTATTCTGAACGGAATTGTTCACTCTCAGCTGCATGTCTTCCTCTGCAGCGAGTTCCGATTTCCCCTCCGGCACACTACTGCCTTTTCTTGGTCTTCCCCGCTTCCGTTTTAGGGGATCATTCTTCTTATTAGAAATAACAACCACTGGAGTACCAGTGCCGTTCAGAGCCGGCGGCTTCGGGGAGCTATGCTTCGTCTGGAAGTCCGTGTAAGCCTTTATCAGATCATAGACTTTTAAGAACTGAGCAGTGGCCAGGATCTGTTCTGTGGTCTTCTCACTGGCCTGTAGATAACCTGTATAGATAAATTCCAGCAGAATACCAAAGGTGTCTGCAACCATGCCTTCCAACATATAAATAGACTGGCCAATCTCGCCCTCTTCCGCAAACATCATTGAGAAATACTCGCTGCTGGCAGCAAGTAAGGCCTTGTGGGCTCGGAAATGCACGTTCTCCACGATTAGAGTGATATCACAGAGAAAGCCTCTCTTCCTCTGGTCCTCAAGGCTAGCCAGGACAGTGTGACTGTGAGTGTCGGAGTGTACGACAAGCTGCCCAGAAGGCTCTGGTGCCGTCTCTGCCATTTTCTCCAGACTCCGGAGAGGCTTAAATCTGAAATAAGGAAACACGGTTTATTTAGGAGGAGGTATTGTCTAACAAGACGGTGTTCGTGTCTCGGCTGACACAACCAAGCCTGTCGTTGCCACCTTTTAAAGTCTACTTAGAAACCCAGCCTTGGATTCTCACCCCGTTGCGGCTGCGGATGCCTCTCCAGTATCCACATAACCTCTTACGGTCTGGAATTTCCTCTGGAAATTACAGAACGGCATCAGACATCTGTACGGCCCTCCCCTGCATTAACTTCGTATTTAAACTTTTAAAGCATTGGCTGCACAATGTGGGGTTTGGGCTATGCTGCCCCAATCCCACACTCGATGAGCTGTTTCGTCCGTGGGAACGAGCATGAGAAAGATTTTTCGAAAATGAGCGCACGCAAGGGAGCAATGACGCCCGCGTCTAGAGGCCCGGCGCAGAGCAGCGGCGCTCCACGCTCCGTTCCAGGCCCGGGGCCTGGGTCCCGCGAGCGCTCCAAGGCACCAGGGCCCCCGGGTCCTGCCCCCGGCGGCGGCGGACCTACCTGTCGGGGCCGCCCAGCGGGGACCCAGCCGGCAGGGCCCGTCGGCTCCCCCGCCCCCACCGCCACGGCGCGCCGGCTCGCCGCTCGCCCGGATCGCCAACCCGGAAGCGCGCACCGTCAGCCGCCGGACCACGTGACCGCGGAGCCCCGCCCCCGGGGGCGGAGTTTGCTGGGGAATCCGGAAAGGGACGGTCTGGGGACGGTCACGTTACACGTCTGTCTCTCCGCGGATACCTCAGTCGCTTTCGTCCCGTAGACTCCAAACCTGCTGATGAGGAGTGCGTGCTGAGCGACTGAAGCCACCTCCGTTCTTTTTTTTCTTTTCTTTTTCTTTTTTTTCGTTTTTCGAGACAGGGTTTCTCTGTGTTTAGTTTGGTGCCTGTCCTGGTTCTCGCGCTGTAGACCAGGCTGGCCTCGAACTCACAGAGATCCGCCTGGCTCTGCCTCCCGAGTGCTGGGATTAAAGGCGTGTGCCACCACCGCCCGGCGCCACCTCGGTCTTTATCCTCACCGTCGAATGCTAATGTAATATTTACCTCCTAAATGTTTCTCTCGTCTGCCTCCCTTTCCTCCCCTAGTTACGCATCCTCAGCGCCTTATTTATCCGTAAAATGGAGGTGTTGAAACCAGTGCACAGCTGGTAGGGTTAGAATGGGCTTAGTAAGTGCTTGGCTTGGCTACTGTGACTTTTGATTCCTATTTCCGGCATTTTCAAGAGACTGGGTTTCAGTTGTCTTAGCTGCAGTGTTGTTCCAAGACCCAGAAGGATGGGAGACTTCTCCCAATAAAGATACAGTCACATCTGCTGTGGCCCTCCTGTACCCTCTGGATAGGTGCTTCTTAGTTTGGTCTCCCAAACCCCACTCAGATTCGTTCCGGACCTACTTCCAGCTGTTCCAGCAATTTCCGCTCAGCGTTTATGCTTCTCTCGTACCTAGTTATTTCCACTTCCAGATTCCAAACCTGCCATCTATATCGTACACGTTTGGAAACTAGAGGTGGAATTACCAGCCAGACTTTTTTGGGGGTGGAGAGTTAGGGATGGGGTTTCTCTGTGTAGCCCTGGCTGTCCTGGAACTCGCTCTGTAGACCAGGCTGGCCTTGAACTCACAGAGATCCACCTGCCTCTGCCTCCCGAATGCTGGGATTAAAGGCATGCGCCACCACCGCCCTGCTCATTCTTACTAGTTTTAATTAAAAGTAGCCCAAGGCACACAGGTTCCTGCTCCGAGGTTTCCCTTTTATCCTGGGCTGCCTCTAAATCCTTCACATTGGTGGGATTCGGGGAGCTCTGCTTGATTTCTGCATTCCAGGAGGAAAAGGCGGTCTTTAGATTTAGCTTCCACCTAGATTTTTTTTCCTGCCCAAAGAGTTGCAGTAAAAACACTGCAGTAAAAACTCCACAGAGCCATAAACTAGGTGTTTAATTTGGAGAGTAAACAAATAAACTAGATCAAATATACTGAATAATCTGCTATTTACATGAGAAGCTGGTCATCAGTAACAGTGTCACCAGGAACTGGTCACCAGGAACCAGTCTGAGGAAGGGCTGGTTGGATACGAGGTGACCATGCTAAATGTGAGATGTGGCTAGATAACTATGTAAAGACATAAATTAATAAAATGAAAACTAATCAAATTAAAAATGCAAAAAATACCTATTACTTTGCATTTTGAAAAATTTAAAATGCCCATTTATAGCAAGAATCTGAGTGTTAGAGATTTTTGATGGTGGCATTAGAGCACAGATTATACACCTTTGATCACTTACAGAGGAAAGACTGAGATAAGTGGGTGTCTTGGTTAGGGTTTATTATTGCTGTGAAGAGGCACCATGACCATGGCAACTCTTAGAAAGGAAACATTTAATGGTGGCGGTGGCTTACAGTTCAGCAGTTCAGTCCCTCATGGCGGTGAGCATGGCGGCGTGCAGGCAGAGGTTGTGCTGGAGCAGAGACTGCTACATCTTGCAGGCAACAGGAAATCAACTACCAAACTGGGAGGTATCTGGAGTAGATGAAACCTCAAAGCCCGCCCCCACAGTGACACACTTCCTCCAACAAGGCCACACCTTCTAATAGTGCCACTCCCTCGGAGATTATGGGATTATGGGGGCCAATTATGTCCAAACTACCACAGAGGGTTATCAGAATTTTTCCTCTTTTGTTTTCCATATCTGATTTCCATTATTCTGTCCTCTGTGTGTCTGTATCCATGTCCAGTCCGGTGTCACTTCCTATCCGTGTGTGTGTGTGTGTGTGTGTGTGTGTGTGTGTGTGTGTGTGTGTGTGTATACCCCACCCCTACCCCCACAAAAAAAAGTCAAGGCCTTTATCAAGAGAACCCTCTGCCTGCTAGCCTCTGGATGGATTGGGTCTCTGGAGATCTTGACAGGACTGGAGGAAGATGAGTGTCCTCAGTCTGTCAGCTAAAGGCTGGTGCAAGTTCTCTGTGGGAATGAAGGGTATCAGGACCTCTACGAAGCTAGGATGGTTGGCTGATAACCTGCTGAAGAAGCTCAAGCCCATCAAAGCCCCTCATGACTTCCAGGATTTGAGAAGAATGAAAGGGCAAGTCTGCTGTTCAATGGTACCGGCCCGTCTTCATAGGCCGCCCCCTCTGACGCTTCCTCCTCCCCACTCTCTCTCGTCTTCTGTGTCCTCCTCCTCCTCCTCCTCCTCCTCCTCTGCACTAGTTCAATAGCACTCCTGTTTCCAGGCCTCATCTCTTGCACTACACCCAAGTGGTATGTATTGGGTTTGGAAAAAAATCTACTGCAGGCTAGTAGAACTCCTAAGAACATACACAATATACACTTGCGTTTATACTAAGGAGTTCTCAGCATCCCCGAACACGGGTTTAATGTGCTTCGAATGCCTTTTATCCCTGGTTAAAAAAAAAAAATCTCGATTTTGATTTTTTTCTTCTAATTTTACTGTCTTGATTCTGATAAATCTTTTAATTCAGATGTTACCTCCTGGAAAGAATTCTTTTCAGAACCACCCCAAAATTAAGTATTTGGAGATGTATCTTTCTCAACCTAGGTCTTCATTTATAAAAGCAGAAAACAAAACAAAGGAAAAGACAGAAAATTACCCACAGCTATAATTTGACATTCATTGAGTTTGAATTTCCTCCCATTCACCAAGTGTATGAAATTTTAATACATTTGCTGAATTCAATATATTCTCAAGTAAATTGAGAAATAAAAAGTATATAATAAAATTTAGAGTGTTTAAAACTATAGAATTTATTCCTTTGAATTTTGAAGTGTTTGCACCCCCATGGTGGCTCACAATCAGCCATAAAACTCCAGTTTCAGCGGAATCAATGTCCTCTTCTGACCTCTGCAGGCACCAGGCACTCATGTGGTGCACACCTGTATATGTAGTCAAAATGTTCATACACACCAAATCAATCTTAAAAAATTAAAAATGCATGTGTATGTGGTAGCTTGAATGTAATTGGCCCCCATAAGCTCATAGGGAGTGGCACTGCTGGGAGGTGTGGCTTTGTTGGAGTAGGTGTGGCCTTGTTGAAAGAAGTATGTCACTGTGGGGTGGGTGTTGAGGTCTCATATATGCTCAAGCCACGCCCAGTGTCTCAGTTCACTTCCTATTGCCTTTGGGTCAAGATGTGGAATTCTCAGCTCCTTCTCCAGCACCATGTCTGCCTGCATGCCACAATGTTCCACTGTGATGATAATGGTCCCCATTCAATGTTTTCCTTTGGAAGAGTTGCCTTGGTCATGGTGTCTCTTCACAGCAATAGAAACCCCAACTAAGACATGTAGGAATTTAATCTGGTGACTGTCTGACACACTGCAAACAGCCTGTGCATGTGACTTGTCTGTATCTCTCCTGTCCAAGACTCTACATGTATGTAAACTCCATTTGCATGTGTGTGTCAGGGACCTGCCCTGGCCAGAGCTATACCTTTCAGGGAAATTCAGTTTCCCACCGCTTGAGTCCCCTGCACTCTGTTGAGAGGTTTATCACTCAGAGGATATGATCTTGAAGAGAGGGATAAGAAAGGGGAACCATGTGGGGTTTGGTTCCTGGCTCAGCTCAGGGACTTCTGCCTAAGAGATGGGACAGTAGCAGCTGAGGTGCTAAAACTCACAGGGCAGCATCATAGAGGTCATGACAATCTGAGAGAAGCTACAGAACCTCCCACGTGTTCTTTTCTGTTCCTGTCCCGAAAGGGGAAACAGAGCGCCTTCACGGTGCTGGGATTGGGCTCACTGCTTCTTTCCAGGCAGACTTAAACTCCAGCCAAACACACCTGTTTAGGTGGTTGCTCTCCAACCTGAAAGAAACTAGCCCAACCTAAGACAATTTTCTTTTTTTCCTCTCAGTTCATATAATCTATTGCAGTTAGCACACAGCTTAAAAAATTCACCAACACACCAATAGTACGAAAGTTAGCAGTACTGTAAGTTATTCCCTGCTCAGGAAAATGAACCACACGATCAAAGCTTGATGTCAGTCTAAGATTTAGAACAAAGGAAGAATGGGAAACTATGGGAAAAGCAGTTGTTCACTTACAATGCCCCCAAGCCTTCATACAAACTCCATACTCCAAGCCCTTCATTGGGTACCCTCTTCCACAGAGCATACTTGTCCACCACAGCCTCCTCTGTATGTAAGCTGTCTTGATAAGTGTGTGGACCACCACCCTGGCACTTATACTTCTTTCTTTGAAGTCCAAATTGACTCCATTTTGAGATGGCTTGGGATACTAACTGTGGGTTCCTGTTGCCTCTTTTGGGGCAACTCCAGCCATAGGTTCAGTGGGTCTAGTAGAAGCCAAATTAGAGAACAGGACCTCGTCAGGTGATGTCCAGTGGATATGGACTTGCTCTGGGGCATGTGTGATCCTTCCTGGAGGGCCCAAGAAATACTTGGAGCCATCCAGCAAGGGTGGCTCTTCAAAACTTGAAACTCAGAGGGCCCCGAATGATGCCTCTGGGCTTAATTGCTAAAGAAAGCCAGTTTGTCCAAGGGCTGGGGAGACAGTGGATATTGAAATCTCATTAGGAACACAAAGGCCAGTAAAACAAGAGCTAGCAGTGGGAAAATTACAAATTTCAGATATTACAAAATAGGTGGGTAGGGTGGCTGGGGAGATGGGTTAGCCACCCGCATGGTGGCTCACAACTGTCCAACTCCAGTTCCGAGGGATTTGGCATCCTCAGATATGCATGCAGGCAAAACATCCATACTGAGAGAGAGAGAGAGAGAGAGAGAGAGAGAGAGAGAGAGAGAGAGAGAGAGAGAGACAGAGAGAGACAGAGAGAGACAGAGAGACAGAGAGACAGAGAGACAGAGAGACAGAGAGACAGAGACAGAGAGACAGAGAGAAAGGGAGAAAGAAAGAAAGAGAGAGGGAGGGAGAGAGAGAGAGGGAGGGGGGGGAGAGAGAGAGGGGGGAGAGAGAGGGAGGGAGAGAGAGAGAGAGAGAGAGAGGGAGAGAAAGAGGGAGGAAGAAAGGAAGGAAGGAAGGAAGGAAAGAAAAAATGGGAATAAGAGTGGGTGGGACTTAAAAACCCAAAAAACCTTTGCAGTCAATTCCCAGTCTTCTAACAGATTTTAGGAAATTTTCTCTTTTCTTTTCTCCTCCTCTTCCTCCCCACCTCCTCCTTCCTTTCTCTCTCTCCATCCCTCTCTCCCTTCCTCTGTCCCTCCATCCCTCCTATCTCTCTCCTTCTTTCCTTCCCTATAGCCCAGGCTGGCTTTGAACCTGGACTGCTGCTGTGTAGTGGAGGATAACCCTGACCTTATCCTCCTGTTTCCACTGTCCAAGCGCTGGGATCACAAGTGTGTGCTGCCATGTCTGGGTTCTAGTGAGGGTCTGGGGCAGTTTCCTGAATATGAACCAAGCATCTCCCAACAGCCTACAACCCCAGTCCTGTGTTCTAGTTTGGTTTACGAATTGTTATTTTATTAACCACATCATTTCTCTCTCCCCGCCCTCCCCCCACATGAACACACACACACACACACACACACACACACACACACACACACACACACACACTTTTTAAAAGATTTGTTTTCTTATTTTTAACCATGGGTATGTGTATATATGTGCATGTGAGTACAGGTGCCTTCAGAGGCCAGAAGGGGGCATGAGCTCCTGAAACTGAAGTTCTAGGCACTTGTAAACTGTGCAGATAATATGAGTGCTCTTAATTGACGAGCTCTTTCTCTAGCCCTACATTTTTTTTTTTACTATTTAGCATTATAGCTGTTTTATACAGCTGTTAAAAATTTGATTTTATTTTATAAACTCACTCAAGTCCAACTTAGTTAAGTTTTTCTCTGCCTTATATTTTTTTGACAGATTTCATAAAAATTTGGATTTCTTCTTTCTTAGGACCCCGAGTGATTTCTAATTGTAGAACCATATATTAAGTATGTGTCAGTGAACACTTAAGAAAAGGGGTAACTGGTTGCTTTCTACTGATTTCATTTATTTTGTTGAGAAAATGACAGTGTATTTTTGTTTGTTTGTTTTGAGACAGGGTGTCTCTGTGTAGCCCTGGCTGTCCTGGAACTCGCTCTGTAGACCAGACTGGTTTTGAACTCAGAGATCCACTTGTCTCTGCCTCCTGAGTGCTGGGATTAAAGGCGTGCACCACCACCACCCAGTGAAAATGAAATGTTCAGAAAAATTACAAACAATTCCTTATGTAAAAAGTGTGACCAAGATTCCCATTAGTTTTGTCTCTTGAAACTTTCTAAAGTTTAATGAATAATTTTCTTTAACAGAGACTGATTTTCTACTGAAAGTGTTTTTAAAAATAGAAGAGAAAGCAAGGCCAGGCAAGGTATCACCCACCTTTAATCCCAGCACTCAGGAGGCAGAGGCAGGAGGATCTCTGAGTTTGAGGCCAACCTGGTCTACAGAGTGAGTTCCAGGATAGCCAAGGCTATATGTAGAGAGACCCCATCTCAAAACACAAACAAACAAACGGAAAGAAAGAAAAGAAAATAGAAAATGGATTTAGTAAGCATTTTAATATCTCAAACAGAATGCCTATTTTGTGGAAGCATCAGAATGCAAAACCAGGCAATCAACTGGAAAACTGTTGTGGTAACATTTAGGTACTCAGAGGGTGGCCCTCCCTGGCTGATAGTCCTTTCAGGCCCGGTAACCACAGAACATCAGGCAAGAGGGAAATAAACTTCAGAAACTGCAAGTGTTTAGGTCTGTTCCTTTTAGTCCCTCTGTCCCTTGGAGAAGACTTTTGGAATTTGGGTCTTGGTATCCTCAGCGAGTTATCCAGTAATTGGGTCTATGTTCCTCAGGGAGAAAAAGGTCTGTAGCTTGTGATCGAAGTCAATGGCTCTGAATTGAGGCTCCTTGTACTTGCGAGTCATCTTGGCACTGAGGTATGTTATGAGTTCACATCTTTCCACAAACTTCTCCATCTTCTTCTTGTATTTTTGTCTTGAATATTGAGACCCTTTGGGATTAAATGCTGTAGAAAATGTCACAGAGTTGTGAATGTTTTCTGATATGTGGTTAGTAAGGCATTCAACAAAGCAGAACTTCATGTGTGACTAGGCCACCCAGCTAAGGGGGAGATGGTCCCATCCTTGGAGAAGGTTAGAGGGCCGCCATATTAGACCATAATTTCCTGTGTTCGCCTCTCTCTATGGAGTTTAAGTGCTGACTATGTTATTTAGTACCCGGATTCTATGTATTATATTATTAATTTTGTGGTGTTAGAGGTTGAACCTAAGGCCTCACATACTCTAGGCAAGTAAGTGCTCTACCACTGAACTACATCCCCAGGTCTCTGCGGTCTTTTGAGATGGGGCCTCACTGTGTAACCCTGGCTGGCCTGGAACTCACTTTGTAGACCAGGCTGGCCTTGAACTCACAGAGATCTGCCTGCCTCTGCCTTCCGATTCCTCGGATTAAAGATGTGTGCCACCATGGCTGGCTTAAAATTTTGTTTATACCTAGGCTGTACCAGAGCTCACTCCATAGCCTAGCCTCCTGATCTTGTAAAGAGGCTTTGATCTTGTAATCCTCCTCAGCTTCCTGGGTAGTACGAATTTTACTGGCCTGTGCCACCAGGTTCGGTTTATAGTACTTGATTTAAAAACTGGCAGTTTCACTTTTGATGTTTTCATATAGATATTTACCCTGTGCTTCATTTGCCCCTTCCCATACAAGTCAACAGTCAACTCAGTCTACCACACATGGTACAAGTGCTGAGCTTGCTTCTCTGAGTGGTACATCAGTTAAAGAGGCGTACCTTTGAGATGAAACGCTACGTAGAGGAGCACCGATCGCCTCACACTTAAGAAGGGGAACTTGGGCTTCAGGCATCCTGCTGCATTCATTGCTTTGATGAGGGAAGTTGCTGTACCCTGCAGGGAGGGGTCGGTTTGAGTCAGCGCATATATGAGTGCACGTTCTGAACGCAGATCGATAAAGGCCTTACTCTTCCCACCAAATAGCCTTCCTGGGATGGGGCTGGTTAGACGACCATCCACTCACCAGGGAAGAAACACAAACTACACTTGATGAAGGGAAATGAAATGTAAGCTGGCACAGAGCCAGCTGGGTGGTGGCTGCATGCCTGGGCTTCATTGCATGATGGTCTCTATTCACGTGCCTGACATTTGCTGTGACCTAACGTTGAAGAGGAAAGAAGAGGACACAGGGCTTTGAGTAGCCTTGGCTCATCTCGGCTTGTGTTGCCGGCACCGGCAGCCTGCCTCCCGCTCTGTGCATCCTTGGCCACGGGACAAGGAATCCCGGAGGCCACAGGGTCACTGCAGCCAAGTTCCTAGAGCTGTGAGGTGAAAGAGGCCTCCTGATAAAGCCCGCCTGCGACTCCTCCCTGGCGAGCCTCCCTGGCACGTTGGTATTATGCCAGATGGAAGCCAGCTTTCTCCCCATCTCTCCTTTTGGTTTTTCTTTCAGGTTTCTTTGTTTGTTTGTTTGTTTGTTTTGAGGCATATGTAGCTTGGGTATGTGCCATTGAAGGCTAACCTTCTAGGCAAACTGAAAAAAAAAAAACAAAGTGGTTAAGAGGTTGTGATAAAGGTCTAAAATTGTGTTTTTGACATTTATTTTGCAGAACTAAAAAATACTACCTTTGGGAGGGAGACTGGTGAGGTGGCTGAGTGGGTAGAGGTGCTGACTGGGCCAGCCTGGTGGCCTTTTGACCCCAGAAACACACACCAAGGTGGAAGGAGAGAAGCAGCGCTGCAGGCTGTCACGTGGTCTCCACACACACCACGGCACGTGTGCCTCTCCCGTCGTGAGCTGTGCACACACACACCATGGCACGTGTGCCTCTCCCGTCATGAGCAGTGCACACACACACCACGGCACGTGTGCCTCTCCCATCATGAGCTGTGCACACACACACCACGGCACGTGTGCCTCTCCCGTCATGAGCAGTGCACACACACGTGCACAAAGAATACTCTAAAAGTTAAATAACTTTGAAACAGTGATTGACTACGGACACATTTTACAACTTTTAAAAACAATTATATCTGGATGAATAAAATGTGATTCGAATAGATAGTTTAATGTGGATTTGGGATAAAACATGGGTTCCGTAGCTCACCTATCCTGGTACTGTGGCTTAACTCTTTTGTGGAATAAATTAACCTTTGGGGGGCCAACGCAACATCTCAAATCATTGAAGGAGGAGGAGGAGAAGGAAGAGGAGGAGGAGGAAGAGGAGGAGGAGGAGGAGGAAGAGGAGGAGGAGAAAGAGGAGGAGGAGGAGGAAGAGGAGGAGGAGAAACCGAACTGCACATCCAACTGCACATCCATTTACATGTAACCAGTTTTGTTTTTTTTTTTTTTTTTTTTTTTTTTTTTTTTTGGTTTTTCGAGACAGGGTTTCTCTGTGTAGCTTTGCGCCTTTCCTAGAACTCACTTGGTAGTCCAGGCTGGCCTCGAACTCACAGAGATCCACCTGGCTCTGCCTCCCGAGAGCTGGGATTAAAGGCGTGCGCCACCACCGCCCGGCTCGTGTAACCAGTTTTAAGACAGCCACTTCCCCTTCACTGCGCTGCCGCTGTTCCAGGCATTGGTTACAGGAGTTCACACCTTGCATTTGAACAATCACCCATAAATGAAATAGTTGAAGAGTGCTTTCCAACTCAAAATTGGGATCACTTTTAGAAAAGCAAAAGCTACTGTTAGAAGAGGCCCCTGTATTCTCGTAGTATGTATCAAAGAAAATCATGCAACAGAACCTGTTCCAGATACCCAGGCAAAGGGAGGCTCGTAAGGTGGATGGATTCCTTCAGCGGGGGAAGTTTGTATGGAAGCTTCTGGTCCCAGTAGTGCATTGGCATCCTATGAATACAAAGCTCGTTAAGCACATGCTCACACACCCCCATTCTGTGCATACAGATACAAGTATGAGACAAAGTTCACTTCTTGCTTTATCTGCTGGAGAAAAAGTGTGCGAGGGAGAAAACTGGGCATTCTAGAAGTTTCTCTTGTCTTTCGATTTCACACAAGGTTTCTTGTAGCCCACTCTGCAGCTCAGAACAACTTGGAACTCCACCTTTGAATTCTTTGCTTCCACCTTCTGAGTGCTGGGAATGAGCCACCGTGCCTGGCTCTGGGGCTCCAGCCTGGTCCACCTGTTTATCAGATTTATTAATTTTCACAGGGACTATATAAAACTCTTCTCAAAATTTGAATTATCTGTGTGGCACCTTTATTCCCAAGACAGACACCCCCGTGCCCAGGGTGGAGGCCACCAGGATGGAGCTTCCTTCAGAAGTTGCTGATCATGAACAGAGGCAGACACAGGGTCCTCTTCCCAGCACTGGTACCTCCTGTCTAAGAACAGTCCCCACCCATGCTCTGAATCCCCGCTGTGCCCTCTTTCTTTCTGTAGCCGTTTCTCTCTCTCTCTCTTTCTCTCTCTCTCTCTCTCTCTCTCTCTCTCTGTCTCTCTCTCTCTCTCTCTCTCTCTCTCTCTCTCTCTCTCTCTCTCTCTCTCTCTCTCTCTCTAAGCCTTGGCACATCCTTCTTTATTGGACCCTTCCCATGCAGCTGCATTTAAACGTGCTCACAGTTCCCACATTAGAAGAAAAGGAAAGAAAAAAAAAATAGCTGGATGTGTTGACCTGTAATCCCAGAAGTCAGGAGTCAAAAACTGGCCAACCTGCACTACAGAGTGCATTCCAGGCCAGCCTGGGCTACAGAGTAAGACCTGGTCTCAACAACAAACCAACCAACCAATCCAACCAACAGACAAAATCTCCCCAAACCCAAACCTGAAACAAATAGACAAGACAATAAAGAAAACCAACCACGAGAGCAAATTCCTCTTCTCTCCTTTGATCCTACATCTCTTCCAGCAATTAACATCTCTCATCTTTTTACAATAAAATTTCTTCAAACCCAAGCCTCATTGAAACAGCAAGCTAAGGAAGGAACAGGGTCTATTTGCATAGTCTCTTCTCACTATTTTGGCATCAGTCATGACTGTTTAAAATCAAAAAGTTTGAAGGGATTTGACTTTAAATGTGACAACCAGGAACATCTGGCAGAAGAGATGCTAGTCTGCTCATGGGCGTGAGTTGGTAGCAGTGCCCACCATCTCTGTTGTTTCTGGTTCAACTCACTTACCTCGAGCAGCTTTCCCTCTGGCTGCTGCAGCTCTGTCACCCCTGGGCTACGGGCAGGTCTTGGAGCCTCATTCACCCCTCCAGGCTGCCCTCTTCCCACCCAAACGCCCTTGCCAAGACCCCCAGTAGTGGGCTACAAGCTCAGTCTCACAGGAGCGTCAGCCCTAACCTGGCTTCATTTCCCAGGGCTTCCCGGAAGGTTCTCTCGCCCCAATCCCAGCCTTCCATCCCTTCTCTCCTTCACCTCTGTGGTTGTCTTCCGCCTTGTGTGTGGTGGTGGCAGGAGGGGTGACCAGTGGCAGAGAGGACGTCCTAAGGGTGTGAGCTCCAACATGCCTCAGATTCCATTTAGGAGTACTCTATTAACCTCTAAACATCATTTCTGCCTCCAACTTATTCTTGACACCCTGTGGAGATCTTGTTCCTAAGCAAAATTGATTCTAACACTGACCTGGCTTGGAAGCAGACAGTAGACGTTTGTAGCGCGTGGGGTCAAGTCTAAATGCTGTTTGGTGGTTTTACTTGGACCTCTGTACTCTACCCTGCTCACTTCCTCCAGCCCTGCCTCTATGTGGTATCCAGACAAGCTGATTTTCTTACGGTTCTTGGGTCCCCAGGGACAGGCTGATCGCAGTCCCATCAGCTTGGCATCTGGTCCTTTATCCCTTATTCTAGTTCATTCCCAGTTCTCTCTCAGACAATCCAGTCATGCCAGAGTACCAGGCCCTTCATCACCCCTCGGGCCCTATAATATTCTATGGTACGTCCTGGAGCCCTACGATTTGGGACAAGGCAGTACTTATTCACCTCCCCCCAGCCTGTGTGTATGTATGTATGTGTGTGTGTGTGTGTGTGTGTGTGTGTGTGTGTATGTATGTATGTGTGTGTGTGTGTGTGTGTGTGTGTGTGTATCCCTTTCCTTCCCTTCTTTCCTTTCCCTTCCCTTCCCTTTTCTTCCACAGCTCCAAGCACAGTAGATGGAACATAGAATATAACAAATATTTACAGTCGGTGAATAATCTCACCTCAAAAATTTCTGGAGTTTTTCTTCAGTCTCACAAATAAATATTCGATCACGATATTCTGCAGCATATTGAATGTTACCAGGCACCAGAGCTTCATATCTGAAAGGTGAAAAACAAGACAAAACGAAATAAAAACCAGTGTGCAATTAATACATGTAGCTTTGTTATTAATATATGTGGCTTGGTAATTAATATTGTATAATTCATATGTAGTAATGCATAATAAAACGTCAAAATGTTTCATTTTTCTACTTCTGCAGCTCAAGGAGGAAAGGAACATTTCCCTAGGTAATCAGCCAAGGACTGTCACTTTGTGAACTGGAGAGATGGCTCTGAGGGTAAGAGCATTTGCAGCTCTTGAGCAGGATAGGAGTTGGGGTGCCCAGCATGCCCCCATGCAGGGTGGCTCACAACTGCCCATAACTCTAGTTACAGGGGAACAGATGCCCTCTTCTGGACTCTGTGGGCACCTGCATGTACACACACACACACACACACACACACACACATGAATAAAAATAAATCCTTAAAATCACTGTCCCAAGGGCCCCTGGTGCTGAGCAGGGCTGTGGCTCTGTCCCGGGAATCTGAGGACTTGCCTTTGTTTTCCGTCCAGGTAAGTCACTGGACAGTAGCCTTGGAGCTCAGCACACTTAGGAAATCGACTCTTCAGCTCTGACAGGGTCAGCCTTTTGGGGAGCATGGCGGCAGGGGGGAGCGGATGAGGTGCCAAGGGAGGCACATACAATTCCGGGTTCGTCAGGAATTTCTATTAAGGAAAGAGGTACAGCAGCAAGAGCATTTCAAACAGCAATAGTGCACCAATCAAAACATCCCTGGAGGCCCTCCTGCTCAATTCCCATACAGCAGCCTTTCAAGCCATCTGAGAGGAGTTATTGTAACTTCTCCTATAAGAAGTTCCTCAGGATAATAATCCCAAGCAATCAAAGGTCTCTTCTTACTCAAAAACGCAATATTTTTTTAGTTCCTATTCTATGACAAGGACTGGAGAGTCCTTAGCCAGCTGCCAGTCTCCCTGTGCTTTTTAGGATTCTCTAGGGTCAGTAGTTGCTCTGTAGAGTGCAAAGGCACAAAATATCAGACATGAGTTCTGCTTTAAAAATTCTGTGATTATTATGCTATAAGCAGGAAGAAATAAGCACCCCCAGTAAAGAAATTAAAATTATTCTTTGGTGGAAGATAAAATGTTCAGATTAGTTTTCATTATTGTCTTCAGTTACAAACCATTGTATATCATCAAATCTCAGGCATCAAAATATTGGAATCAATATATGGTTAGACTTTTGAATCCATAGGTACAAGTGGTCCATTCTCCATATCCATGGCTTCTGTGGCCTCAGATTCAAATAGGAAATGTTCAGTAAAAAAGACTAGCTCTTTGCTGAACATGTCTGCCCTTTCCCCTTCAAAATTCCCTAAACAATACAGCCTGGCAACTGTTTACAAGGCTTTTACATTGTTTTAGATCTTGTAAGTCATCTATGAGTGTTTCAATGGATGTGGGAGGGTAGGTATAGATTAGGTTATATGTAAATGCTACCCCCTTTGTTCTTGAGCAGACATAGATTTTGGCACCCTTGGAGGGGGTGTCCTGGAACCAATCCTCAAAGATGCCGGGGATAACTGGGAAATTCTAGTGTTGTATTTATTTATTTATTTATTTTAAAGTATGGTCATCAGTCAAGCTCTTGCTTTATTCTTACTCCCTTATCCCTTGAAGCTCAATCCTTGGGTTCTTTCTGTAGACTGAGTCCAGATGCTTCATACCTCCTCCATTAGTGAGACTCAACTGTTGGCTTTCCCTGCCTGATGGGCTACCTAAGACCCGCCACTGACCCAAACCTTCTAAATATGTCTGGGGCAGGGAAGTCTCAGGGCTACTCTTTGAGTTTCTCACTGATCCCAGAGTCCCAGGTTCCAGTGATGTGGTTATTGGTCCTAATTTTCTGAGTGTCCCCAAGGGTGCCTGTTCTTTTCATTTGATGAAACTCAAGACAAGCCATTTTGTTTCCTTAATAAATATTTATATAAGAAACAAACTTACATTTAGATTTTCCTTGGAACTCATTTTATAATAGTGACCCCTGAACTCTGCTGCAAATTCCAAGCTGTTAGTTGTAGAACAATCATTTAATTCATAAGATTCTGCCAGGCTGACAGGGCAGAACTGTCCAAACTCTCCCAGACGAGCAATCAGTTCATCGGGTGTGATACATAGTTTGTCAATGCAAGCAGCTTTCCCTGTTATTAACATATTCATTATTATAGATTTCACAGGAGACACAATGATCAAAAGTTAAAATGATTTCGGTTAGACACCACTATATTAACACTACACATCCTAAAATTCTAAACAACAGAGTAAAAAGTAAAGTCACTATAAATGCATATGGTGGTGGAGGTCTACAGTCCAATGTTCTGGAGACTGAGGCAGAGGGACTGCCACAAATTCTAGGCCAGCCTGGGCTAACATAGTGAGAACCTGTCTCAAAACAAGCAAGCAAGCAAACAAAACAAAAGTTATTCTTCATGTCTGCACCCTTTCAGCCTACTACCCATCCTAAGAGGTACTCACTGTTGGGTTTATGCCCTTTTTAGTCTTTTTTTTTCTGTACATATATGTGTGTGTGTGTGTGTGTGTGTGTGTGTGTGTGTGTGTGTGTGTGTGTGTGTTTTGCATATTGTGTATTCATGCCAGTACATGTAAACATTATTTTGCAACTTGATTTATCAGTTAATTGTTGTCTTTGACATCTTTCTTTGTTGACCCAATTCCTTACACATGTTTAATCCTGGTTGTTTTGTGTTCAAGGAAACATGTTCCGATTCTATGTCTCCCAGACGGCCTTGACCTTGTGGTCATCTTACTTCAGTTTTCTGGGGGTTGGGATTATAGTAGTGCTCCACCACGTCCAGCACCCAGTTTGTTTGAATTTATGCATAGTATTCTAGTACGCAAATATACAAACTATAAGTACAGGACTTTTAACTTATTCATTTAACTAAAAGTTACATGTGGTTTCCTTGAATATTTATCTTTGTTGCATATTTTCATTCTAGTTTTTCAGTATCATCCACTATATACATGTAACAGATAATAGTTATATACACATATTTTTATATGAATACAATAGATACATATACATACATACATACATCTGTATGAATGGGCACACACACACATTTATGTTCTAACAAGTGTTGTCTACACAATTCTGATACTAACTGGTAGTCCACAATCACAGCCCTACTTCAATGAGCAGGCATTGAGAAACATTGTCTTATTGGCTGTTATCTTCCACTGACTTTCTCAAAGTAAGAAATGATCAGTGAGGCCTCGATACCCTTCCAGAAAGGTCCGTAGGCTGTACACTGCTGGACAACAGGACTTTCCAAGTGGCAAAAATCTGTGACTCAGCTGAGTCAACAAAAGTGAATTGGATACCTTGACTCTACATCTGATCTCCACAACACTGGTTACCAGCCATGAACTGTGACCACTTCATTAGGGCCTGGTCCACTCAGAAGTGTCCAGAGTAGCAGCTGACAGAGTCTCCTAACATCTTTGTATCTTTCACAGAGTTCAGTGGTTTCTGGAGTGGTGTTACTTGCCTTAAGACAAAGTGATGTCGATACTTGCTACCTAATTTTCCTAATTACTCTGTTCATTTGAACTTAAGTCTGATGTGTCACTGATTATCACTGACAGGACATAAGTCTGATTTGTTCACTGTGTCATTATGGTATCATGAGCATCACTGCAGGACACAGGTTGGGCTGCTCTGTCATGTCTCTGGTACTGTTGTGGATATACGCCCTGTGTTGTTCAGAGCTTATGAATTGTTCCCTCTGGATGTGGGTATTTGTTTCTAATGGAAAAGGATATACCAAAAGCACACGCCTTTATTCCAAGAACACTGGAGGTAGAAGCAGGTGGATCTCTGTGCATTCAAGACCAGCCAGGGCTACAGAGTGAGATCCTGTCTGGAAAAACAAACAAACAAACAAACAAACAAGCAAACAAACAAACAAACAAACGTAATCTATACCACAAGATTAGTTTAGTTTTCTAGGCTGAACTGTGTCTTCTCAAAAGAGACATTGAAGTATTCATAGCACCCTTGACTGTAACCTTTATGAGAGCAGAGTCAGATAGATGAAGACACAGAGCAGCACGTCATGTGACAGAAAGGCAAAAAGAATGACGTGCAATGACAGAGACAGGGTTGTTGCGGTGACTCCATAAGCCATTGATTGTTGGCTATGCTGGAAACAAAGAGGAAGGCATGGAGCAGGCCCCCAGAAAGTCCTCAGAGAAAGCATGGCACTGCCAACACCTTGATTTTGAACTTCTAGCCTCTTGAATTATGACACGACACATTTCCGTCATTCAATCCACTCGGTTTGGGCACCTTTCCCTGGTAGCCCTAGGAGACTAAAACAAAAGGCCAGGGCTTCTGTCATGCTGGCACTCCCCCTTCCCCTTGCCCTTTCAAAGGCTTGTTCCCGTGGAAGACCAGGCTGCCTGCTGGGTGTGGTGGTGCAGAGCAGTAACCCTGGCATTCAGGAATCCAGGGTTGGAGGCCAGCCTGAGGTACAGAGGCAGCACATAAATAAATGGTAATCCAGGTGATGCTGCCATTTCAGGCATGACTGATGAGAGCGTTGTAGGGTCATGGAAGCCTCCACCAAGATTTTGAAAGAGGGCTGGGATGTCAAACAGTGTGTGATAAAGTCAAGATCTCTCCAGGGAGCTCCTGAGACTGTGTTGCCTGAAGCTGTGATGGTGAGGGGCCACAAGAAAAAAGGGCCCCAAATGAGTGGATTAAATGACAGAAACATACCGTGTTGCAAATCTAGACACAATGGAGAGTCAAGGAGGTCAAGAATGCCAAGAATAAGGAGGGTCTGCTGAGGGAAGCTGAAGGGAGTGAATGGAGCCAGCCTGAGACTGCTCAACCTTGGTTTCATTTAGATGAAAACACTGTGAGCGTCAGATGTTGGATATGGAGCTGTGATGGACCATTTGGTCTGATAATGTCTTGTTAAGCTCCTCTCCCTCCCTCTCTTTCAGACATCTGAGGTTGTCTTCTGGCCTTCATACTCATCTGCACACACATGAACCTGCACACACACACAAATGTGCACACATACACATAACAATATTTTCTTACCGTCCTTTATTCTTTCCATGTATATCTGTATGTACTTATTCATCTGTTGGATGTCTTTGATGATCGCATTCCATACCCACCACTTACTGTGAAATCCATCAATCACGTGCCAGTTTTGATGCTGTTCTTGATAAAATTGCCTGATCTCCTTGATATTTTTATGGTACTTGGCATTCTTATGAGCTATAATCTGTGTGCTGTTGTGCAGTGGATACGGTGTACTAAGGAGGAAATGGGGAAGGGGCAGAAAAGCGGTTGAGGGCCTGAGACATCCCCTGTACAGATGGCCAAGGTCACCCTGTTCCCACAGTTCCCTCATGAGGAATACCTTTGCTCCATCTTCTTTTCTAGCAGCAACCTTTTGAAGATCTCCTTGGATGGCACCTCCAACTCAAAGATGACCATGGGAATGATTGACCTTGCCTCCAAGATATTCATCTGGTTCGTGGTTACCGGGTAGCCATCAATGACCACACTAACAGACAAACAGAAAAACGCAATTTCCACATTCCTTTTCTCTCACCATGCCCTGATGTCCTCTAGAACAAATCTCTGTCTTTAGTGCTCCCAGGCTTTCCATTATGACATTGGTAATTTTTTTGCATGTGCATTTTCTCCTTTATCTTTACATCTTAACCCTCCTTCATCCCTAGACTGTGAGGTGGGCAGTACACATGCACACAGCTTGGAGAGTGGAGGCAGGAGGTCTGCATTCATACATCCATCTGCTCAGCACCACACAGCTAGGTTTTGGTAGAATTTGATAGACACACCTATGATACCTTGCAAATTGTGTATTCCTGGTGTTATAAGCACAAATAGCAGAATGAATGTAGGCAGGCCTAGATATGAAACCTGGTATTAAAAACTCCATGCCTTGGTTTTTAGTAAAGTAGGAGAAAATTACATTTAACCCTTAGAGTGGTTTTAAAGATTAGAGAGCAGGTATGAAAAGCAAGTAGAACAGGGCATGGCACGTACTAGATGCTAAGTAAATAGTCACGTGTCCTCTGCTAGGAGCTATTCTTGTTGTAGAAGAATGAGGAATTTGTGAGGGATTTGGAATGGGAAGTTTGTGAGAGCCCCCCCGCCAGCCTGCCTGCCACACATGTGAGCAGAAGGTATGAGAATTACAGCCTAACAGTCTGAGGTAACAAGATTGGATATCAAACTGAAAGGAAACGAAAATTTTAAAAAATTCAGAAATTCTGGGAATGGCCTGATAGACAAGGCAGAATGCTGGGCATGTGGCTGGTGGCCATCAGTAAAGCTTTCTATATCCTGAGTGACAGGGCACACTTGTCAATGCCCTCCAACACAGTGCAGGCTCTACCTACAAGTCTCCTAGCAGAGATGATAAGCCACCTCATTGTAGAACAGTCTGCAAGAGGGCGACATTTTATTTTATGTTTTTAAACAGAGAGTAGTTATTCTCTACACTGGGAAGGGTCACTTGAGTGGCTCGCAGGATTGGGGAAATGAACCTAGGGTAGATGAGCAGCCTTCATCCTGGGATTAAGATGAAATAAACCCATGATACGACCATAGTTGCCTTCATCGGGGCAAGCTAAGCCCCAGGGAAGAAGTAACTCAGTGTGGATATGTCCCTTTTCCCAAAGGCTGTCACCCAAGAATGCTCCCCACCCCTGGAATTATAGAAACTGTTCGATGATTTGACTCAAAACAACTTGCAAAGAAGAGGCAGAAGGTTCTAAGTACACAATGATCTTGACTAAGCCAGGAGATTCTAGTTCGGTGACTTGGACTCAAGACCAGAGAACATCAGGGTTCACTGGGATGTGACCAATGGCTGTAATGGACAAGAAGAAAGGTCATCATAGAAGAATGAACTCATGACAAAGCCAAGTATTCAGTGTTCCTGTCCGAATATAGCATCACAGGAGGGGCACTGCTCCCTCTGCAGGGACCTGGACCTAAGGGGAACCACGTTCAAGGGACCACATCATCTGAGAACTAAGGAGGGCCCTCCCATCATTTCATGGAGCTGTAAGAAGTACTGGAGCAAGGAAGTCACAGTGGCCTCATCTGTGGGCTGTGTAGGAGTTGCTGCAGGGAGTAATGAGGTCTGTGGGCTAATCTGCCATGAGTTCAAGCCATGAATCTTGACAGAAAAAGATAATGTTTCCAAGTACGTGCTCAGTCTGAGCAGCAGATCATTCTCTCCCCCCGCCCTTTTTTTTCAGAGCTGAGGACCGAACCCAGGGCTACCACTGAGCTAAATTCCCAACCCCCATTCTCTTCTCCTTTACTGGCACTCCAAACCCATCTCCAAGACCTTTTTGAAAGAACTGCGAGCATCCTCACAGTCACTCCCTTTGCCCTTCCTTCTGCCCCGACTCACTCACCCTATAGTATTGCACACACTCTCCATCAGAGAAAGATCCAAAGCTTGAACAGCAAGTCCATCAGGCACTGTCATGCCTTTGTGAAGGTGCCAGTTTATCATAAGTGACAGCTCCGTATCCGGGTGATTGCTTAACATGCTACGCAATGCATCTCCTACCGACAAGCGTTTTAAGCCATATTCACTTACAAGCTTTTTGGCAACTGGAAAACATAAAACATGAAGCCTATTTGACGTCACACATTCATCAGTTAACCTTACTTTTAGATTCTGACTAATGGCGCCAATAGCAAGCTTATCTTCACATTCTTCAAAGAGTTGTCAAAGTTGTTAGCAGTACTTCAGGTTTGTGACTTTAGAATCCGGCTAATGAACCAACTGGGTTTCTTCTTTTTTCTTTCTTTTTAATAATCTATTCTTATTTTATGTGCATTGGTATTTTGCCTGCAGGTATGTCTATATGAGGGTATCAGATCTTGGAGTTACAGACAGTGTGAGCAGCCATGTGGGTGCTGGGAATTGAACCCAGGTCCTCTGGAAGAACAGTCAGCACTCTTAACTGCTGAGCCATCTCTCCAGCCTCCATCTTCTTTTCTTTTCTTTTTATAATCAAACCAATGTTTAAGCAACTTATTGCTTCTGCATGATGTAACAAATTGGGGAAGCATTGCAGTAATCCTGTGTGCATTTGGTATTTAGTCTGCTGTCAAAGATAACGATGTAATGACCCTACTTGATTGGATTACACCATTCCTCAGTCCATCTGTAGATCCCACACTGCAATGAGCATAGCAAACCCTAGACTCATCATGGATCATGGGTCTCAGTCAACCTTCTAGGAAATACTTTTAAAAAATTAAGGCGTACTTTACGTTTTGTTTTATTTCATTTTTTATTTTCTGTGTATGGGTGATTTGCCTGTATGTGTGTCTGTGCACCATGTGTGTGCAGTATCTGTAGAGGTCAGAAAAAGGTTTCAGATCCCCTGGGATTGGAGTTATAGATGACTGTGAGCTGCCGTGTGGGTGCTAGGAATCGAACCCAAGTCCTCCAGAGGAACAGTCAGTGCTTTTAACTGCTGAGCCATCTCTAGCCCCCTACTTTACCTTTTAATAGAGGTTTATAGCTTAGGAGACAGAAATTTTTTTCTATGGGTTTATTTGGTGTTTGGGTGGCATGAAAATTGAATTCTAACTTTATAGCTGAGGGGAACCAAAGCCCACTAGGGTAGAATAGATCACTGAAAAGATAGAGGTCATTGAATAGAATTAATAGAGGTCATTGAATAGATTAGATAGAGTTCATTGAATAGATAGAGGTCATTGAATAGATAGATAGAAGTAACTGAATAGATAGAGGTCATTGAATAGAATAGATAGAAGTCCTTGAATAGATAGAGGTCATTGAATAGATAGATAGAGGTAATTGAATAGATAGATAGAGGTCATTGAATAGAATAGATAGAGGTCATTGAATAGAATAGATAGAGGTCATTGAATAGGTAGATAGAGGTCATTGAATAGATAGAGGTCATTGAATAGATAGATAGAGGTCATTGGCTGAGAGAGGAGATTCTCTTGACTGTTCGCAAGGGGCAGGTGAAATTTCAGACCCCAAACCTGTTTTCCTAAAAACTCTGGAATCAAATTTGTTCAAATTATAAAACTAAATGAGTTTTCAAAATAAGGCATAGTGTTAAAATTTACTTTCCATTTCAACAGAGAGGTGAGAAATCAGATTGTTGTCTATGTTTTCAGCCCTGGAATGGAATTTCATTTCAGATGAGGACATTCTGTTGTTCTTGGTAAATACCATTGTCTTGTGAAGATTTAGAATAAGGCTGTTTTGTCATGTTAAGACATTTAAAAGTTAGAAAAAGAAATTTAAATATTTTAATTTTAATTTACATTTATTTACTCTCTCTCTCTCTCTCTCTCTCTCTGTGTGTGTGTGTGTGTGTGTGTGTGTGTGTGTGTGTGTGTGTGTGTCTTTTGAGATAGGATCTCATTGGCCTGGACCTTTCAAAGTAGGATAGGCTAGGTGAGCCTTGGGGATCTATCTGTCTTTGCCTTCCTAGTACTGAGATTACAAAATATGTGCACATCATATCTGATTTTTTAGATAGGTTCCAGAGCTTGACCTCAAGTTCCATGCCTGCAAGGTAGACACTTTATTCATTGAGCCCCCAGATCCCTGGACAAAGAATGTAAAAGAATTATTTTTTTAAAAATCAATAAATTAAAGAGGATACAAATAAATGGTGAATTAAGGAAGACAATGAAAGATATGAAAGAGAAATTCAGGAGAGAGAGACAGAGACAGAGAGACAGACAGACAGACAGACTAGAAAAGAACCAATTGGAAATTTTGGAAGTGGAAATCTTAGTAAATCAAATTTAAAAGAAAAAACAGAAAGCATCAGCAACAGCTTAGGTGGAAGAATACCAGAGCTTGAAGACAGAAACTTGATGAATTATTATATTCAGAGAGCAATAAAGAAAAATAAGGAGGAATAGACAAGACACTCCAGAGCTATAGGACACTATCAAAAGAATATTTAAAGAACAGTGTAGTCAGTATGCACAGAGGAGAAATACAGTCTAGAGGCACAGAAAACCTATCAGTGAAGTAGGGACAGGAAATTGCTCAAGTCTCGGGAAAGATACAGATAGCCAGTTACAGGAGACATTTAGAATCCCAACTAGACACAACTGAACAGAAACTATTATTAAACTTTATAATCAAATGCCAGAAGTACAGAACAAAGAAAGAATATTAAAATCTGTATGAGAGAAATGTCATGTCACACATAAATATTTCTCAGAAGAAACTCCAAAGACCAAGAGGGCTTCAGTGAAGAAAGAACTTCAGGCCCTGAAAGAAAATAGATTATTATATCCAACCAAGTCATCCTTCACAATAGAAAGAGGAACAAAGACCTAAGATGAACTAAAGGAATTCCTGGTACTGGAGAGGAATTCAGTAAGACGAACACAATTGTCAGGAGCAGCAAAGGATCAACTTCACCTGAAGAGTACATAAGCAAATGAGAATTAGGAACAAATCAAACACTGCCAATTCAGCAAAGCATCCCAACTCCAGCATTAATAAAGCAGAAATGGATACAGATTATTCAAAAATAACTAGAATGGAAACAAGACAGGGCAGGAGTGGCACATGCCTTTCAAAGGCACAGGTTGACTGGTTGGACTAAAATAAGTCCTAACAGTTTGTTGCCTGCAAGAAACTCACTCTCGCCAGCACAGGTACACATAGACCAAAAGCCAAAGGATGGAAAGCAATATTCTAAGCAAAGGAATCTGAAAGTAAGCAAGAGTAACTCTATTCATATCTGACCAAACAGACCTCAAGCTAAATTAGTTAGAAGAGACAATGGTCATGTCATACTGATAAAAGGAATGTTATGCCCTGTAACAGGCCCCAGATCTTAGTTCAACTGACTGACTCCATAATGGAAGTACCATTCAGGCCATAAAATTCAGCACACAGACATCCACACCAGCCGAAATGAAAAGAAAGACTGGCTAATAAAGACTTTCTATTGGCTTAAGCCCATGTCTGCAAGTAGTCTTCTCTGGTGGATAACCCACAACAGCACTAAGTTGGGTGGGTTTGGATTAGGGGCAGGAGGTGAGCTGGGGTGGATTTGAATGTGACCGACATACATTGCATTAAATTATCAAATAACTACTTTTTTTTTAAATGAAGGGAATAATGTGATTTAAATGTGAAATGTCACCAAGAGATTCATGTATTGAACATTCGGTCACCAGCTGCTGACATTGTTTTGGGAAGTTATCGAATGTTTGGGATGTGAGGTATGGACCCTCAAGATGGGTCACTGGAGACAGAACTCTTTGAGTCATAACCCTGTCCTGCTGTTGGCCTGAGCTCTGTGCTTCCTGACTTGCTGAGATGTGAAGTTGCAGCTACAAGTGCCCACTGCCTTAGACAGAGCCACCGTACCTCCCTCCCTGTCATGGACTGTACTCCCTAAACTGTGAACCACAGTAAACCTTTTCTCACTTCAGTTGCTTCTGCCAAGTATTTGTCACAGTGATAAGAAAGTATCTAAAAGGGAACAACCCATCAAGAAGATACAATGATTGTATATAATGTCAGAACACCCACTTCCACAGATAAACACCATTGAACATAAAGTGAAAGATCAGCCCAATGCTGCATCATTTCAGTAGCTCACTGTCACCAATAGATCTAGGAGAGAAGTCAACAAAATAACACCAGGGTTAGAGTACACTGTAAGTCAGTGGTTCTCAACCTTCCTAATGCTGCGACCCTTTAATACAGTTCCTCATGCGGTGGTGACCCCTGTGGTGGCTTGAAAGAAAATAATTCCATAGGTAGTGGCACTATTAGGAGGTGTAGCTTTGTCGGAGTAGGTGTGGCCTTGTTGGAGGAAGTGTGTCACTGTGGGGGTGGCCTTGGAGGTCTCAGAAGCTCAAGTCAGTTCTCTGCCTGCTGCCTGCTGATCAAGATGCAGAGCTCTCAGCTTCTTCTCCAGCACCATGTCTGCCTGCACTCTGCCATGTCCCACCATGATGATAATGGACTGAACCTCTGAAACTGTAAGCCAGCCCCAATTAAATGTTTTCCTTTATAAGAGTTGCTGTGCTCATGGTGTCTCGTCACAGCAATAGAAACCCTAAGACAATCCCCAACCATACAATTATTTTTCTTTGCTACTTCATAACTGTAATTTTGCTCCTGTTATAAAACATAATGTAAATATCTGATGTATGATCCCCAAATGGGTTGTGACCCACAGGTTGAGAACCACTGCTATAGGGCAGATGGACTTAACAGATACCAGCAGAGGTAGAGTATATATTCTTGTTTAGAATATGGAAGTTTTTCCAAAATAGATCTGCAAAATGAGGCTGCAAAGCAATGCTTAACAAATGCAGAAACTGAAATAACTCCTAGTGTCTCAGGTCAGAAGGGAAAACATTAGAAGTCAGAGGAAGAGAGCCACATAAATTATACAAATTCATGGAGATCAAGCCACGTTTTGAATGATTGGCGTGCCACTGAAGGAATCAAAGGGGAAATAAGAAAAAGTTGTAGAATCCTGTGAAAATGGAAATACTGCTACCAGAACCTGTGGGAAATGAAAACAAAAAAACTACAAGGAAAACTTGTAGCTGTGAGCGGCTTACACTTTAAAACCAGAGATATCAATCTAGAAACCTAATGTGTATCTCACTCTTTAAAAAGTAATAAACTAAAGCCGTAATCAGCAGATGGAAAGAAATAACAAAAACCAAGGCAGAAATAAGCAAAATATAAACTAGACAACCAAAGGATTAGTAACACAGAGTTGGTCCTTCGAAAAGACAAACGAAAACGACAAACCCTTAGATAAAATAAGTAGAAGATGGAGATGCCCAAATAAATAAAATTAGGGATGCGCTGGACACTACAACAGATCCTCTGCAATTCACAGGCTAATTAGGGAGCATTTTGAAAATGTATACATTTGTAGGAGGCATGGAGGTCTTTGTGTTCACAGATGAGCACTAGGGGAACCTGAATGTTAAACACACAGGGCTGTTCCTTAAGGGAAGGAATGCATAACCCATGATCAGACCAGAAGCGCATGTGGTTAATAGCCTGGTGACTTTTGCACTACTGTGTACCTGGAGCCCACACCGGGTCCTCCCTCAGACCCTTATCATAAGCTTGCCTTATTCAAGTCAATCTGTAGACCCATCTCTATGGACTTTTCGAGTTTCATTGATTGTAGTAGAGCCTGGTCTGTATTTAGCTTACTTTGTTCCTCAAAGAGATTTATGTGTGCTTTATTGTGCACATGGGGTTGAGTTAATCGTCACCAGAGTAAGTTTTCACCAAATTGTGCTGTATTTAATTATACCTAAAATAGACTTCTGGGGGTCAGATTTCAGAAGTTTGAACTAACACCAGTTACTGGGTTGTGTTGATCTAAACTACCTTCTTGTCTCCCATGGATCATCTCTCTGCTGGCCATGGAGGTTTACAGAGACCCCTGCATACATCAATGAATTAGAAAATCTAGATGAAATGGATGAATTTCTGGGCACATATAACCTACCAAATTTTAATCAAGAGGCTATGAGAAACTGAAGTAAATCAACCGAAGCAGCAATAAAAAGTCTCCAAAGAAGAAAAGCCTAGTGCTGGAGCCATTGTTAAATTATTTTTAAACTTTAAAAATAGTTTATGCACCGGGCGGTGGTGGTGCTCGCCTTTAATCCCAGCACTCGGGAGGCAGAGCCAGGCGGATCTCTGTGAGTTCGAGGCCAGCCTGGGCTACCAAGTGAGTTCCAGGAAAAGGCGCAAAGCTACACAGAGAAACCCTGTCTCGAAAAAACCAAAAAAAAAAAAAAAAATTCATTATATTAAACTAATATTGCCCTGTACTACACCTAATAAAAACAAGAGAAAACAACAAAATAAAAATTATTGATGACATAGATATGAGTCCTTCATAAAATACTTGCAAATAGTAATTTATTGTGGAGGCCTATAAAAGTTTCCTAGTAAGATCTGAGCTTGCTTTACCCAGCAGGGCTGCATTAGAGGATTGCTTGACCATGTGCATGGTTACTAGGTGACTGGAAGGGTCTACACTTGGCTGTGCTAGGGGAGGTCTTTGCTCCACCCCTTGGCATTCCTATAAATAGCTCTTTAGATGAGACAGAAAGGGGCTGGTGGATAAGGATCCAGGCCCCCGAGGCTATCCTGTGTTTCTGTTTCTCTCCCCTCTATCCCTCTATATTTCTACCTCAATCTCTTCTCCCCCTCTCCTCAAGAGTTCCTTGTCATAGAAAAGTGGGGGCTGGTCTCCGACAATTTTTATATTGAGATCCAATCTCAATTCAGCCTCAATAATTATTGTTTTAAAAAGATAAATTCTGGCAAAGATATAGAGAAAGGGGCATCCTTTTCTACATTGTTGGTGGGGATGTAAATTAGCACAGGCACATGGAAACCCTCGGATCTTATGGCCGGTTCCTGGAGAGTTGGTGCTGGGTCTCAGAGCTCCCTCGATGCTTGAGGAACAAAGACAGACACTCACCTGTAGTTTTCCCTGATTTAGGAGGCCCCACAATCATAATCTTCACAGGCATAGTAGCTTTGGGCTTGGGTTGCCGGATGTATTTGATTGGGTTCATCATAAATTTTTCTCTAGTTTGTTTATTAGATAAAAAATAAATATACTGACGATGGATTACAGGGTAAAGAGGGTTCTCCACATTCTCAACAGGCTTGATTGTCTCTCCTTCACTCAGCTGTGATGTGATTGAATTCACAAGTTAGATTTAATTTATAGAGAATTTCCTTTATACTTGAAAAAGTTGTAAAATAAAAGAATGCAATCTTTCTTACATAGTAAAAACACTCTAATTACAAGAATTAACAAAGTAACTACATACAGAGTGCAGGTTATTTCAATGTCGTATCTAGTTGGTATAATGTTTTCTAGCTGGTATTTAGCTTATTACAATTACAGTTCTACTTCCTTCATAATCACTCATGCTTGTACTGAATGTTTCTAACAGAGGTTATGAGATTGTTTCACTTATTCATGAACTACTTTATCCTCGCAAACAGATCCACTTCAAGCATGGTGGTGTGGATTATGTTGCCCTCTCCCTTACACTTCCTATGTTGAAACTCTGACTGCCCACGTGACTGTATATGGAGACAGGATCTTCATGGGGCAATTAAGGTAAAGTGAGGTCCAAAGGATAAGCAATAGGACGGGGGTTCTTATAACCGGAGAAAGAAACACCAATGGGCACACATGAGGACACTATGAGAAAGTGGCCAACTGCTAGACAAGGTGAGGGGCCTCAAGGACAGCATCTGTCAACAGCTCGATCTATTACCTTTAGAAACACTTCTTACCTTTAGAAACACTTCTTACCTATAGAATTATTAGTCTATGGCAATACCACCCTGGATATACCTGATCTTGAAGCTAAGCAGGATTGGGCCTGGTTAGTACTTGGATGGGAGGCCTTTAGAACTACTAGAAAATAAATTACATTGGTTACCTGCCCTGTCTCAAGTTTTACTACAGTGTCTGAAATGGGCAAAAGAGGTGGTTCTGCCAGGCTATCTTTTAGGATGGACAGATTTCTTCCACATTTTTGTACAGATGAAATCCCATCATATCATTAGCAACAGTCAATGGAACGTAAAACACCCACCAAAGATAGTCTAAGATGTGGGTATGGAATGTGGTAAGAAGAGGGGATAATTAATTGATGTTAGTTCTGAGATCTTTTTACAGCATCAGAGCCACACTCCATCTTTCCTGAATACAGCAGAGTAGGTATGAAATAGTTTAGTCACTGTGGTCGTTTGAAAGAAAATGGCCCCCCTAGGGAGTGGCACTATTAGGAGGTGTGACTTTGTTAGAGTAGGTGTGGTTTTGTTGGAGGAAGTGTGTCACTGTTGGGGGCAGGCTTTGAGGTCTCCTGTGCTCAAGCTACGCCCAATGTGACACAGTCTCCTTCTGCTGCCTGCGGATCAAGATGTAGAACTCTCAGCTCCTTCTCCAGCACCATGTCTGCCTGCACGCTGCCATCAACATAATGGACTAAACCTCTGAACTGTGAGCCAGCGGCAATTAAATGTTTTCTTCACGAGAGTTGCGGTGGTCATGGTGTTTCTTCACAGCAATAGAAACCTAACTAAGACAGTCACACTGCTTCCCTGCAGAGTCACTGCGGAACAGTGACTCATCAACAGTCTTATCTGTCATTCACTCTCAGACTGGAACGACATTTCTGGCTGGCTGGGAGTAAATGCTAGGGATACACAGAAATTCAGGAGGGGCAGAGTGACAGTTCCATGTCACGGATTTTTCAGCAAAAGCAAAGACGAAAGTCAGGGGGCAGCTCCCCAGATATTTTCATAACTGCATTATACAATATTTACAACTTTTCAAAAAGACTACATCTTCCTAAACAACTTAAAGACACAGGCACGACGGTCTTCAGATAAGTGGTCTGACATTACCTTTACAGGGTCCCAGTAGCCAAAGGAGCTCATGTGTTTGTAGGTAAAGGCCAACATTTTATGAGCAAGGTGTGACGACACTGGGTAACACTTCTCAAAAATGCTTGCACGGTTTTCCACTAGTGGCTTCACTTTCAAATTCAACACATATTGTACAATGTGGATTTTCCTAGCTCCATTAACTGTAATTATTGGTACCAGCACCTTCTCAAATTCTTCCTGATAAGAGAAATGATAAAACTTGATATATTTCGTGTTTCTCAGTGATAGCATATAGACACAGCTGATATGTGTCTACATATAATATAAGACTACATTATCATATAAGACAAGTATCTTTTAGCTTTTTAAGGAGCTGCCCATGGAGAGATAAACCCACGCTGACCTTGGAGGCATCCATGCTGCTCTTGGTCTGTGAATTTCATAACTGTTAGGTGATGCTAACGGAGGGCCTGCTGCCCTGAAATATTCTTTTGAAATATCACAAAAATAAGACACTGAGCCTAATTGCCCTCTTTGCATTCCCAAATGGTTGCTTTTTAAGTGATGATGAAGGGGAGGCCATAACCTGTATTATTTGAAGATTATTCATATCTGTTTCATATTTTTCTCCCAGTTCACTTCTCAGGCGCTCAGCTGCATCTCCTTCGTGTTCCTCATCTTCCTCACTCATCTCTTCCTCGTCTTTCGGGAATTCCTCTTCAAGGATGTTTTCGATATCCTCCTCTTCGTCCGCGTCATCATCGCTAAATTCATCGTCGTCTCTGAAAGCACTCTAAGGAAGAAGTGTTCCTTCATTGTGTGAAGCTGGTGGCAGGAGACACTGCAAACAAATCACTACAACACTTGGTAATAACTCGATATTGGTTGGTGGTGCAGTAAGAGCGTAGTGACCGGCCCCCAGAAACTTAACGCCTTCAAGACGCTGACACTCGGATGGCCCCGCCAGCAAACAGACAAGATACTAAATGCTATTTATGCCCATAGTTGTCATATTGTATGTTTTTGTAGTTTTTAGAAATAATATTTAATGCAGCTTAGAGATGATAAAATACTACCAGCTGCATCGCCAGCCGGAAGAAGATCGGTTTCCTTATCTATAAAATGGGAACTACCTAGCTCACAGGATTTGGGGGAGCATTGGATGAGTTAACACATGGAAAGTCATCAGCCCACATAGTGGGAAGAGAGGACTGACTCCTGAAGGGACTCTGGCCTGCCCGAGCACGGCAAACAGGGCTCTGGAAGGCCTTGCCCTCCCCGCTTCCCTCTCCCTTGTAAGCTATAGATTACATCCCGAAAGCTGGCCACCAAGGTCTATTCCCTTATTTGGACACTTTCTTATTCCAGACTCACTCCTGAGGGTAACCACCAAGGTCCAGCAATCAAAAGCGCCCTCGTGGTGCCCTAATTAACTTGTCCAAACAAAATTAAACACCTCATCCTAACACGAGATTTCCCCTTTACCTTCATAAACTGTCATTTGCCTGTGGGTAGTGTCTGTCTCCTCTCTATCCAGACAGTCCTTTGTCCCCCCAGGACAAATATCCCTTCCCCCTCTCCCTTGTTCCCTTCCCTTTCTTCCTGGTCCTCTCTCTCCTGTCGTTGTCTCTTGTTTCTGCCCTTGTCCCTCTGGAGCAAAAAAATCTCCTTTATGCTGAGAACTTGGTCTTGGGGTGTCTTGCGCCAAATACTGGTCCCTTCAACTCCCACATGAACATGCCTGCACACACACACACACAAACACACACACACACACACACACACACACACACACACACACACACACACACACACTGTACTAGCTAGGTTTTTGTCAACTTGACACAAGCTAGAGTCATCTGATAAGTGGGAACCTGAATAGTGACAATACCTCCATAGGATCCTACTGTAGGCAAGCCTGTGGGGTATGGTCTTGATTGATGTGGGAGGGGCCAGCCCACAGTGGGTGGTCCTGGGTACATAAGAAAACAAACTGAACAAAGCTGGAGGAGCAAGCCAGTAAGCAGCACCCCCGCCCGTGGCGTCTGCATCAATTACTTGCTGCCTCCAGGTTCCTGTCTCGAGTTCCTGCTCTGCCTTTTCTGGAGGATGAGCTACAGACTCTAAGATGAAATGAACCCTTTCCTCCCCCGGTTGCTTTTGGTCATGGTGTTTTATCACAACGACACAAAATAAAATAAAAAACAATTGAATGGCTTGTTACATTTACGTGTGTGTGTGTGTGTGTGTGTGTGTGTGTGTGTGTGTGTGTGTGTGTGTGTGTGTGTTCTCTCTGTTGGTATTAGACAGTGACCTTGCAGCCTGAGGCTTGCTAGCCAAGTTTTCTTTGTTGTTGTGGTTCTGGGAACTGAACTGAAGGCCTGTACATGCCAATCAGATACTCCAGACTGAGCTACTCCTCAGCCATAGTTGTATTTCATTTTAAGTATCATCAGTAGTATATTTTTTTCTATAGAATTGCCTTGAAAGCTGGAAACATGCTTAAATTGCTTTCCATATCAGAATATATGTTTCATTGTTAACAATATTTTAACGACCACATAATATGTCACAATATCACAATCTATTGGGCTCTTTCTCTGTTTTAATGTGTGGTTTAAAAATCAGTTTAGAAAGTGGCAGTGTGATGTTTGTGATGTGCTGGCTTTCTTTCCTGCTGCTGATGAGGTATGTGGACAACATTTCTTTCCTCTGCCTAGTCTTCAGTTGTAGTTTTGTTTCTATTCTTAATTTTGCAATTGAGTACTTTTAAATTTAACTACTACCTCCACATCTGACTGTTGACATGCCATCTTCCCACATGTCCTGATTCTCCTCAACTCAAGAGGGTTCCCTCACTCCTATTTACGTCTCAGTTTCCAAAATTGTCTCTACGTTATTACATATACCGTCTTCCCTCAAAGTATTTAGTATTTATTTCTTCATGTGGAACTGACACAGTTTAAAGCAAACAAGTTTGGGTGCATCTGAAGTGAAATCCAACAGACAGAACCCACTCATTTTAATTATGAAAACTTTATTCACCACAGCGGCAGAGACCCGGGGAAGCACAACCCGGCCTCGGGCACAGTTTCTATGTCCAGGTCAACGTTATTTCTCTTCTCATTCAGAATCATGCCCAAGACGGTTGTCCTGATTTGAAAGAAAAATGTCCTCATGTGTTTGAACACTTGGTCCCTAGTTGGCACTGTTTGGAGAAGTTATGAAATTTTGATGGAGGGAGTATATAACTGGGGCAGGTTTTGAGAGTTTATAGTCTTGCCTCACTTCCAGTTCACCCCTTCTGTTTCCTGAGCGCAGCCTCCTGGCTTCCTGATCTGATGTCATGCCCCCTGACCATGATGGATTCTAACCCTCTGGAACCATTAAGTCAAAACAAACCTTCTTCCTCAAAAGAAAAAGTCAAGATCCTAAGAATATTCACAGCAGACAATCTGATAGAACCATAGCTTAATTCTTTGGAATGATAAATATATTATACACTAATTTATATATATATATAGTAAGTGGCAATTTGCTCTTCTCTAATGGTGCTATTTTTTCCTGACATCTTGCACTTCAGTCTTTGTCTTAGGAGATACACATTCTAAACTTTATGATCTCAGGGATCTGCTTCCACCACCGAGAAGTAAGTTCGCTTAACCTCTAGCAGACACTCATAAACTATGAGAAAACTTCCTTCTCTTTCCCTCCCTCCCCGCCGCCTTCTCCTTCCTTCCCTCTCTGGTCTTCCTGTCACCCTTTCTTCCTTCTTCTTCTCCTTCCTCTTCCCCTTTCCTTCCTCTTTTTCCTCCCTCTCTAATTCACCCTGGTAGTCCCAGGAGTGACCAAAACCAGACATTTTGAAGAACGGTCAGAATTTGAAGGAGGCAGTCGGCCAAGGCTCTGTTAGAAGCATGTCCTGGTCACTGCAATTCTGACAGAAAGTCTCTTTTTCTGCCTGGAACTACCAGGGAAAAGAAACCACAATTAGGGCCGCTAGAGAGTAAAGAAAACTTCAGAGAAGAGAGGGCCTGGGAAGCCATTTCAATACAAGAGTGTCTCCAAGTCTCCTCCTGAGCAGGGGCTGTGTGCAAAGGCCAGTTCCATAACAGTGTGCCCGAGTTCTGCCCAGTGCAGGAAAAGTAGAATCTTCATCCTTGGTCTGACAAGGTTAACTGCCTGCTGCAACCAAAATCCAAGCTCTCTGAAGGAGTATAAAAGCATCCAGAACCCCATTCATAACATTTCTCACTGAAGGCCACAGCCTCACATTGCTCAGGATATGAGCGATTCAGAAACTGTGGCCCATTCTCAAGAAAAGCAACAGTGACTGAATGCCTGTCCTACACGCTGGAGTCACTGAATGAGAGGTTTGAAAGCAGTTACTTTGAGGTAGAGCTTGAGGGATGGAAACGGAACACACACACACACACAAAACAAGTGGAGATTTTCAAATTAAGAACAGTAATGTTAGAAATGGATAATTATTGGGTCCACTTAATACGGAATGGAGAGAGCAGGCGGAGTGGCCGGCTAGTCTGAGGATACATGAACAGAATTACTCAATTTAAAAAGGGGGAAATGATTAAAAAATTAGAGGAGCCCGGGTTCATATGGGATACACGGATAGACCTTTGTAATTCTGTGATGGAGACGGACGGATAAAGAGTTACAGATTTCGAAAGGCTTCGTAAACCCCACACTGAATTATTACCAAGCAAATGACAGGTGAGTGCTTTGTAATCACGTTTTTGGACAGCAAAGGGGCAGAGACCGAGAAGCTGAGCGAAAGAGCACGGCGACCGTGATTCAGACGGTTGTGTGCTCGTTGTGCCGCTTTCCATGGTCTGAGGAGGACGCAAGGGCTGCAGAAGTAGACACACCCCGAGACGTGTGAAAGGAGAGCAGCTTTTCTCTTGCTCAGAAACGTGACTATTGAAAACAAGAAGACAGCCTTGTCTCGTGTGCTTTCTAAAATTGTCAGGCACACGGGGTAGCTAAAGGGTGTGGATGGGTTAGGGTGGAAGAAGAACATATATTGTTACAAATAATAATACTGACTCCAAGAGGACTGTGGAAAAATAAGATATATGAGAGAGAGAGAGAGAGAGAGAGAGAGAGAGAGAGAGAGAGAGAGAGAGAGAGAAAGAGTAATTGCTGGAAACAGAGCTCAAAGCTATAACTACAAAGCCATAGAAAACTGAAAGAGATCCCAGGCTGGGCATGGCAGTCCATGCCTTTAATTCTAGAACTCAGGAGGCAGAGGTAGGAAGATCTCTGTGAGTTTGAGGTCAGCCTTGTCTACAGAGCAGAGTTCCAGGACAGCCAGGGATACATAGAAAGACTCGATCTAAAAAAAAAAAAAAAAAATTCAAATATACTCAAACAATCCAAAGAAGGCCCCAAAGTGGGGATAGGAAGCCCCAGGCAGCGTATATACAGAAAGCACATAAAATCTGTGGTCTGACAGAACAGCGCTAGGGTTGGGGTGTGTTCCATCAACCAGTGGAAGGAAGCTGAGAAAGGCTGTGCCTGGGTGATGACTATGAAAGGCGGTGATGAAGATTATGGTCCTAATGCGTGTGGATTAGAGAGGCAGTGGGCAAGGAGGAAGTGAGAGACTTGCCTGAGCTCTGAGGGCTTTCTGACACACACACGGACATTATTCAGATAGCCTGGCTCCCATGATGCTCTGTGGGGGTAAGAACGTCGTCTGATTCTGGATTTGGAGGGTCTGTTTTGAACTATTTGGTTTCAATGTCTTAAACTTCAGTCTCCAACTTATTCCAAAACATCATCTGTGTGTCAACCTTTGGGCCTACACTCTGACCTCTGCTGTCTCTTGAGAAGCTACCAGAGCTGGTCTTGGCCCTGAACCCTGCTTCAGTATCATTTGACCTTCGACTTTGGCTTGCCGTAAACAGGGTCTGTACTTCTGATAACTTTTCACCCGGGCACGCCTGGTGGTTTTATTGATTCACTCTCCTGGCTCTTCCGAGATATCTCCTTCCGGTCGCTACCCAACACAATAGAAGAAACCCACATTCTAGAGAAGGCCCAGAGGCAGACCCAGTGGACAGGAGAGGAGGGATCTTAGAAAGATCTGGGATTTGGTTTACAGAACACTCTTTAATCACATTTGGAGGCAGAATTTCCACAAGATGGCAAGGTTTCCTGTAGGATCAATGGAAGCAGTCACTGGGCCACTGAAGCAGACCTACAGGTTACAGAAGGTTTTTTTTGCTGCTAAAAAGTCTTTGTCTGCATGCATTCCCAAGTTAGTTTTAAGAGGGCAAGTCAGGAATGCTGCCAATGCCCTCCCTCCCCTGCCGCCCCCCTCCCCCGGCCACCCCCGTGATGGGAGAAGCTGAGGTCAACTCCTAATTTGAAGTATTTAAGTGGATACAAAACTATTCCTGAAATGCAAACAATTCAGTGTGCTTGTTGTAGGCAATGGTGCCGCTGGTGAAACATTCTGACGTCCTATGGAGTGATCCACCACCTGCTTTTCTAGTGTGTTTTTCAGTGGTCTCTCCATCCGCATTTGAAAACATGAAAGGAAAGTGGGTGTCTGAGATAACTCGACGCTGTCTGAAGACTCCTTTCTGGCGTGTGGGGACCCAGTTGATCTCAGAGCTGACTCCTCTACTAATGAGAAACTTGCCCAGAACAAACAGAGGCCTCTCCCTCCGGGGCCCGCTGAAAAGCTGGCCTAGGATGAAGGCTGTCTGTCAAGTGTGTGGAGTGCTCTGCCCCCACACGGAAGAGCCTAAGAATGTGCGTGCTGGAGCAACAGCGGCTGCCCTGGAGCCTCCAGAGCATGGAAGAACCAGAGCATGTCTGCTGTGAACACCTCTCCAGAGCCTTTCTGCACAGCTGCTGTCGTCATACCAAAGCAAAGTTTCAGTCACGCTAAAGGTCAAAGATGAAAACTGATTTCCGAATAATGATAAGACGTCTTACAGCTGGCCACAGGCGCCATGTGTGACGAGGCCAACGGCACGCCACCCTTGCTCTCCCGGCACGAGTTAATTTTGCATGACTGGGTATTGTCAGAAAGTGATGAGTGCTGGGTTTTGTTTCCTCCTTTAGACAAACAACAACAAATCCCCTCCAGCTTGCATTATTTAAAAGCAAGACATGCTTGGGATGACTTTGTAATACTAATTTGAATTGTCAAAGCTGCTCCCTGGTTCCATATAGAGTGTAATCTGGGGCATTTTTAGGTCCCTGCTTCTCTTCTTTTGGGGTATGTGTGAGGATTATTTTAGTTTTTTGTTTGTTTGTTCATTTTTAATTTGTTAACCAGAGGACAGTCCTTGGGGAGGAGGACAGATTATTTCTACATTCTAACTCCCCATTTCGCAAATATGTCCCCAGCGGATGCTCTGAGGAGGGGGAATAGAAATGCCTCCTTTAATAGCATACTCCTTGACGGTTGACCTTTCTCCCCACCAGCTAGCCGAGGCAAACCGTGAAGAGGAGGCTTCTTCTTCTCTTTGAGAATACAGTCCATTATGCAGGGGAAGGTGTGGCAACAGCCGTGTGCAGCTAAGGCTCCCAACTTCCCTCCCATCTCAGTGGAACAGGAAGAGTGGACAGGAAGTGAGACTGGACTCTAACCTCAAGGCCTACCCTCAATGACCCCTTCCCCATGAAAGGACCAAGCAGATGCCATAACAGGCTGCTCAGTCTTCTCTCAGAGATCAGGCCTCAATTTCAGTTTCCTGAGACTTGAGCAAGCCGTTTCTGGGAGGGCCATGAACAAAAGACTGCTCAAAGTTCAGCCAGATGTTTACTTTCTGGGGCCCCTCACCAACTTAGAGTTATGTGCAGTACGTGCTTGGCCAGCCAGCCCCCATGGTGGCTCAAGGACAAAGCCTGGGACTTGTGCTGGACTGCCCCCAAAGTAATAAATTATGACCACCAACCAGTAAATTCAAAGGTTACATACCCTCACCCAATTAAAAGAGAACAGAGATAAAAATAAACCAATCCGAGTTGCACCCGTGCAAAATTCCCCCAACCCCCCTGAAGGGCTTGTGGATTTTGCCTTTAAAAAGCTAGCCACACAAAGAAAAAGCAAGTTCCTCCTGGCCTCACAACTACGAGTGAGTGCTTTGGATCGAGCTTCCCTGTCCGCGGCTTGTAAACAAACAGAAATAAACCATGCTATTGCATTCTGAACCTAAGGTCTGTGGTGGTTGTCTTTGGGGTCCTAATCTGGGCATAACACCCACAGTAAGGTTTTACTTACTGTTTTGTCTCAAAACAAAACAAAAAAGTATTTATTCTTTTCTAATTATAAATATAAAAAGGTCATTTAAAATAGTAGCAGATACCATGACAAAAATAGGCCGGGCGGTGGTGGCGCACGCCTTTAATCCCAGCACTCGGGAGGCAGAGCCAGGCGGATCTCTGTGAGTTCGAGGCCAGCCTGGACTACCAAGTGAGTTCCAGGAAAGGCGCAAAGCTACACAGAGAAACCCTGTCTCGAAAAACCAAAAAAAAAAAAAAAAAAAAAAAAACAAACAAAAAAACAAAAAAAAAAACAAAAAAAAAACAAAAATAAAAGAAAGGTTCTACAACTTTCCAAAACAATGACCCAGCTGGGGTACAAGTATTCAGGTACAGGAGCCTGTAGGGACACCCCACACTCAAACCCTAACACCTTGTCTAATTATGTCCTCCAGCTTCTGTACCCTTGACTGGTTTGGCTGTAATGGTGGGTCAGCGGGGATGACGTGGGAACAGCTGTTCCCCACATAAAACAAAATCCTCTGTCTCCAAGGGTGGGTAGGCATGACACAGAGCACCCTGCACTCGGGTCTGACTGTGACGATTCACAGACTGTCCTCCATCTCATTTCACTTCCTGAGACAATCGACATTTCAGTTTCAGGCCCCATCTAGCCTCACTCCCATGCTTCCAGCCGGCCTCTGTGGTGGTAGTCGGAAGTGTGGAAGCAAGACAAAAATTCAAAAGATGAAAATCCAAAAGAAATACAGTTCAGTGCACTGTGTATCTTGTATGAGAATACTTCAGCGTCTTTTTTTTTCCCACCCCCTACTTCAGCGTCTTTAATGGCTTCTTTTAAGTATTTATTCATGCCTGGTGTGGTGGTATATGCTTTTAATCACCAAACTCAGGAGGCGGAGGCAGGCAGATTTCTGCAAGTTCAAGTCTAGCCTGGTCTACATAGCAAGCTCCAAGATAGCCAGGGTGATATAGAGAGACCCTGTCTCAAAACAAAACAAAAAAGTATTTATTCTTTTCTGATTATAAATATAAAGAGGTCATTTAAAATAGTAGCAGATACCATGACAAAAATAAAAGAAACAAAATTATGTGTCATTTCACTGGTCCCCTGAAACTCTATGTTAGCTCTTGTAGACTTTTAAACATATCCTTTTGTATTTTTCAACTGTGGAGATCATAGTGTTATGCTTAAAAAAAAAATCATGGGCTTACCTTTTTTCTCTCTCTCTCTAAAATAAGTTCAGCTCTTCTTTTAGCAATCATATCCTCCTGTTAAAGACACATTTACAAGTTTACAATAGAAAAATGATAAAATCACTTGCTATGGATCAATGTACCTTTTTGAGGGGCTAACGTGGGAGAGGGCAGGGACCCTCTCCTGGATGACAAGTGACGATGATTGCTAGAGTGCATTCATGTCCTTCTGGGCTATCTCCCTCCCAAGGGACAAACAGCCCTGGGGGCTCAGTCACTGTCCTAGAGCCCCGTTTTCAAATGTATCGTGCATTTGCTTGTTTTGTGTGGGAGTCACTGAATTTCCCAGAGATCTGTTTTCCTTACTGTGAAGATGCGTCTTTGAAAGCACAGCTGTACCTCTGGGAAAACTGCATGCGTGCTGGAGATGGCCCGAGGGAGGTGAACGACCATGCCCTATTCTTTTCAGGGTCCTCCAGCCTAACCCAGTGGATCTGTTCAAGTGTCCTCAGGATTTTGGTGCTGGTTGGCTCAGGATTCCCTGGAGTTTAACTAATTACAGAGTGCCTGCCAAAGGTGGGCACTGCTTAGGACAGTATATGTTCTTTTTCTTCTCAAAATACAATATCAAGTAGGGTAGGCAGTGCCAGCCACTTAAGGGTGAGTTAACAGGAACCCAGAGAGATCTGTGCGATGTCACCCCCGGGGTGAGACGCCCTGAGGAGGAAACCTGGAAGCAGCTGGTGTAGCTGCTGAAGTGAAAGGCTTACATTTACTGCAGCCAAAACATACAGTTAGGAGCTGGGTTTGGAACAGGACTGGGCGTTCAGACCCTGATGGTACGACGTGATTCAGACAGGCATTTAGGAGACTGGTCTGCGGGTAGCTGGAAGGATGAGCTGGAGAGTACAGAGACCAATCCAGGAAAACCACTGGTGTGAACCCAAAGACCCCGGAATCAGGACAGAGGTAGTGGTGGGTGGGAGCCTGGGCACTAGGGGCCAAGATCCTCTGTTTTGCAGCTCTGGCTCCCTCACAGCCCCTGCTGCCTCCGCTGGCCCTTCAGCCTGCTCCTGTGCCTGATAGAGGGAGGCCTGGACACTACTGACTTGGAAAGTGAAGCATTAACATGTTGGTGATCAGAAAAGCTTCAAATAAGCCTGGCACTCGGGAGGCAGAGATAGGAGATCTCTGAGTTCAAGGGCAGCCTGGTTTATATAGGGAGTTCCCAGACAGGTCGAGAGAGAGAGAGAGAGAGAGAGAGAGAGAGAGAGAGAGAGAGAGAGAGAGAGAGACAGAGAGAGAGAGAGAGAGACAGAGAGAGACAGAGAGACAGAGAGACAGAGAGACAGACAGAGACAGACAGAGACAGACAGAGAGAGACACACACACACACAGAGACAGACAGACAGAGAGAGAGAGGAGAGAGACCCTGTCTCAAAAAAGCTTTAAATAATTTTTAATTCTTATTAAAAGATGAAATATTTGATGGAAGATGTTTTCAAGCTTACTGTGATATTAAAGCCCGAAAACTTCATTCTTGTGAAGACTACTAACCCAAACAGATGACAAACGGCCATATTCCCGTGTGTCTGCACTGGATATGTACCCTGATTTTTGTCTTCAAGTCTTTGATGAATTTCTTCCGTTCTGCTTTCTTGTGCTGTTTCTGTCTCCACTTCTGCACTTGCGCCGGAAGGAGGCGATCAAAGATATCTTGATCCTCTACCTGTATCATGGCGGCAACGTCCGGGAAAAAGCCGCGCTCCGCTAGAAACTGGGCTTCCTCGGGGTACCGCGGGAAACCATCCAGTATGAAGCCGGTGGAACTGCGTGGACATTTTCAGAATTCGCTTAAAACATCATATATATTCCAGCTAAGCCACACTCAAAACACAGACATCCCCATGTTTCTCTCATTTCAGAATTATCTTTCTATCTCATCTCCTTGGCTACCTAGCTACCAATTTCTATATGAGATCTAGGATGGGAAAGCAGAGGAACTATTTGGTGAGCATAAAGGAACCAGTGGGAGGTGTAACAGGGTGGTCATGAGGGGTACCACAAGCAACAAACAATTACACATACAGATGGAAATGTTACAGGTTCACTATTTTGTATGGTAACTTAAAAACTCAAACATGAAAATATATTATAGCTCTATTTACACTGTATGTTGATGGAAAGGGTAAAAAGTGCTTGGGCACACAGACAGGCACTGGAGAAGCCAGGAAAGTTAAACTAGCAGATGTTTAACTTTAAACGAAAGAAAGGTTTAACCTGTTCCTCCAGGAATGCTGGGAACTGATGTCATTTACAACCTGGTGATCCTTCGCTGTCTGAGGAGCCAGGCTCTACCCTGTCTTCCAGAACTTAATGTTTCACTTCTCCCAGATCCTTCCTACTAAAACCACGAGCATTACTTCTAAGTCATAAGACTCATCCTTGTGAGAGATGTCATTTGTACTTTACAACTGCCTACGTGACTTCTATGCTATCTTAGGGCCAGGCATATTTACCCTAGTCACTCTCCCCAGACCCTCACCTTGAGCATTATTTCTCAGTCAATAGCACCCAGCTTAGGGATGAAGTCACACCTTGTAAAGAGTTTCAGTGTAAACATGTCTTAAGCTTTGTTGTACTCACAGAGCTGAGCTGTTGTCTGAAAAGTTTTTCTCAAAATTGTGCTATGCTTAAATATGGCAAAAAAAAAAAAAAAAATGAGCTGATGTCAGACTCCAAGAAGTCCTGGCTCAGCACCAGTTACCAAAATCGGGCTGAACCGAGTTTCGTTCTTGACTCTTGGCAGTCTGTAAAGTCTGCCTGCGGTAAAGCCAGCAGAAAGAGAGACCCTCCACATACTGTCTCTGCATATGGTATAGATTTCAACATGTGTTGACGGATCACCACTCATCAGATGTGTGATAAATAGTTTGAAGAATTCACCATAGCATGATTGTTTAGAAAATATTTCTAGTTGTATGTATCAGAGCTTCTGAAATCTTTTTAACATGCCAGCCCCCTTTTGTCTGAGAGATCTTTTTTTTTTTTTTTGAGTCAAGGTCTCATAACCCTGGCTGACCTGGAACCTGCTATGTAGATCAGGCTTGCCTCAAATTCACAAAGACTGCCTGTCTCTGCCTCCTGAGTGCATGGATTAAAGGTGTGCACTACCATGTCAGGCTCTGGTAAATTTTTAGGTGGCCTGGATATACAGGCATGCAAAATAGCTATACAAATCAAATATTTGGTGATAATAAACTTGTTTTAAAACAATTCTTTGGCATGCATGTAATTTTACCATTTGCTAAAGATTTATGTACTTGATTATTTTATGTAAAGAGGCAAGTGGATCTCTGTGAGTTCGAGGCCAGCCTGATCTGCCAAGCGACTTCCAGGCCAGTTGGAGCTGCCCAGTGAGATCCCGTCTCAACAAGCAAACGACAAACCAACAGAAAAAGCAAACAGAGAATTCAATCTTGGCCGAGTATTTGATAATGTAGGACACACAGCATCTTCAGTGTTTCTCAGAAGTACAGTTGTTAATATTGAGAATGCCACTCACTATGTATAAATATGTAATGCAAAATGGCAGCAGTATACTTAGGACCATTTCAATAATTATTGGAAATTCTGTTCCAATCCTAAGTCAAAATTCATCTAATGATTTTTCATGAAAATCAACTCACCAATTCAGACAGCACATTTTAAAATCAAATATTATAACAATGAAGGTCAGTAGGTATATATGAATTGCTATTATGTTTCTGTAAGAACAGAAAACTTTGTATGCAGCAAAACTCTTGTAGTTCATGGCATACAGTAGTTTGACTAGGAGCTGAGAAGTTTCAGAGAATGTTCATTGGCCTCGTGTGCTGTGAAAGCATGCATATTGCAAAGTGTGCATGCTGTCTGTTCAGAACTGAGGCTACGGGGAAGTCATAAGATGCCACACTGACAGGCATAGCCCCAAACACCACACATTCATTATGTGTTTTATTTCTGGATTAAAGTTTTGTTTTTATGTATTAAAAAAAATCTTTTACTGTTGCCAAATTTTTCATGACTTCCTACACTGGAATTTTTACATGATTCTTATCCCATCTGGAGTAACAACCCAGAGTTCAAGAAGCAAGTGTATAAATGATACTTTTTCCCAAAAATGTATAAATTTGGATTAAGATAATATTTGTGTTTATAATATAAAATTGCAGTTAGCTGGCTGATAATTATTACCTGGAAGCTTACTAAAAGTTATAATCGAGAAAGTAAGCTCTCTGCATGGGAGAAGTGCCTAGCCTAAGGAATATGTTGCCTTTGAAGAGCCCGCTTGGCTGAGCCTCAGGACACTTCCTGCCATGAAGCAGTTCTGAAACTCCTCCAGGGTCTCTTTGTAACCAATAACAATTACTCATGTGCATATTCTGCCTCCAGTGACAGAACTTTTAGGGCCATGAGAATAACTGGAAAGCCAACTCATTCCAATAAAGCACTTATAAAGCAGCCTGAGGACTTGGCTTCACGTTCTCGTTAAGAGATCAGTATTGATCTGCCTTTGGGTGAGCTTGTTGGTCCTATTTATCAAAAAAAATTACTATATTTACACATACATGTATGTTTTCTTCTCAATAAAATGAGACTTTCATAAACATCTGACTGCTTCAGTCTTTAAAGGTTAATTCTCAAATGTTAATTCTCTTCTCCTGGTAAGTAGGGAATTTTCCCTACATTGGCCATGCTGGGTATCTTCTTCTTCAGCAATGCCTTCCGTCTAGTCCCTTCTGTGAGGAACACATTTCTTGCCTGGTGACCTGGTGCCACTTCTTGGACAAGGGCTTCCAAGTCCTCACCTCTACTATTCAAACTCTCTTCTGAGTTTTAATTCATAAGTTTCAAAGCCCCACTTCGTTTTTTCAATAAGTCCTTCAGGAAGGATCTGTGTATTCTACTGTCAAAAATCATGGTCGCCCTTATCGCTCCAACCCACTCTTCACTGGACTCAGCAGCACTTGGTGCCGAACATACAAGACGCACTGAGGTTCCTCTCTACCTCCCTCCCGCTGCCATTCGCGAGCCAAGGCCTGGCGCCTTCGCCCGTCCATTCTGTCATCCCCCTAACTTTAGCCCTCAAGAGCTCTCCAGGATTAATCTAGTAGACTGGAAAAAAAGTGAAAAGAAGCCAACCTTTTCCCTCACTTGTAAAAGCAATGCAATAGAAAAATTGGAAAGTAGAGGGGAAAAAAACCATAAAACAGCAAATTATCCATAAACCTGTACCCCAGATATTATTCTTTTGTTGTATTTCTTCCTAGTCAATTCTTCATGTGCCCAGCTCTACCATATTATGATACATTTCTGCATCTTTTAAAGTATATTATCATATAATAATATTACATGCCATTGTAAATCTTTATCATAATAAAATGTGATGGTTGCATAATACTCAATATTTAGATTTTACAGTGTAACTTTTTACATTAAATTGAATTCATGTCTCTATATCTCTATAGAGACATCTCTCTATATATATTGTTTTTACTTCTTATTTTAAATTTTTAAAAAAGACTTATTTTTATTTTCTGTGTGTGAGCATTTTTATCTGCATGTGTGTATATGTACTACACATGTGTCTGGTGTGCACAGAGGCCAGCAGAGGGCATCAGATCCCCTGGAACAGAGCTAAAGATGGTTGTGAGCCATTGTGTGGGTGCTGGGAATCGAGCTGGGGTCCTGGTGCTCTTAACTGTTGAGTCGTTGCTCCAGACACTTTACTTTTTAATTTAAAAATTATTGTGTTTTGTTTTTGTTTCTTTTCCTGGTTCTTTATATATATATATCTTAATGTGTGGTGTGATGTAAGAAGCTAAGTTAATGCAGAGCAACTTGTGACTATAAAGCTGTGGGTGATTTGCCCATGTTTCCCACAATTGATCTAATTTAGGGAACAAGAATATTTTAAAAAACTTGATGACTCAATCCCACTTCTCATTTCAGATAGGCAGTAGATACAAATGTGCCCAGAGGAGCATGGAAGTATTTATCTAACGTCTCTGTATTTCACATTGAGATAATGCAAATTTCTATCCCATTCTATGCACCAATTTTTAATACGACTAAATACTAAAAGTATCTAATACAGCTAAGAGAAGTAACTGTGACAACATGATTAATTTTCATATATAGATTAAGTTGATTCAAATAAAATACAGTTGACCAGTACTTGGCATGTAGCAATTTGCAAATGTGTTTGTGTTATAACCAATATTGCAAATATCATTTCATGCTCTTTTGGTGGATATCAGGGTATCCCAGTGAGAAAAACGAGGAAAGTTTTCAACTCCAGGGGTCTGAAGATTTGTTCTGTGTGGGTCAGCGCTATTGCAGGCAGTTGTTAACGGGCTAAGCGTGGACAGCTCCCCAGTGGTTGGAACGGTAATCATCACAAGGCTACAGGGGGAAGAGTCCAACACACCACGAGGGATGTGAGCTTAGGAAATCCTTCTCAACCACAGCTGCGCACCGGAATCACCCGGGGACCCTAAAAAATGCCAGTGCCCGGATCCTGGACTCAAACTTCAGCAGATTCTGATTTAATAGTTTTGGGGTGGGTCAGTGTTTGTCAAAAGCTCCACAGATGTTTTAATGTGTAGTTTACATGGATGAATAAGAACAAATTTGTAGGTGCAAAGTGGACTATAGTTTTACCATTAAGAATAAAGTAAAGAAACCCAGTAAGAAACAGAACCCTGTGTATGGAGGCACCGTATCGGTTCTTTAAGCCACCACTCGGAAAGGATGGGGTCTAGAACTTCCGAAGGCAGGGCCTCGTTCTCCGTCAGACTCAGCTTGATTGCTTCCTCCTCTTCTGTGAACTGCACGTCGAGAATCTAAGAGCAGAAGTGACAGTATAAGGCATCTAAAGCCCCACATTGATAAGCAATACTGTTTTACAACACTAAGTAGAATAATACCTATATTTTTCTCTGAGGTCACTTTTGATAGTTACTTGAAAACATTTTTTTTTCTTTTTTTTTTTTTTCCGTTTTTCGAGACAGGGTTTCTCTGTGTAGCTTTGCGCCTTTCCTGGAACTCACTTGGTAGCCCAGGCTGGCCTCAAACTCACAGAGATCCGCCTGGCTCTGCCTCCCAAGTGCTGGGATTAAAGGCGTGTGCCACCACCGCCCGGCTACTTGAAAACATTTTAAAACTTGAATTTTGTGTACTGATATATAATGTGATTAAGTAAAAAAAAAAAAAAAAAAAAACCAAAAAAAAAACAACCTAATACAGCTAAGAGAAGTCACGATGACAACATAATACTTTCACATATGACGCCATGGTCATAATGCATTCTTCTTTTTGTGCCAAAAATTTGCTTGATTCACATCACGCATCTGTAAAGCTTAACTGACTTTTTGCCATCTATCCTATAAGGAGATACAGTTATATCTCCTTAAGCCAGATCCTGATTAGAGGATGGGCCAACCAGACAGTTTACCTGAAGCACATTCTAGAAGGGGCGAATAGCATCACAATTAACAAAGAGAAAATATTGGGGTGATGAACTCAGGCATCTTTCTCTGAAGGTGACCCTCAAATGGATAATAAAAACATGTCAGTCAATTCTGGAACGGAATGAACCTTTTTAAAAGAACATTTATTTATTTATATATATTTCATGTGTCTGAGTGTTTTGTCTGCATGAGTGTCTGGGTACCATGCGTGCCCAGTGCCCAAGGAGGCCAGAAGAGGGCACTGGATTCCCTGGGACTGGAGTTACAGATGGCTCTGAGCTACCATGAAGATGCCGATACTCAGACCCGGGTCCTCTGCAAAAGCAACAGGTGCTCCTAACGGTGGAGCCATTCTCCAGGTTCTGGGATGGAGTGTTTTGGTTTTTTTTTAGCACTTTCACCATTGGACATTCTGAAAATGAGTAAGATTGGTAAACTTCCCACTTGCCAGGAAGCAGGACTGTCATTTTATTATCTAAAGTAAAACCCCTCATGTGCCTCCTGAGACACCAAACAATTCAGGAAATAGAAAAAAAAAAAATCAGCATCAACTGATCACCCACAGAAAAGCAGGGAAACCTGGGTCAGCATCATTAAGTTTATTGAATACTATTTTCTCTCTGACGACGCAATACAGGTGTGTCTGAGGACATGCCTTGTCACCTGTTGGGATGCTGTGAGTCACTGTCGAGTTTTTGTTTTGTATAATTGTGCCTGAGACCATTTGTGGGGCTCATTTGAGAGGAAAACAGCCTCATTATATCAGAAATGGTTAATAGAGAGAGAATTTAAGAGACATATATATATATATATATATATATATATATATATATATATATATATATATATATATATATAGTTTTCTATTAGGCCTCACCAGAGATTAATATTTCAAAATCTCCATTGGCAACAGGGCACTTAAAAAAAAAACACTCTTTGACAGGGGGAAAAAAACCACAATGGTGAGAAACCTTCTACTGTCGTTCAGACTCACCAGACAAAAAGATCCCAAATAAATGCTATACAACCATTCAGTGAGGGCTTCACTTTCCTGACTTTGGTCAGAATCACGGAAGACTCAGTATTTCACATGCCAGGCGAGAGGCGGGTTTATCTATCACGCTGAGAGGGTGATGTTTCTGGTGGACCCTCCTCAGGTCTCTGTAGTTTGAAATTACTGTGATTGTATAACATAGATGCTGCTTTTCAAGGAAAGGAATTGACTTCTCACTTGGGCTCTCAGGTCAATGAGAAGGACCGAGCCTGGCGCCCGGGGTCATTGTGCACCTCTCCCTGCTCTCCACAAGCGCATGCTCCTCACTCAGGGAGGCTCTACCTAGAAATGTGATATTGAACCCACTTCATTCCCTTCAAGCCGAAAGCGCACACAAATAAAGGAGGCATCTTACAATTTCCTGTTCTAGACTCCCCAGAGGTCCCTGAACGTCCTTGTCCTAAATCTGCAGTCACCTTGGAGTCCAGTACAGACCACCACCCTGGGGCAGTGTGGCCGCCCCTAGGGGCTCCCTTCAAACAATAAGGACTCTTCGAACCATCTTACAGAAACAAAGCTGAGACATTGATGATGAGATCACACCTTGGCCAGGACTGCTTAGACCACGTGTGTCAGTACCCCAAAGATGAATGAACTTGGGGTCACGGGACCCCTCTATCTCTGCACATTGAATCTCCTCTTTCTCTTTCCACCATAACTCTAGCTGGCGTCCTGGGAGGGTGACCGAGTCCAGCCTGCCTTGGCTGCGGCAGCCGGGGCTTTGCCCTGACCTGGCTGCTACTGACCAGCTTGTGTGGCAAACACAAGTCCCCAGGGGCATCGCCAGCTCACCGGCTTCTTTGTGCTCTCTTCTTCAATCTTCACATTGGCCTGAACCGCGAGCTCCTCCAGTTCTTGCTTTGTGGCTTGCTCCTCCTCGGAATCGTCCTCAAACTCTGGTCCGAATTTCCTTTCAGCCTTGAGCAGCAATTTTTCTTGGAGAAACTCATCAAATTGAATGTGAAAAACGCCAAAGTTTTCTGCCAGCTTTCTGGCGCATGTAGTTTTGCCAGAGCCCCGGGGACCCAGAAGACACATCCTGATTGGAGGAGCCTGCCACAGAAAGTGCATAGGGTGGGACAGAGGAAAGGAAAAGAAGCTTGAGTAATTAGCCTGGTGGCAGTTCACACCTGTAACACCAGCCACTCAGGAGTTTGAGGCCAGAGCTGCATACCTTGTCTTATAAAACCAAACCAAACCAAACCAAACCAAACCTCTCCTTCCCCCACCAAAAAACAAAAAGAAAAAAAAAAGAAAAAAAGAAGAGAAAGGAAGTCTTTTTTTAAAAAGTGATGTTTAAATTTTGTTTGATGTGTATGAGTGTTTTGCCTGCATGTGTACCATACGTGTGCCTGGTGCCCAAAGAGGTCAGGAGAGGGCACTGGATCCCCTGGAACTGGAGTTACAGACAGTTGTGAGCTACCATGTAGGTGCTGGGAATTGAACCCGGGTTCTCTGGAAGAGCAACTAGTGCTCTCAAATGGATGAACCATCTCCAGTCCCAGGAATTCTTTTGTTTTTTCAGAGTCTACTTTTAGGGGTGTGCCTGTGTGTGTGTGTGTGTGTGTGTGTGTGTGTGTGTGTGTGTGTGTGTCTACCTGAGGAGTTCAGAAGAGGGTTGGGTTGGATCCCCCACAGCTGGAGTTATAGGTGATTGTGAGCCACCCAACATGTGAGCCAAACTCAGGTCCTCTGCAAAACCAGTATGTGTTCTTAATTGCTGGCCATCTCTCCAGCCTCCCATGGACAGGAATTTTTAGTTTACAAATTCAATTATATTTAGGCATAAGGATACCAATGAACAGAATTTGTTGCACCAAAAATGGCTTTAATGGGGGCAAGAACAGCCATCAGATTTTCCTAATATGTATGCCAAAAGGCATTTAATAAAAAGTAACTTCACTTAAAAATTATTTTAATGTTAAAAAGGAATAGAAAGACGTTTTCTTACTATGATTAAAAAGGATCTCTTTACCAAAGGAAAGGCCCATTTGTAATGAAATTTCAAAGACCTTGCCACTAATCCCTGTGATGTCCACACTGAAACTGAAGAAGCCCAAAGGCAGCTTTTGCAGGGTAATCTGATCAGCCTGTGTATGTCAAGTGGTCAAGAAGCGTGGTGACAGTTGAGGTGAAGCAGCAGCCAAGGCTCGTGGGACTGTGGGGGAATGGCTATAAAACTGACAATGACAGCAACCGTGGGGAAGATGGTGATGTGTTTGGGTAGTCTGTGCCTCAGTAGAGAGGAGGCGTTTGTAAGACAGGGGTACAAATGGCTAGGAGAAGCGCAGCTTCAAAAGCTGTTCGTTGCTGTGACGGAGATGGTGGGAGTTCAGAGACTCGGAAGAGGCCTGCGATGTGGCTCAGTTGACAGGGTGCTTGCCCTAGAAAGCTTCAGTTCCCAGGACAGCATGAACTAGCTGTGGTGGTGCTCGCCGGTAATCCCAACACTTGGGATGTGGCGGCGGCCATCTTTGGCTGTGTAGACAATTTAAAGGCCATCCTGGGATAGAAGAGACCTTGTCTCAAATAATAGCAGCAACGACAATAATAACTAAACAGGTAGAAAACGCTACAGAAGTTCTAAGATCCCAGGGACTGACTTCATGGTAAATGTGCACTGTGTACCAAACACAACATAGTGGAAAGACCTGGGGGCAAGTTTTAGAACAACCATGTTTATTGCAATCCCAAAGCATTTTACCTGTCATAGAAGAACTGAGAAACAACCTTCAGAGTTTCTGGGTCCTGTCTGGTGGATTTGTGGAAAATGAGGTGATGGGACTGGGTGTGTGGGTACACATGCTACACACTGATTGTAAGCTGTTACAGATGGTTGTGAGCTGCCATGCAGTTTCTAGGAACTGAACCTGGGTCCTCTGAGAGAGCAACAAGTGCTCTTGACTCCTGAGCCATCTGTCCAGCCCCTTACCTGTGACTCTTAATATCAGGTAAAAAGACACAAGCTAAGTGCTGGGTCGACATAGACATTACTATAAAAGTAAAAACAGATCATTATTTTATGTCATATTGCAAAAAGCTGTTTATTTTTAAACCTAGACATTATCACTATGTTTTGTTGTTGTGGTTGGCTTTTAATGAGATTAGAGACTTCACTGTTGAGCACACTCAGGGGAGAACCCAGGAGCAACCACTAGCATAGGAATATTATTCTCACCTTTAGTGGTTCATTCTGGGCCACATAGTCCTCAGGATGCTCCAAAAACTTCTCCTTGGCCTCAGCAGTTGAGAAGTAGTATATCTTTTCTCTGTACTTAGCGGCCTCTTCTGTGTTACCTGGCTGTAGGATGAAGTTTTCTTTGAGAACCACTGGGCAGAAGTGTTTTGTGTCTCCTAAGTGCCTCTTTTTTTCTTTCATCTTTTCTTCACCCTAAAAATATTGTTCAGTTCAGAGAAGACATTTTGAAGCAGTAGCAAAGAGGAATTTAGAGGCAATTCACTTTGAGGAATAGATCATCATCTACAGGAAAACCAACTCTAAGACAGCCCACAAGGCCATCCTTGTGTTAGTTAATGGATTAAAACCAAGTTGCTCATGTTGCTTTAAATTTAGTTCATACATTTTTCATTTTCATAAAAAATAATGTAGCACTGAGAATTAAGGTGTGCTCCCCCCTCTAAAGACATAGAGAATCGATGACCTGGCTATGAGGTCAGTTTCTCAAGGAATAAAACCCGAGTCAGGGTCACATCTTCTTACTCATGACAACGAAGTAGGTGATCTGCTTTGTTTTATTGAAAGTAAAAACTTATTAAGTACAAATGAACATTTATATCATGATGAAATGTGTAAAGAATTTTTTGGAAATTAGTTAAAGCAATAGGAAGACATTAAATCCTTACTTGCTATAAAATCTTTAAACACATCAGTGTATCAGGAGTGAAATTTCCCTTTCATTTTCCTCCACCAGTGTGCATACATTCTTACCAGTTCCCATGAGCACTCCCCCAGACTCTGCTAAATGATCTGCATGTATAAAAGCTAGACATGTGCCGGGCGGTGGTGGCACGTGCCTTTAATCCCAGCACTTGGGAGGCAGGGGCAGGCGGATCTCTGTGAGTTCGAGGCCAGCCTGGGCTACCAAGTGAGTTCCAGGAAAGGCGCAAAGCTACACAGAGAAACCCTGTCTTGAAAAACCAAAAAAAAAAAAAAAAAATAAAATAAAAGCTAGACATGTATTTAATCACAAATGCAGCAGTTCTGAAACCGGAAATGGAATATTTATTATTTATTCTTCAGTATGCTTATGTTCACAAAAGAAGAAACCACAACACTTTTCTGTACTGCTGCGAAACTGAGACTAATCCGGTTGGTGTGGTGGTGACCACCTTTTTCTTTTGGTGTTTTTGAGACAGGGTCTCTTTGTGTAGCTTTGCGCCTTTCCTGGAACTCGCTTTGTAGCCCAGGCTGGCCTCGAACTCACAGAGATCCGCCTGCCTCTGCCTCCCGAGTGCTGGGATTAAAGGCGTGCACCTTAATACCAAGACTCATATGTAGATCTCTGTGAGTTCAAGGCCAGCCTGATCTACATAGTGAGTTCCAGGCTAGCCAGAGCTACACAGAGACCTTGTTTCAGTTAAAAAAAAAAAAAAAAAAAAGCTGAGCATTACTGGTTCTTGTCTGTGATGTGGAAGAGTTTAGGCAATAGAAGAATTGCCTTATCAATGGATATGTATTAGAAACAGCCTATAAACCTCTCCTGTTACTTATTTATGATTTTTAACTTTCATAAGTAAAGTTTTCCCTCTTTATTCCTAAGTCAATTTCAGGAAAAAACTTGAGTAAACCCTTTGTAGATGCTCAAGCCTGTTAGAATGAAGAAGTGCCTATAATTTGAGTCCCTCAAGGATCTGGACACTCATTTTGTTTAAAATGTTACTCCTTGCCTTTGCATTTTTCTGATTCTGCCTGCCAGAAGTTCATCCGCCTCCCCCCTCTTGTCAGGGAACCGACTTTTTGTTTTTCATCTGTTGCTTTTATTTTATTTCCCCATTTCAGTTATCTCATTTCTTCTGAGTTATTCTGTTATGTTTATTTTCATTGTCTTTCATTGTACGCTTAATTTTTTTGGTCTTTCCGGGTTTTCAATACATAGACTTAATGTCGGGTTGCTAGACTTAATGAATAAAAATAAAAACCCAGGTTCCTCGGGTGTTTGGAGGACTTCTGCTTGGACTGCAGATAAAAGTTAACTTTCATATAATACATGCCATGCATGAGAGTATTCATTTATTTGAAATTCAGAAACGTTCTAAAATAAGGACACTGGCTATACTATAGAGATGATTTTTGTTGTGATTTAATAATGATCATGTTTAGTTTATTTTTATATTTACTTATTTCACGTGCTTTGCCTGCGTGTGTTTAAGTCCACTATACTCATGCAGAGATCCGAAGAAGGCAACGTATTCCCTGGAGTTGTGGTTACGGAGGGTTGTAAGGCACCACACGGGTGCTCGGAATCAAACCCAGGTCCTTCCTCTGCAAGAACAAGTACTCTTAACTGCCGAGCCATCTCACCAGTGCCCGCCCCTAATTTAATTTATAGTTTCATTATTGATTTCCTACTTATCTCCTATGGTGGTTCCTTATACGTTTTGGATATTTGATTATTTGATCCCTAAGCTGTTTGGGGGAGAATCAGGATATGTGACTTTGCTGGAGAAAGTATGTCACTCAGGGGAGGATTTGAGATTTCAAGTTAATTCTCTTTGCTTCCTGTTTGTGGATCAAGATGTGAGCTCTCAGCTGCTTCTCCCAAGCCATGCCTGCCTGCTGCTAAACTCCCTGTCACACACACACACACACACACACACACACACACACACACACACACACACACATTCTATAGTTCTGTTCCCTGGTTAACACAGTATGAAAACATGTAGCTGTTGCTTTACACAGTTTTAGATCACATTTTAACTCCTGGAGCCGTACTTCACTCATTCACAGCCACCAATGGAGAATAGGGCTGCCTAGCGCGTGGGTGGGTGTTTAGGTAGCTGGCTGGTAAGGCGAGGCATTCCTGACACGTCCAAAGCACTTTGTGTTTTGAAGAACTGTGAAATCACTTCTGGGTTCCAGGGGGTCCATGTGGATTTATATCAGATGAGGAGACAGATCAAAAGCAGCAAAGACCAAGAGGAAACACAGCGGCAGGAGTGAACTCTCACTCTGTGCTGACTGGAGGGAAAGCATTCAGCTTTTTAAAGTATGTTAGCTGTTACTTACAGATTTTTTTGGGGGTGAATGTCTTTTATCAACTTGAGAAAGTTCCATGTATATATATATATAATATTTAAAATTTATTCTTTGAGAATTTCATATATGCATACAATATATTTCAATCATCTTGCCCCCTCTCCCTTCTTCCCTTCCAGCTGGACCAGTCCCTCTCCCAACCTGATGACTTTTTTTAATGCCCCACTGATTCCAGTTAGCACTGCCCATATACACACAAGTGTCGGACCACTCACCAGAACATGATCAACCTACCAGGAACCACACCCTTGAAGAAAACTGGTTCTCCCTCCCATAGTAGCCATCAACTGTCAATCACTCCTCAGCTATGGGCTCATATGCCCCTCTGTACTAATTCTTTAAAGCTATTTATAAATATATACCCTTTATTTTCTAAAATCAGCAATAGACGATGGATTTTGCCAAATGCTGCTTCTATATCAACTGAGATAGTCACTTAGATTTTACCTTCAGCCTGTCAGTATGATGAGTGTTGTCCAAATGCTAAACCAAGCCTTTCTGGGACAAACTCTGCTTGGATAGGATGATTGTTGTTTTGATACAGTTTTGAAACTTTGTTAAACTTTTCTTAAGAGTTTATGCATCAATGTTCAGTACAGATCAAGAGTTTAGGCTGGGCGGTGGTGGCGCACGCCTTTAATCCCAGCACTCGGGAGGCAGAGCCAGGCGGATCTTTGTGAGTTCCAGGACAGCCTGGTCTCCAAAGCGAGTTCCAGGACAGGCGCAAAGCTACAGAGAAACCCTGTCTCGAAAAACCAAAAAAAAAAAAAAAGAGTTTATGCATCAATGTTTAGTACAGATCAACGGTTGGTTATTCTTCTTTCTTTTGCTGTGTTTGGTTTTGGGTATCAGAATGACACAGATCTCATTGAATTGGAAATTTCCCCTCCTATTCAGTTTTCTGGAAGAGTTCATGTAGAATCAGTTTTATTTCTTTCTCAATCATTTGGCAACATTTACCAGGGATGCTGTCCGTGTTTCATTTCTTTCAGCTTCTGTATGTCTGAAAAGCTCTTTAATTTGTCTTCATTTTTAAAGATAAAGTGTTACCAGGCATACAATTCTGTTTCTTCCTCTTCAGTACTTGCGAGCTGTTGCCTCACCCTCTTTCTGGCTTGCCCTGGTTTCTGTGGGAAGCACGCTGTCTTCTTGATCATGGTTCTTGTGAATGTGGCATGCCCATGTTCTCCTTTTAAGAAGTTCTTTGCAACCAACCAAGCAACTTGAACAGACATGCTTGGTGCTCTTTCCTTCCTGGGTCTCGTACTTTGGACTCACTGACCTTCTTGGGTCTGAGAGTTTGTAAACTGTTCCAAATACTGAAAAAGTACAGATACTGTTTCTTCAAAAATCATTTTCTCCCCTCCCAAGGCACACTTTTGTGGCCTACAGTTATATGCACAGCAGACTGCTCAAACCGTCCCACAGGTCCACTCAGGCTGTTCTCATGGTTTCTCTTGATTCTCCTCTTTCAGATAGTTTCTGTGTCTTTCCCTTCCTTTCCTGCAGTGTCTAGACTACCGTTACTCCAGTCACTGCATGCTTCACTTCGTATTTTCTGCTTTTCAAACCATACAGCTCACACTGTATGCCCATCACATCCTCTTTATTTTTGCCGCCTGCTTTTTTTAGGAATTTATAGGACACAGCAAAGAACAGCGTTTCAATGTCCTTATCAGCCGATGCTGATGTATTTGTCAGTTCTAGAGTAGTTTGAGTTGGTGATTCTTTTCTTTTCAGTGTGAATCGTATTTTCTTGGCAGATCTGGCAATCCTTGAGTGGATGCCAAAGTTTATGTTGTAATACCATCAACACTTCTGAGTTTGTTTTGGATATAGTTGAGTTGCCTGGAAGGAGTTTCATGTTTTTGGCTCTTGCTGTTATGGTAGTTGGAGCAAAACACATTTACTTTAGGTCTAATTACTTCCCATCTCCGCAGCCTGGGCCTTGCTCGCACCTTACCGAGTGCGCAGTAACTGGTGAGATTTTACACTGGAGGATTAAAGGATACCAGACTTAAAACCACAAGTTTTCAGTAGTACAGACAGCTTGAGAACTGCCGTAGAGACACAAGGAAGGAGAGGAGCACAGAAGAACACCAGAAACACTGCAGAAAAGTTAGATGAAGAGAGGCTGCCTGTGAGCAGGGCAAATCCCACATCCTTTGGCCACGGTAACATCCAAGTACCGGGAGCTGTTGACAGAATCCACTGTGAATCATTTGTTGCTACACAGTCACATACTCCTATATCTTAGGGTTTAAATTAGGCAATAATAAGTTTATTACAAGTGCAGGTTTGCCTAACATATTTAACTTAGAAAATTATATTTTTATTTGTAAAAACTCATATTGAAAGAACAATTTCCTGTTTTCTTGTTGAAATATACCTAACCTGGGGATAATCAAATGATAATAGTTATTACCATTCAGGTGCCAAAGATGTTGATTGGTGTCCGAATATGGGTTAATATTGTTGAGCACTGTACATTATTATCATGTGGACAGCCTTCCAGACACTCCAAAGGTGTCTTTCACATATCTACTTATATTAATTAGCTTTATAAAATATTTATAGTCTTAATACTCTCATATTCTATAGAAAAAAGTAAAAAGATTTTTCTCTTTATGTTTCTATGGGTTTCTTTCTTTTTTTTTTTCTTTCACATTAAGCAGCCCTGGCATTTTGGAGAGTCTAGTGAAGCTGTGGCAAAGGAGGAAATTTTCATTTATAAAGTTGAGGATGGGGTGGGGATCCAGCTCAGTGGCTGAGCATTTGCCCAGCATGCATAAGGCCCCGGGCTCAATCCCCGCTACCGCAAAACTCAAATAAACAGAGAGTAAAAAGTTGGAGACGCCTGTTTGTCCACTTGGCAGTGGAGGAGAAGTCCCGAAGTGGTCATTACTACTATGCACACAGTTCTTAATGATTGCCCAATGCAAAACCAGCTGTACCTCCTCCTCTTCCTCTTCCTCCTCCTCCTGCTCCTCATCGATCTCTATCTCAGCCTGGTAGTCTTCTGCTTCTTCATCATAGTCTTCAGCATTTAGTTCCCATGCAGCATACTGAAAAGGCTCTGTGGTTTCCAAAAAGGAAAAGAGTTTTTAGAACAAAAAGTTATCAGTATATTATAATAGTCAAAGAAATAATTAGAAAAACTAATTATTATCATTGATCTCTCAGTTTTGATACGGGTACAAGTTCTCTCTGTGAGAGCCACTCAGCGTGACCAGCGACGGTGTGCCCCGTGTCCGCACTATTTACGATAGTTCTAGAATGTCTTATATGGTCCCCTCAGCTGTCCCGAATGTTTTAGAGAAGCCGACAGAGCCGGCTTTCATGATCTAAACGGTTGTCAGTGCCACTGTCTGCTCTTTCCCGCAAACACCGACTTTGGCCTTACTTTCCATCGTCTCCACTATTTTTTGAAGCAGTTCCTTCGGTGTCTTGTTGGAAATATCCAGTGTTAATATTTGAATCAAATTGTCTGTAATCAACTGTTCCAGATGTTTCCACATGAGAAGGTAATTATTCAGCTCCTCCTTCAGTGGCTCCATCTCGGGAACATTGGGGTAAGCGTCTTCTGGGAACTCCGGCAGCACAACTTTTGAATACAAGTTCAAAGAGAGAAAAAATAGTGGCTTTGAAAAGCCTATCTCCAGTCAGACTACAAAAGAATCTAAACTTTATCAGGCTTTTTAAACATTCAAAGAAGAAAATGCAGCATTCTGAACATTAATATAAATTTATAAATTCATATTCTAATCATATTTTATATGCTGCTAGATAAATAATTACCTATTAATAAAATTATGTGGGTGATGAGTGAGTTTCATATGGACACTTTAGTTGTTGATGCAAAGTGTAGAATAAAATGAGATGAACCAGCATTATTAACAGAATAGTTACAGTTTTAATGGATTGACATAAATAAATATAATTCATATTGACTGGCGTGGTGGTTTGAAAGAAAAGTGGCCCCCATAGGGAGTGGCACTATTAAGAGCTGTGGCCTTGTGGGAGTAGATGTGGACTTGTAGGAGGAAGTGTGTCACTGTGAGGGTGGGCTCTGAGGTCTCCTTTGCTCAAGCTATGGTCAGTGTGGTAGACAGTTTACTTCTTGTGGCCTGCAGATCAAAATGTAGAACTCTCTGTTCCTTCTCCAGCACCATGTCTGGCTGCATGCCATCATGTCCTGCCATGATGATAATGGACTAAACCTCTGAACTGTAAGCCACTCCAATTAAATGTTTTCTTTTATAAGAATTGCTGTGGTTATGGTGTCTCTTCATAGCAATAGAAATCCTAACTAAGACCAAAGTTGGTATTAGGAACTGGGGTATTGCTGTGATAGACCTGACCATACTTTTGTTTGGAGGAATTTGAACTTTGGGAGTTTGGGTTCTGAAAGTAGTGGAATGTATTAAGTGCTGCTTAATGGGCTATGCTAGCAGGAGCATGGAAGACAGTGGTGCTGAGTGTGATTAGAACTGTGGGGGCCTGGCTCAAGAGGTTTCAAAGGAGAAGAATTTTTATATAAGGCCTAGAGATTGTTCTTGTGATATTTCGGTGAAGAATGTGGCTGCTCTTTGCCCTTGTCTGAAGAGTCTGCCTGAGGCTTAAGGGAAGAGATTTGGATTAATACTGTTGGAAGAGGAAATCTCAAAATAGCTAGTATTGACTCTGTTGTATGGTTATTAGTGTTAACTCTAATGAAGATTCATAATAAAAAGGAACAAACTGAGAAAGGAAAAATACAAAATGTTAAATTTGAGGAGAAATGTAGCACCAGGAGTGGAATGGAACTAAGTCCTGTGTTCAAGGAGATAAACAGATTAAAAAAATGGAATAAAGGGAATGGTGACCTCTGGGTAAGGTCCCACGTAGATAAACTTACAACTTGTGAAAAGGGATTAAAGAAAAGCTCAGAGCTGGATGTGGTGGTACATGCCTTTAATCCCAGCACTAGAGAGGCAGAGGCAGGCGGATCTCTGAGTTTGAGGCCAGCCTGGTCCAGTTTCAGGACAGCCAAGCTTAGGCAGTGAAGGGAACCATGGAAAACAGAAACCTGGTGAAGATGTAATTGAACAAGGGGGCCATGTTCCAGCCCCAGCAAGCAGCAGAACTAGGTAGCTTTGGCCACATGGTTCTGGCTTTAGGGCCAAGGATACAAAAATAGGGCTGTAGAATTTTCCTCTGTGAGTAAGGAAAGCTGTTGAGGCCAGGCATGTGTCAGGGGTATCTCTAGATAGAGGCCTAGAGAGGCCTGTGTGAAGATGTGAAATTGAAGCCTGGATTGCACTGGAGACCCCAAGATGTTAGAGATGCCAGAGCTGTGGGATTCCTGCTGAGGAGAGCTGCTAACAGGGAGTGGCACCAGCCCAAGAGAAAAAAGTGTGTTGCAGTCAGCAAAGCTGAACAGAGTTGGAGATCTGAAGAGTGTTTTGACATCAGACATGGAGATGCAGAGTTTGGAGTTTGCCCAGCTGGTTTTCAGTCTTGCTTTGGTCCAATATTTTCCTCACTATGATCCCTTCCCTATGTTTCGGGACGGTAATGTATATCCTGTGCCATGTATGTTGGAAGTAGGTGATCTGCTTTTTGATTTTTATTTTATAGGGATTACAGCTCAGAGATTGTATGACTCTCAGAAGAGGCTTTGAACTTTAGACCTCTAAATAAGTTTGAGACTGTGATAGACTATGGCGACTTTTGAAGTTGGACTAGATGCATTTTTGCACTATGACATGGCTACAAACCTTTGGGGACCAGGGAGTAGAATGTGGTGGTTTGAAATAAAACAGTCCCCAAATGGAGTGGCACTATCAGGTGGCTTTGTTGGAGCAGATGTGACCTTACAGGAGGAAGTGTGTCATTGTGGGGGTTGGCTTTGAGGTCTCCTTTGCTCAAGCTACACTCAGTGTTGTAGAAAGTTCACTTCCCATTGCCTACGGATCAAGATGCAGAACTCTCAGCTCCTTCTCCAGCACCATGTCTGCCTGCATGCCACCATGTCCTGTCATGATGATAATGGCCTAAACCTCTGAAACTGTAAGGAAGCCAGCCCAATAAAATGTTTTCCTTTATAAGAGTTGCCATGGTCATGGTGTCTCTCCACAGCAAGAGAAACCCTAAGAAAATTGGCACAGCATAGGGAGAAAGTAAGCAGAGACTATGACCCAAATTAAGGTTTGATCTGTTAGAACAGCACTTTTATGAATGGGAACTTTCATTTTTTATCCTAACCTGTTTCAGGCAGTTCTTCAGGTCCTAGGACCTCTTTGGATCCCTTTCGAACTCCTGCTTCAACTGTAGTGTCCTCCGGAGGCTCAGGGACTTAAGAAAGAAATCTAAGTTAGTGCTTGAATTTTCAAATGCTGTTCCATAGGAAAGTTTTGGCTCAAAGAAAATTCCAAAACTTACTTTAAATTATAGATGATATGTCTAATTGAAAACATATTTTTTAAAAATGATGGCATAAAAATAGAGCACAAGACAGAAAAGTGAAAATTTAAAATATACAAAAGGACAGTGAAGGGCTGGAATGGTAGTCTCAGTGGGGAAGAATGTTTGTTCTGCAAGCACGAGGACCTGAGTTTGAATCCCTAGTGCCCATGTGTGAACCTGGGCATGACTGTGTGTGCTTGAGGAGCTGAGGCGGGTGGGTTCCGAGAGCTCATGGGAGAGCCAGTCTAGCCAAAATGGCGGGCTTCTGGTTCAGTGACGGACCCTGACTGGAGGCGATAAGGAAGAGAGTGATAGAGGAAGACACCCAAAGCCCTCCTTCCCCTGTCACATGTGCACGCACAGAGGCAGGTGCACCCACACACCATGTGCATGCACCACATGCATGTACACCCTCCCACCAAGACATCGACTAGAATAGTCAACACATGGCACATAACATCCTAGTTGGTAACTGTTAAATGTTTTTAAAATCCCACTATTGTGCATCAGACCTAATGCCTGACATTCCTTTTAATTTCTCACTGAAACATCCCTATGGGTATAAAGTGGCAAGAATAGCAGTGCAGGAGTGGGATGGAGGACCTGAAGAGAGTCCCGGCTATGTCACCTTCGAAGGGCAGGCTGTAAAGCATCTTTTTTACATGACACGAGACACCCTTCACACACATATCCAGCCCGGATGGCTTTAGACATGCACACTACTTACATATCTTCTCACCCCACACTCCCCAGGTCTGCTCCCAACTCTAAGATACACATTTTGCATAGATTATATATTCATATGAATGTATATCACACATATATACACATACTATATATACATATATACATATGAACGTATATCACACATGTATATACACACACAATTGTATCATAATATTATCTCCTGAGTTAATACTTGAGTACTCTTTTGACAGGATCTATAGCATTTAAACTTTATTAGAGCCCAAGTAGAAAAGGGACAAACCCAGGACATATCTGATTATAAATCGCTCAGTTAATAAAAACACTATAAATCATGACCAATAGAAGAGCATTGAGACAATAAGAGAATCCACTTGGGGAGTTGTGAGATGCCTGATTAACCTTTGGATTTTGAGGTTTTCTGTGTTTTTGAACGCAGCACAAAGCCCTTCTATCGCAATAAGACTTGAAATTCATATGTGGTGTGGGGGTTGGGGAAATGCGTTCTTTCTTTCTCTAAACCACTGCACAGGACAACAGAGGGTGAGGGAGAGAGAGCTAGGAACCAGATCAGCATGCAGAGCCAGACTTCAAAGCCCAGGAGATGCTGTCGTGATGGGGGGCGTCCTTTGGGTGCTAAGTCTACAAGCAATGCCTTCAATTTAAACTTTTTTTCTTTTAAAAGATTTATTTAAATTTTTATGCATGTTAGTATTTTGTCTACATATCTGTCATTGAGCTGGAGCCTAGAAGAGGTTGTTGAATCCCCTGGAATTGTAGTATGGGCAATGAGTTGTGAGCTGCTGTGTTGGTGCTAAGAATTGAACCCAGGTCCTCTGCCAGAGCAGCAAGTGCTCTTAACTGCCGAGCCAACTCTTTAGCACCAATCCCTTCAATTTAAACTTTTTATTAAAGTTCTTTTTTTTTTTAATTTATTTTTATTTTTTTTATTAAAGTTCTTAAAATTTAGGAAGTGGAGCTTGGACAGTTACGAGATTACAGAAGGCCTGAAAATCCACTAGAAAAATCCTAGGGTGCAAAAAAGCACGAAGTCAAGTTGTGAAGAAGGCTTCAGAGCTCACCGCCAGCCCAGGACGGATGCTCCAGCGACAACACGGGAGGAGAGGGACCTGCGCTGCAGACAGAGCTGGGGGGAGCCGAGGAGACAGTTTGGGTAAAGCTTTGAGTTGACTAGAAAGACATCTCTCAAACCAGAGAGTGATTTAGTCCTCAAGAGCGTCTCCCATCTGGCTCTGTAGTGCAGCAGCAAAAATGTCTTAATATATAATAGATAAAAGTATCATTCAAAAATAAGATCAGAATCCTTGCAAACCCTACTCTCACCCATTCGTAGTCTAAAGTTAACCCATTCCTTGTGCTGTTGATTCTTGACAGTATATATGATCAGAAGCCTCGATCCAAAAAGACTGACACTGAATCTTTACCCCCAAATAAAAATGGTAATGTGAGGCTTATGGCACATACTTGAGGTTAAAATATGTATTTATAGGTATTTCCTTGGTCATGGTGTCTTTCACAGCAATGGAACAGAGACTAAACTAAGAAACACCTTTGCAATGATGAGAGCCCAGGCCGAAAGACAGCACCTTCCCAAGGCTGCCAGATGCAAACAGCTGGATGGAATACAGAGATAGATAGGGATATATATGTATATATATGTGTGTGTATTATATATATGTACATATATGTGAATGAGAGAGAGAGAGAGACAGAGAGAGAGAATAGGACACAGAGGTGTCTGAAGCAAAGCTGACTGACGGAGGGATATCCATACAAAGAGCAGAGTAGGCGTCAGAAAAGTCCCGGAAAGAACTGAACCTGTGAGGCTGATTAACTGATGAGAACCACAGTGATCGTAGACAACTTTGAATGCCCAGAGCCAGGTTTTCTGGACCAAACTTTAGTCAGCAGAAGGTTTAGTTCCTCCCAGGACTTTTGTTCATAGACCAGACTCCAGAAAGTTGTCCACTGACCCCCACAAGCTGAAGCATAGACATGCACATGTGTACACACACACACACACACACACTAAATGAAAGCAAGTATAAGTAGTCAAAGAAACATAAATAAATACCAAGGAACTTCAGCATGATCTTGATTCATGTCACTTTCCTGTTTGATAGCCAGTCATGCTAAGATGACAATTATTTTAAAGATTAAAGATTTGATTATTACACATTGTACACATACACTAAACTATCATAGTGTACAATTCAAATATGTTTTTGTTTTGAGGAAAGGTTACTCTATGTAGTCCTGACTGCCCTGAAACTTCGTATGAAAACCAGGCTGGTCTGGAACCTACAGAGATGCGCTTGCCTCTGGGATTAAAGGTGTGCGCCACCACAGCTGGCTAAGACATTTTTATAAAGAAGTGAAATAAAAGCTTATCTTGTCCAGTGCTAAGAAATTACTTGAGCATGCATGAGTGCACAATAAGAACTTCCTAATTCTGCTGGGTCTGCATGAGTGTAAGATGCTTTCTTGTTGGCATATAAAATGGCATTGCATGACATAAAGATAAATTCTTGCTTTGGGGGCAAAATGTCCTACAGATCATGTGCCAGTTCCAGGACCAAGCTCTCTCTAGGTCTCATCTTTGCAGCCTCAGCCGGTTTCCATCACACGCCCACACACACTCACACATCTGCCCACACTCACATACTCACATAGTCACACACTCACACATACATTCATACACACTCTCTCTCACACACTCTCATACACACTCACTCTCACACACATTATCTCACACACACATCATACATATACACACATTCATGCATATTCTCTTGTGGGAGCCCGTTCTTGGGTTCCTCGTGGCTTTACCCAGCAGGTCCGCATAGAGGATGATCAGGACCACAGGCCTGAGTGCAGGTGTCTGAGATGATCTGCACTTGGCTGTGCTGGGGGAGGAGGTCTTTTGCTCCACCCCTTGGCATCTCTATAAAAACCCTGGGGCAGAGACAGTCGGGGCCCATTGGAAAAGGTTCCAGGCCCTTTCGAGGCTATCCTTTATTTTCTATCTGTTTATCTCCGCAAGATTCTCCGCAATAAATCCTTCTATCTAATATTTCCTGCTGCTCGCACTCAAGAAAACTCTGGGGAACTGTGGGGGTGGTTGGGTAAACGCCCCACATTCTCTCATACACACTCACACATATTCATACAAAAACCCACATACACACACTTACACACCTGTCTACCTCACATACTCACTCACACACACACACACACACACACATAAACAATCATATGCACATACACACACTCACACACATTCACACACACACTAGCACACCTGCCCCCCCCATGCATGTGCGTGGCCGTCAGTCATGTCTAACCTGATTCAGGTTCATGTTCTGCTTCTGGGGCCTCCAATGCTTCAGACTCCTCAGGTAACAATGACCCTCTAGTGTTCTCTTGAATCTCAGGCGCCTCAGCCTCTTCAGGTGCATCATGGACTTCAGAATCTTCACCATCAACCTCCTCATCAGCTTCATTATCAGCCTCTTCACCATCTACAAAGGATTACAAGGAATAAGCTATTATTCCGTTAAAGCCAACAAATGATGGTTGGGTAGTGTTAAACATAGAGAAGAGATTAAGGCCTCAGAGTGGTGCTCTCCTGTATCTGGTTTAGTAGAGGAAATAGATGAATTACCACTGTATTAGATCTACTAATATGGAGTGGTAAAGGATGACAGCCATTCTGTCAGGGTGCTATTGGAGAACCTGAGGAAGGGTTCATTTAAAAGAAGAAATGTTTGTATCTATCCCAAATACTCTTAACAGTAAAAGACTAGAAAAAGCCCAATATCCTCTTAAGAAGGAAATGACTAGATCCATACAATCTACATATGGCTACTGAGCACTTGAAGCTAGTCTACACTGAGATATATATAAGTACAAAATAGATTATGACTTTCACAGTTTTAGCATGATAAACTTAAGATAGAACAGGTAGCTACTAGAAAATTTAACATTACTTAAGTTTCTATTGGGCAGCATCAGACGAGACTCCCTATATAGACACACGGTTAGCATAGCTATTATAGTAGATTTACAATAACTCATTGTAATAATAATATGGCACACTAACTTCGGTGTTAGCTGTAAATTTAGAAAGTTTGATTGCAAATCTTCTGTGTTCGTTGATGGCCGTGGTAGACACGGAAGTTCTTCAGAAGGGGACGGTCATGCTGTCAGAGAACTCATCTTCCCCATCCCTTTCATGTCTTTATGGGACTGACACACATGTGTGTGAAGACGCAAACAGGGCTTCCTGTGACAGGCTATATGGCAGAGTGAGTGAGCTTGTCTCTCTGAGTTCTCAGGGGCATTTCCTTCCCAGTTTTCTTCCAAGTGCCACGTTTTGATGGTGGTTCTCTGGCACCTGGATTTGATCTAAATCAAGGTTTGAAACAGGACAGCAGCACATGAAGCTTACAAGAACACAACTTAGAATGTGGTCAGTATCTTTGTGTTAGGGTGAAGATTTTACGGAAATACACACAAAGGTTTTTGGACTCCTAGTACAGCTTGTGATGAAGTGATGTAATCTGTGAAGGAACTTAAATTTTCTTTCAACAACATATCACTTATTAATAAATGATCATATGTCTCCAATTTATGTGTACTTATTTATGTTATATTTATCTATATTAGGTACATTATAAAAGAAACACATAAACAGCTCCCCAGTGGGGAGCTGTGTACCACACAGGTCAGGAATGGGTTAAAAGGCATTTTAAGATCTTTGAACTATTTGTAATTTGACTATTGATCGTGTGCTATTATCTATTGATTTATAATAAACGCTCTAAATCATCACTTTCTGTGAGTGAGGAATTTAGCGGTAGCTTGGCTGAGTGGTCCTGGCTTGGTGTCTCCTGAGGTGGTGAAGACGTTGACCAGAGCTATAGGATCTGAACACTTCATTGGATCTAGAAGACTCATTTCCAGGGTGGATCATTTACAACCAGAACCAAAGTGCTCAACTGTGCCCACTGTGCCCCACTCAGAGTTCCCACGCACAGAACAGCCGGGCAGTAAAATGGTACTTGTTTTATAGAACTAAGCTTTGGGGTGGCTGGAGGTGGAGTAATGGATACTCTTTGATCCTATGGCCTCTTTGGCACTCCCATGAAATTTATGGACCTCTTTTTAGAATAAAACTGTCAAGCTCATAAAATAAAATACACAAGAAACCAGTTCTATTGGAAGCGGTTGCTGAAACAGAACTCTTTGAGGGCTATATGAAATGCAACTACTGCAACTGCAGCAGCAGTACACGTAGATAGAAACCGTGGTGCAGGGCACAAATGTCTGCAGTCGTGTTGCCGAAAAGCCAAGAGACAGCTAACACCACTGTGGTTTGCTTGCTTTCTGTGTCAGTAAAGGAGACACTCAGACTCAGTTCAAGGTTATTGAAAATAGAGTTGAAGTTCCTAGACCTGAAATTTAATCCATAGACCCCCATTTGAGAACCTCGATCTTCAAAGAGGAAGTTCTTCCATAAAAGCGATGGAAGCTTTAAGTATGAAGACAATGGGTATTGTAAGAGTTTGGCTATGTCCTCAGCTTTTGCAGGATTCTTCCAATAGAAACAATTCCAGCAGCTAAGTGTAATCCGCGACTGAGGCACTTTCTACATTGTATCCTGCTTAGAGGGTGCTCAGGTGGGTCTCATCTTAGGAGTAGATTAGGAATCTTTGCCCTGTGAACCCATAATCCCAGTGAGAATACAACTTATTACGGAAATTAGAACATGTGGGGAAGGAAGGGGGACTTTCAGGACACAGGCATACACCTGGACTCTGGGCTCTAGACAGTGAAAACATCAGTAATGGTACAAGATCAGAGGGCATGCTACCAGTGTTATCAATCGGTGCTTGCCTTTTGCTTTCTTTCCCTCAAACTCCGCCATCCTCTGTTTTTCTTCATCTAGTCTCGCTTCTTCCTCTTTGGCTTTTCTGAAAAGAGAAGGTCCAACATTCAATTAAAAAAAACAAAACAAAATCAGACACCTCCCATTATTATAAGGTTAAATTCTCACAGTGGCAAGCAACAAATGCTTCCTTATTAATCACCCATTACACTTTTTTTTTTAAAATTTATTTTAATTTATTTTGCAATACAATTCAGTTCTACATATCAGCCACGGATTCCCTTGTTCTCCCCCCCCTCCTGTCCCCCTCACCTTCCCCCCAACCCCCCCCCCCCCCCCATTCCCATACACTTTACCCCACTTGGGTTGAAGCCAGTTAGTTTCCATCAGTACACTGGTATTTTTGGTAAGAAGGTATGGAATGTTGTATTTTAAACTATGGCTGTCAGTTAGAAAACCTGATAAAATGCAAGATTCCCCGAGGTAAGTTGAGAGAGAGGAAGGGGGAGATCTGTAACATTTCCCTCAGACTCAGTGGGTGATATTCACAGTATAATGTTAAGCGAAAAGAAGTAGAGTATAAAACTATATGTAAAACATAATTTTAACTTTGTATCAGTATATGTGAGAACTAGAAGGCTAGAAAATCAATCAAATTATAGACAGCAATTATTTCTTGATGGTAGCATTGTAAGAGTTCAATTTATAACATTTGCATTAGTTTTTTCTCCATTGAATAGAGAACATAACATTTCTTTTTAGTCAGAAGAAGTTGAAGCCTGGAGAGACAGCCCCGGGGTTAAGAATATTTACTCCTCTTACAGAGGTCCTGGGTTTTATTCCAAGCACCAACATGCAGCTTATAACCACCTGTAACTCCAACTTCAGGGGGTCTAAAGCCCTCTTCTAGGCTCCAAGGCTATCTGTATTCACATCTGCACATATCACCCCCCCCACATATATGCATAATTTAAAAATTTAAATTTATAATTTGAAAAATAAAGTTTTAACACACTAATGATGATTTCTTTTTCCAATCCAGGTGCATACTAAGCAGACCCTGTACCACTGAACTACAACTCCCATCCCCGTAATGATGATATTTAGATATTTAGAAAGCGTGGAAGCTTCAGTACATAGTGAAATCTGTATTCCATTAGGGTTGAAGCAATTAATCTTTCCTAACAGTGGTGAAAATAGGTAAATGGAAAATTAGCAAAATGTGGGGAGAAAGGCCTTGTCTATTCAAAAGTAAAGAGATGTGTCTTGGCCAGAAATCCTATGCCTAGGGATTTAGAAATGGGCATACCACTGCACAAAGAAACGTATAAAAGGTTGATTGCATTGTCAAAAAACAAATGAACAAACAAAAACCCCAAACGCCAAGTATTCACCAATAGGAAACCAAGCAAGATGGGCTCAATGTCCGAAGCTCCTGGAACCACCGCCCTCCAAAGGACCATGTGCCATGTCTTTGCATCGTTTTTCCTTCTTTGAAAGCTAGTGACATCGCTTCTCTTTGGAAGACACTGCTACTGTGTTTCTGGTTGAGATTCTCTTGCTGTTCTCCACCCAGGAGTGCTGGTGTTCCTGGGGTTCTCCTAGCTCACGGCCCCGGCCAGGCAGACTGAGTCTTCTTAACCAATCTCCTTCCCACTCAGTTTTGACGTCCATGTCAGGAGGATGCAGGCAAGGCTGCTTATGAGAACTTCCTTTTCTAAAAACAGATAAAGTATGCTTCCGGAAGACTTAAGACCTGACCAGGCTGAGAAAGAACCTATAAAGCATTTGAAGCAATAATGGCAGATTACCTTGCCATTTAACTGGATTGTATGCAAATGGTGCTGGAGACCATAGAATTTAACACGTTTTTTAGATCTTAACCTATGATGCAAGTCTTAACCCTGCTATCCTTATCTCTGTTTAGAGAACCTGTAAAGCCCTTGAATGCATCTGTGAGTTTGTGAGGCATTTCTTTTCTTGCTGTTTCCAGTTTTAGTTTCTTCAGTCTATAGAAAAAGCTTTCTGTGAAATGCTCATCGCTGAGTTTAAAAATCAACACACAGAGTTCTTAAGAAGCACACACCAGTTTACGCATTAAGAAGCTTATGAACATGTGAAAATTTCCAATAAGAGTAGAAATTGATTGCAGAAACAGAAAATTCCTGATAGTAGAAGAGAGAGGGTAAAAGTACTGTCGGGAGCCACAGGGAACATAACTGTTCTGAAAAATTACATATGCATGTATTTTTGTCTGTTTAAAATTAGCATGTTACCAGCAGGTAAATAACGTGAGCTTTGTCGTAATTTTAGATTAAGATTTCATCTGTTGTTTGAAGTGCCATCCATGGGTAGATGATACTCTTCCCAGAAGTCGTGGATTATTAAATGAAATCCCAGTGCCAGCTTTGGGATACCTTCCTATGAGTTGTTGCTCAGGGAGTCCCCAAAGGCCTCCCAAAGACGTGGGCTACTGACATTTGGTTGCCCACCATAGCTAGACGGTAAGATCTTCTTGCTGAAGAGACCACACGCTTTTGTCACAGGTCATAGAGAGATGACACTGGAACCGAGATGTAAGCGTCCTTGCCACTAGCCGGCTTCCATCATGCCAGAAGGTGCTAGCCAGGCAGCTGAGAGAGAAAGTCATCCACAGTGTCACCGAGTCTTGAACCCTTGGAGCTACAAGAACGATCTTCCAGGCAGGATGTGCTCCTCTGGTACAGCAAAGGCATGGCATTCTGCTTCCTGCTTTCTGATTGGATCTGAGGCCTGTTCCACCTGAGGGAGCTCATGCCTGGCTCTGTAAAGCTGGTCAAGCACCTGTGACTGGGAAGGTCATAGGACCTTTGGAGAGCTTTCTAGATTGTTTGGCTAAACCATCATGTTGTCAAAGGAGAGCTGTACTCAGCCTTCATCAGCGAAGCTTGTTTATTTTATTTTTAATTATATAACTGTATGTATGTATGTATGTATGTATGTATGTATGAATGTATGTATATATGTGTATTGATGTGTTTGGGAACCTATAAAGGATAGAAGGTGTCAGTTTCCCAAGAGTTGTAATTGTAAGCAGGCAATTGTAAGCTACCTGATATGGGTGATGGGAACTGAACTCAGGTCTTCTACAAGAGTAGCAAGTATTCTTAACTGCTGAGCCAGAGAATCTTCAGCACAGTGGCCAGCGGTTAATATAAAATCCCACAGCTGGCCAAAGTGGCTGTGGAGTGCTCAGCCCTTACAGGGACACCCACATCACGACTTAAAAGGGCATAGGGAAGGTGCAGGATCAGAGGATGGGGAGATGTACAGCCAGTGGAACCCTCCAGACATCACTTGACTGTTGCACTCATGATTCGCCACAGCTGTGATGATCTGCACAGACCTGCACAAAGCTGGGCCTATCAATAGTTCATCATTTATGGGGATGCTGAGGCCTCAACCCTCCCTGAGGGACTCTTGGCAGCTAATGATTGCTGGGAGAAAGGGTGTCATTTTCTTCAGCAGTGAAGTCAGTGATAAGGTGCCCACGCTCAGTAATAAGTGAGGAGCATCCAGCCCCTTCTCAGGCAAGAAATGGATTAGAGTCAATGGCTCACACACACACAGGACGAGGAAGGAGTCTAGGGATTTGATGGGAAGAGGGAGGAGGAGGAGATGGGCCAGTGACTAAATTCACTATGTACAGCACAAAGCTATCAAAGAGTTAAATAAATGGAAAGAAGGATTTCATCTATTCTTAAATACTTAACTATTTTGCATACACTGGAAAAACTAAGTAGTTCCTTACACTTAGATTGTTACCCTATTTATAACAAGACTTCTTCTCTTTCTTTCTGTTTTCTGTTTGTTTGTTTTGAGACAGGGTCTCAACATGTAGCTCTTCTTTTCTTCTCTTTTGAGACAGGGTCTCTCTATTATGTAGATCTGGCTATCCTGGAACTAAGTAGACCAGGCTAGACTGGAACTCCTAAATACCCACAGGCCTCTCTGCCTCCTGAGTCAGACTGGATTAGAGGTGTACACCACCACGGCCTGGCCAACTTCAGTTTTTTGAAGATAATATTTCAGCAAGGATGAACAACTAGTTAGGTCCTTTTTTTTCTGTTTTATTTCTCAGCCTGAGAATGTTACAGTTTATTCAAGGCTAATCTTGAGCCTCAGCTGTAGTGGATTGCTCATAATTTTAAAAGCACCTCTTACACCCAGAGAGGAGAAGAAATCTTCCACGCTAAAATTGTAAGATGTACACAATCAGTTCTTCCATGGAGGCAAGGTAGATTTTTCCTAGTTATTCCATGTGGCATATTTTCATTTATGTTCTATTGTGTTATTGTCTCAGTGTGTGGATTCTAGTTATTAAAATTAAACCACAGATAGGTGTGTGTGTGTGTGTGTGTGTGTGTGTGTGTGTGTGTGTGTGCGCGCGCGCACATGTGCGTGCGCGTGCGTGCATGTATACTGGTTAGTTTTTTGTCAACTTGATACAACCTATACACATCTGGGATAGAGGGAACCTCAATTGAGAAAATGCCTCTATCAGATTGATCTATAGGCAAATCTGTAGGGCATTATCTTGATTGATATGGGAGGGCCCACCTACTGTGGGTGGTACCAATCCTGTGCGGGCAGTCCTAGGTTGTATAGGAAAGCAGGCTGAGCAAGCTATGGGGAACAAGTCAGTAAGCAGCATCCCTCCATGCTCTCTAAGCAGAATCAAACCCTTTTGTGATAGTTTGAATGTAATCAGCCCCATAAGCTCATAGGGAGTGGCACTATTAGGAGCTGTGGCCTTGTTGGAGTAGGTGTGGCCTTGTTGGAGGAAGTGTGTCACCATGGCTGTGGGTTTTGAGGTCTCCTTTGCTCAGGCTTCACTCATTGTGACACTCAGTTCACATCCTGTTGCCTGCTGATCAAGATGCAGCTCCTTCTACACTCTCAGCTCCTCCAACACCATGTCTGCCTGCATGCCACCATGTCCCATCATAATGATAATTAACTAAACCCCTGAACTGTAAACCAGCCCCAATTAAATGTTTTCCTTTATAAGAGTTGCCATGGTCATGGTGTCTCTTCACAGCAATAAAAACTCTCACTAAAACCTCTTTCTTCCCCCAAGCTGTTTTTGGTCAGTGTGGTGATATATTATGTACCCTAATAGAATTTGCCTGAAGATCAGAGAATAGAATAAGCCACTAGATTAAACATATAGGCCAGGCAGTGGTGGCACACACCTTTAATCCTAGCACATGGTATGGGGGGCGGGGCGCTGGGGTGGCAGGGGGCAGAGGTCTTTCTGGATCTTTGTGAGTTCAAAGCCACCCTGGACTACATGAGATTGACTCAGTCTAGGAGAGAAAACAGAGCCAGGCAGTGGCTTTAGACCTTTAGTCCCAGGACTGGAAAGCACACATGCCTTTAATCCCAGGAAGTGATGACTGGGCAGAGAAGGGTATATAAGGCATGAGGAGACAGGAACTAAAGGCTTTTTGATAGAAGCATCTCTTTCAGATAGAGGCTTTTTTGGCTGAAGCCTTTTTGGCTGAGGAAGCTCATTCGGCTAGAGACCTATCCGCTGAGGCTTTTTCAGGCTGAGGAGTCCTAGAGGTAAGACGTGGCTTGTTCCTTTGTCTCCCTGATCTTTGAGCACTTACCCCAATATCTAGCCCGAGTTTTTTATTTAAAGACTATTGAGCAATTTGAGCAACAGGTCAGTGTTTTATCACAACAACAGAAAGTAAACCAGGCAGAAGTTCTTATCTATATGCATTTTTTTCTTCTGGAAGGTTGATGTGTGAGTGTGTGTGTGTGTGTGTGTGTGTGTGTGTGTGTGTGTGTAATCTAGCTCATTTTTTTTTCAGTTGCCTAATGAAGAAAACTTGAAGTGAGCTGTGAAACCATTCACAGCTGTGTAGAGATTCCTGAACTTACTGTTTCTTTTGGAACTTGGTGAGACTTTTGCATAGTTATTAGACAATCTTTCTGATATTAGAGGCATTTTATAAGTATAACCTGTGAGAGGGTGTAACAAGTACAGGTATATACTGGAGGTTGGAGAGATGGTTCAGTGGTTAAGAGTGTTTGCTGCTCTCACAGAGGACCTGAGCTTAGTTCCCAGCACCCATGTTGAGTGGTTCATAGCCACCTCTAACTTCAGCTCCAGGGGATCCAGTGCCCTCTTCTGACCTCAGTGGGCACCCACACACAATTGACACGCACATACACATAAATAAAATAAAGTCTCTGGAAGCAGGGGCATGGTCGATGTGTAGCCTGTTTTTCGGTCCACATGAACCTTACCGTATTTCCTCCTCTTCCCTTTTTTTGGCTTGAAGTTCTTCAAATAATCGTTCTAAAATCTTAGCATCAATTTCAGACTTACTCCTTAAATACATTCTATTTAAAAAACATTTTCCTGAAATACAAAGAGAAAAAATTATTTTGAAATTGCATAGTGTGGCCCGTTTTGGAAATTAACTACAAAGTGATCTCTGACTATGCACACACAAATTTCCCTTTAAGTGCTGATCCAAACAGAGCCCCAAGTCTTTAAAATTTTAGTAGAATGTCTTAAATCTTTTTCGAAAGGCATATGCTACTGTGTAATAAATAATGAAAACACGAAAAAACATCTATTTTCCCCCGGAAATTCTCATTTCAAACATTTAAAAAAGGTTTTTTCTTACATTTATTTATTTGTGTGTGTCTGTGTGTGTGTGTGTGTGTGTGTGTGTGTGTGTGTGTGTGCATGTACATTCACGTACATGTATAGTAGTCAGAGGACAACTTATGGAGAGTTAGTTCTCTCCTACCATATGGATCACAAGCATCCAACTCAGGTTGTCAGGGTTGACCGCAAAAACCTTTACCCCACCACCTCTCAAATATATATATAAAATAATTTTCTTATAATTTTTTTTCTTTCCTTTTACATACCAACCCCTGTTCCCCCTCCCTCCCTCCCTCCCCCCCACCTTCTCCCATCCCACCTCCATCCCCTCCTCAGAGAGGGTAAGGCCTCCCTTGGGTAGTCAACCCAGGCTGGCACACCAAGTTGGGGCTGGGTCTAGGCCCCTCCCCACTGCATCAAGGCTGAATAAGGCATCCCACCATAGGGAATGGGCTCTAAAAGGCCAGTTCGTGTACTGGGGATAAGTCCTGGTCCTCCCATTGCCAGGGGACCCACAAACACATCAAGCCATGCAACTTTCACCCACATTCAGAGGGCCTAGTGGGGTCCCATGCAGGCTCCCCAGCTGTCAGTCCCGAGTCCATGAGCTCCCACTAGCTTGGGTCAGCTGTCTCTGGTTTTTCCCATCAAGATGCTGACCCTCCTCCCTTGCTCCTATAATCCCTCCTCCCTCTCTTCAACTGAACTCCAGGAGCTCGGCCAAGTGCTTGGCTGTGGGTCTCTGCATCTGCTTCCATCAGTCACTGGATGTGGATTCTATGATGACAATTAGGGTAGACACCGATCTGATTACAGGGGAAGGTTAGTTCAAGCACCCTCTCTACCACTGCCATGAGTCTTAGCTGGGGACAATCTTGTGAGTTCCTAGAGTTTTCCCTAGCTGTGGATTTCTCCCCATCCCCTCAATGGTACACCCTGGCAAGGTATCTCTTTCACTGCTCTCCCTCCCCATGTCTCCCCCAACTCGGCCATCTCCAGCCCTCATGTTCCCACCTCCCATCTCCTCCCTTCTCTTCCCCACTCCCAGTTTTCCCAGGAGATCTTAACCCTTCCCCCTTCCTGGGGTGATCCATGTGTGTCCCTCTTGGTGTCCTCCTCTTTACCTAGCTTCCCTGGGGTTGTGGATTGCAGCCTGGTTCTCCTTTGCTTTGCATCTATTATTCACTTATGAGTGAGTCTATACCATGTCTGTCTTCTGCATCTGGCTTTCCTCACTCAGGATGATTTTTGATTAAGGCAATATACAGCAAGTCAACAGCCAGCATCAAATATATTTTCTTAAGAGGTGAAGTGATAGATTACTTAAATTAAAAACATCAGGATTACCCTCACCATCAGGATTGTGGGCAGTGTTGATTTACAAGCCACAGCTACTGACCGAGAAGGGATGCTGAGTTCTCGGCTCCAAAGAACAACTACTGAGGACCACCAGAAGGATCAGAGGCACAGCACATTACCCCAGGTCACCTTCTCAGCAGGTAGAGGCCTCATTTCGTGCACCGTTAGGTCCTCTAGGCACAGCTGAGGTGGTAGCAGAGGTGGTACCTGTATCTAAGGAGGGTTCTCCATTCTCTATTTTAACCAAAATAAATATCAGCAACAAACATTTTATTTTAAATGTAAACAATAAATATTTGCCAACCATTGTTTTCTCCATCTGTTAAAGAGATAACCAAATCAGGAACAATTCCTTTATCGATGAAGGCTGTCCACAGATCTCTTATAGTAGGGCAGTTGTCCACAATCCATCCTCCATATTTTGGGGCACCAGGAAACCTGTTCTTGTTATCTTCCGTTACCTGTGAAAACACATTGATAGCACCACTGTGAGTTGACAAGCCACAGATTTATGATGTGTTTTTCTTGTAGAATTCCAAGAAGCACCTTCTAGGCCCTGACTTTGAGAAGAAAGTAAGAGTGACTTAATATTAAGAGAAGCTTAATTTTGAAGTAATCAAGTCTTACTAGTTTAAAACCAGGAAATAAAGCCTTTATTAAACCTAACAGTGTACTCTTGCTATCTAGTAATCTGTAGCATTGAATGTGTCTAGTTAGTGTTTATGTCACTTATAATTTGATTATAACAGTGATGAACTTCCTTATACATTGGATTATTCTGATAACATCGTGATGAACTTCCTTACACAGAAGTAGTTATCCAGGGGTTATATATCTGCTAAAGTTATTTCTCCAGAAGATGCCATATTGTTTCCCAAAACATCCGTTCCACTTTTCACCCTTTCTGGCTGAGATAGGGTTTTCATTGCTGCAACACAACACCATGACCAAAAAGCAAGTTGGGGAGGAAAGGGTTTATTAGGCTTACACTTCCACATTGTTGTTCATCACTGAAGGAAGCCAGGACAGGAACTCAAACAGGACAGGAGGATCCCAGAGCCAGGAGCTGATGCAAAGGCCATGGAGGGGTGCTGCTTACTGGCTTGCTCACCATAGCTTGCTCACCCTGCTTTCTTATAGAACCCAGGACCACCAGCCCAGGGATGGCTCTACCCACAATGGGCTAGGGCTGGGCCCTCCCCCATTGATCACTAATTGAGAAGGTGCCTTCCAAGCCGGGTTTAATGGAAGCAGTTTCTCCACTGAGGTTCCCTCCTTTCAGAGAACTCTAGTTTGTGTGTCAGATTGACATAAGCCTAGCCAGCACACTGCTCCTATCAGAAAATGACTATCACCATGGCTTCCTGAGTAGTGATTGCTTAAATAAAAACTTGGCCAATTACAGGAGAGAAATTATCGTTGAAATTTAAACTTACATTTCTTTAAAATTTTCTATTTTTAACTATTTTTATGTGTTTCTCTGTAATATGAGTGCAAGTGTCCACAGAGGCCAGAAGATAGAGCAATTCCCTGGAGCTGGAGATTGACAGTTATGAACTTTAAATTCATATTACTTGAGAGCTGGGAACCAAGCTCAGGTTATCTGGAAGAGTAGCCAGTATTCTTAACTTCTGAGCCAGCTCTCTAGCCCTCAAATACTATAAATTTAAAAAGACAACCCAATTTAAAAAAAACGGGCAAATGGCTTCCCCAATACTCTTGCTGGGCTTGGTGGCGCACGCCTTTAATCCTAGCATTCAGGAGGCAGAGGCAGGAGGATCTCTGTGAGTTGAAGCCAGCCAGATCAACATCGTAAGTTCCAGGACAGCCAGGGCTATGTAAAGACTCTGTCTCAACAAAACAACAACAGCAAAAGAGTATACTCTTTACAATATCCCAGATCTCCAGCTGCTTCTGAAAACGGTTTTCTGGCCTGACCCCCTGGTCTCATGAGGAATGACAAGGTGGTGGGAGTGGACGTCATCTGAACAGCCCTCTGACTCCACAGCGGCAGCTTACCCTGCAGTTGCTAAGCCTACCTCCACACACACATTGCTGTCTCCGAAATGTTGTATTCATACTTCCTGGAGCTTTGTGTTCTCCACAACAAAGCAAAGAGGGCATTTCACCACAGGCAAGGGCTAGGTTTAGAGAAACCTGTCCTCACTTTACTTCTCTGGGTGTTTGGTCTCACTGATGAGGTAAAGACGGAAGCTCTGAGTATCCTGAGTGAATTCCTGTGCCTCGGAGATACCTATTTGCCACACGATGACTGGTGAGTGGCTTCCAGGCCAGGTCACTGAGGAATATCCTTAAAGGCAAGGCCATGTTTAATCTGTCCTCCTATCCCTAGTATCTAATACAGGACACAGAAAAAGCAGGTTCAGAGTAATGGCATTTCTGAAGGAAAAACTATTGCTCAAACAACCTAAAGAGACTGGTTAAAAGGTGTGTTTGATATTAGGTGGAGTTTGGAATCCTACAGAGGAGGGAGAGGGAGGATTGTAGGAGCCAGAGGTCAAGGACACTGTGAGAAGGCTCAGACAGTCAACTAACCTGGGCTCATAGGGGCTCACAGAGACTGAACTGACAACCAGAGAGCCGGCATGGGACTACCCAGGCCCTCTGCATATATGTTACAGTTGTGTAGCTTGGTCCTCTTACGGGACTCCTAACAGAGGGAACAGGAGCTGGCTCTGACTCTTTTATTGGCTTTTGGGATCCTACCTCTCACACTGGGTCACCTTGCCCAGTCTTAATACATGGGGAGATGCTTAGTCTTACTGCAACTTGATATGCCATGTTTTGTTGCTATCCATGGGAGGCCTGCCCTTTCCTAGATGGAGACAGAAGAGGAGGAGATTGGGGGTTGGGAGGTGGGTAATGAAGGAGAGGGACTGGGAGGGGAGGATGTGGGCAGGTTGAAGCCAGGCTGTAAAATAAATAGATGGAAAAAAAGGTGTGTTTGAGCTCAGAAGTACTGAGGGGCCCAAAGGAGTCTGGTACAGCCAGGGCTCACGGGAGCCACCCGGTGAGTTTCAGAGTGATGGTCTCATGTGACAGATAAGCTTTTTATTCTTACATATTATTTTTTTTTGTGAGGGGTCTTATGCTTAGCCCAGGCTGACCTGCCTATGTAAAACATGCAGGCCTTAAATTATGCACGATCTTCCTGCCTCAGCCTTCTGAATGCTGGGATGACAGGTATAAGTTCCCGTGTCCAGAGTTTCTCACATAATAACTTAAAACTCAATCACGGAGGAATAGAAAAGCACACCAAGAGTCCCAGACTGCCTCATTTATCATGTACGCTTTCTCTGAATGTTTATCTGAGATTGTTGCTAGAATCTACCTCTATGATACCTTGTCCTAGAAACAAGAGAAAGATTCTGATTTCCCATTGGTACAGGCATGGCATGTGAGGCTCGTTTTCCTCTTTGGGCTGAAAGATTACGTGTGTTTCTACCCTCCTCTGCCAACACATGCTAGGGTGGCTGGATGAAGTTAGACAGCCACGTAGCAAACTTGACCTCAGTCTCTGACTATTTAGCTCATAGACGAGATATCTAAATGTGGCATCGGCTCTATAAACTCCATCTTTCCACTAACTGGACTGAATCAAAGACAATAACTTATAGTAACTTTAAGAACTATGAAATCACATCGCTTAATTTTGTTGATAATTGTGAATCTTCCAACAAGTACCAGCGATTATGGGGTACTTCACCTGTGATGGCATTGAGGCTGTTGGTAGTGGGTACTCTGGAAAGAGGAGAATCGTTCTTTATTGAGGAGATGGCTGCTGGCAGGTTTCCCATGCTCCGGTGGGTGGTCCACACCCATGCACACATGGGCAGGGCTAACTGGACTTGGTTATTATTTTTTTAAAGACATGAAGTCAAGGGAGGGTGTGCTTTAGGGGGATATGTGGGGAGGGGAGGGGAAGCTGGGGGACAGTTACAATCATATTTCATCGTAGTCATATATAAAATTCTCAAGAATTATGAAAAATATCAGAAATGATGCAAATAAAAAAAGGCGCATGAATTTGAAGACTACAGTAAAAGAAAACTGCAGAACAATTAGACACACACCTGATGGACGTTCTTAGTTTCTACGTCAATGAGGAACAAGAAAAGATCGGAAAACTTTACCTCTTTGATGACTTCCTCTAGTAGTTCAGTGTGTTTCTCAAAGGGCTGCTCGAAGTTCAAATCCTTGGCCTGTCTCAGAGTATCCTCTATCACGAAAAGCACCTCGGGATGGGTTTCATTCACCTCTTCTATCGAGTCTTCTGTGGAGACTGAAGTCAAAAGAGTAAACAGAAATGGCATTCCTGGGCTCAGGGACAATATTACTTGAGCTAAGTCATGCTGCTAATGTGTGGCCTAAAGTCTTCTTCGTGTTATCACAGCACCTGCTAGAAGAAGGAGAAAACCCATGAAGGGCAGGGAGTGACACGAAGCCAGTGCATCAGCATGAAAGTCATGTCAAGGAAGGGTCCTGTTGAGGAAGTCAGGGAGGGACCAGAGCATCCAGGAGTGAAGGCAATCATAAACATCCAGGGAGGAAATCATACAAGATGGATACTTCCAGTTACCAGCAAGGGTTCAGAGCGGTTGCGGGTAGGGCAGGAGGCAGGCAAGCTGGAGTTGGTTGGCATTGAGTTTTGCTCTTATTCCTGGCAGGGCTGAGGGAGCTCCAGGTGACTTTACCATTTATTTAACTGTGTTGTGTCTACCCCTCCAGCGAGGCAGAGGCTTGGCAGTTCCTCCCGGTTGGACTGCTTCTGCATTTCCAGTCTTGCTTTGGAACTACTGCTTTCGGGCTCCAACTGTTAGAACCTCTGTCCAGAGCCCAGTTGATCTCAGCTCAAAGGCCTTCAAAGGGCAGCTGCCTCCTGCCCACTTTGCCTTAAAATATCCTCAGGGAAGAAAGAGACAGTTCCCTGAGACACAGAGCAGAAGAATCAAGAACTGTGGTCTCTTTCTGGAGCCCTGGAGGAAGGGAGCAAAGAGAACCAGGTAGGCCAGTGACTCACTGCAATGGACATTTGCTAGGAAAGCTGATTGGACAAAAGGGTAGACTCCATGACACACTGAGGCCCCCAATGCCGCCAGGACGAGTGAAGAGGTGTTGGTGGTCCTCGAGGATGTCCAATCTAGAAAGTGGACAGTTCCTCATCTTAGGCCTCCATCATTGCCCAGAGCTAGGGTGATCCTGCATTGGACAGCTTGTTCGGGCAGCCGAGTCTGCATCTGCTTAAGCTCTGGACTGCTGCACACCATCCCGTTGACCTCACTGGGCAACAGCATGATCCACTCTTGACCTCAGCCCTCTCTTGTGCCTGAGAGTGTGCCTACTTTTCTTCTTGATGAAGGTCTCAGAACCTCTGTCTTAGTGTGGGTTTTTATTTCTGGGAAGAGACACTATGACCACAACAACTCTTATAAATGAAAATATTTAATTGATGGGGCTCGCTTACAGTTCAGAGGTTCAGTCAGTTATCGTTATGGCAAGGAGCATGGTGGCGTTCAGGCAGAGGTGGTGCTGGAGTTGAGACTACTACATCTTGCAGGCAACAGGAAATCAACTGACTATCATATGGAGGAAAGCTTGAGAAAAAGACCTCAAAGCCCGCCCCCACAGTGACATACTTCCAACAGAAGTTGTGGCCTAGATTAAAGGTGTGCCCCCCAGCCTCAAGGTCTGGATTAAAGGTGTGTCTCATCCAGCCTCCTCCAACAAGACCACACTTCCTTCAACAAGACCACACCTCCTAATAGTGCCACTCCCTACGAGCTTTGGGGGCCAAATACATTCAAACTACCACAACCTCCTTTTTGTTGTGGATGCGCCACTGATTTCTTTTCCATCTGTGGGTAAAACATTGCAAGAACTCCACCTGAGCACTAAAGAACACACGCTTGGATTCTGAAAAAGAGTTTGGTATGGGCTCAGGGAACCAGAACTCATGATTGCAGTTTATAATTCAGATAAGAGCCATAGTATTCAAGTAGCTCAACATATCTGTCAGCAGAAAACAAAACAAAACAAAACCTGTAACAAAACTAGGATTTTAGTTTGCTATATTGCCAATGAATCTGAATTTGAAAAAGAAATCAAAAGTGCCTTTTCTGAGCAAGTGTTGAGTTCTAGAGGCCGTGGTCTCCCAGTTGATTTTGGGAAGGCAGGTTGTCAACACCGGCACCCCGCTGTGGGCAGATGCACTGTGCCTGCTTCTAAGTTGGACTGTGTGGTTCACAAAGGGGAGAAAGGGGAGGGGCAGTGTGAGAGGGGGCTGTAGAGTGCTGTGAGAACTCACCAGCATCAGAGATGGGGCTCCCAGCAGCCACGTGGTTACATCTGAATATATGGTGGCCTGCCATGATGAGTCCACTCATGCGTATGTGTGTGTGTGTGTGTGTGTGTGTGTGTGTGTGTGTGTGTGTGTGTGGTGTGTGTGTGTAAAGAGGGTGGCACATACAAGTTTCTAACAGTGCCCAGTCAGTTCTTACTAGTTTGAAATAAAAACCAGGAAAAGTAGGCATGTTTGAATCCGTAGGGGGAAAGAAACAAACAAAATTCTGCACATTGTACATCACATTATTGATGTCCTTAAAACTGAATACAAAAAGGTTGAACAACAAGAACAAAAAAAGGCAACCCAACAAAAAACTCTTACAAAACAGAACACCAGAGCAAAACTTTCAAGTCCTAAAAGTAATGACAGAAATCAATAATAGAAAAAGAATTAGATGATTATGAAAAATGCCTCCATTCATTCCCCAATAGCAAAATGTTTAGAAGACAAACTACTCAAGTTTGAAAAAAAAAAAGCACCTGAAAAATAAAGGACTCACATAACATGTTTTTGAAGAAACAATATAATTGATACAACAATTTAGAAAATTTGATGAAAAGTAAAGATCATCCTCTATGTAAAAGGAAATAAAACTGAACAAATCTTAATAAACTTGGGAAATAAAAATTAATGTAACCCTGAAAGAAAAATAATGATGTATCTGTGGATTACTGGAGAAAATACAATTTGGAATAACTTTTATGCAAAACATTTTTACTGTAGCTTCATATTCATTTATTTAGTACTTGTACTAATGTCAATATCCAGATAAAACATATATTAAACATTTGTTGAAATACTGCTTATGGTAGAAAAAAATTTATACTATAAAGAACTGGCTTGGGGCTGAGAAATGGTTCAGTGGGTAAGAGTGCTTACTGCTCAGCAGAGGACCTGGGTTCGGTTCCCAGCACCCACAGAGTGGCTGACAACTGCCTGTAACTCCAGTTCCAGTGAATCTGATACTCTCTTCTGACCCCTGTGGGTTCCTGCATGCATGTGGTTGGTAAACACACACACACACACACACACACACACACACACACACACACACACACATTTATAAAATAAAGTACACTAATATTTAACCGCTAAGCCACAATCTATTCATAAAAATTAAGCAGTTCTTTAAAACAAGGGTTAAAATAGTTCCTAATAAAGTGACGTGACTGCACGATGCACTATTACCCAAAAGCAGAGGAACAGTTGACTTTCTGGCTAATGTGTGACAACAAGGTAGACACAATTGTATAACGTTATATCAGGTATTGCTATGTGCTGTCGGGATTTAGGCATATGAACAGAACCATGTCATACGTTTAAATAGCACCATTAATAATGATGAAATGTCACAGCTATAATTATAAGTTTATGATTGATATACTGGTTCCACCCTATCAAAGTTAGTTAGCTTTCAAGAAGGAATTTATAATCATTTGATAACGATTGTATAACATCAATCTTTCTTGGGGTTCTACATGTAAGAAACTCCTCACTTTCTCTGTCTCTTCTTCATTTTAATAAATCTATTCTGTTCTATAGCTGTTCAATTGACATCTGCAACAGTGAAGCCTGCCTTTTATTCCTCCTGAAATTTTCAACTTTTTCTGTATTAATTTTGAGCTCCCATATGATGGCCAAATAGAAAACAAATGGACTAAGATCCATAGATGTTTCCTGGCAGTTCATTTCCTTACCGTCTCTATCGACGTCCACAAGGGTGTAGTCAGACCTAGTTTTGTCTTCATCGAGAACATCTAAGGAGCTGTATTTCTGGGAGCTTGGAGCAGTCGCTACAGAAAAGAAGACACTTTATTGGCTCATCTACACACAGGAGTACAGATCCCATCACTGACAAAACCAGGCGGTGTGTTTATACCTTCATCATCCAAAGACTGTAAGTCTTCAGTGCTTTTAAACATTTTATTATCCATGAAGTCTTCATACTCCTTTTTTGCATACTGCATTTGCAATTCCTTTAAGGTTCTCTCCTCTAAAAGAAAAATGGCCGTGTTAAAGGGAGGTGGTTGGAGACAAGGAAGCAGGCAGGCAGTGTGGTTAAAAGGCGTGCTGAAGTTAGACAGACTTGGTTTCAGTTCTGAGTGTTGTGTAAAGGCTGTGGGCATGTCAGCCACTTGATCTACTTGTCTCATATTTTCCTAGGCCAAATGAAGATGATTCAGTTATTAAAGTATTGGGCGCATTAGCTGGTGTGGACACAGGAAGTCTGCTTCCTGCTTGTGGCTAACCTCTGTTTGGTCTTTTTAATGGGTTTTGGGTCTGGGATAATTTTCATTGTTTAGGGGGGTTTAATTGTGGCTTTAATGACATTGACATTTAATAACATTTTCTTATGTTTAATTGTGGTTTTAATGACATTGACATTTAATAACATTTTCTTATGTTATAACTAACATAAGAAACATATAACTAACATAAGAAAAACTATATACAAAAGTACAATAACTATATACAATATATACAAGTAATAAATACCTAAACAGTGTCTAGTCCATTTGTATTTGACAAATTCAGAGAAAATAATTCCATTATCTATCCTATTTTGGTAAGTCCAAAATGTACCTGATTCACTTTCTATCCTAATTAATCTTCAACTATAACTAACTAATCTTCAACTCCCTCAGAGATCCAAGAAGGAAAATAATATTACCTGATAAAAAATAAAAACAGGAAGTGCATGCAAGCAGCTTCCAAAAAAATTGTGAGTTGACAGAAACAGCCAGCTGCCTGGACAGTCACCTGAGGTTTCTCCGCAATGCTGGGGCATCATCTTCAGCCTATAGGCTTAGCGTATCTGACAGACTCATTTGTGAAGTAGGATGTACACAAGGTCAATAGTTCGACCTCACATTGGGTGAGAGCAGTCCATGTACCAGAAACACCTGAATTCCACTAGTGTCATGTCATGATTCAGGATTTTAAATTCTGGAAATTGTTGATGTTTTTTTAATTCAGCTGTCCATTCTTCTTGGCTGTGTATATGTGGCTTCATCTCAGCATCCCATTCTTCTCTACATCCCTCTATCAAATGCCAGTCTACTATTGGGAGGCGTGAGCTTAGTTACTCTTCAAGAATAACTGTTTCAGCTGCTGTTCCATTGCACATCAGAAGCCATCGGCCCACTGCCTGTTCAGCTGCCTTCGAAGAAAAGGGCACTGTACCTTTTCCGGATTGCGAAGGCCACTTCAGGGATGGTGCCATATTGTCCTGGCCTCAGAAGATGCCTTTTGATAAAGCCATAACCACACTTATTTTGGCAAGAATCAGTAGTCCTTTGTTTCGTGTCCTGTCTGTCCTGTTTGTCAGCAGTTGATTCGAGGATACTTTGTTGTCCAGTGGCTAACTTTTGCCACAATGAAAGTTAACTCCAATGCAGTTTCTTCAATGCCCATATTTTCTCTGAAGTAGATTGGTACTGCCAGGAGCCGACATGTCTCATAGTCATAACAAAAAAGAAAACTTTTCTAAGTTATTAAAACATTTTAAATGCCATATTCTGTAGATCTCTGAAGGGTTTGAAGATGACCTGTCTATCTAAAATATATCTGCTCAATTTTTAAAAATATATCTAATATGACTACAAGTTCTATTGTAATGTCTAACTACTAACTTTCATTTCTTTATATCCTAATAGTTGGTAATAACATTCAAGGATCAGAAAATTGCATTACATTGTTAAATTAACAGTATAAGTACAATTAGAAATATACATATAGCATTTTCTAACAATATCAATTTCAATATATATAATTTGTATACAATATAAAACAATCCAATCCAATGTAAAGTATTTAAAACTAGTAATTGTCTTTTTCTTTTCTTTTCTTTTCTTTTTTTCTTACAACAAGAACCTTAAATCTAATCTCCTTTGCTTAGCCTTTTTCCTAACCTTTGACAACAACTTGTAACCAACCCCCCTAAACAATGAAAATTATCCCAGACCCAAGACCCATTAAAACCACAGAAATGAAATAAGCAAAAATATTTCTCATAACAAAATCTTCCACAGCACCAAAAAAAAAAAAAAAAAAAAAGATTGCTATAAGCTGATTACTCTGTGAATGTTGAGGAAAGGTTCTCAGTAAACAAAATTTTAAATAGTTTTAATATACCATGACTAAGTAAGATGTATTTTAGAAATTCAAAAAGAACTTGATGTTGGAGTATAGTGTGTTGTTGATCAAACAAACAGGTCGAAGCATGAAAATCGTTGAGGTTGTCTTGCTAGATGCCGACAGGATAAAAACATCCTTCAGGAGAAACACCCGAGGGATCCTTTAAACTACACTCAGTGGGGTGGTCACCCAGTGGCTGAGAGCACCTGAGGCCCTTCTGTGACTTGAGTTTGGTTTCTGGCATCCACATCAGACTGTTTGCAGCCACGCGGAATTCCAGCCCCAGACAGTGAAGTGACCTCAGGGACTCACTGGCTGCCATCTGTGGGCAACTTCCACTGCTTTTCTTTGGACTAAGTTTCTTTATCCACTGAAATCAAAGGTAAAGATTTATGAGGATTACATAGGTCTTATATGCAAGGTAGCTAGCACAGCTTTCTTGGGTAGTAAATGCTCAATAAACACTAGGTATTATTATTTTTGTAATGGTATATGTTTTTATCAGCATATTGGAACTGATACACACAAAAGCCTTATGGTGTAATAATGTGCTGTCAGAGGCTCTAGGAAATTTAACAGCAGCAACTGAATCTAGTCTAAAATTATTGGAGCTGATCTCAAGTTTCGGATCCAGCTCTTTAAATGTGAGAAAGATCTCACACAGTGTATAGGCAGCACTGAATCAAGGCTATTGTCACAACAGGCGCGGTGGTTCACACATGTGACCCTACACTCACCAGGCAGAGAAGGGCCTAAGGTGCAAGCTGATCATCAGCCTGCCTTATGTAGTTCCAGCCAGGTGTATACATGTATGTATATGCATGTGCATGTGTACATGTATATGTATGTGTGCATGTACATAAGAAGAGCAGACAATTACAGATACGAATTCTACCTAGTCCCTCTATGAATTACAAAAATAGTCATGAAATTAGAACTCTCGTTTTCCTAAAGAAAAACAAACAAATAAAGGTCACTTTTGTGCTTATCCTAAAATATCATGACCAGCAGTGAGTGACTGGTCAGGAGCTGGCTTTGGAAAGGAGGGGTCAAGTGTCCTTTGCAAGATCACTGTGTTAGCGTTAGAGTCATTTAACTGCCATCGGTAAAATTAGAGAGTTGTGGCTATTCATCATTCAGACTTCCACTAGTGTCACTGAATTTGGCATTTTCCGAATAGAAGGTTTAGTTACATCAAGGCTGGCACCTGGGCTAAAGCAGCAAACACCCCAGCGGTCGGGTGACGGCTCCTTTTACTGCCAGTGTGGCTAATGTCACAAGCGTGGCTCAGCCTCTGCTCAGTGCGCAGACCCATGAAGAAAGACAGTCTCCCAACACCCCCAGTTACAAGGACTTTTCCTTAGAGTTATAGAAATGAAGGTTTTGGGTTATGAGTCAGTTTCTTTTCCTTCCTTCAACCGTTCACCAAGAGACTAAGGTGCAGATGGTAAGGACACTAAGACGGACAAACTGACATTGCCGTCCTCAACCAGCCAGGCCAACCGTTCACCAGACACAGACTCTGAGACAGGACAACAAGCCACCTTGCTTCTTAGACCTCAGCTCCATCAGCAGCCTCTCTTTCACGTTTTTGATGGCTGTGCTGGTGACTTCCTTTATGGTGTCTTTAACTAGTTTTTCACGGGCTTCATCAAAACGTGGCTGAACGGCTTCAGCATAGTCAACTACCTGCAGAAATATTTAATAAAATTAGTGTAGTCACAAGGTACTGTGACTCTAAAACACATCTCCCACCTATCTGTCTGTCTCTCTGTCTACCTACCTATCTACATACTTACCTGTCTTCCAAAAACAGATACTACTTGAGGCATCTTTAAAATTATGTATAGAATCCACTGATTTAAAAAAGATCTGTTTTAATTTTTAAAAATGTATTTTTATTATTTTTAGCTCTATCTATGTCTGTGGGGAGTGGGCGGCCGGGTATGTGCACACTAGTACAGGTACCTGCAGAGGCAAGGGGGGTCAGCTCCCCCTGGGGCTGGAGTTACAGGTGGCTGTAAGCCACCTGCTGTGGGTGCTGGGAATTGAATTTGGAGCCTCTGGAAGAGCAAGTGCTGTTCTTCACCGCCAAGTCCCCTCTCCAGTCACCTAGTCTTGGTTTAAAACAAAGATTTATTTATTTTATGTGTATTGAGTATTTTGACTACATGCACATATATGTACCTTGTGTGTGCTTGGTGCCTCAGGAGTCAGAAGAGGGCGTTATATCCCCTGAAACTGGAGTTGCGGATGGTTGTGTACCACCATGTAGGTGCTGGGAACCAAACTTGGGTCCTTTGCAAAAACAGTCAGTGCTCTTGACCCCCTGAGTCATTGCTCCAGCCTCCTTGTTGTCTTGTGATATGTGTAGGTGTTTAGTCTTCATGTATGTCTACGTAATACATGCATACAATGCCCTCAGAGACCAGAAGAGGATGTTGGATGCCATGGGCCTGGAGTTACAGTTGGTTGAGAGTTACTATGTGAGTGCTGGGGACTGAATCTGGGCTTTTTGGGAGAGAAGCCAGTGCTCTTAACTACAGCGGTATCTCTCCCGCCCCCAATTCACCAATATTTAAGGTCATTCATTCATAGAAATCAGCCATATTTTTATATACAATATAAATAAATATAAGCTATGTACATATTCAGGTTGCATATACATTTTTGGCTTAATAAAATTATAACATACATATCAAGTCAACTTCATATGTCTAATTTATAATATCGTAAAAAGCATCCATTTTAATAACTTCAAGAACTTTTGCAATTATATAATACGACAACCCAAATCAACACAGAACTTCTACATTAGCCCCAGAACTGCTTTTCTCTTTTACAGTCAGTTCCTTCCCTGTCCTTTCTTTGTCCCCAGCTCTCATTCCTAGTCCTTGACACATTCTGCGCTCAGTTGCATCTTTTCCAGAATTTCTTCTAAACTAGACAGAGCGTAATCGTTTTCAGGCTCCCTCCCCTTAGGAGAATGCTTTTGTGATTCATCAGTTTATCTTTTCATTGCTCAGCACTATTCTATCACGAATACACTGATTTTTCCTCCATTCACTGCCCAGGGCCGTGGGAGTATACAGCAGGTGACAACTAGTGTTCGGCAGAGTGAACCGACAAGATGAATGACTCCCTGATGGGGAGCCCCACCTGGCAAAGCTGTGGGGACACTGACTGTAAAGGACCGGTTGCTCCTGTCTCTTTTTCTCTAATGTGCCTCTACATTCCTTCCCTAAGAATTGCTCTGGCTATTTTTCCCACTGCTTGTGTGTTTATCGCGAGAAAATACTCCATCTTTGGGTACACACATAGCTGTGGATGGTTGGGAAGATGATTTCTGCTCAAGCTGTATAATTCTGATGAACAGAAATAATACTAGGATATTTTTCATAACTGACACAGGAAAGTAACAGTATTCTTGGTCACAAAGACAGCTAATTTTAGGCTTCAAAACAAATTCAGAACAGACTAGCTGCCCCTGCAGAGAACGCTCGAGGACAAGCCCCCAAGTGTCTGCTAAACCAAAGTCAGGCTGAGAACACTAAGACATAACTTTCCTGCAGCAATGGGCTTTCTGCATGTAGGCCCAGCCTCAGTTTATGTTACAGGACTCACAGTCAGCCAACTAACTTATTGTCAAGTCCTGAATTTCAATGTCACTTTCTGTCCGGGAAAGAACTACATGCATAGCCAAGCGTTACTCACTGGCTGGTCACTGTGACCTCCCTAGCCTGAGAAAAACTGTGTGACTTATCATGTGTTATGAGAATGGGTCAGACCTGGAAAATGTAACATATAATTGTCCAGAGTTGGCTGTTGAAGTGTGTGTGTGTGTGTGTGTGTGTGTGTGTGTGTGTGTGTGTGTGTGTAAGAGAGAGAGAGACAGAGAGACAGAGAGACAGAGACAGAGGGAGCTGTGTGGAGGAGCTGCTGCTGCGTAGAGCAGCTGTGTGAAGGAACTGTGTAAAGTGCTGTATGGTGAGAGTTGTGTAAGTGAGAGGTATAGTTGTGGTTGTGTGGAGACAAGGAAGACGAAGCTGTGTAGAAAAGAGATGTAACTGCAAAAGAGGCATGTGGCTGTGTGGAACATGTATGGAGCGTGTAACGATGTGGAATGTAACTATCTGGAGACCGAGAGTTTCAGAGAGAGGATTTTTTATGATGAAGTAAAAGAGAAAGTTACCATCAGAACGCATGTGTGTCTCCTTATTTTTCCCTCAGATAGAAAAAGTTTAGCCTCCAGATGGATAAGAAGGTTTTCCTGCAGTCCTGCTACTCTGAGGCACTCTATATTCAACCCTGGAGCAGTTCTGGGAGCTGGCCTCCCCAGGCTGTGTTAATTCACCTTCTGAAGGGTTGGGTTGTGTCTAGGCCGGGGATCTTAGAGAAAAAGCAGCAATTAACATTTCTATAGAATCTCTTTGTAGATGTTCTCATTACTTGGAGGTTGAATTACTGGACCACCTGCTAGTATTATATTTGACTTTAAAAAAACAAGGAAGTTGTATTTTCTCAGCAGCCTTACTAACACTTATATGGCTTTATGAACCTTTTCAATTTTAGCCATCCAAGAGGATATGAAGATATTTCTCACTGCAGTTTAAATGTAGATTTTCCTTATCACTGAAAAATTTCAGTATCTTCTTTGTTGAGTGCTGGGCTGACCCAAGTCTTTTCCAGAGGCCCTGATGTACGGAGAAGGAACATAAAGCCTTGTCTAAAACCAGAAGCAGGCTTGGCAGAGCTGGTAATGGTCTGGCACCAGGGCCTTGGGGGAGCTGTAGCTTGGGATCCTGAGAGCTCAGCTCCTCCCACTGTATGAGGCTGCAGCTGGCAGTTCCAAGGCTGCTGTGTGCTTGTTCTCTGATGTTCTTGAGACACCCCGTGTTCCCCACGTGCAGCACTGTTTGGTTAGCTTTATGACTTGACTCTGTCCGATTGTGTGATGGCTTCCTGCTGACTTTGTCCCATTTCTCCCCTGGAAATGGTGTATCAGATGTTACACTTGTCAGCTTGGCATAAGACAGCTTGTGCAAGACTCCCCGTGGTGATGTTTGGTTTGTGCTCTAACAAATAAGCTTGCCTGGGGATCAGAGGGCAAGACTAAGGGGCCAGGCAGTGGTGGCCCACACCTTTAATCCCAGCGCTTGGGCTCTCATGTCTTTGATCCCAGTACTTGGGAGGCACACACCTTTAATCCCAGCACTATGGAGGAGGAAACAGGAAGTGGTAGGGCTGGGCGGAGAGAGGAATATAAGGCGAGTGGAGACAGGAGGTTGGCCCCCTCTTTCAGGCTGAGGATTTGGCGAGGTAAGAAGTGGCTGTGGCTTGTTCCTTTGTCTCTCTGATCTTTCAGAATTTACCCCATATCTGACTCCAGGTTTTTATTATTAAGACTAATTAGGATCGTGAAACACCTCCCGATCCCAAATTTACCTATTGCCTTATCTTCTGATCTCCTGGTATTCTCTCTCTCTCTCTCTCTGAATGACCTGCTAGTCCAGGTCACCCCTGTGTGCTTATGGAGCACTCATTCTTTTCCGTATAAGCACATGTTCAACTTTTGCCTGTTTCAAAGACTGGGTAAAATTCTCAGTACATTCTGATGGTTAACTCCTATGAGGTAGATTAGACTTACTAATGAGTTAGGGATCTTAGAAATAGCTTCATATATGCCTTTTAACTGTAAGTATTACTTCCAGATCCTCAAATTACATTTCCCTTTTCCTTCATTTTTACTGTACTGCTTTATTCTGTGACAAAACACTTATCTCTAAACCATATTTTAATAGGTGCACAGAATTGTATTAGATGAATATATCATAACTTAATTAGAGCATGAATAGTATATATTTAGCACAGATTTTGGGTGTGTATATGTGTTGTATACGTGTGTATGAGCTATGTGGATGTGCACACATGTGCATGTAGCTGTGTGAGCCAGTGTGACTGTGTGTGTGGAGGACGGAGGTCAATGTGACCTTTTTATTGGCTGTCCACCTCATTTTTGAGACAGGTTCTCTCACTGAAGCCAAGGCTTACTGATTTGGATAGACTGGGCAGGCTAGTGAGCTCCAGGGTCTGCTTGGCTCTGCCTCTGCATTACTGAGATTACAGACATGCTGCCACACCTGGCTTTTTACAGGGTGCTGAAGATCCAAATTCGGGTTTGCATGTTTGTATGTCAAGCGCTTCACTGAATGGAGCGTCCCCCCAGTCCTTTGAAGCAGATGTTTTTTAAAATACGTAGCCTTTAATCCCAGCACTCGGGAGGCAGAGGCAGGCCTGGTCTATGGAGCAAGATCCAGGAAAAGGCGCAAAGCTACACAGAGAAACCCTGTCTCAAAAAAACCAAAAAAAAAAAAAAAAAAAAAAAAAAAGAAAGAAAAAAATACGCATTTAGGTAGAAGCTCAGCTATGGTCAATATCACTGTCTGTCTATCTTCAATACGATAGTTTCTTTTCTAAATTTTTTTATCTTTTATTTTATAGGTATGAGTGTTTTGCCTACGTGTATGTCTGTGCATTATGTGTATGCTTAGTGCAGTTTTTGAGTCTCTGAAACTGGAATTCCAGATGTTTTTGAGCCACCATGTGGGTGCTGGAAATTGAACTCAGGTCTTCTGGAAGAACAGTCAGTTCTCTTAACTGCCAAAGCTTATCTCCAGCCCCATGATAGT